ACAGGTGCGGGTACTCATACAAGTACTGCTTCAGCGAAACATACTGCTATGGGTACCCAATGCAGTACCTACAACAGTCTGGTTACTGAGCATTTTCTAAGTACCCTTAATAGGTACCCTGGTGTGGCTTTCTTAGTATGTGGGTACCCTTAACCCAGTACATTCCCTAGGGGCGTCATCTAGTTTTTTTCTAAATAATATTTTTGTCTCGATGTTCATCAGCGACATCTGACATATTTACTGTAGTCATAGTGACAAAATAATTGATGAGTGAGTGGATCACGACCATAGAGCGATATTCGTCATTAATCTTGTTTTTTTGTTGTTTAACAATGGGTGACGTCGTCGGAAGTTGGCAAGTTGCACTTTCAGATGGTGTGCATAAAGTAGAATTCGAACAGTAAATAAATTGTTTCTGTTCAATTAGAATCTTTTCATTTAAAAATCTTTGTTTTTAGCGGTACAACATCAGGTAAACGTATAATTCGCGTCGACAATAAAGAAGTTCTTCGTCATGATTGGCTTTTTAAACTTGTTGGTAAAGAAACTTTTAAAATTGGTAAACATCAGTGTACTATCAATATTGATGCTGTTAGCGGGTTTGCTTATGAATATTCACTTGATGTTGATGGAAAACCATTAGAAAAATTTAGTGAAAACCGCTCGAAAATCAGTCGAACGTGGACATTAAAACTTGCTGGAATAGACTATCGTGTTGTCTTAGAAAAAGATACACTTGATCTATGGATTAATGGCCAACGTGTTGAAACTGAAGCTGAATTTACGGATGAAGGCACTCAAACAATTTTTGATATTGCGGGTCATCCAGCTATTTTAAAAGCTGTTTCTTCTGGTAGGCGTAACAGTGGGCTTTATCATGCTTTATTGGTTGATGGATGTGAAATACCACCGGCAAGCGAAAAAGAAAACCCATAAATTTTCACTATTTTATGAAATATCTTTACATATATTCCTATATATATATATATACATATATACATTCAGTAATGCATAAATGTTGCCAGTGTATTTTATTTTTCAGATTTGACATAATAATAAAACTACAGAATAAAAATTATGTAAAATATTTTATTTATATATGAAGATTGATATTGATTTTTTATGTATTTGATAATTAAAACAGAAAATTTCTTACATTGTTAGTCGGTTATGTTAACTAACTCTTTACTTTTTTAAATAAAACTAACTAGAATCACTTCAACAACTCTAACTACTACTCTTTTACACTTCATACGTATGTTAAACCAATTAATCCGCCTCACAACCAATAGTGTTAACAGAAAGAAGATAGGTAGTAATGGTATTTTTTTTTCGGAACCTTATAGGTACTTCTTTGAGTATCAATATTTATGAGCAATATCTTATGTTATAGTAATGATGATGCTTATGCTTGTCTCTAGGTTAGACTAAAATGTATAAGCTGGTTTATTTATTTGAAATTTGTCTCATAACAAAGAGTTTTCTAGAAAATAAGAAACGCGATAAACAGAGACGGATCAATTTTCAGTGTGATTTCATGGGAGCATAGAAAATTAGTTGTTTTGTAGGAGTTTCAATACTCAAAAATGTAACTATTTGAAAATATGGTATAGGGATCAGTGTTCCATGTATTGACCTTCAAGATACTGCGATGAATGACATTGAACTAATGCCGAAAAGAGCTTATCACATGATACAATTTTCAAATAAATCATCTCTAACAGCGTTCAATCTTTTTCCTAACTTTTTTATTTTAAGCAAAATAAAATGTTGTACACATTGTAACATCTACTTGATTAATCAATAAGTATAACCGGGGATCATTTTGTTAATTGTCTTTTTCAACCAAACATTGCATTCGATGAGTTGCAGTAAAATGCTACACAAAAAACAAACTTATTACAAGTAGTTCTCGAAACTTCTTTTTTTCTAGAAAGTCGAATTATTCATCAATGAATACATTTATTATTAGGAATCGAATTCTATTCTTCATGACTCATGTCAAGTAGTACTGATCAAGATTATAAGAAGTAATTAATTGATTAACCTTATATCAATTCTATAACCATCGATATTAACGATTGAAATGTAATCATATAAATTAATAAAGACTTTGTCAAGTTATATAAATCAGTAGTATTTGCATGATAATGTTAAATAAATGATTATTTATGAAATAAAGAGATTTTCACCATCATTATTTATTAGTTAACCTATTCAACACTATATTCTAAAACAAATAGATAGAATTATGTAAGTTCTTATAATAGGCGTTTTTTTACGATATATAAATTGAAATGATTTCTGATATTAAATAAAAGTACTACATGAATAATCATTGGTATCGATATTGTTATTCGTCTTGTATGAAGAGGTATCACGCCGTACATTGATGACGTTCGTGTTTAGCAATATATGCATAAAACAGAACAGAACAAAATTATAGGGTCCTTAGTACAGTCAATCACATGATTTTTTTTCTTTCTATCAAATAAAGGTTATATTATGCTTGGAAACTAAAGCATAAAGTCAAAATAAATTTTGTTTACTTCTATATAAACAAAATAGATGATGACAGATAAACATCGGTTACTACCTGAATTCAAAGAACAAGTAACAGGTCGCTTATATATGTACTATCTTTGGTCGATTCCCTTTTTTTAAATATATATTTAGAAGTCATTAAAACTTTTATCCACCAAGAACGACCTTTTCAAAAAACTCGTAAAGAAAAAATTGCAGATCTAAATCGGCTTGAACCTGGTGATCATATTAGTTTTTATAAAACAGATTTATATTATGCACATCATGGTATTGTTTGTGAAGCACGTACAAACTATCTTCGTGTTATACATTATTTTAATACACTGGAACATGCACGTACTGCATTAATGAGAGGTTCAATATATATAGCTGCAATCATTGAAAGTGAATGGCCTGTTAACATAGAAAGTACAAGTGAAGATATTTATTTACATCATTATGATCATATTCCATGTTTTTCAAATGAAGAGACACTGCAACGAGCTTTCTCACAACTTGGCAGACGTGGTTATTCATTATTAGGAAATAATTGTGAACATTGGGCTCGATGGTGTCGAACAGGTGAACATTATTCTGAACAAATATATAAACTTCGCGGATTAGTTAAAGAAAAATCTGCAACTTTATTGATTGTTGATCCTACAGCATTATTAGTAAAAGATGTTGCTTTAGTTGGTGTACGGACATTTGGCCAGTTTTTAAGTGCTGTTGGATCAGGAGTTATATTAACGGCTGTGGAAAGTATATCAACATTTATTGATATAAAAAAGAAAAAAAAAGAACGAGAAAAAGGAAGTTTAAGTGATGTTGCTTTGAAAAAATATGTTATAAGACGAGTTACATCAGCATCAACAGCTGTAAGTTTGAATTTTAGGGAAAAGGGAGAAAAAAGAAGCTTCGTTTATATTATAATTTAATAGGTTGTTGGTGGAACTGCAGGTACAGTTGTCGGCACAATACTTATTCCGGTACCAATACTTGGCGCTACAGTTGGCGGTTTTGTTGGTAGCATTAGTGGAAAACTTATTGGAGGAGTATCTGGCATTGCTCTATCGAAAATTCTCGAAGTTTATGAAAAAGTCAAAGCATCAAATATTAAAAAGATGTCTACAGTTCCTCAATTAATGGCTAATATATCACCATCCAGTGAACTTGTGCATTCTTTAATGATGATTGCAGATGACCGAGAGGAAGAAGAACAAGTTTCAAATATTATTGAGCACGCTTTAAATTCACATTCTTCATTAATTTATCCATCATTAGAAGAATTTACAAATAATACTCAAAATACAACAGCAGAAGAATATCACGCAGTAACGAAATTAACAGCTGAATTATTTACTGATTCACATTCATACGATTATTTTATTTTAACACCAGTGCCAGATAGCAATGCAGCAGAAGAGTTTGCTGCATCAACAGATTTATTATTACTTCGATGGCCTATAGGAATAGTGAAACCATGGGAATCCCACGGAGAACAAGTTATGGATATTGATGATTCAAATTTAAATCAAGAGTGATTGCAGTATTTTTGTTAATCTACTAAGTTTTGTCAGATTTATTCATTTATTTTATCAAATAAACGATACATATTAAATTATTAACGTAGAATAATTGACTCTGAGACGTGGCCATATTCTAAAATTCTAGAAGATCAGAATAGGCAGAATTTTATAGTAGATAGTGTCAAACTATATATAAAATTACAAAATGAACGAAATTTGGTGGGAATTAAGAGAATGTGAGTGATGTAGATTTGAGGTTACTAGAGTTATTATAAGGTAGAGTCCTGCGGGAACGACTTTTTCCCAAAATTCCCGTTCCGCTTTCCGCGGCGACTTCGGGAACGGGAACAACATTACAAATTGACATTCCCGAAATTCGATATAGACTGGATTCATCGAAAAAATAATGTATTTTGAAAATGAGAACTTTCAGTTTTATGGTTAATCCAATGAGCCTCCAACCCAAAACTTGTTCTAAATTTATCGAAGGACACATTGGGAAACCTGTGATGACACGGTAAACTAGTGTGCGACATAAAAGTTATTTATTTGAGTTTCACAAGGCGAACTGGTAATAGAAATTATAAAAGCACTACGGGAACGGGAATTCGTGGACGGGAACAACGGAAATTTTTCGGGAATGGGAACAATAAAAGTCGTTTCCGCAGGACTCTATTATAAGGAGCGCAACTAGAAAGCAAAATAGTTTGATTATTAACCGGATTAATTTCTTGTGAGTACTCGATATGTCATTGAACATCGCTTATAGGTAAAATCAAACGGTTATGGATTGCTGATTTCGAGAATGGTTCATGTTTGTAGATATGGGTGTGAAGGTGTAGGTGATGTGAGTATCGGTACGTGTGAAGAATGAAGACAAACACTCAAACTCACAACCACACCCACACCCACACCCACACTTGATACGTTGTTAATGAGAAGAAAGTTTTCACTTTAAAAAATAGTTTTCTTCTCTTCCGTTGTATTCATCTAGCAAAGCTTTTCATAGAGGGAAATATTTTAATTCATGTTTATTTTACAGGAAATGAATTTTGACAGAGCTCAGATATAAATTATGCCAATCTTTTCAAATGTCCTTTCTTTTTACCAGAAAATACATCATATATTTCACCAATTGAAACACTACTATAACATAATGCTGTTAAGAAATATTATTATATTAGTCTTCGTCATGTTGTTTTCGATCAACATCAGTAATATCGCTGCCTATTGGTACGACGATGATCAAATTTACATGAATAATGTTTCTCAAAACAACGTACGTAAAGATTCAAATTTCATTCAACAACTTCAAGCATTACTCACAGCAATGGAAGTCGCCGATGGCAAAAGTGATAAAGATGATACTTCATCAGTTGATCGTGTATTTAACACTCGATCAACAGTGCATCGTCGTCCAGGGCTCCTTCGATTGAAAAAGAAGTGATTAACAAAACAAAAAATATGTCGTCATTCTTTGATTCCTTTTATCATCATATAAACAAAAATAAATTAAACGTAATTTTGATCAAGCATTAATATCAAACTCTTTTTTTTCTTTTTTTTCATCATCAAAAATTTTTGGTTAATTTCTACTTTCATTTTTTGAGAATTTTTGCCAGAAAAAAATCAAAACAAGTAATTTTCCAAGCTTGAATACCTATCGTTCATATCCTATCGATAGTATGATGATTTCTTTCTAAATTTTGCGTCATATACTTGTGTATATCTTACAAACATTGTCGAGTAGATAGTGAATATTATTCGTAATCTATGTATTTGTTTTCGTTGAAAAAAGAGGCAGCCATATAAAAAATCATGATTTAGTCGAAAATTGTCGAGAAAGTCAGTAAATGAATACAGAATATCTATTGACGTTATTCTGATTAATAACTCTACTATACAGATATAAAGGCTTTACAATACAGAACTTCATATTTTTGAAATCATATTTATGAATATTAGATGCACAAACACATTTTGAAAAATCTCTAAATTCGTTGTTGAACTAACATAAGGCAGAATAGTTCGATGGAAACTTGATTAGTAATCTACTATAGATTTCTCCCATATTGATAGATTTCATGATAGATCGTTAATCAACGATGAAATTTTCAAATAATTGATCAGTACAGAGCATGAATTCATCTCAGATGCAAGCTTTATCATCTTATCATGTAGATATTTCCCCTACAACATTTTTGGATTCAGGACACAATATTTATCGAATTTAATATTAAATTTTGTAAAATTTTCATCATGATTATACATTGTATAGAAATTAGAAATAGATTAGATCGGGGTATCACTTGATTCTATCTTTTGTTTTAATTGTTTTCCGGTTAAATGCATCTTTGGTTTATTATAATTCGATCTCTACCAACTCAATCAGAAAACGGTAAAGAATATAATCTACTGTTTCTGCTCAATAGCTAATAACAAAAGAGTAGAACCTGAATCATAATTTCATCGAAAATTCATTCTTGTAATAATTCATCATAGCACAGTGAAACTATAGAACGCGGGATTCTCTATCAATATGGATTATCGACATAAACAAAGTTTAGGTTTCATCTATAAGTTTGAAAATACTATTCTTAAGAACATGCTCCACACATTTCTAGATTTTAGGATGTTGGCTATCATTCTGTAAACAAAATGCAACTTGGTTTCATAGTAACCTTGTTTTTGTTTTGCTTTATTCAAGTTTATTCTTACATGTAACTAGAGTTCAGCTAGAAAAAAATCTAAATATAGGCAGTACAAATATATATATATTATAGTATTGAATAACTTTTGATTCTTTGCAATGATTTATATGTGACCACATATTTAACAAAAGAATTATCTCAATCGTTTTTACTAAATGTATTGATAAGATTTTGTCTATATCACACGCCGATGTATTCATTGGAAAATGGTATCGCACCAATTAGTAAAAGCGCATGAAACAATATAGAAACAAGAAAAGAAATACCAAATAATAATTTGTCTCTATTAGTCATAGTCATTTTGTCATAAAGGTTTTTTTTTTCATTTATTAATTCGAAAACAAACTATACAATTCTAACACAAAGAAAATACAGCAATCATTTAATCAGAGCATGAAAAACAGGAAAAAAATAAACATAACAATAGTTTCTCATCTTTTTTTTCTACAAAGAAAACTAGTTAAAGAAAAAATATCTATGTAGAAAAAATAGTATTCTATGATTATTTTAAAATAAAATAATTATTTTGATATGTTATGTGAAGACGACCGAGGTTTTTCACCAAAAATAGCTGGAAACGTTTTTCCTTCAGGAAATTGACTTTGATGTTCTTCAAGTAATTGATTTTTTATCAAACAACATTCACGAAACTAAAAATAAAAATAAAAATAAATATGAAATAAAACTATATCAATCACCTTTCTTAAAATTCATTTACCTTAATTGCTTTTTGTATCATTTGTTTTGTATCAAGTGGTACATTGAGTTGTTCAATACAATCATCATAATTAAATATTGATGTCATTCGACCTGATGAATCAACTAGCTTTATTTGTAATGGAGAATCAAGATGTTCCAGATTTTTTCGATAAATAGAGATTTTTGTTCCATGCGTATGAGTAAACTTAAAATAAAAATATTCATTATGGTTTTCATTACTCGAATTTTCTACTTATAATAATAAATACTTTTCTACAGTTCTCATGTGATACTACATTCATATAGAAAGTATTCATGTTAAAGTTAGATAGATACAGAGTTTATTTAATTTATGAAAAGAATTTTATGCTATGAATGTACGAAAAGCATATGACTTTGTTAAAATTTCAGATTCAGTTGTATAAATTTGATTGCTAATAGATTTTCCAATCATCACAAAGAAAAGGATTAGATGATGAATTTCTATTTTCGGGATATTCGAATGAACGATAAAGAGAACATTTCTATACAAATTTGATTTAATCCGTGAAGGAAATGTGTAAGAAATTGCTTTTTATAAAAATACAAAGGTAGAAATGAAATAAATATTTTATTGGATCGGCTCAGGAAATTCATTTTACTACTATTAACTACTCGCATATGCTTGATTAATTAACTTGAATATTGGTATCGATGAATAGAACTATAGCATAGTTGCTTTAATTTCCGTTTTTGTTTGAAAATATATTTTATGCAAAATACCTTAGTCCATTCATTTATGTATCCAATCCTTTGAACTGAATTTACTGGATAATTTGAAATAAATCTCACCAACAAATGACAAAGAATGATTTGGCGTTGCATAAACACTAACAAATATTCAGGCAAAACTTAAAAATACTCAATTAAAAGTTCAAGAAGTAAAGAATCTAAGAAATTACTGATCTATAACTTTATTCAATCAATACAAAGAGGACGCATGAGAATATGTTTTTCATAGATAATATGTAGGATGAAATTATTTGGAAAAAAAGCATAATCTGCCATTTAAATGGGCTTTGATAATAATTAATGGCATTCCATATTGAATCATTTGAACACAAAAAATTTCAGAGAATGACTGTTCACATGAAGTGCAAATCTGTCCATTACAAAAATAGGGAACCACAATACATTTTTATAGAAAAAAAAAATTCTTTTTACAATAGTTCTACTCAGTTTCTTTTCATTTAATTTGATCACTATGTTTTTATTTCTTATAAAAAATAAAACTAACTTACATCGAATTCGATAGATGTTTCCATTAAACGACATTTACCATCATTTGTATACATAATTATCTTACATCGAAGAGAGCGTATTATATTCACAAATCTATTTTAACCAGGCATAGATTTTTATTTTCATTTCAAATATTAATTAATAAAGATAAGCCTACTTCCATGCTCGACGATATTTATTATGAAGTTGTTCTGGTAATGTATCAAATGTATATTGTTCATAGTTCACCGGTAATGGAAGTGGACCTTCACTTTCAATATATGAATTATACTGTTTTCTATCTGGACGGTAGTAAATAATCTTTTCAAATAAAAGAAAACAAAGATATTAAAATAATGAAGAAAAATAGTAATGGCAATTGAACCTTCTGTCCATCGGATGAGACTCGAAACACATCGACTATTCGTTTTGAACCAGTTTTAACTTCAACAAGATGTTGAATAACAACTTCACCATCATCCAATACATCCATCTAAATATTTATTCTATTAATTAATTAATTAATTCATCAGTATAAAACTTAACTTACAATATCACTTTTTGTTATCACATGTCGTCGATCGAGACGTTGTGTATTTAATGGCGTTAACTTTTCACACATAGTTTTGTGTTGACTAAGATTATTTGCATTACTCAAATTATTACAGCTCAATACTGATGCTGACGAAGCATTTCTAATCGATATAAATAATAAGCAAACAAATGTCTTGTTAGAAATGAAGCAATAAGCTTACACTTTTTGATTTTGTTTCATTGTTAATGGTAGTAATGAATTTAATTTTGTTGTTCCTCTCGATACTCTAAATTGGATTGAAAAGTTTTTTGAAATAATTAAAGTAAATTTTATTTTTTTGATTTTACGTTGATTCATTTGTATATTGTCGACTTGATATTGATGTATCAAAATAGCCACTATCACTTCTTAAAGACTATCAAATAAAATTTATTGTAGAATAAAACAAACAAGAAAAATCTTTTTACATACATTACAACTATTTCTCGATGAATTTATTCGATCATTCATTAATCGTTTTAATAGGAAAGGATGATGGCGAATTTGTATCAATGTCAAACGTTTTTTAGCATCTTTTTGTAAAATTCTACTGATTAAATCTTTTGCTTCATTACTTAAACCATTAGGTAAAATATATCGAACATTGGCGACTCGTTTCAATGTTGAAAGAACATCTACAAATAAACGAGCTGAAATTTACTTTTAATTTTTCAATAATGAAACAAAATAAACCCTGATCATCGAATGGTGGTTTTCCAACTAGACATTGATAGATTAATGCACCCAATGACCATATATCAGCTTCGAAACTGTGTGTTTTACGTGTTGCTATTTCAGGCGCAAGAAAATTTGGTGTACCAACCATTGTAAAATTTCTTTGTTCATGCGTTACTAATTGTTTTGCTAAACCAAAATCAGCTATTTTCTTTAAAAAAAAACAAACAAACAAACAAATATATAAATACTTTATCACCATGCAAATTACTGCGATATTCAATCATGAATTTTAATTCTATTTTTCGTGACAGATAAATCGGAATCGTTTTTCTTTGTGCTGATATCAGAATTCCCTAGGTTAATGGTGATCATTGCGAGCTCCAATCATCTGACGCATGTGTAAGAATAAACTAATCATCGAATATAGACAAGTAGAGCAGAAAATATATGATATCTTCTGGATCACTATCCAATTTCGATTAGAAAAACTTCCTTTAGATTATTAATACACTGTCTGAACACTCTCATTCTGAAAGTATTGAACATGATAGATTCTAGTTGCCATGATATGAAAACGAGAAAGTTTTGCTGTGTAAAATTGTTACGAAGTTTTCAATTTACTCTAGAAAATGATGAATCTATTGAGAAAGAGTTTTAGCAGCAATACCAGCAACTAGCATTTATTAGATCAGATATTGTATTAATCTGACGAAATTTGATTTAGACAAACGTGTTTCGATGCTACATAAGATATTTCGACTTATTATCAACTTCTTTTATGAATGATGAGTTAAGTTTTAAAAAATATTTCAGCATTTTATGAATTTAGCTTATGTATTAAATATTTTATTGAATACTTACAACATTATTGTCTTTTGTTAAAAGTAAATTATGTAATTTGAGATCACGATGAAGAATTTGATGCGAATGTAAATACTCGATACCAGCTACTATTTGTTTTATATAATGACGTGCTTTAATTAAAAGAATAATAGAAATGTTTTAACAATAAATTATTTAATTTTACTTTCATCTTCAGTAAACTGTTGACGAATATTTAAATATTTCTGCATATCCGTTGCACATAATTCAAGTATAAGATAAATGTTTGTATCATCTTCAAATACTTCTAGTAGCTAAGAGAGAGAGAGAGAGAGAGAAAACAAGTATAACATTAATATTAAATAATCAATCAAAATTCATTAATAGTTAAATCAATTCTATCGAAAACTTAATTTTTTAATCAAAGATTTTGGTAATCGATAGCGCATAAAAATAAAATTTCAGACTAATATATCATTTTATTATCTTGAAATTGAAATGCATTTAAGTCATATTGACCTCATTTTTCATTTATCGATGAGTACTTTTTCTAAAAAAAATTCTAAATTCTTCACTGTTTCATATTTGACAAAAAAATAGATGATTTATTTTCAACGCAAATGTCGTTTAGAAAAAATTTACGATGCTCATTAAAAGATAGTCTTTTTCGGTATTGCAAGATTATAATCTAAGTTTTTCTTATTAGTTCCTAACTCGAACAAATAGAAAACTGGTTTTTATTTTGTGAAAATTGATTACATTGGATATTCGTAGTAATATCTTTTTAAATGAAATTTGTAATAGACTCTTGTAGAAAATTGAATCTTTAAGCCTTGATTAGAAAAAAAATGATTAAGCTATTGTGATGAATCTTGAGGATGATATTAGAAGAATATTTAGAACCGTTGTTTTTTTTTGTATATTCGTCATATAATTCTATTTCTAAGGATGATATTAATTCTCTTTAATAATATATGTACATGTCGTACGAACCTGTACAATAGCTGAATTCCGCAAGCGATAATGTATTTGTACTTCGTCATTGACACGTGATTGAGCATTTTTTAATTTTAATTGTTGCTTGTCCATCTACATAGAAATAAAATATGTTGAATTATCGAATTTAAAACGAATAAAACATCTACAATTTTAATTGCTACATCAACTCTATCACATAGACGAACACCTCGATAGACTTTAGCAAAACCACCAGTACCAATTAATTCAAATTTATCGTAATTCTAAAAATAATCGTAGATTAGAACACGACAAGATTAGTAGGTAAAAGAAAAAGAAAGTTACTTTGATAGGATCAAGATTAATACATCTATCACATGAATGTGAAGCCCATTCAGCGGCACTTACAGCCATGAATTATATTCTAAATTAGAACACAGTACGATTAGTGAAAATACAAACAAAATTTTGCTAAAAGGTTCTTTTATTGAGCTATCCTTTTCTTCTTCATTTACATGTCAACCTACAGATGAATATTTTCAACGAATAAGAATATTAGAAAGTTTTAATTTCGCTTGACTAAATGAACAAATTCATTATTCAATTCGAACAGAGAACTGAACTATTCCCATGAGTTTCATGAAATAGAATTCGTGAATTTGTTTGAAATTGTCAACGATACATCGATATTCTTCTATCCTGCTCTTGTACTTTTATTCAATTTTATCTTTTGATAAAACATGTTTCGAGTATGAATGAATGTCTATTGTTAACGCAAAAGATTGGAAAAAAAATTATTGAATTGACATCCATGGATTTTCATTCGTTCAATGACGTAACTCATTGTTTCCCACATTTTCCTCATTATATATAATAATTCCTCGACAAATCTAGTCATATTCATAAAACAAATAGTTCCTTGAATAATTTATTTCCCTAAATCTGGATAACGTTACATTCTTTAACTTAAAGTACCAAATATAAAATAGAGCGCCCTCTATGTCTTCTTTTATCTTGTTCGTCAATTTTTATTAACGAGTTTTGTCTCCATTTGCTGCCTTGTTGTTTATTGTTTGTCCCGATCTTCAATCAGTTAGATAGAGAATATCGATAAGTTTATCAATTTAGATTTTCGAGTAAACTAACAATGAATCTACATAATGATAAAGAACTCGGCGATCTACTCGATCTCAATGCGGTATATTGATTAAACACTTAAAACATCAATTATTTTTCTCTACCTATCTTTTTGTTCTGTTAAAGGTAAAATATCGTAGTCGTTTTCCAAATAGTATAATGAATGCATCATCATCTCGTCATCCTCTACCGGTACGTATTATTTAGATAGTTATACTTTTTCACAATAATTTTCATTTAGATGCTATGTCCCACTATACCTTATTCTAGTGGTTCACATATTCCACCTCCTTCGACAAATTCTGAAACAATTTATAGTGGTACAAATAAAGGTTTCATTTAGTTGCTACGATTTGTGTCGTAAATCTTTTTTGTTTGAAGATTATTGGAATAATTGTCCACCATCAGCTACTTATGATGAACGGGTTTGTATTATTTGAAACAATGATAATACGTCTATATATCATGCATTTTTTTCCTCTGTAGATGTATGATAGTAATTATAGCAATCGAGATCTTCTCCATCCATTTATAACATCTGAACCATTGAGTACTATTTCATCGAATCCTGTAAGATCATGATGAAGATAAAGTGTTGTTATTTTTCTTATTCACCTTTTTACTTTGTTTTAGACTTCACGAACATCAACTAATGATTTGACATATTCAGGTTTATAAATAATTTAACCTTTGTTTATATAATTTTTCTTTTTCTCATCTTACAGAAAAACGCGACGATAAGGCGTGTCGATCAACAAATGTAAGTAACAACGGTTATTTTATGTAAGACTATACACGTCAAATGCCTAGCCACTCTTTTTAATTGTTAAATATTTAGTTAAAATAATGACGTATTATATATTTATTGTTTGTCGCATGCATGAGAGTGATCTGGTCAGTATCAAAAGCGAAGATTTCCCTAGTTGTTCTTTTCAAAACGATGGAGCAGTACATTCTAGTGCGAGAAAAGAAAAGTAAAAAATAAACTTTAAGCAATTCTAATGAGTTTATTTTATCAAGGCCTGTATTTAATTAAAACAGAAGTGATTTTTTTTTGCTTTATCAAATATCTCTGTTTCTTTTGTATCTTCTGCTTTTGACATGGGATGTTGACGTGTGAGTAATTGATATAATTATTTGCTGTCTCTGTTTCTGACATGACAACATCTTTCGTGTGTCAGAAGATCGATAGAGAACAACTTAGTTAATTCACTCGATGATAAATTATAATGAATGAAGAGACAATGGAAATAGATCGTTTTCTTTTTTTTTACTTCTTGGAAAATCTGCATAAGAACTCAGGGTTCTCTTATAGCGTAGTTTATTTCTCCTATTTTTTCTTTATTCTTCCTTTTTTTTCTTATTTTCAATTGAAGAAGGTATGTGCACCAGCTGGTCGGGTGACATGAATATATTGTGAACGAATGAATTTCAAGAGAATAAGAGAAGTTCGCTTCGTCTATCATCTATATACAATAGGCTCGATTGTATGTATATTATTTGACCGGGGTCGTGTATGTGATAAAATTAATAGTCGTGTTTATCTACATTCGATGGCACACGAACGAGCTTTCCAGCTGCGCTACGAGCTTTCCTCTCTTTGTAAACATCATATATGCTTTGCGGTAAATGTATAAGGGACAAACAATGTGATAAACGTTAGAAGCGATGTTGGCATCTCTCTCTCTCTCTCGCTGTCTTCTTTATATGAAGATGTCGTGAGATATGATAATAGATATTCGATTGTTACTACTCCTTGTTGCCGACAATGATAAATGAGTAAAACAAGAAAGACAAAAGAAGCGCTAATCGACTTTGTGAATATATACAAAAGAAAGAAGCTTGTGTAATAATAATTGTTTGACGGCATAAACATAGATAATAAATAAAGCAGTCTAATGAGAAATATCGCGCGAAGAATAGGTTTTTTGTCTCTTATTTTGAGATTGACAAAAAAAAAGGATGACTACTAGAAAAGATCTTCATTCTTTCCATCATATTGTTTAGTATACAGTTGTTTATCTGCGGATGAGGGAGAAACTTATTCGCCCGGGCGCTTGATGCGTGCTCGAGATACGAACTTATGTCTTTACATTTATTTTACCTTCTCTGTCTTCCGCTGCAAGACAGCAACAAACAAAAAAAAGAAGAGAAAGAAAAGAGAGGAAGAGAGATGATGATGGTTTTTTTATACGTCTTGTTCCTCTCTTTCCTGTTCGTGTGCCCGCCTCTAGTTAACACATCGCAAGATAAGGATATCTCGCTGTTCCAGTGAAAGGTCTCCCGCATCGATCGACTCTCCTTCTCCTTTTCTTTTTCTCTCATTCGATGCATATCACTTTTCCTCTCTTTCCTGTGCTATCAAGCAGTGCTACACGTATACTACGAGTTTATTTGACACAACAATTATAAGTCAATTTGATTTCTTGTTTCTTCTGCTTTTTGACTGTGATGAAATAATCACCTTATTTTTTACAATACAAAACAAAATGTTCTACTATTCTCGACCATCATATCAGGTATGATAAATATAAGATTCTATTCTGTATTTTTGTCTTGAGAATTAATAAAGAATTAGAAGACCTTCTTGATATAAATTTTCTTTTTTTTTACAATTTATATCGGATTAAGAAAAAACGAATTGTAATTGTCACCTTCTCTTTGGTACGAATAGAAGAAGCAGAATAAAAAGGTTTTTATGTTATTTTGATTTTCTTTTTTTTTCTTTTTCTTTCGCTTGCCTTCAAGTAAAATTGATCGGATAAAGAAGAAGAAAAAAAAGGAAAGATAATGCTAATCAACATATTCTCCTGCTCAATCGAACGATCTGAATGTCAGCATGAATTGCGCTCGCACGTCCTTTGATCTCGTGCCGAGTGAGCACAAACAAACGAACCCTTTCCTCTTACATTCTCTTGATTAGCCAACATAAAAATCAGTGGGCGATCAAGTTTTTCTTTATTTTGCTCGAATGGTATGTCGTCATTCTTCGTTTGGATGAGACTGTTGATTTTAGTATATCGCATTAATTTCTTGCATGAAATTATCATCAGAATTTGGCCATGTATGTACGTTTATTACTGGCAAATGTGTATACACTATGGTTTGATTGGAAAAAGAGGAGAAAAATAATAATAATAATAATAATAATAATAATCATCGAACATAGCTGGGGAAAAATAATTAGAATTGATTTTCTATGAGAAATGCCTAATGAAGAGAGCACTTGTGTGATTTATCATATAAGGAAAAGAACTAAAGCATTTCCACATGAAGTCAATCAAAACAACTTAGATATTAATAGGCTATAGACATTCGTTATACAATCATTACTTTTTCATATTAGGTCTATACATCGGATGATTACAATCCAGAGAATACCGCACGATACCCAACTGGAAAATCAGTTTATGGAAATGAATCTGCGTACTATATTGGTATGTATAGTTATAGAAAAAATGATATTTAACTATGTTTTTATACAATAGATGGGCAAGGTGGTACTTCATGGTTGCCACCACCACCACCACCACCATCATCATCAACATATTTACCAAATGATCTTGCTGGTAATCATGCATCTTTTACAGATTCAAATGGTGCATGCTTACCATCTATGGCAAGTTTTCGATTTCAACAAACTGCGTCATATACGAGTAATGGCAATGAACAAACAGTACAAACGGGAGAAGCTCTTGGCAAGGCCTTACAATCTGTATGAAATCTAATTAAAAGTATTAAATACGAAAACGAATAGTGTCTGTGTATTTTTCTAGATCTATCCATCCGACCATCCATACTCTTCGACATCATCAACTCCTGTCTCTCCACCACCGTTGAGTGGTATATACATACCATAAGATTTCATTGTAAAAATTGAATTTATTTCGTTGTTGTTCGTTTAGGATCTAGTCAACAATGGTCAAGTGGAGCACCAGTAACTCAACAATATCAGAATCAATTACATTCTCTTGTAAGTTTTATTAAATAATAAGAGAAAGAGAATACTAATAATTATCTTATTTTTAACTCTAAACTCAGACACCTCTAATCGATATAAGTGATGAATCATACTATATGCTCAATTTAAACGAGGTTTGTGTATTGAAAGAAAAGCACAGGGTGTTGGGAACTTAAATTCTATTGAAAAAAAATTAGAATTAAAATATAATTATGATTTGATTTGATTTGATTTTTCTTTTTCTTTTAGCCTCCAAGATTAGATATTGATGATTCATTTCGTCAACCACCAACGGACTATCATCATTACTATACTGGTTATCACCATCCACATTCCACGGGACCCTATTCGGCGTTTTTGACGCATCCATCAAATTTACATCAATCCTCTACATCTGATACGTCATCACGAAATCCACATCATGATCCGTACTTAACATGTAATAATAGTAGTTTAGAGAATACAAAAATAGATTTTGATTTATTTTTTTGTTCTATTCTAGATGCAAATCCTCCGTCAACATCATCTTCAACTTCATCAACAGATGCAAACACTGTTGTGAATACGGATTTGAAAGTTGACTCCATCGATAAAGTTAAATTAGATATTGAAAATAAACCACCAGCATCGTCAGCACCCCCAACGACAACAACAAGTGGACCGTCTCAATTGACAACAGATAAATTAAATGAATTCAATTTACGACAACAAACATTAACTGACAACTCACAAGAAAATGCATCACCATTAACGATAGCTGCTGGTGGTAGTGCAAACAATGTACATATAGGCCCATCATCATCGTCATCGTCAAAATTACGAAAGTAAACAGCAGAACCAATTTAAAAAAAAACTAGTAGTATTCTAATTTATTTTCTTCTTTCAAGCTCATTGACACTTAGTCCAAATAGTCAAATAAATTTATCATGTATGCGTGGTGGGCCTGGTTCAGAGGGTAGTATTGATCCTGATGAAACACCAGAAGAACGTGAACGTCGAGAAAAAGATCGTCGAGCAGCTAATAATGCTCGAGAAAGGTAAGATGAATTTAAAACCTTTCATAAATTTTAGTCATTTGTCTTTATCTACATTAGATTACGTGTACGAGATATCAATGATGCATTCAAAGAACTCGGTCGAATGTGTTCAATACATATGCGTAACGATAAACCCGTTACAAAATTGGGTATTCTTCAACAAGCTGTTAATCTAATAACAACACTTGAGCAACAAGTTCGAGGTATAAAAGAGAATGAAAAACGCTTTATTACTAATTCACAATTCAATTTTTTCTTTTTTAGAACGTAATTTAAATCCTAAAGCTGCATGTTTACGACGACGTGAAGAAGAGAAAGCAGAAGATTTAAATGGAAATATGACTTTAGGAGGAGCAATGCCACCTACCGTTACTGGTGGCATCATGTCCACGGAATCATCTTCAATTGATGGTTCAAATTTTATGGAACAAATGCATCAATCTATTCCTCCATCATATTGGCAACAATAAAAAAAACAACAAATGAAAACTTCTGCATGTTTTGTTTTATTTGTTCTATTGTACAATTTGTGTGTGTTCGCTATTACTTGCTTATCGGTGCCTTTGTATCTGTTTTTTCTTCTTGTTTGTTTCTCTCTCTCTCTCTCTCTCTTTCTTTCTATCTCATTTAAATATTATATGCATGAATATGAGAAAATAATGACATGACCAAGCAATGTTTGGGTTCTTTTTTAGTATTTGCCTGTATTTTTCTTCATTCGTGTATGATGATGACGATATGTGCAGCAATAAAATGAAAATTAAGATAGGACAAGACAGTATTCTTTTTTTTTTCTTTTTCTTTCGTATTTGGTTGTGCAAATCAATACATCTCATTTTGTGCAATTTCTTCTGAGCCAGCAATACATTATTCGGTTAAATTGTTAAAATTTTTTAAAATGTATTGTTCTTGTTAATGGATTATTTTTATCAATGGGAAGTGGCAAGATGTAGAAAAAAAGCGTAGTTGAAAAGTCTAATGTTTTTTCTTTTCTTTTGTACATTGCGCATGTTTCATAGAAAAATCTTTTTTTTTCATCTCGTCCATTGATCTGTTAACTGTTTTTTTTCTCACTTATTGTATGACTTTTCTTTGTTTTTTTCTCAATTGTTGTACTTGCTTTTGAGTATTTGATCTCTTATCCTTGTTGCTTTACACACAAGAAATGTGCACATGTTTAATAATAAATGACACAGCAAAGAATTTTTAAGTATTTATCAATATTGTCATGAAAATTATTTAATGAAGATGAAATTATTATGTAAATTGACCCATTTTGAACACTCTATTTGCGGTATGAACCTTATCTCGCATAGTTATCTACTATACACATATTTTATTTTAATAGAATATCAGCTTTAGTTTCCTGTCATGAAAATATAATCTTAATTCTAGCAGATAATTAATGTAGATATTTAGCTATTACAAATTGAATGCATTAGAATTCAGGAAATAGTTTTATAGTGTTGAAGAATTGATATTCAAAAGTTCAGAAAACGCCGTTACCTTACTGAAGAAGCAAGGCACAATATTGAAGATTGATAGTGACTACCGACTTAGTCTTAAACGTCTCGAAAATTATCTATTAGATGAGTTAGAATTTTACTCATTGAAGAAGACATGAAATCAGGCAGCGATAAAAAGGATTAATGAAAGAATATTCTTTGACATTGATCAAATCCGAAAATAATAATTTTCTGTTGAATAACTTTGATCTAGATTGTTTGAAATCAGTATTTAGCCTTCTTGTTTTTTACAATACAAAGAAATTTAAGATTAATGAGAAACAAGAACATTTTTAAAATTCAATCATGTAAATTTAGAATTCATAATTATTAACTTTGACTAAGTTTAGTATTCTTACGAGCTTAGCGTGACAGCGATTCGTTGATTTTAATATTATTATGAAGAAATTATTCGATGAGAAGCTGAGAGTCTATCCTGATTAGATTTAAAGAGATCTTTCCTGATGAATCTCTATGTTGAAAATATTATGAATAAACTTCGATTAAATGATATTTCTTACCACTTTATTCTTTTTTTCAGCTGTTTTATTTTTTTTTAAATTTCACCAGAACAAGTGAATGTTACGAATGCTTCCCTAGATCATACTAAACAAAAAAAAATATCTATGCCAGGCCTATCAAAATAGTGTGTTGATTGTATATGTTTTTAGATTTATTTGATATTTGAAAACAGCATATGGAAGCATAGTCAATATTTAATACAACAAACAAAAACTCAACTCGAAACAATAATAAAACAAAAAACATAAATACTGATACTAAAATTGAGAAGATTTTGATTTTATTTTTGTAATTTTTGCCACTGTACAATAGACAACAAAATATCTGACATTTACAAACATATTGCTAACTGTCCGCTCAGAAAGAAAACAAGTAGCTAAAAGCATTTCATTTTTATCCGTACGGATTCGCTTTTTGTCTTGGTTTAATCTTTTCTGATTGTATCCATTGTGCTTCTTCATTCATATAGTCATCAAAATTATTAAAAAAATATAAAATACGATCATTGCGAACAAATTTATATTCCCTAAAGAAAAAAATGAATCAATAAAATTAAAAACAAATCTTCATTGTTTTCATTGTTTTATTATTCATACCATTTTCGACAATAACGAAGTTTATGTAATATTGTAAATTGTTGCCATCGTTTCCAAAAATTAATTATTCGGTCATCTTGCAAATAATCTGAATTACCAATATGAACAAATGTTAAATCAGACAAAATTAAACCACTGGAACAAGAGCAAAAAGAAAAAGTGATTTTCAATAATTAGTTCATCTGCAGACGACTTACATATAAGGAATACATGGTTGACCAACTGACCCGTTCAGTGCTTCACGATAATTTTTAAATGAACCAGTACTATCAATAAGTCCAGTGTGCTCAGAAACAGCCTAGAATTAAAAATGATTTTTAAAATAAGAAAAACAAAAAAGTCGAACTCTTACATCGATGATATGTTTTGACCAATTCAATCGTTTTAACGGTCCACAATCAAGTGCTGAAAGTATAGCTAGATAAGAATTGAAATTATTCAATCGTCGTAAATGCTATTTAAAAACACACAAAAAAGAAATTCTCTTATTTCATGAAAGTAATCAATAAAAACACTACTTTTAAAATTTTGAGAAATTTTTCAAAATAATTTTCACGTTGTCGTTGAGAGTTTCGTTCAAGTATACGAGACCGTACCCTACCCAAAACAATCAAAACAGAAGTAAACTCTATTTGATTTTTAGAAATATCATAGGATATGTTTACCAATAAGATATATTATTAAAATGTTCAGTAAATGCTGCTAAATTTGGTGAATATTCTTCTCCTTTTTCAATCGACATGTATAAAACTTCAGATAATTGAATTTTAAGAAATAATTCTGAATCGACTAATGTCAATTGTTCACTTAAATCGATTGAATGAAAATCAAGTAATGTTGCTCGTTTTGATGAAATAGAATTTTGAATAAGGACAACATCTTGTTGAGATTTTTCACAATTTGATTTTAATTTAGCATACCGTTCAAATGATTTTCGTCTTAATAGTTTACCTAATTGAAGTGTACCTTGGCGAATTAAATTTGTAACAAAATGTGAAAGTTTTTTCATTAGATCATCAGTCAATTCATTGCTAGAAAAGAAAAATACGTAAGCCAATGTGTGTCGCTTCATTGACTCGTGAATATTTAATGATCAATCGCCTATTCACGAGAGACTCGCGTAGTATGATTCATTATTTTTGAGTTCATTGTTCAGGTTTGTAAAGATATTGTTTAGAATATGATAATTTTAGAAAAATAGGATTCAACTTTATAGATTGTTTTTAGTAAGAGCAATGAAAACTCTGTTGAACTGCCTCTATTACTGTGTCGATTCTGCAGGTGCTTCCCTTATCTGTCATGGCATATTGAATTTTTACTCTTTCTTGCCCAATATATTCATGTAGACGAAAAATTAGGGTTTATCTCAAATAACTATACGAACCTGTGCGAATTAAAATCATATTCTCATGAATTGATAAATTAAAAGATTTCTCACGAATCATCAGCAAAGATCCTTATTCCTGCTTACGAGAGCAGACTAATATAGCTTCTAGAAAAACAAATGTAATATTCCATACTCGATTTCGTCGATAATACGAATCAACAGTGAAAATGAACATCGAGCAGCCTTTTTCTTTGTTTCAATTTGAGCAAAGAATGCATAACGTTGTACGAGTTTGTCAACAAGATCACTGGGAGAAATAAATGTACGATATGTTGTTAAAAATGCTTCTTGATAGAGAAAATCTACATTAACAAAAAACAAACATTTTATTGCAATATAAGAATCGATAATAAATAGCCGATCGATCAATTACCTTTTTTATCAGTTGATGTTGCTCTAATAATCAATGCATCAATAGAACCACCACGTAATGGAGGATCTTCATTCTATAAATATTACAAAAAAGAAACGTGAGTCTTGAAAGAAACTAATGGAAAAATTCTTTTTTGTTTTATTTTCGTTACCATATTAAAAACAAGTAAATGAGATATACATTCAAGAAATAAATCATTTGTATTCTGATTTTTTTCATTAGGATCTTGTATACTCAATCGATCTATTGAAATATTATCTTTAGACTAAAGTAAAAAGCAAAATATCATGATGAAGTAATTTTATATTAAGTCAATCATATTATTACAGAGTTTTTATGCAGACTTTTCATCATTTCATCTTTATTTTTCAAGCATTCTTCACTATTAGAAAATATTTGTGTCTGTGGATAATGATCTTGAATTTGTTCAAACAAATCTTCAAAACGACGCTGTGATGTCGAAACAAAACAAGTATCACGAAGAAATGATTGAGCTTCATGTTGGTCATATCGATCGAATAGAGACATGTATGCTCGAGCTGAAAATCAAATAAACAAGAAGTAATTTCCAAAAATTTCAATTATATATGAATTAACATCCAATTGATGCATTCATAATTGGATAATAATAGCAACGTTCATATTTAGTATTCTATTCGAAAATAATCCTGTCTGACTTCTGACGTCAATAATTAGTTTGTTGCTTATGCATTAATGTCAAGTTATTTGGCAGAATTTCTTCTTCCGTTTCCGACTTCGTACTGTTTTTTGTAATTTTTTTATGTTGCCACGTTTCCTGTTGCGTTCTATTCACAAAAACAAAATATTACCTATTTGTCGTTTTGGTGGTAATGGTGGTGGATCATCTGTTGTATTTATTTTTCGAGATTCTTTCTCGTTGGGATATGTATTTTCTTCGTCTATGTAATTCATTCCATGTGAATATTTTGTTTGATGTAAAACATTCATACTATTATGACGACATGCAGATATAGATAAATGATTCGGTTGAGACATATAATCGATTGAAGACGAACGAACTGCTGGTTTCGTGCATAAAGCATCATCAAGTTCACGTGTATAGTTTTCAACAATATGATTAATATCATCAACAATTGATTGAATACATTCATCGTTACTTTGTTCTTGTGATGATAAAAAAAGATAAGAATTAGGACTTGTAGTATTTCGAGATCGATTTGATAGGATCGAAGCTGATGAACTCACTGAACGTTTTTCTCGTTTTAACGGAAGAGTTGGAGCAAGATTATCTGCATGACTAAGACAAAAAGAAAAACAAAATTGATTATTAATTAAAACAAAACAAAGCAAAGAATCATCTTTTATTATTTACTTGTTGACTGATAGGAAACTTTGAAATGAATCAGAACGTGTTTGTAATGATGTCGTAATACAAATCTAATAGAGAAATGAATTTATTTTGATACTTTTTGTTTTAATCGTTTCTGTTTTAGCCTTTTACCTGAACAGCTATCAGAAGATCTTTTGCAATTTTTCTATATGTATCATCATTATTGGTTTTTGAAAGAATGACTTTATCAGACCATTCGATTAGATCAGCTAATAATGAATAAATATCAGTAAGAAGATGTGTTCTGAAATCAAAAGATATTGCAAACAAAAAACAAATAAGAAAATTTATGAAAAAAACTTCATACCGAAATGATTCTGATTGATGTTCAAATATTCCTTTTAAAATATTTTCAATATCAAAAATATTTTCAATTAATGATGTAGTAATATTCGCTAATATTTCAAGTTTATTATGTGCTAAAACTTGATCAAGATAACTTAATGATTTGTAAACGTCCTTTTCACATTTATGTAATCGTTCATAATATGTTTGAGATGTCTATTGGAAAGAAAATAAATAGATTATTGTTTACAGTATCATAACATACCAATAATGAATCATTACTAATAATAGAAGTTCGGTCGATCTTTTGACTTGATCGAGTACTATTATTTCTAAAATAACCATTCGTTGATTCATTTTTAACGTTATGACGATTAACTAAATCATCGATAACACGACGAAATGAATGTCGAGAAACGGGCATTATTTTTATTTGTATCAATGACTAAAGAAACTCAGTTATTGTTTCAATATTAATATCTAAGAACGAGTTACTTATTTAACCTCGAATCAGTTCGAGTGATGCTGACAGCAATGTATCGAATTATAGTCAACGATCATATATGCAGGTCAATGACGTTGAGTTAGTTCTAGCTAGAACAAAAAATAACATTACTTCTCGCCAATACCGATCAATCATCATCATAGTCGTCGTCGGCTTTTCTTTCGTCGTATGTTGAAGTAATGGTACTAGTGCACACGACCGACCGTTGAACGGAATCATTGTCTGGCATCTATCATTATCTAGAGAAGTTGAGAGAAGGAAATAGAATGCAGCAAAAAAAAAAGAAAAAGAAAAAAAAAAGAATAGTGTAACACATTTTCCATCTGTTGTGATGTGCGAGAAGTAATACACAAAACTAGCGGCAGTAGCTGTAGAGTAGTATTGCTATTCAATCTACTAGATGATTAGAAAAATGACGCGATGACAGGCTTTTTTTTCTTTTTATTCGTCTAAGATGTTTTCTTGTCTACCTAATAAGGATAATGACAGATCTGATATTCTTTATGAGGTATTATTGATAGAATAATATTGACGGATAATGAATAGTAGCATGTCAATACATGGTCATCATCAGAAGATTGTATTTTTGTTTTATTGAAACATACAAGAATATGTCGTTGACTTCAAAATTTTAGTCATGAATAATATAGATCTCATTGTTCGTGCACTAGAACATGATTTCATTAGATAATTACAGAGTACTTTGACTAGTACGAAACAGATTATCATCTATAGGATTTAAAATAAATCATTATATGAATATAAATTTACTGCATTCAAGTATGACGAAAACAATTATATGTAACATGATTATTCTATTTATATATTAAATAAATTCATCTCATAGAACAATATATTCAGAGATCCAACTCATGAAAATTAATTGGTTTTCGACAATTGAATTACACTCGCACTTGTATTGCTTTCTTTCCATAATTGTGCCTAGCTGTCATTACGCTGATTTATTTGATATACTACATATGGGAAATGATTGCAACATAAATGCGTCGGCTAAATAATTATTATATTAATACGAGAGTAAAGCAAAAATAGAAGATAATGAGAGTTTTATTTCAAAATCAATTGAAAAGCTAAATAAACATCAATTCAGAAACAAATACGATGATCATTAAATTAAATAGCTTACCGTATTAAAAAAAATCCTTTCATTTTCTTTGACGATAGCTCGCGTATCGTTTGTTAAATTTTTATTTTTTTATTTTTCTCTCAAAATGTCTTCACTCATACAGTGAGTTTAACTACAAACAGACAAAAAAAAATATTCAAACACTCCCTAGACACTCTTCTTTGTGTTTCTTTTTTTTGTATTATAAATTTTTGAAAATACTGCGTTTCACTCATATACATAAATATACAAAAGGCAGAAAGAAACTCATCAAAGTGATATTATTGGACCTGTATATTGAAGTGATTCAGTATAATATTCATCGTCAAATATTCGTTTTAAAATATAATTTCTATCGTTTTCATTTATATTTGTTGCCGACTGTACCGACGATGGTTTAGCAATATAACATGTACAATCATTTTCATTTGAATATGGTGGACTAAGAATATCCAAAAAAGCACAATGATCATTATCTATCGTATATATTTCGTGAATATTTGATTGATTCGGATAGAGTACAGCTGTTTCTGATTGTGAATTGATTGATGTCGATATGTGTCGAGTACCAATAAGTTCATTTTCACTTTTTTCAAATAAAACATTATAAGCATTTAAATGACCTTGACCATCAAGAACTTTGATTAAACCAAACATACGTGGATGATCATGTAATGGCATACGATGATGAGATTTTATAATAAATATTCCCACCGATATAACATTATCTTCATATAATTTCATATAAAAAACTGGAGCATTTGAATTTAAAAATACTTCTTGGTTTCTTTGATCAATTGGATTTGATGGTTGACCATTTTTTATATTATCAAATAATGTAAAATTTAAATCATGCTTTGTTATTCGATTCATTGAACGTCTGAGTGAATCAATGCAATCCTTTGCATCATAGTTATGATCATTCTTTGATAATATTATGGAAAATGTTTGCTTCGCTTGTTTTATTAATGTTAATATACGTGATGAAGATGATTGCATATCTGAAATAATAATCACATGAGAAGTTTAGGATATCTTTACTTTTTTTTTATTAGAAAAGACAAAAATGAACAGGATTAATCAGTATATACAAAGAAAGATCTTCTTTTAAATTTCATATATATTGTTTTTGTTTTTAATGACGATGAGAGCGATATTTGAGTTCAATTTGTTCAAGTAAAAGATCGATGGGTAATGAACATGGTACACTCGAAAGTATGGATTGATGAAATAAATTTAATTTTCTTGCGAAATTTTCATCACTATCATTTATTAAATTTGGAATATTTGAACAAATTATAGCGTAATTAAGGATGGATAAAAGTCGTCGACTTATATCGATAAGACTGATTCTAAAACGAAAGAAAAAGAAAACAAACAAAATAGTTTCAATGAATATTACATAACAAAACAAGAGTTCAATTACCTTTTGAAATATTTATCAGCAATAACATCTGCTAATTGATCACATAATCGATGAACTTGAGTGAGTATATTTGTATGAATACGGTTTGAAAATGTTGTCTAAATGTAGAATTATGCATTATTTATCGACATAATAAATTTTTCATCAATTCGTTTTAGGAAATAATTGGATCTACAGGTTCAACATGCAAATGAAGTGATGAATACTATTGAGATAAGCGAGAAAAAAATGGACGACATTTAATTTTGGTTTTGATTACTGAGACTACAACTGAGGTAATGGAGAAAAAATAGTTTGCATTAGAATTAAAGTGCATAGTTAAATATCTTGTTATTGTAAGAGAATTTCGTTATAAATGAGGATTTAACTGTAAGAAGATCATCTAGATAAGAATTAGTCATTGTCGTTACAACTTAAAAAGTGTGTTAAAGAGTTTTTAAAATATTATAATATTAAATTCTAGAATAATGTTGGCTAGATCGAATCTATTGGAAAAGAAACTACGAAAATTACAAAAACTGGATGCTACATATTTTTAATGATGGCTTTTCAACTATTGAACTACTAACTATCTTCTTTTAAGTATAGATAAAGAAATTGAAGAGTCGCCTTTGTTCTAAGATATATTGGTTTCATTATCAGAGAACAAAACTATTAATTTCTATCTAACGATAATGGAGAAAAAGAATATTCAAACAAATATACATTAATATGAATAGGGGATTTAAAATGACATTAACACGTAGAGTTCAAACTTAACGGATAAAATTGATAGTCTTTTTTGCAGTATCGAAAGTATGAGACTGAATGTGAAAACAGTTAAATAAATGTGATGGTGATAATTTTTATTTGATCAAAATTATCATGCTAATTTTGGAATAAGGATCTGTTTATGCGAAATTTTTTCATCTACTTTTAGTTTCGTAATAGAACTAATTTTACGAATGAATCAATGATTATTTGAATAATTTATGCAAATTAGTGCTATGAATCGAGTTGAAACTTATTGATTTATCTTTACATACTTGTCCATGTCTAATTTTGTCGAAAATAATCAATAGATCAATATACTGTCTTGCAAAACCACCACGTCTATTCCAATGTGCAATATTCGCTCGTTGGTGATCTAATAAATCTAACACTTCTTTTGCAAATTCATGATCCCCTAAAAATGTATTGACTTTTGTATATAATAGGAAAACAAGAAAAAAACACGAACCTTTCATAAGTGTATCATGGAAAACATAATAACAATAAGTATCATGTGCTTTTCTCCATTGTTTTGCATCAATCCAAAGACGAACAGCATTTGTCCATTGCTTATCATATTCAGCTCTTTGTGCTTTTGCTGATAAAATCATATTTATAGGAATATTATATTTATCAACAAGTGTTTGTTCATCTTGTGTTAAATCTATATCTGATGTTACATGACGATGAAGAAATTCATTGACAATTCTTTCTCGACTAGAAGCAATAAAATAGAATATTCTTTTGTTATTCAACATGAATATATTTAGTAACATACTTCGTTGGTTCATTAATATGAAGTAATACAAATATTGATAATTGCCAAAAGCCAAGTTGTTCAAGTTGCCGAGCAAAACTAACATGTACACTTGCATCATTCTCAATTAATAATGGACAACTACCTAATGATTGAAGTGTCATATACAACATCCAACTAAGAGAATTTAACATAGCAGTTATCAATCAAACGCAAAAAAAAACAAGATATATTTTTACCTTAGTCGATAATCAAATGGATTTTGAGTATAAGAACTAACATCAAACACATTATCAATTGGGTATGTATCATCAGTATAAAGTTTTAATAATTTCCAACGTAGATCAAGAGCTTTAGTATTTCCGTGATGAGCTATGGGCTCAAGCCAATAATGCTCTTGATATGCTGATTCAAAATCACGAACAATAGTTGAAACTGAATCCGATGCAGAATTAGCAAACCTAGGATATAAAAAAGAGTTTATTCAAACAATTTTATTGAAACAATTGACTTGACTATTTTTTAAATTAGAGTAACTATTAGTAGGTTGCCGTTGATCGTTCTAAATCGGCAATTCTACTGACCAAGTTTCACAGGAGATAATCATCGTTGCCGAAATAAACTTTATTCTTATTAAAATTTTACCTGAAAGATACTATGTGATTAAAAAAAAAGAACGAACTTAAATTCCTAACCTATTAAACCGCAAAGCAGGATATAGTTGCTCTTGTTACTCATAGGGAAATATGTTTTTTGTCTTCTATTTAGTTTAAAGTACATTTCTTCTCTATTGCTTCAATTAATTATCTATAAATGCAATAAGCAGATCATATAATTCAGACGACACATTCTCATCATGGGCAATCTAATTACGGGCATCTCTAGAACACATAACATGAAACTTTTACTGCTTCATACGCCGCCAGTATGCCTTTTAGATAATGTTACACGAAAAATAATTCACATGAGTCAATATTTCTCAAGAAATGTCAACTGATCATTTTTGATTAATCTTTAATAAATCAACGTCGAAAATTTCTCATCACACTAAATAATATTGTTTCGACGTAACATAAAAGTATTGTATTAATATTAAAAATATTAGTGTTCTTTCCAGAAAAAAAATCTTAATTACCAAAGATGTAGTGCTAATGCCATTTGCCAATAAGTTGTTCGATTTTGATCAACTAAATTATGACCTTTGACAATGAATTCACCAGATAAAATTGCAATTGTTCGTCGAAAATCTTTTGAGTAAATATCAACAATCTAAGAAATAGAAAATTAAATAGACAGATAGTTAATGTGAGAAAAACACGACAGATGTTACTAATATCTTACATCTTCATGTGCACAATGACGAAGAATATCGCGAACAGTATTACTACCAGATGCAGCATGAACAAGTGCTGCCAATCGAAGATCACCTTCATCGTGAGCAAATTTTACACAGTCATTTAGTAGACCGCGTGATAAAAATTCACAGTTTTGCATTATCCATTGCTATGGAAAAAAAGTAATTTGATATACGTAGATAAATTGATATTCAATATTTGACTTACTTCTTGTTGTGGTTGACTCAATATGCATTGGTGTAACCAATTCGATAACAAATGACGTCTTTGTTGCTCTTCAAAATAAGTTTGATTAATTAATTGAATATTTGTTGGTGTTTCAATCGGTCCCCATAGTAAACGGCATAATTGAAAAACTTGTAATGAATAATGAGTGAGTGTTTGAAATGAATTATTATCATCCATGTTTTCTATTCAATAGAAGAAAAAAAACTCAGTCAATAATATTCAAAATTTTATTGGCAAGAAAAGTAGGAAATTCTTTTCTATGTAGCCTATCGAGTGTAAACATTTCAAGTAGAAGATAAGAGTTGGAAAAAACCCTAATTACGTGTAACATTTTTTATTTTAGTTTTGTTCAATTTAAATTACTAAAGAGTATTTTCGTTAGAGATTTGTAGGATACAAATACAAAAACTTCTCTTAGTTACAAGATGGAGTATGGAGAAAGTTAACCCGACATTGTCATCGTCTAGTGGAAGTTCACAATGATATTCATGTGTGGTACTTGGAACAACGATGCAGTAGACAATCAGAAAATCCTCTCACATGTGCAAAGAAAAAAAGTTGAGACGCGAAAGATAAACATGAGGAAGTTGTATTTATTTTTCCTGCATAGACATGATGTGACTATCGATGCTCTTGAGTGTCTTCATGACAATCGATTTCAATCTTTTGCTTTTCAAGTAAATTCTACGTTCATTTTCTCTATCTGTGTAGACTACAATTCTTGCACTTTGCCCATTCAACAAAATAGCTTCAGAGAATAAAATTTATTGAAAGTCATAAAAATAGAATTTATAGAAAATAATAAGTTTTTCTTGATTATAAAAAAATATATATCGTGTCATTTGTGAAGAACATCGAGCTATTTAAATTTTCTTTTTATTGAGCTTACTTTCATCTAAAATTTTGTTATAAAATTCAATAAATCGTTGCACAACGTTTGGATCTTGACGAACTTGAAAATACGGGATATCTAAGTTTTCCTCAGTTTGTTTTACACATGATAAAAAATAAATTTCGAAGAACTCTAGTAATTCGTCCGTAGCTTGTTCATTAAAATTCATTGGTGTCTGAAGTAAAATACGCGTTTCATTCAAAGCTAGAAAAGACAAAAATTTTGTTTTAAATAAAATAGAATTCCCAAATTTGTCTTTTTATACTATCGATTGATCCATATTGAAGATAATGTGAAAAATTTGTTCGAAAATATTTTCCTCGAATTCGTGCTATTTCTTCTGGTAATTTTGAATAAACACGTTCACGTATGGGCTTTATTGGCGCCTTAAATGTTATTCGAGTTTTATCATCTTCCATCGTAGTTGTTTGTTCACTAATGGGGTCTTAAAAAGCAAAAGGTAATAATTATATCTAAAGCAAATCATTCTTTCTTTTTCATACCATGAATAATTGGAATCTGTCGATTATCAGAAGTAATAATTTTTGTTGAAGTTACCATGTGATCTAAACGAATGGAAAATAATGAATGAATCATAAGATTATTTATTACTACCATTTGTCGGTTGGAAACCATCGAAATCATCTTCATCATCATCACAAAACATTGATTGTACCAACTGTTCAACGGCATTCGGTCTTAAACCAATTAATGATTGATTAGAAAAACGAACATTTTGATGCTGTTGTGTCAATAGTGATGTTGTGTTTTCTTTTTCTTCCATATCCATTGGCTGAGACTTTGGTGATGATAAAGCATATGTATCATTTAATGCAATTGTTTGATCAAGAAAATTAGGATTTAATGTTTTTGGTGCTTGTTGTTGTTGTGGTTGTGGTTGTTTAACAACAACAAAATCATCTTCACTACCATCAAGACCATAACGTGTAAAATGTTTTACTGTAAATGTCCATGAACCATCTTTTATACCATAATCAACAAATTCACCATCAAATTTTTTTGTTATTTCACGTAAATAATCACTATAATTCATAGCTTTGATACGTTCAACATCACTTATTTCTTCTCGTGTTGCTCGATCAGTAGGATAAACACCGTATAATGTTATACGAGCTGGAATGTTTAATTCTTTACCAACAGGCGGTTTATTATTATCATCGGGATAAACAGTTAATTCATGACGCTCGATTTCAACTAAAAGCAAGCAAAAAGAAAAATAACAATAAATATAAAATTCCACGTGAATTATTATATTTTTACTTATTCGATCGAGATCAAGACCAGTAACATTGACTTGATCATAGAATGTTACTGAACCATATTTTTCATGTCCGACAGTAAATTTTTCTACAATACATTGACCTTTATCGTCGAATAAAGATTTCAATTCTGACATTGACGGCTTAATATAATAATGTTCACGTGTTAATGTTGGTAAATGATAAGCATGACTATTGGAATTCGATCTGGTTATATCCGTATGCTCATAATCAAGTGCGAGTTTTGTTCTTTGTATTGAACTAGTTGACGTAGAAGATGATGATGATGATGGTAGTGGTGGTGGTGGTGGTGGTGTTGCTGTTGTTGATGGTAGCGGTGGATAAGATGGCGATTGAACAAGTGTCGTTGATGGATGAGACATTGGAGGGGATGGTTGTTTATGAACAATGAGTGGTGTTGAATGATGAAGAGGTAACATTCCACGATTGCTATCTAAAATAAATACATATATTTTAACATTTTTCAATCGAAATATTTTCATTTTCATTTCAAATAAACTTACGTGTTGGATGTAATGTTTGTTCATTATTAACAGTTGTTGATGAAACATGAACTGAAGCAGTATCGATTGTTGTTGCTGTTGAAGCTGATGATCCTGCTGATGGTATTGTATGAACAGTAGATAGAATATTTGTATTATTGTTCATATTAGCTAATGTTTCAAGTTCAGCAAGACGTCTTAATGGATAGAGTGAACGAATAGATTCAGATTGAAATGATGAATCAATAAAATCATTTGATAAGCGTAATTTCGACATTTTATTTCTTCCCATTAAAACAAGTTCTTCTTCTTCACTGAAATCTGCTGTTAATGGACTTTTAATTTGACCTGCTATTGATGATGTCGTTGGTTGATTAGGTGATTTAATATCATTATTCATTGTATTTGATGATGGTGATGAACAAACAGGTTTTAATTTGAAACGTATATCGACCAATGGACGAGCTGAAGATGATTTACGAGAATTTGATTGTAAAGATAATGTGATTGGTGATGATGTTGATGTTGTTGCTGTTGTAGATGAAGTTGAGGCAACAATAAAATCTGCTGGTGCTTTTAGTTGATCGGCATTATTGAAATCTTTTTTTCCCCGACTAGCAAATGGATCAAGAAGTGATGCAGCAAGAAATCTTTGTTGAATTAATGATACGGGTTGTTGAATATTTTGTTGTGCGCCTTGTGTTTGAGTTATATTTGTTGGTGCACCAAAAGTTGCGTTGGTTGTAGTTAAGTTTGATCCAAACGGTGCAGAAAATCCAAATGGTTGAGTTATACTTGATGTTGCTGGTTGTACTTGAGCAAAACTAAATCCAGCATATGGTTGAGAATTAAACATCGATGAAGCTGTTGTTGCTGGTGTACCAAATAGACTGGGTCCACTACTTGTTGTTGTGGATGAAAACGAAAATGGGCTCGCAGTTTGAGCAGCTGCTTGTGTACCAAAACCACCGAACATAGGAGCTGTAGCCGCTATTGACGTTGCGGGATTACCAAAGATACTTGCTGTTGTTGCTGCTGGTGCATTAGTACCAAAGCCTGTGAATCCTGATGTACTCGTTCCGGCACCAAATACGGGTGCAGCTACGCTGGTTGTTGTACCAAATATGCTTCCTGTATTCTGTTGAGTGCCAAATGGATTTGTCATCGTTGGAGCTGTCGTTGAGGTTGGAACACCAAATATATTGTTGGTAGTCGTCGGGGCTGTAGTACCAAATGGTGTTGATGTTGTTGGTTGAGAAAATAGACTCGTACTTGTTTGTGGTTGAGATCCAAAAGAAAATGGTGTTGAAGTATTGGTTGCTGTTCCGAAACCTAGAAAATATCAAAAGAATTTCTTATTTTAATTCTTTCCCCTAAAAATTTCAATTAACCAAACGTATGTTGAGCTGTAGCTGTTTTAGCCCCAAACGGATTTGTCGTTGCTGTTGTTGAACCGAAAATACTTGTTGTTGGTTGTGTTGTACCAAAGATTGATCCTGTTGTTGGTGCTGTTGATGTTGCAGTACCAAATGGGCTTGCTGTTGTAGCAGTCGGTGCTCCAAATATACTTGTTGTTGGTGCTGTACTTGTACCAAATGTAAATGAAGGTGTTGATGTTGCGGGTGCAGCTGAAAATAAGTGATTACATAAAACAACATAAGTATTAATATGTTTCATCATACCGAATGGACTTGCTGTTGTTGTTGTGCTAGTACCAAACATATTCGATGCTGTCGATGGAGCAGAAAATGTTGCTAGAAAACAATACATTCAAGATTTATTTCAAAAGAAACGTATATTTAAACTACTGCTAGCGCCGTATGGTGCTGGATTAAACGGTGTTGATGATGAAAAAGTTGTCGAACCGAACATAGAATTTGCTGCTGGGAATTTTCGATTTGATTGATAATCTTCCATGCGTAGTTCTTCTATTGATTTATTTATAAATTCTTTCATTGCACATATACACTGAAGTTTAGTATTAATTGTTTGAAATGTATTGTTTTTTGCCCGCATTGTATCTATACAAGAAAGCATAGTGTATTTGTGTCTTTTTTTAAAGTTATCGGTCTACCTTGACCAGCCACAGGCTCAAATTTAACGGTTGTACCCATTTGAGCTGCTCCTGTTACTGACGAACCGAATATACTGTTTGTTTGTGCGGGTTGTGCAGTACCAAATGTTGATGGTGTTGAACCAAATATTGATGTTGGTTGAGCTGCTGGTTGAGTTGAACCAAACAAAGACGTTCCACCAAAGCCTACATAGAAATTGAAATGATGAATTTTATCGTCCATTATTTTGTTTTCTCACCTGTTGCTCCTGTAGCTTGTGTTGTCGAAGCTGGCGTACTACCAAATGTGGTTGTACTACCAAATGGACGAATAGTTGACGAATTTTGTAAACCAGTACCAAATGTAAGGGGCTGTGGTGTGGTTGGTACAGCTGCTGACACACTGCTAGTTGGATTACCAAATGTAAATGTTGAATTTAACGAAGCAGGAGCTATTGTACCAGTACCTGGAGCAGCTGACGCTCCAAACAAAAATCCTGTTGTTGCTGGAGTAGCAGCAGTATTTGTTGATGTTGCACCAAACGCTGTATGAAATAAACAAAAGATATGATGAAATCGATTTACTTTCAAAATACATACGATTTGCGGGTGCTGTACTGCCACCAAATGAAAATTGACTGGTACCTCCGAACATTTTGAAATCGGTGAAGTTTTAATCGAGGATACAAATGGCTGAAATATATTTATCGTCTGGTAATTTCACTTCTCTTTCTAATTCGTGTCCAACAGGATAGTTTGAAAACGAATGAAATCGCTTCATAGATGTCATTTTACATGTTTTTTAAATTTAAATAAAAATTATTCTAAATAAAAGAAATAAATTCGTTTAAGTTTTACATTTAAAATTTTACAACTTAATATTTATTTATCGTCGAACCAATTGGCGTATTGCTGACGATGCAACTAACGAATTATGATAAAGAACATTTGTTAGCTGGCAGTTTATTTGCTTGTACTTCAAAATAAATAGAATTTACGTTAATCAAGGTTAAGAAAATCGTAATGGAAGAACCAACAAAAGCCGATATTGACGCTATTTTCAAACGGTTGAAAACGCTACCTGCAAATAAGGTTTGTCAATAATATTTTTATTGCTATTTGTATTTTGATTTCCATTGGATAGGCATGTTTTGATTGTGATGCTAAAAATCCAACATGGGCATCAGTAACTTATGGCGTATTCTTGTGTATTGATTGTTCAGCAAGACATCGTGGTCTTGGTGTTCATTTATCATTTATACGTTCGACTAATCTTGATACAACTTGGGGATGGCTTCAACTTCGGTATAGTTTATTGAAGTTTCTATTATTAAGTATAAGTTTTCGTTTTTGCTGTCATCTAGAGCCATGCAAGTTGGTGGCAATGCAAATGCAGTAAGAACTTCTTTTTTTATAATCATAAAAAATTATTTTTGTTAACAATTAGGATGCATTCTTTCAACAACATGCCTGTAATACTAAAGATACACAACAAAAATATAATAGCCGTGCTGCACAACTCTACCGAGAAAAACTTCATCAACTAGCAACAAAAGCAATGAAACAATATGGAACAAAGGTAATCACATAAATTCATTGGAATTTTACTATTATTTCAAGAACAAATTGTTCTTCTTTGATATTTTTGCTTTGAATACGTGCATAGTGTAGGTATTTCTATTGTTGATAGATTAAAAATATGATACACTACATATCTGAAGTATTTGTTATCATGAAGACTAGCGATGTAAAAGAAACCTTTTCTTTTTAAATTCTGAGCTTTTGTAATTTTATTCAAATCAATTTCAAATTCATACGGATTATTTTCTGTTTGTCAAGCGATTAAGTAGGAAGGCTAGATTAAGATTACTTGTTATTGTGCTTACAGAGTAAATGATAATAATTTCACGTATTTTATTACCTGTAGAAATATAACAGTCCTAGTGATATTAGGTAATGAACTTGATTGATACAGTTATACATAGAAGTTTAATTTTTCTGAAACTAATAATGAAATGCAAATCTTCAATAGCCTTTTTTACTATAGATATTTTCTGAGACTATTACGTTGAATTGAAAAATGAAGTTTCACAAACGAAATAGCAATGCTATTGATTGATAATCATAGAATCATAAATATTTAATGATGCTTATTTTATTCTATTTAGCTTTTTCTTGATGAAGGCCATAAAACTGAACATAGTCATTCAGTTAGTGAGAAAAAAGAAGGAGATTTCTTTCATGAACATTCTCAAGCGTCAAGTAAAGCCATGTGGGATGATAATGTTATGTCGTCACAATCAAACAATCAGAATTCTGATAAAAGTAATTCTTATTAAATTGTTGAATCTCATTATTTCTATTGTCTGTTATTCTTAGCTGAGCAACAAACAGAAGGACCCTCCGTTGATCAAAATGCATTAAATAATGATGGTTCAACAAAAACACTTGATCCGAAAAAATCGACGATTGGTCAACGTCGAGCACCGCAATCGAAAAAGGTTCATATTCACTATTGATTTCTTTTTTATTATGCAAATGGACCATCTTGAAATATTTAGAAAGGTTTTGGCGCACAAAAGGTAACAACAGATTTTAAAGAAGTTGAACGTAACGTTCAAGAACTAGAAAAAATACGTGAACAACAAGTACATCTTGAAACAAAAACTCGTGAAGAAACCGAGAAGCAACTCGAAAAACAGATGTATGTACAATTGGAAGGTTCTGTTGAGAAACAAAAATGAATAGTTCATCTTTCTTTATTGTAGGGCTGGTCTTAAATTTGTTTATCAAGATTTAAGTACCCAACGTGATGTAGCAGAAGAAAAAATGAAACTATCCAATCCTCAAAAAGCCGAACAAATGGAACGTCTTGGCATGGGCTTTGGTAATCGAAGGTGAAAGAATCATTTTTCTTCTGTTTAATTATGTAATAAAAATTTGCTTTTGTTCTAGTGGTGTTAGCCATAGCGCAATGACAGATATGCAGACAATTCAACAAGAAGGTGTAACAACAACACGAAATGTTTCGCTTGCAACGAAGCCTAAAGATTTTTTTGATGATTTCAATCCATCGGGCTTTAGTAGTCGATCAAAGTATGAAATTCTATTTTGTTTGTCATTAGATAAACATTTTTGTTTCTATTGTTCTTCTCTAATTATCATAGGTTACCCATAGGAGATTATGATCCATATGACGAGGACTCTAGAAAGTACTAAGATTTTGCTATCTTAAAATTGCATGTGTTTTGTCTAACATTCTATTTATCGATGCACTAGCAATTTTCGAGAGATACTGTTTTGATGCGAAGCATTGTTTGTAGACAAAAGTTGAGATTCATTTTCAATTTTATCCAAATCTTCGGCAATTTCAAGTCGCATAGCTGTATATCTACTGAATTCAAACGCTTATTTACTATTCACTATGTAGAAAAGAGTAACAGCAGCTAACATGAAAATTCTTCCAATTAATAAAAGGCTATTATACTATCAACTCTTTCTCTCTGTCTATATTTCTCTATCTATCTATCTATCTATATATATATAGATTCAATAGATTCAACAGTGCTATAAATATTCAGAAAGAATCAATACTTTTTACTTATTACTGTTGAGATTCTGCAGTTTTATAGCACGTGTTTTAGATAAATGATGTGGTATCTGTACAAACTACTAGTGGAACCTATTTTAAAAATTTAATTAGGAACTTAGAACAGAGACAGATCATTATGAGAATGATTTCTTGTTGAAGTTTCCGATTTAATAATAAGATTTTATATTGCAATTAGAATATTATTTCTGTCAGTGATTGATCATAAATGATACCAAAAGGTACGCTAATGGGGAATCTTAAGTAAAGGTAGAGCAAGTCAATGATATGAAACATTCACAATAAACTACTCTTGTTAATTATTATCTCTATGAAAAATTTTCTAGTCACAGTTAGAAAATCAGTTCTTGGGATGTTCATGAATGGTATCACCGTATCACTCATCAATAGCTGCTATAATAAAACGTGTAGGACTTGAGCAAGAGTAAGCTAATGATATGAAAGAGTTTCCTTCACAAGTAAATCAAGACAAAGCATACAATTAAATATTTCCTATTGGTCATGCATTCGAAGAGCTATAATGTTTTCTTTACAATATATCAGAAACTTGAAAATCTATCAATAACAAGCATAACAGTAGTTTTTGATTGAGTTCGTTTTAGCGATTTATGTTTTAGTAATCAAAACCGCTGTACTAATATTGATGAGAAATTCTGATAATTATAGATTCTAATTTTGTAATGATCACTTTTATTTTAATTTAGATTGGACGATGATCTATTCAAACCGAAAACTGCATCGAAAAATACAGATACATTCAGTGCAGATTGGGAAATTATTGATCGTAAAACTCCAACAAAAGATTTTGGTTCCAAGGAAACTAATAATAACACGTTTTCTTCAAATTACGGCAGCTCTAATTCTAATAGTGGTGGTTACAAGTAAACAAACGCTATTAATCCAAAAAAGAAAACAATATTTTTATTTTATTTTTTATTAGTTCATCGTCAAAAAAAACGACATCTTACGCTAGTGCATCGAGTGATGGCGACGCTCAAAACCGTTTTTCTAATGCTAAATCTATATCAAGCGATCAATTTTTTAATAAAGATTCCGACGTATGCGCAAAAGCAAATGCCTCTTTTTTAAATACAAATGAATTCACATGTATTTTATTTCTAGAGTGATCGTAATAATGTAACATCACGTTTTCAAGGTAATACAAGTATTTCAAGTGAGGAGTATTTTGGTGATCCAAACAAAAAGTCACAAGATCATTCAAATTATCATGGCCCAGATATGGCAACTATGAAAGCAGATTTCAAAGAAGGTGTTTCCAAAGCAGCCGGGCGATTATCATCATTAGCTAGTAGTGTTATGTCCAGCATACAGGTATGAACAACACTAATAAACTTCTTTTAACTATATTCAAATATGAAATGTAAATATTTTTTATAGAAAAAATAGAGCTTTAAAAATAGAACTGGGTAAAAGAGCATAACTATATTAAACGATTTATGGTTTGAGTTTATTATTTGGTTATGGATTTCATTATGATACATATTAGGCATGAAAAAAACAAAGATGTCTTAACTTGTTGTTTCTATTTTCTAGGATCGGTATTGATATTGTTTGACGAAGAATACCTGGCATTGTTATTGTCTCCATTTGGTTTTTTTTCTCGTTTTTTATGCCATTCTTTTATTTCTTGGTCGATGTACAGAAAAGCACTTTCTAGCAGCAAGATCTTTTAGTGTCATACTTTTATGATCATAGTGTTTTTTCCTCTGGTTGTTTGTTATTTCTTTTGTGCTTGTTCTTCTGTTAATTTATTTTAAAAATCGTATTTGTCCTACATATTTAAATACATATTAATATAAATATACAAAAAAAAACGAAAAAACTAGGATTTCATTTAAATACTTGATTGCCAACTAAATATATAATACAATGTAAAACTCAATAATCTTCAGGATTTCACTGATTCTTTGGAATAAATTAAATGGTTAATTTTCTTATTTTATACATCATGGCTAAGCAAAGAAAAATTTCAAAGGCATCCATTCAATAAAATGAATATTTATTATTATTTTTGGACGAAATAAAACGCTTAGATGAACATTGATGTAGAATACAAATTAGTATCAAGTTATACGATTTGTTGGCATTTTTTCCTGCAAATTAAAAATGACTTCATATACTTTCGTAGGTAATTTTTTGATGACGACAAACTAGGAAAATGACGTGTATCACTTCAATTTTTCGAACATTTGCCAATGATCATTGCTATTCGTTAAATATTACGTTTTTTCTTCCAATAAAGAAATAGTACGTAATGAGTTAAACAACTTCATTGCAAGTAAACAGTCATAAAAGTTGCACAGAGAATTAATATTATATTAGAGTAACCGATTTTGGAGGAAAAAACACCTTCCAAAATAACCAACCCGTGAGAAATTATAATTAAAAATTCCATCCTTTTGAGTTATTTAAAGCGTGTCACACCCTCAAGCAAAATAGAAGGTAGATAATATTGAATTACTCTGAAGGAATACATTGAAATTTCTTATGCTTCTGATTGAAAAATGATCTTTAATAAAAAAATAATAAGGTAAAATAAAACAAAAAAAAATGATCTTTGCTTTTTCTAGGATTCTCTTAGGTGACTTGATTCATTTATTTTATTTTTTTTGTATAGGCAGTACTCGTTTGTAAGAATAAAATATTTCTCATGAATCAACATTTACTCGTTTTAACACCAAAAAAACAACAAACACTCGACTTCAGCATTCATCACAATTGCGAGAGTGTATAGGAGGAAAAAGTGTGTATGACATCACTATAACGAGTCTTCACTATAATATTTGCTTATAGCTTATCAATAGACATAAAAAATATTTTTATTTGTCGAATGCGCCTACTGCGTATTGCTCATACAAAACAACTATGAAGTATACAATTAGACGAACATTTTCATTAACAAACAAAAAGTTTAAAATTATTCGTGATTCAAAGTCACTTTGTACAGTCAAAACTGCTTTTTCCAAAGAGTACACAAATCGATACGAGTATATAAATATATTTATATTGTTGTTTTCTTTTCTTCCTAGCATCTAATCTTGTTGTATATACGTAGATTTAATTTTTTCAATCGATTTAATAAGCAGATTACTTGCATTATTGAACCAGATCCAAGGCAACCACAAAGCTATTCAATTCTTTTACGTAATAGCCAAACAAACGAAACAAGTATCTTTGCTCGATTATCCTATAAACTGACTGGCTATAGTGATTATCTCTATACGATTATTATTGGCCAAAAGTTGTATCAGGTACGAAGTTGTGATTTAAAATATCGTCGTTTGACTATTATGGATGAAACTCAAGTAAACGAATCGTCTGCTGTTTGCTGTCCACAAATCTTATTGCAAGTTCTTGATTCATTTTCAAAATCTAATGACAAATATCATTTAATAATCAACGATACAAAATACGAATATGGTTATATTGGTATTGTCATTTTACTTTATTTACATGAATATCAACGAAATATTTCTTGAGGCAAAAGCGAATCACGAAAAACAGTTATTTTCTTTACTTCTAGTTGTTATTATGATAATAATAATAAAAGAAAATATCACACTTTTTTTAATAACAAAAATGTTCTATGAAATACTTGGGACGATATAAAGAAGAATAGATGAAATGTTTAAAATAAGAATTATTTGACATTCTATCTATTTCTTCTGATATTCTAATTTGATGATTAATCTAATAATTGCATTCATTCGTACTCAATCCTACAATTGCATTGAACTCTCCAAAAGAAAGATCTTTCTTTTCTATTGGTACTATTTAAATTCATCGTGCATGGTGAAAATACATAGATCCTATTTTTTTAAAATTGTATTCGAAGATATTCCATATTCTGGTGAATAACTAATTTAACATATATACAGTTTTCATAGTTGAGTGAAATAAACAGTTGGAAAGATTTTCCAATGCTTGTGAAAAACAAAAAATATTCGTTTACTTCAGCAGACAAATGACACAGACATAGTAAAAATTCCATTTCTATTATTCAGTTGTTAATAATATATCCAATTTATCATTGTCTATTCTATGTCATGAGATTCATGTCATATTGTGAGGATTGTTCTTATTCGCTCATGCTAGTCTCACTGATATCTCACCGATATACTAAGTTAATTATTTTTCATTAACTAAATACGTCTACAAATTTCTCTAGTAAATAGAAAATCCAAACATATAAAACTGTGCAAAAAAAAATCTTCTGTTTACAAAAGAACTATGCTATAAATCAGCTCTAAGCCCATCAGCGCTATCCAATGACATTCAAAAAAACTTCTAACAAATCAATCAAAGTATTTTAAATATCAAAAATATGACTTCTTATTTAAATCAAACAATTCACAAAACATTTTACTACATGTCATCCGGGTCATAAACTTTGCTCTGACTGTTAGCTCTGCTATAGAATTCATCGAGCTTCATCAAATCATATGACACAATATCGCTAAAAACATTGATTCATTGAAAAAGTATTTCTAATAGAAATTTCTAATTTTATACGCATAAAAATAAATCAACCGAATATGTCATTAGATTGCAGAAAATTATTCTAACACGAAATTTTTATTCGCATAAAATAATGCACATCTAATAGTGCACATAAGTTAGTTTAAAGCATGTAGCTTTTGTGAAAGACAATGATATCTGACATAGAAAATCTGTGCCGAAAGTATACTCAAATTATCATAAATTTGATTAGACTTAATTATATTGATAAATTTGAATCTATTTCGATAAATGAGCTAGTTTCAAGTAGATGTTGTACCGAACTCAAAATCAGGGTTAGTGTGCAATACGAACGATTTCATAGTTGACGTCAATAATTTTTTCAACAGTATCAAATTGATCAAAATTTTCAAGATCTATCCTGAAAATTCGCAAAAAGTCTAGTCAATTTCTAATTTAGACATAAGATTGTTCTTTTTTTTTATATCTATATCAATATTCAAACAATCTCTCTACCGATTTCTATTAATAAAACGAAGGAATATTCGAAAAAGATCAAGAGATATTTTATTTTATTTCAAAATTTAATTAGGTATGGTCTGGAAATAGTTACTTCTATTCAATTAAAAATATATCATAATGAAAATTTATCAGTGCCGATTGCAATAATTTTTAGTAGGATAAAAATATTTTTCTCAGATTAATTATTAAAGAAAATAAAAAAATCTTGTTTTTATTTACATATCATTACCAGCTGGAATCCAGAAAAAAAGAAAAAGTTTAATTGTGTTGATAGATCGCGAAATTATACATCATGATTGAAAAATGTCATAGATGCTGTCATTTTACACAATCAACCGTGATAAATAATTTGACGAGATCAGTGAGAATTATTCTGTCTACCATTCGGTTATAACAAACATTATTTGCTAAATAATAAGATATACAGTGGACATAGTCAACGAACAGGAAGAACTAATGGCATCGCAGAAGCAAGCTATAAGTTAATTAATTATTGGATGAATATAATAAGTACTACTTTTTTGGTAAAAAAATAAAAACATACATATCATTTCCAAGATTATTATTAGAATCGATGAAGATACACCGCAAATACCATTGTCAAAGTACTTACATGGCTGCTTATTAACTACAATATAGTATATGTGAGATTATATTTTAAATGTAAAACTTAGCTATTCCATTATTCACAATATAACATGCACGCAGAAATATATCGAGCGTAGAATCAATTAATATATTTCGAATAAAAAAACTATTGGATAATTGACAACAACAACTTTTAGAAATATTTTATTGCTGATATATTGAAAACAGTCATTAAAATGCATCCAAAACATTGTCAATATTTATTCTATCAAGGTTTGAGTATTTTTCAACCAAGGCTATATTTTTATAAATTGCAAGATCGATTATATGCACAACAGATAAAACTAACAGATAGATATGATTATGAAAGACAATACTATCAGCAGCAGTCTAACTATTTTCGATTCATCAAAATAATCAATCGTTCATGTTTTTATTGAATCGTTTATGAATTTTATTTAAAAGAATTAAATTTAAACTCTTTAGTAGACACATTCTTATATAGGAGGACTGTCAACAGACTTGTAACAAAGATCAACCAAAGCAAAAAATTAAAAAAATTATCTAGCTTGTGATTTGACCTGTATATTTTTACGATAAAATAGTAGAATATTTTTAGTAGGTTTGTGACTGGAATTGCACAATATACGTTAAACCATAAGATCAAATTAGTTCATGAAACAATAATATTCTTGAGAAAAGTATAATCTATTTCTTGCCAAATACATATTATTTAGATTAGCAAAGACATGAATAAATTAACCAAGCGAATGAATACAAACGGATCTACAGCAGATATTAGATAGAAGAAATACGGATTCAACGTTTTATGCCAAAAACATTTTATGAAAAAAAAACGAGTAAAGTTTCATTTGATGTTTCACGTAGTGGCGTATCTAGGGGTGGGCTAGGGTGGGTGCCGCCCTCTCACCGAGGAACTTTGCCCATCCATCGATAAAAAAGATGTTTTATAAAAAACTTTGAAAGTTTTTCGATTTCCTTGCATATTAAGATTGCTCGAAATTCTATCAGCTAGTGGCACCAATAGGATACACTCTTAATATCATCCACTACAACAGAAAGAACATTCAACAAAATGAAACTCATCAAAACGAATGCACGTAATAGTACAGGATAATTTACTTATTCTTACTAGTTATCTTCAGTTTGCTGTATTTCAACGAAACATCAGTAGTGTTTAATTTCTATATGATTTGGCAGAGCACTGACTATTACTCTACCTCCCTGTAGTTCTCATTTGATTTTTTCGCATCTTGATAAGAATGCCAAAACATGTCTATAACTGGTTAAATACAATTTTTGCGGTCGCACATTTCACTCAGATAAAATCCAATTGCTACACAAATAATTTTAGATGAAAGAGATTTGTCCAACTTAAGGTTGCACAAAGTATTAAATGAAACTGTTTTAAATTGAAGGAGGAAGCTAAACTTTACTGCTGAAGTTTTAGATACTATTCGCATGATCTCAAATTTACCTATAAAGCCCTATAACTAAATTAAATTAAAATTAGACAAATCAATGCCGTAAAGGTTGCTCTGTTCAGCTATATATTAGTGGAAAAAATTTCTATGATTATGTGACTATAATTTACTCGACAAGGATTAATAATTGAAGTTTTATCAAAAAGAATGGCTAGAAATTAACTCAATTTTCAGTCAAACTGAGAAATAAATTGAATGAAAAATAGATATTTTTTATAGGAAATGGATTCTCTATCAAACTATATCAAGTTAGAAGTGTTCAATTGTCCAATACTTAATAATCACTCGCATTGTTTGAGGAAAACATCTAGAAATTGCATAGAAACAAAACTCGTTCTTGTGTGCTTCTCGAAGTTGACTCTCTTTCTTATTAAGACACGAAATAAATGAAATAAAAACTATAAAGTTAGATAGCGTAATCAATGCTTTGGCAAAACACATAGAAATTAAAAACTACTAACGTTCCGTAGAAATACAGCGACCTCACGAAAACTGGTAACAATAAGCGCATCGTCCTGTATGTCAGATACTAGTTTGAGTAATTTTTCTTTGTTGATTATTGAAAGAGTTATAATTGTTGATTATGAATACATAAATGATGCATTCGCAACTCAACACTCCAGAACACTCGAATACTTTTGAAATAATTATGGTTTGTTCACTCGCATTTTTGTCTTTTCTTGCTCGCCCACATAATTTACTGAATAAAAGAATATACATATTGTTTTACGTCGTTCTTTAGGAATCAGAAAATTAGGAAACTGGATAGAATTTTCAGGAAAAAAATTAACTATTGTGGAAGCAGTTTTTAAAGACACTGGGACCACGTCCTCCCAGCCACAATTTCCTGGATACGCGACTAGTTTCACGATCGAAACTCGTATTTTGGCGCATAAGAACTATACTCACAAGATTTTGCTGTTTGAAAAAACGGAACAACTTATTACAAGAAAAAGCATCTAAAAATAATGTTTACTTTTTGATATGATTATCTTCCGTAATAGCTTTGACTAATATGAGTAACGTAATCCGCCGTGGTAGGTTAGACAAAATGTGTCATAGCATAGCTGAAGATAAAAACCGACGTCATTACATCTTCTTATCAAGACAGTAGAAAATATAAAAGGTACGCATCCTACAAATACCTACATAGTCATGAAGCTCTTCATTAGTTTTCTCATTATTACCCTCTTCGTTATCGATGGTATACAAAATGCACCTGTTATCCATCCGATACATGTTCAAATAATACCATTACATCCGGTAACTGTCCCACCTACGTCTGATCAAGTGACAACACGAAAACCTTTTATATATTCTGTCATCATTCATCAACCGTCGAAACCTTCGTGGTGGTATTTAAATAATTCTACTGGGTATACTCATGGAATTTCGACGGTAACATCATCTGGTAGTCATTATCATGCATCATGGTGGTATAATTCTACAGGAAAAACTGTTCTTCGTGTATTTCTTTATGCAATTTTGATGGCTTGCGTATACAAAGTTCTTTCTAAGATTTGTAAATCAGAGAAACAAAAAACAACATACAAGAAAAGTAATCTTCTTGTCGTAAAGAACAAAATGTGTGTTTCCACAATTAATAGTAAACAGGAAGAATTACCACCATCATATGCAACAATTCATAATGTTTGAATATTTCAAGTAGAAAAAAAGCAAAAAATTGATTATTTTCCCATATCTTGTGATTCATTAATCTTTTTTCAAGGTAATAAAATGATTGAATATCACTATAGACTCAAAATTCTTTTTTTACGATACAAAGAGCTAACAAAAGACAATACTCCGGAAATAGATAACGAAATTATATAATTCATGAATCTTGAAATAGTTTTAGAATTTATTCATTGGATTTGTATTATTACTTGTCACAAGAGAGATACATGAGCGATTTTAAATGAATAACACCGTGTTAAATTCATTGCATTCGTGGGCAGCTGCTTTCTTAATTTTATGAATAAAAGCCAAATCATATGTCATTTCGTACGTTACGGAAGAAGACCAACGAACGATTGGCAAGTACACTTTACTGGAAAATGTACTTCGTCTTCTTCACGTCTTTGAATTGATATAGATTCAGACATATTTTCAAATATTTGGGAAAAATTCGCTTACTTTGAAAAATCATCCAAAAACGTGTGTTCCATACGGGATTAGATATTCAGTTAGTTGACATCAGATAAATTCAGAACGACAGAGTTAGTACAGTATCAGCACAGAAATATTAACACGAGAAAATTAAGTAAAAGGAATAATTAACAACTTGAGTTTTAAACATCGAAATTTTCAACGCAAGAGTATTCAGTATCAAGAAAAATCAGTGTATCGACGGAATTTACTGGCTCTGCAGCAATAATACACTCAGATCTAATTAAAGAGTAAAAAACAGAACTACAATCAAATGTTATACCTATTTGAATCAACGTGAAAGTGTACGATATGGTAGTAAATTTCAGGAATATGTGTGAGTATCTATGATTGGAGTATGGGACACTGTTGTTAATATCGAGATTTCTTTGAACATGGATTCACTGCTACATCCAACATCAATATCTAAACTCACATCCTCATTCGTATTCGCACATTACACACCCACACCCCCAACCAAAGATATCATTTTAGATCTTCGCTACATCAATAACTCACACTCATAATCCTCACTTAACATAAATTCTTGCTTCATGATTCTATCAGATACATTCGAATTTACAATGAGTAGTATTAAAACTTGTCCAACTGATTACAATCGTTCTAGAGTAGAAACATAAAATAAATTCTCAATTTTGTTTACAACGTCTAGTTACTATGGTAAACTATTGAATGCAGACGACTCAAACATTCTAATAGTGGCAAGATATGTTTGTTTGAAATGAATGTCGAGTGTGGCATCACTATCTGCGCTAATGCATTGTACAATAAAAATATCAACCATTTTTATTTATGTTAATCGTTGTTTTGGACAAAAAGACTATGTTTTTAACAATCGCCTAACAAGCCATATTAAAAGCAATTTAAAATTTCGAAAGTTGCATGGAATATAATTGTGTCTGTTTCTACAATAATCTGTTGTACTAATTGATAAGATAAAATTCGACATCATCATATCAACGTTAGTCTATTCCCAATTTACAGAAAGCAAAGAGAAATCGAATTCATCGTTAGATCTTGTAAAACAATTAACAGAAATAATCTATTTTTTTTTATGAAATTTGTGCTTCTTGAAGGCAATCGAATTTATTAGTCAAGGTCGAAAAATAGCAAGACAAAAAAATAATTTTACAGAAAAACAACAAAAAGCAGGACTTAGAATAATTGTTCGCTCTACAGTATCTGTTACATACAATAGAAAGATGCAATCCACGAATAATATCTTTTAAACTTCACCTTCTTGTTGAAATGCAGTTGTAGCCATTGCTTTCAGCGGCATTTTTCGAGTTACAATCGGTGGCAGCACAGTTGATAGTTTTATTGAGGGTCGAAATGATGCTATTTTATTTGACTCAATATTTTCTGTACGACTATTGAGTAATTGACGTTGTCGTTTACTGTACGATTGTTCATCATTCGATTCAATGCTTTTCGATGAAAGAGGTCGTAATTGTTGCGGTGGTGTAGGTGGTCGTCGTTTAATCAATAATGCTTTGGTTAGATCTGGATCAGGACTAGCTCGACTACCGAGTGATGATGAACGATTCGATAAATGTTTAGTTGATAGTGCATGTAGTTTGTGTTGTGTTTCGCTAGTACTTGAAAATTTTGGTGGTTTATTTGGCAAAATAGCTTGCGCCAGACGAGCACGAGTTTGTGCTTGTTGTTGTTGAAGTTGTTTTTCGCGATACAATTGATTAGTAAGCTGTGCAATTAATGTTGAACGTTGGTCAAGTTCAATTTTTAATTGTCGTTGTTTGTCAATCTCTAAACGTAATTCTTGCGTATGTTTTCGTTCATTTACAATCAGGAGATTTTCATAATCATTAATAGATTTTTCTTTTTCTTCCAAAATTCTGTTTAAATCATTGATTGTCTGTTTACATTGATGAATTTCATTTTCTAACTGCTCAATTGTTAATCGAAATTTACCTTTAATCATTTTTCAATAAAATAAAATACATGTTAAATTCTAATTCATACTTACTGTCATCTGTAGAATTAACTATAGTACCACCACCTATTGCTAATTGAAAAGTAAGATCTAAATACGAAATTGGTTAGATTGAAAGAGTGAAAAGCATTTTGTCATTTAAAATATACCACTGCATTTTTGTTGCCATTTAGAAATTTCTTCATGAAGATTAGACAATGTTGATGCATGTTCACGCTGAATAAATGTAATCGATTTTTCAGCACTTTGCAGTCGTTGAGTCAAAGTATTGATATCAGTCACAGAATATTTGATCTCCGACATTATTCAAATCTAGAAAAAAAATGAAGTGAGTATATATTTTTGAACAAAATTTATTGCAAAGAATAAATTAAGTAACAGACATTATTATGTATTCGAATGTCTGCTAAAACATCTATCCACAAAATCAATCAATCAGAGTCGTTTTTTTATCGTGTTCAACACTAATAATAACATTTTTTTTAAATTAAACATTGTAAAACACACTACGAAAAAGAACTAGGAAAGAAAACTGAAATATAGACAGACACCAAGCAACACAAATAAACCGTTTTGATGGTTAATGATGGATGCTAAGAAAAAGAAGAATATGCATCGGCATTTTCAAAAGAATGCAGAAAGCGCAACAGATTGCATTCCCATCCATTCAGTATAATGTGAGAGAAAAATTTGCTTTATTTTCCTCTATGAAAAAGATGAGAAAAAGTAACATGACCTATTATCTGACGAACATTGAAGTTGTCATCGATTGAGTGAGAAAGTTCGAGATTATATTTAATCGTCGCGAGCATTCCAATTGCGAACTTTTGCACGAGTACTTCCTCCTCTGCCTCCACCTCGAGAGGTGATTGCTGCTTGTTGTTGATTAGACGATCGATTTGTACGAGCTGTCAGTGCTTTACGTTGGGCATTTACATTGATTGTTGATGATTCTTTTAATTCAATACTGTTAAGAATAATAGTTTAACGGGAAAAAAACGAATTTACTTGCTATCGATGGTCCTTTGCCTGGCGTATTATCAAGCACTTTCCATAAATCGCGAATATTTTCTGATGCTATTGTAGTTATTGTATTGCCACTATTCATTAATGGGTCTGAAAGTATGGATGAATTAGAGTGAGAGAGTACTGTCATGAAATTACTTTCGGCTTTTTCAGGTGCACTTGTTGGTCTTTGCTGCTGCTGCTGCTGTTGTTGTTGTTGTAATTCATTTGCTAATTGATCGGCTCGTTTTCGATTTTCTAACTCCTGAAAACAAATTATAAAAAAAATAAGTTTTTAGAATGAGAAAAATATATTACTTGTTTTGTTAAAGCATACTGTAGTTGTTCAAGTCGTTGAAGTTTATTTTCTAGATTAACATAATCCTTTTTTGGTGAAGTTGGAATATTCGAACGAATATTTGTTGGTATTGCATCAACAATCTGTGGACGTTTTATTGTAGCTGGTTCATCTATATGTTAGTTGTTGATTGTTTTTAAGAAAGCGAAAAAGTTTTTTTGTTTGAACAATTACCTTCATATCGATTTAACTGTGATCGTAAATGATTACTGATTTCTAATAAACGTTCTTTATCATTGATTAATGTTTGAATGCGACTATTTGTTCTTTCTAGTCGACGTTTTAATTGTTCGATTTCTTGTTTTAAAAGAACTTCTGTAACATTGATACCATCATCATTGGAATTGCCATTATTATCATTTAGTTTGGGTCGTAGTTCTGTTAGAATGATGATTGGTTTATTTTAGAAGAGAGAAATCGAAAATATTAAACTTACCAGAATATTTCTTTGTTAAACGTTCAATTTCATCTTGTAGTTGCTGAATAAGAATTTCTTGACCACCATAATTGAACAGAGGAGTGCGACCAGCTAATTCTAATTTTGCTTCACTTAACTAAATTCATAAAGAAAAAGAAACTATTTTAAAGACTAATGAATAACTTAGAGATATCTTTCAAAAAACCTATATGAAGACAAGATTGATGAACAATGCGAAAACTACTTGACTATTAATATATGATACTCATTAATAAATTGTCCTCGAATATATCATTTTTTGGTAACTAATAGTTAATCTTTTTTTCAAAATTATATTCAAACCGATTCCTAGTGTTCCTAAAGCAAAATTTTGAAATACGGCTCAAACTGGTGATCGATCTATCTTACATAGAATTGAGTTTTCCGAACTGAACTTGACTTAAGTATGAAAGTAATGATGATGAAGTGAAATTTATCACGAACTGCCTTATTTTAAAATATTTTAAGGGAAAAATAGAGTACGAGAGAATTGTCATAGACCCTAATGAGTCCATTAATAAAGCAGTTAAAACAATTCAGTTTCAATTATTTTTGTGTGTGTAAAATTTAAAAATAGCTTTGCTTTTCTACATACTAAATATACGTATGTGAATCGTTTAACTGTTGGCTATCTTTCTTCGAGAATCAATCATTCATACTATATTAGCTACTTTTGTAACTTATATCTTATTACAGGAAAAGAAAAACATTCTTCAGCACACCTTTCGTTCTAATTCAGCAACATCAGCACTTCGTTCAATAATTCCTTTTTGATATTCATCAGCTTCACGTCTTGTTTCTAAAAGCAGTGCTTCCACATCGCTCAGTTTTTGTTTCATACTAGTCAATTCAGTTTGATGGCGACGATCATCAGCATTTGATTGATATGTTAATTGATCAATACGTGATTGTCTTTGTCGAAGCTGTAAAAAACGAAAATGAAATTTAAGGTTTTATATCTTACGATAAAATAAAAGTTACTTCGCGTTGAAAATTGTCATGATTTTTTTCTATTTGAATTAAACGACCTTCTAATTTTCGTACTTGAGATACCAGTTGCACTTTTTCCGTACGTAGAGTGGCTAGAAAAATAAGTTGTTATTTTACCAAATTTTAATTTAATATAGAAAATAAAAGTCTCTTTTATTACCAATGGTATTATTTAATGATTGTACATAACTATTTAATTGTGGACTCTTTTTAAGTTCATTATTAACAGCTGTATGATCAACATCAAGCGTTGAATGTCGTGAATCCAGCCGAGAAATTAAATCGCGATTCTGTTGGCGTAATGTTTGATTTTCATTTTTCAATTCAACCATTAAACTTGACTGTCCTGATGTTGTTTGACTAGGCAAATCATTTACAAGAGCTTCCATTTGTTGTCGCATTTGTGCAACAACAGAACGAAGATTTTCATTCTCCCGTTGTAAAACAACTAAAACATCAGCATCACCACCGTTCTGTTACAAAATACAATTCTAACATAAAAACTATAGAATAGAACGAAATATCTTACTGATTTATATTGATTTGTATAAGCTTTAAGTAGATCATCTTTAAAATGAATATCATTTTCTAATTTTTTTACTTGTGCTATAGACTAGTGACAAAAGAAATTTATTTTTAGTTTTGACAAAAAAGAAACAGAAGAAAAATTTCAAAAACCTGTTCATGAGCACTGGATAATTTCTCAATAAGATCTTCTGATTTGTGATATTCTTGTCGTTGATTTTGTTCAAATTTTTTTTGCCAATCAATATCTAGCTGTGCTTTTGCTTCTTCCAGTGCTCGTTCACGATCTAAAGCATCTTCAAGCTCTTTTTTATATCTAAATAAACAATTAATTCGAATGAATAAAATTTTCTTTTTTTCCCATAAATAATATTTCATACCGATTAATATGATTATCTTTAATTTTAAGTTCAGCTTTCAGTGTATCACATTCATCTTGTAAAGCACGTAGTTCAATATTTTCATTGGCATGTTCTTTACTTATTTGTGTTAATTGATGATTCCATTGTTTTTTTATCCGACTGATTTCATCTTGCAATCTAGCGAAAAAAAAGAAAAAATTAATTATTTTATAATATGCTTCATGAATCTTAGAAAAAAAAAGTTTGTTTAACTGAAAAATTATTTATGCTTTGTTTTCTATTGAATCTTAGGTAAAATGTCGTTAACATACGCAGATAGAGAAACATCTTTTTCTCGTATGATATGCTCATGTTCACGTTGTTTTTCATTTTGTTGTTGTCGTAATTGAAAACATTGATCATTTGAACTTTGCAATTTATCGTCAAGTTCTTGATAACTTTGTTTTAATTGTTCGATTTTAATATCTTTTTCACGTATTAATCGATCAAGTTCACTGTATCTAATGAAAAAATAAAATATAATTAACATGCTCTCATATTCTATTTCATAGCTACATTCACAATAAAAAAATTGGCCATAAACGGATAGACAAAGCTTGTGTTTGCATACAGAAACGAAAAAGCAACGACTACTGTTTTGATAAATTTCGATAAGAACACTCTGTCATTTGATAAAAGAAGTTGTAAATAATGGAAGCAAATATTTGATCTTCATATTTAGTGCAGGAAGATCATTGATTTCAGTATCAGATGAAGATTTAATCATTCAATATTTTACCAGGACACTTGAAGCTTTGCTTTACAAGTATTTTTACTGCTAGATGAAATATGACAGTTACTTTTCTAAAATATGTTTTATTCTAGGTCACAAAGGAATAAATTCTTGGTAAAAACACTCACATTTCTTTTTACTAGTTTCCTTTGACAAAAACAAAATTAAAATCTAGTTTAGTTTTCATTCGCTCTCTTTTATTCTATAACGAAATGTCTCGCTTCTATCTTATTCCTAATAAAAGCTATACATAGAAATGTGAAATAGTCTTTTAAATTCGAATAAATATCATTGAAATTTTAAATAAATAAATAAATAATACTTTTTTTTGTAAAAACACAAACACTTGAAATTTTCGATAATATTCACTTACTTTCGGCTATAATCATCTTCTCGTTCTTGAAGTCTTCCATCGACATTACTACATTTGAATTCAAGCTCTTTAATCCTAAACGAAAAAACACGAAAAACAAATTTCAGTTCGAAATCAACTAGAATAAAAAAGTTACCTTGCATTTTTTACAGCATCTTGTTCATGTAATTGCCATTCAAGTTCTTTAACTGACTTTTCCGATACTTTATTTCTTTCTGTTAATTCATTATTGTTTAATTCTAATTTACGAATTGTTTGCATATGTTGTTCCATTTCTTCAGTTAATAATTTACTCTACAATAAGGAGAAAATTAAGAAATAGAAACAAACGAAAGATAATCTATTGTTACTTTAAGTTCACTTCCAAGTTGTAAATTGGTAATCTCATCTTGACGACGTTTCCAATCATATTCAAGCTTTTTTGTTTGCGTTTCAAAGTCATTTGTCAATTCTCGTCGTTGTCTTTCTAATTCATTTTCGAGTTCTGTCAGACGACGATTGATAGCTCGACGTTCCTGTTCTAATTGTTCACGTTCTGTTTGAAGTATTTGATCGCATTGATGTTTATAATTTGATAAATCTTTTTCTTTTATTGATAAGCGATGTAGAAAATGTTTTTTTTCTTCATCGATTTGTAATTCAATCTGTTTTTTTAATGTATACAATTGATCATTAACAATTTTCAATTCTGATATTTCACTATTTTTTTCGTTTAAAATTTTTTTCATTTCTACATTTAAAAGAATTTGAAATAGAATATAGAAAAAATAAGTGGAACAAAAATTCAATAACCTTTGAAACGATTATCAAATGTCGCCAGTTCTTTATCTCGATCATCGATTAATTTTAAATTGTATTTAAAATCTTCTGATAAACGATTATATTTTTGATTTAATTCAGCTACTTGTTGATCTTTATTTTCAACGGTTGCTTCTAGCGCAACGAGTCTAAAAGAAAGTGCAAATTTATTTTTATATGTTCAAAAAAAATATCAAAAATCATTACCGTTCTTGCATAACAGCTAGCCATTCTGTTTCTTTTTGTAAAGCGAGTTTTTTTAAGGTTTGATCATCCATAATGCTCAATAAAAAAACATCTAGTTGATTATCTTTAATCCGTAGTCTTATTTTACGACTTTTATTTTCCTATTCATACTGCCATTTCAATATGTCGTTACTAAGCAACTGTGGAGGAACCACAAAGTGCATTACCGTTAGGAAGGTTTAAAAAAAATTTTTTTAATCGATAGAAATATTATTCAATGTATTTTACTTTGAAAAAGTAAACTTATTAATTTTTTCCTGTAATTTTTATGTAATTAATTATGTTGCTTAGTTACAACACACTTCAAAATGAAATGATGGTATCGAATTAATTTGTGTTTCCTGAAATTGCTTGACAAAGTCAATAGAAAACGACAAGAAGAAAAAGAAACCATGCCATCGACAACGACAGGTAATATTTTATCAATATTGATGGCGTATGTTTTCTCATAGATAAATATATAAATATATATCGTTCTAATTAGATTATACAGCAAATGATAAGAATCATCAAAAGTTATTATTATCATCTCGTGATTGGGAGACACTAGCTACAGAGTATGATTTTTAACATTTTTTTTTAATGATAAAATATTCGTTTCTCTATTTTGTTTTGTTTTTCTAGTCGCGGTAGTCTACGTAAAGAAAATACGACGTTATCGAAAATCGGTGGGTCTGAGCGAGGACTTAGTACGCGTGGAGGTGGACAAACAGATCGTAGTCGACGAACAGCACATGGAAATTATGAATCGGATGCATCAAGTGAAGAAGATGAAGAAGAAGATCAACTAATCGAACGAGCAAGACAAGATCAAACTGATTTACCAACAGAATATTGGCAAATTCAACGTTTAGTCAAATATCTTAAAGGTGGAAATCCAACGGCCACTGTAATTGCATTATCATCAATTCGTGATTTTAATTTATCGATTGAAACATGTCAAGTAGCTATTCGTGATGTTGGTGGTCTTGATGTACTCGTGAATCTACTTGAAACAGAGGACTTCGATTGCAAAGTATCTATTTTACATATCGTTAACTTTTATTTATCTGGATCCATAAATATTGTGTTTTAGATCGGTTCATTACATATTCTGAAAGAAATTTCACAGAACCCATATATACGTCGAAATATTGCTGATCTTGGTGGTTTACAAACAATGGTAAAACTACTTGATGAACCTGATAAAGATTTAAAATGTCTTGCTGCTGAAACTATTGGTAATTTTGTTTTTTATTCAATGAAATAAATTATCCATTTTAAATCTTATTCGGTAATTTTAGCTCATGTCGCAAAATTTAGACGAGCAAGAAAAGTTGTTCGACAGAATGGTGGCATAAAACGACTAGTAAGTACTTTTCTGACAAACCATACCATTCGAATGCATGAAATAAATATTCAAAGGTTGGACTTTTGGAAAATGCTTCTATTAGTGGTCACGGCTCGATTAGTCATATTTCGGCTAGTGAAAATGCTAAAAATATTGAAGTTGCTCGCGCCGGTGCATTAGCTCTTTGGAGTTTAAGTCGATCGAACCATATTAAACACAGTATGCAACGTGCTGGTGTTATTCCACTTTTAGCTAAATTACTGAAAAGTTCAAATGAAACTATGCTTATTCCTGTCGGTGGTATAATAGAAGAATGTGCGACAGATGTATGATTTCTATTGCTTCTACTTTTCTTGATTGAATTTAAAATTATTTAAATTAGGCCGTCTATCGAATGGCTATTCGAGGTATGGTTCCTGATCTTGTGAAAAATTTATCAAGTACAAATGATGAATTGAAGAAGCATTGTGCCAGTGCGATTTTTAAGGTTCGAAATCAGATCTTTAGACAAAAGAACAACTATTTTCTGTTTAGTGTGCGGAAGATAAAGAAATTCGTGATCTTGTACAAAAATGTTCTGGTCTTCGTCCTTTACATGATTTATTACAGAAATCAGGTAATAAACCTCTCTTGGCAGCAGCCACTGGTGCTATTTGGAAATGTTCAATTTCTCGCGAAGTAAATTTATTTTTATTTTGAGAATTGTTTTGTTTTTATTTCATTTTTATGTTAGAATATTGCACAATTTCAAGGATTTCGAACAATTGAAACACTTGTTCAATTACTTAATAATCAACCAGAAGAAGTCTTAGTCAATGTCGTTGGTGCATTAGCTGAATGTGCTAAAGAACCAGAAAATCGAATAACAATTCGTAAATCTGGTGGCATTTCGCCATTAGTTAGTTTACTTACAGGAACAAATCAATCTCTATTAGTTAACACTTGTCTTGCTTTACGTCAATGTGCAGAAGAAACTGACAGTATACAGTAGGTTTTCAATGTTCTCATTAATTTTATTTTTCTGACATTTACTTAATAGGACGATTGATCGTTTGGATGGTGTTCGACTCTTATGGTCACTTTTAAAAAATCAAAATCCACGAGTACAAGCAGCAGCCGCTTGGGCTATATCACCATGTGTGAAAAATATTAAAGTTAGTTGAGAAAAATAAAGTTCAAACAATTTTGATTTGTAAACTCTATATATACCTATATATCTATTGTAGGATTCAGGTGAAATGGTACGAAGTTTTGTCGGTGGTCTTGAATTAATTGTAGCATTATTAAAATCAAAAGATGTTGAAGTATTAGCAAGTGTTTGCGCTGCTATTGCTGAAATAGCAAAAGATGAAGAAAATTTAGCCGTCATAACAGATCATGGTGTTGTTAAACTTCTTTCAAATTTAGTAACACGAGTACGATAGAAGATTTTGTTTTGTTTTCTTATTTTCGAACATTCGCCATTTTTCTTTGACGTTCAAAATAGACTGAAGATTTACTTCGTCGTTATTTAGCTGAGGCTATATCTGAATGTTGCAAATGGGGAAATAATCGACAAGCATTTGGTGACCATCAAGCAGTTGCTCCACTTGTTAAATATCTTAAATCATCTGATCCTAATGTACATCGATCAACGGCGAAAGCATTACATCAATTATCAAAAAATCCAATGAATTGTGTTACAATGCATGATTATGGCGTCGTTCGAGTTTGTTTAATAATACACGCATATCTATTGATTTATTTTCATATATTTTCTTGCATTAGTTATTAATGGAAATGGTCGGCTCGAAAGATGATGTACTTCAAGAAAATGCAGCGATTTGTATTTCATATATTCGTCGATTGGCATTGGCAAATGAAAAGTCAAAAAATGGCTGAACTAAATAATTTGTCTTTACTTTTATAGATGAAGAGTTGAGTCGTGATTTTTTTTTACTGCACATTTATTTATGATTTTTTTTTCAGTACAATACAACTGCATCATGTTTCTTTTTCTTTTTTTTTGTAGTTGAATAAATATTTTTAATTTAATCAAATAATTTGAAAATTATCATCATTGCTACTATTCATAAGAATAAATTAAAATCTAATTCAGATGATAAAAGAAAGAATGAGACTTTTTAGATGCAAATATTTTTGTGAATAATACTGTTTTCAAGACGGTGACTTACGTTTCAATTCAAATATTCATATAATAAGCGACATGCTTAATGTGATAGGAACGTTATTGTAATTGGCAAGAGTCGTGCATCTGTAAATATGACATATCAATAAGAAGGACTGTGGTACTTTTCAATGGCATTTCTTTGTTTCGAGACTTTTCATTAATAATGTATCAAAATATATTCTTATAATTGACTTTCATGGGATCTTTTGTTCTGTCTACTTATTATAATATCTTTTTATTGACGTTTGTGTGCACGACACTGTTCATGAATTTACATTAGACATGTCTTCTATTAACGATGTTGAAAAGAAGTTTATAATTTATTTGTGTATGTAAGACTATTGTATCTTTTATTGATTAAGTAATGTCAAGGAATAAAATAAAATATGCATAGATGTTCAGTCACTTCTTCTCATATTCCACTTCACTTTATTTTACTTAAATCGAACACCACGCAAACATTGTAGCATATAACATATACAGAAAAAAGAAAAAAGGAGAAAAATGAAAAAATGTTAGAGAATCGACAACCATAACAACAACAACAACAACATGAATTCTTTTTTCTCTTTTCATTATTGAAACATAGCAAAGTGGTAGGAGGCAACAATCGATTCACACAATCTTTAAAAGAAAATATTCTCCAATACAGCGACAAAGGGAGCAAAGAGAAAGAGAAATAATAGAGTACTCCTGATGCATGCGTATGTTCTACTGATTGATTCAAAAATTTCTGTTTCTTCTTCTCATTTTTTTTTTCTATTTTAGAAATAAAAAGAAAAAGAAAGAGTAAGAGAGAACTTTTCCGTTACTTGATTGTTGTTTCGGGCGTCAAGGTGCCCAGTGTTCTGTTGTCATCATTCGTTGACAACAGACGAAACAAAAGGGAGGCGTTTACATTATGAACATGTATGGACGTAAAAGAGAGCAAGAAACGGTTTCATTCGTATGCTTTTTTAATCACGAATTACATATTGTCATTTTTATTTCAGAACAGTGATTTTTAATTTTTCAATTTTCTTTTAGATTAATTGAAGAAAGATGGTTTTTTCTGAAACGAAGCCACGTGGTCCCATTTCGGCTATGAATTCAACGCCGGGTCCAGTTTATCTGTTGCCAGGTTTAGTAGGTAACAATGCTCATGACCCACGTTCAGTACACACCAAACAACCAGCATATTCATTCGGTCTTAAACATGGTAAATATAAAGATGAAGCATCACCTGGTCCATGTTATTTTCCAAATCCAAAAATATCTCGAACTGGCAAAGATGGAACACCACAATATTCACTTTACGCTCGGCGTGGTGATCTCAAGGGCGATCTCAATCCTGGTAAGAAAATAACAATAACAATAGTGGCATAATTTCTATTGTATACTATTTTGAATAGGACCTGGTGCATATAAACCTGAAGAGGCAGGACCAATGAAAACTGTCTTTCAAGCACCACCTGCTTATACATTTGGTACACGCCACAAATATTTCGGACTTGATAATACACCTGGTATTTTTCTATTTTGTCTGTTTTTATCGATATATTTTCCTCTTCTATTTTAGCACCTAATGCATATGGTTTACCAGGAATGCTCGGTAAAACAGTTCAAAGTGTAAAAAAACAAGCGCCTATATATACTTTAACTGGACGTAGTAAACGTGGTGGTTTCGATGAAGACTTGCAACGAACACCAGGACCAGGTTAACTATTGACTTATTCTAATTGAGAGTTTCATTTATATGTACATTCTTCAGGTGCCTATAATGTTGTGAAACCGGGTACTTATAAACAAGAACCACCACATTATAGTATGATAGCTAGAAATGAAATGCCAGGCGATTCAACTCAAAAACCAGGTCCTGGTAATTATTCACCTGAAAAAGTTTGGCTCCATAAGCAACAAGCACCTGGCTATTCATTTGGTATCCGACATTCGATGTATGAAGCTCCACTTATTGTCGAAGTCAAAGAATAAATTATTTTTTTCGCTCTGATTTTTTCCTGAACTATAGAACAAAAAAAAAGACACGATTTTCAATCTTCATTTGTTGCTTGTACGATCTTTTTTTTTATTTTATTTTATATATCAATGATCTCATTTTATGTCTTACAAATGCACTGATCCTTATACAATTGTCAATTATGTTCTTCTTGTCTAGAAGAGCAAAATCAGTTTACATATATATATATATATAATAGGAGCAATCATAAAAGTGTTTGACCTTGAAAATGTCTTAGTTGTTTTATTTAGCTATACATTGAAACAACTATGTTTTTAGCCTAGGCTATATTATTAATTTTCATGGAGACAACTTTCTAGTTCTTTTTTTTCTCTTAAATGAAGTAATAACTTTGAAAGACTATTCAACGAGTGCTTTTTGTTTTCTAGAATAAATCAATGCTTAACAGACCTTTTCCGTAGAAAATTTTTTTTCCCGTTTTGAAATAAGAACGTTATCACTGTCGAGATAATTCAAAAAACTTTTATATTTTATTCTTTTTAAAAATCATATTTGCAAAAGAATACTTTTTTTTGTACATCATTACTATTATTTGATATAATTATATATCAACGTGGTACACATTTGATTACTAATTATATTGAATGCAGCACGCAACAACGCAATGTTTACAGTTTCGGACGATAACTATATGAAGAGTTCATTTACACCGGTATATCCTTTCTTCGAAGCATGGAAAAAAGAAGCAAGAAACAAAACGGTAGCTCTTGGAAACGAATATATCAAAAGTTTGATTATTGTTGTTTCTCTCATGCCATTTATGAAATCATTTGAAATTTTTTCATCGTATCGATTCATGTTTATTTCAACTTCACCGATAGTTTTCATCTGATCGATTATTCTAGCATCGCAATTGTTTCATAAATACCAAGCTTTTTTTTATTAGATTCTTATTGTTTGTTTAGCAGAATTGATCTTTTTCAAGTAGGATCGATTTTAAAATGGAATTAAGAAAACATTTATCTTAAATTCTAAATTAATCTATACGAAGTTATTCTTAATCTTTTACCTCAACCAACCAATAATAATAAATAAATAGTTGAGCTTCTTTTATTTTAAAATTTTAACAAAATAATCAAAATAAATGTGTAACAGCATTAAAAGATATAGACTTTCAGAGTCTAGAAAATACGCGTAAACACTTGGAATAGATCGCAAGTCACTTTACTAGAATCGACAAAATAGTGGATTTATTCAATATAATTGGATCTGTAAAGCTAGTTTGTTTACTATTGCCAAAAAAATATACTTTATAGTCCATATTCATAATACGTGTATATTAAAAAAACCCAATGTTGTCATCAAGTACTATCTTTTGCTTAGATTGAAGAATACTAGTCATGAGCAAGCAAGATTAAATTAAACGAAAACTTCCAAAAGTATGTTTTATTACTTGAAACTTTTTGCTTAAGATATAACGAATCGAAAAGCATACATTTGTGCATACGCGTATAGGATGATACGAGAAAAGTCTGAAGGAATAATCAAAAGAAAAAAGATCGGTAGATCCTTGACTTTTAGTCACTAGTACAAATACTTTGTTCTAAAGCTCATCAATACTTATATCTCAAAGCAGGTTTTTTTTATTCCTGTGTCTCTTATGAATATGGACTAACTATATTCTTCGATAAACGATAAACAAATCAGTTCATTTTGTTGAATAGTAGTGATCGGATTCAAATTTTTATTTAGTAAAGTGACTATTGACCTATTTATTATATGAATCGTTCATTGTACGAAAGTTATTTCTATTTCGAGTTTCAAATACTCAGTGTGCAGCAACAATTATTCATCGGCAGTCAATGATGTTAATAATTTATAACGATAGTTAAACGTATTAGACGATGATTGAAAATTTTTACGACGAGATATGAATGATCGAATGTTTTTTGCAGAAAATATCACTAATAATATTATCGAAGTTATACATATCAGAAGTGATATTTTCACTGTGTTTGTATATGATCGATGATTAGGCAGAGTATTTTTCATTCGATTAATTGTTCTAAAAAGCGCCAATGTAAAGTTATACGTATGCAAATAATTTAAAAAGAACAGACCGCAATGGAAAAAATCGAGTTCTATAAAGTATAGCACCAAGTGTCCATTGAACATCATTATTGTTAATAAGAGACGCCGAACGTAAACGTTGATAATTTAGTGGAAATTTCAAACCATCATGTAGAAATGCGTAAAGCCATGCAGATTTAAAACATTGTAAACTAAATAGAGAATTCAATATTGTTACATCATATTAGTAATACATTCTTTGCACTTGAAACAAGTGTTTTTTTAAGAAGAAGCGACTACGTTGCCAAAGCTGTTTTTTTATCTCGAAATACAATAAAAAATGTCGCCATCGAATCATAATGCTATTTCAATTCTACTCTTATATAATACATTTGATCGCTTCTCATTTCATTTGTGAGCATAGTTTTATTAGCAATATTGTCGTCATGATGAAATCATGAGTAGAGTAAAATATAAGAAATCTATGTATTAACTGTCTATTTGATTACCATTAAGATTAAATTACATAATAATAACAAAATAAAATACGTCAAAGCAATCTACATATTTTATTCTCTATACGAATATCATTGATATTAACATTGAAAGACTTACACTAAACGGTCCGTCTTAACATTTACATGTGAGTTATCATTATACCACTGTCGAATATCATTCCAATTTGCATTGCAAAACGCCTGAAAATAATATAAATATTGACAGTAAGCTTCTAACACTCTCCTACTTACTGTTGAGGCATTAAGAAAAGCTAATCGAGTATAAGGACCACCAATTTTTAAAATATCTTCAATGAAAAAATGATTAAAAACAAAATCACATGATATTCTGTTGTTCAAACCTTCCATTGTATACCAAAATTCTGAAAATCCATAAAAATCTTGCACGTCATAATTTATTTGTGGCTGATAAACACCATTAAATGAACATGGTTTTTTTAGGCATGTTGCATTTAAATTAAGTAACGTAACTAAATGTTTTGTACAATTTACAAAATCACCTTCGCCTATTACTGTAATGGTTTTATTATTTCTTGTATAATTTCTTGAGTAACCACGCGGTAAACAATCAGCATCGTTGATTCGAATAAGAGGAGAATCGACAAGTGATGCACTAAGCAAGTATATATATATATATAGGTTTTATCTATCATTCAAATACTTATACTGTAGAGCAATCGAAATGATGCGATCAATATAATTATCAAATGCTTTATTTGCGCCATAACCAAGAAATGTTGTTACATAGATTTTATATTTAAACATTTCTTGATGTTGATCATAACCTAAGGAATATTCTACAACTTCTTGACCTACTGCTGATGCCTCAAAATATGAAAATTAAGTCGAAATAATATAAATAAATAGGACAATAATTTACTGAGTTTGAAACTTCGACTAGAGAAAAAAAAGTAAAAACAGTAATTCTTCATAATAATTAATTTAAAAATAAGCTCACAGGCTATTTGTGCAGATGCACCACCCATGTCAAGAACACCGACTGTAGCTTGTCGCCCTTTAGAATTCAATTTCCTATGATCATCAGCTTTTGACTCTACATAATTGATTAACAAGACTAATATTTTCTTTTTAAATTCAATTATATTGAATTTACTTGATTCACTAGTATCATCTTGAAAGCGACCAAGGACATAATTGATAGCTATCCAACTATAGATGCCTTCGAGTTGACCTGAAATCACTTGAATGTGTGTTTTTTCAATTAGAAATTTATAATCTCGTATAATATCATTGAATAAATCGTCAATTAACTGTTTTTGTTGTCTATAATGCATTAAAAACAACATCGAATCAGGTGTACTTATAAAAGTTGTTCATACCTTGGTGTTAAAAAACGAAGACCAGCTGTTGCGAGAATATACACTTGACAAACAAATGTAATAGAAGAAAAATAATAGAAGACATAAAAACTTACAAGGTGTATCAGCATGTTTAACTGAAGGAATGCTTTGTGCAGCAAAGTCTAAAAAAGACAGAGAATAAGTAAATCGAAGTAAGAGAAACAAAGAGTGTAGATCCTGATGAAATTATGATTTTAACTTTTGAAAACTTTGAAGTAATTCTACATTTGTTTTCGGAAGATAATTTAAACTGTTCATCATGAGTAAAAATTGGAGTAGACTGAATAAAAATTTATTTCTGTCTATTTTATTAGATTTTAATAACTTTTTAATTTCTTCATCATCTATTGCTCAATTGAATTATTTACATTGATTTCATTGCTATGAAACAATACATCACACTGTCATATGTATATTGTAATTCAAATTTTGATCATAACTGTTTCGCATACATGTAAATTCTAGTCTGAGAATTCTCTTTTAAAAGGATTTCTTCTTATAAGAATAGACCAATAAACATGACAAAAAAAGTCTTCCTACCCAATAATGATTTTAAATATTCAGTTGCATTCATCGGTGTTTTTGCCATAGATGAGAGACCTAATAGTCAAACAAAATAATTATTACATGTATTTGAAAGAAAAAATATCAATAACCTGGTTCAATTTTTTTAACTACTGGCATTCCTTCTTTATCAAGTAATTGTTTTATTTTTAATAATTCATCGGGTTTTCCTGAATGCTCTGGCCAAATATAAATGTAAAGTCTTGATCCACTACTGCCACAATCGATGACTACGCCATAATATAAATCAGAATCGTCGTTCGCGCTTTCCTTTGATATATTAATATCGGCAGCATGACCATTTTGAACTGGCTCTTGATCTCGAATTGCGTTGAGTGTTGAAGAATTTGCCTAATAGAAATAAAATAAGAAAATACATAGAAACATCTTAGAAGAAACAAGAGAATCAATTTAAAGGAAATGATAACTTTCGTGTTTATTCAGAAAAAAAGGAAATCAAACATCAGAAGAACTCTATTGAAGACTTTTTAAAACATCATTTGATAAGAGATGTTCTTCAGTTAACAACGATATTCCTAATTGATCTTCTTGTTTTAATGGTTGTGCCATATCTTTAAGCCATTTTTTAACAATTTGTACACATTCTTCAATGGATAAATTAGCTAAACTATCAGTTAAATATTCTTGTATCCATTTTGGAATTTTTTGCCGTTTATCCGAACGTAAAAAACGTTTATCTGCAAATATCATAATGCCATAATCACTTTTACCACGTAATACACGACCAACGCATTGCGCGGCATGACGCATTGCATCAAATGTTAAAAAATCGTTTTCACGTATTTGAAAATTTTCTCGTAAATAATCAAGACGTGCTTGTAATATACGGGATTGTGTATAAACATATGGAATACCGAACATAATAACACATCGACCAAGATGATTATCAAAATCAACACCTTCACTCACTTTACCACGTGCAACTGACAGTAAAACTGCACCACGACCGTTATCACAAGCTTTTTGATAATTATATAATGCTAATGATGTTTCAACACTATCAGGTGTTTCAATAAATAACAATTTATATTTTTGAACTTGTCCAATTATGCCTAATTCGTACCATGTTGCAACAACATGTTCCATATAAATGTAGGAAGTAAAAAAACAAACAATGCCATCAGGCACATGTGTACACATTTCAATAAGTAAAATACCATAATTACGAATAACAGATTGATCTTCACGTAGCTCAAATTTTGATGTTATTGCTATTTGATCATTGCCTCGTGTGACTATCAGCGGTAGAATACATGGACGTGTTAATGTCATAGTAAATGTTTCCATAATTGCCGGAGTAAATGAAAGAATTTTTGGATACATATCAATAGGTGAAAGAGTACCTAAAACATAATAAAATTAAATGGATTAAATTTATTCAACTATGATTGTCATCACTTGTTTTTTCTATTGTCCGTTATAGATAAATCTCTAGATTAGAAAGAAGATAGTACGAAATGATTTGAATGCAATTAGCAAACTCAAATGCGATTTTCTTGAAAGACAATTTTTCTTTAGCATTCGCACGAGTATTTGAACTGGTAATTAAAATCGAAAAAAAGACATATTCAATAATATGCTGACTTTGCTGAAATATATCAAACGGAATTCTATACAAAGAATATGAAATTTATGTTTCGAACTAAATAGATTTTAATAAAAAAAGTATGATATTGTAATTAAGTATTCACATATTCATTCAAACACATTATCAGTTAATCTGGTTCTGTTTTTCGAAGAAAGAAAAACTCCAATTTCTGTTTATTGATCGATGATATTTTTCATTAACAAATATTGTTTTTTTCGAGATACACAATCTATTGAAATCATAAATTATATTAAGAAATATGCTAAAACATATCATATTTTTTAGAAAAAAAATTATTTTATATGAGAATTTAGTTTATGTAAACTAGTACATTTCATAGTTGAATAAAGATTTTAATTGTAATAAATTTCGATGTATGTGCGTATAAAGAAATAAGCATAAGCTTCTCTCTCTCTCTCTCATTCACTATTATTTCTTAACATACGTATAACATAATACACAGAAATATTCATGAAGAATCCTATGATTTTAATCTGTTGAGCATTTAAAAAAACGTTGATTCTCCTCGTTTCATCATCATCATCATCATCATTATATTTAAATAGTTTTTACAATATTTTCGTTGTTAAAATTTTATTTTACCTGATGTAATGATAACCGATTGAAATCGATCGAATACTGGCTTAATAGCAATAGATGAATCGAGACAAGCAAAATGTAAAACAGGATTGTAAACTGTTGATTTACTATCAAAAAAAGGTTCAATAATTAATGCAAAGCCTTTTGTATATGTACTGATAATTGTTGCGAAATTACAAAGTAACATAAGTGGTTGATACATATGTATATCACGTGTTTCAAGTGTACGTAATAATGAACGTAAACGTTCGGAACAAAATCTTAGTGGTTTTCTTTCAATACAAACACGTACTTGTAAATCTTTTAAAAATGATGGTGGTGATTCTCTAACAACATGTTGAATATTCATTCTTGTTTTCATATATTCTAAAAATCTTTTGACAAATATAAGAAAATGTTCTGCTTGTCGAATGTTTCCTGGAATATTTTCTTGTAAAACATGTTCCGGTAATATTGGATTTGTTAGAATAACATCTGTTTCACGTTGTATAGCTTGTTCACGCAGACCTCTAACAAGATTTTCATATTCAGTTCTTAAACGACTTGCATCATTTTGTTTTTGATTTTGAACCAGTAATTTTAGATTTTCAACATTTGCTTGTGCACGTTCAAGTATTTTGCGTGTCAATGTAATTGACATTGAATCAATACAAACATTATCAATATTATGTGCTTCATCGAAAACAATTATTGATGTTTTTGGTAATTCTTTTGAAACTATTTCAGCAATTTTCGGATCTAATAAATAATGATAAGAATAAACAATAACATTTGCATGCGTTAATATATAACGCGTAAGAAAATATGGACACCAATGTTTTGCTTTGCCATATAATTTCAAATCTTCTAAATTATATACACCATATGGAATGTTTCCTTCACGTCCATTTATATCATATTGTTCGTAATAAGAACAGGTTTTTATTGAACTATCCTGTTTCGATTGTTCACGTATATATGATGCCGTTAAATTCATACATGCACTATCAACTTCTTTTCCTAAACGTAATTGACCGACTTCAGGATGAACACATAAATTTTTTCTTGAGCTCATTGCAATACCAATAAATTTTTGTTTTTCATTTAATTCTTTTTCATAATACGCAATCAGACGTTTCATTTCTGACATAACTTTTTCTATTTCTGGTACTGTACGACTACAATAAACTAATTTGTTATATTGATCAGGATAACGTTTCATATAAGCAATAATAAGTGATAAAAGCGTGATGGTTTTTCCAGTTCCTGATGGCATTTCAAGTATACAATGGCCTTTATGGTCAAGACCGCGTTTGAGTGCTTGCATATATTTATATTGTTCAGGATAAATAAAATCATATGGCATATATACAAGTAATCCATCTATATTCAATTTCATTCTTCTGTTTGTTTTTTCTATTCTATCTAAAACATCTCACTCGAACGAGTGGTCTCAATTTTATTTGCTTTATTATAATATTTATATTTAGAAATTTTCAGATGTTAAAATTAACAATAAGAAGGAAAAAAACAGAACTCATACCCGGCTTAGCATTAACCATAAAAGAAAACAGCTGAACACCACCGATGTTGTCATCACTAAATATCTCCTATTACCGCCGGATATCTGAAATGCCATAGTTTATCAGCACATCTGCAATTTAAGAATTATTCCAATATTTTAAAGTCCAATTCAAGATCAACTAAATGTTTATCAATTAAGCATGAAGATATTTATCAAACAAATGAGACGATTATTATTTTTGTTTAGTGATAGGCAATTGCACAAGTATAAATACCAATCAGAATCCTTGATATTTTTCCATCATGTTCATGTTCACAATGATCTACTTACTGAATGAATGTGACTTATGTGAATCGATCGAATATGCTTAGTTTTTGCTGACTATTTCTAAATACATTTCATAAATACGTTTCGGAGCTAAGCCAAATCTTATGACTTTTATATATTTTGAATCAGTGTAATTACTTGTAATAATTATGCTGGTAACCCACTGCAAACAAATTGATAGATGGCGCTCTGTATTGACAGGTTTTATCAGCTACATTGACTTTTTGGATATAGTTTTCACGTTTTTGTTATTCATGGTCAAAATACTATATAAAAAAAATTCTCACTTGTGCCTTATTTTTCTGTATAATTATCATAGCTGAGTCTCCCTCTAGAAATTCCCTGTGATTTACGACACGGATTACCTGAAAATTTCTAAAGGAGTTTTCATAAAATTGTCATATAAGTCCCAAAGACTTGATAAGCATTACAACAGATAGATCTATTCACACTTTTTCCACATTTATTCAGTTTTTCGTTGCATTTGTAAAAGCAAATATCTATTTTCTTCCAAATATCTAGGTTGTTGTTACGTTAGAAGAATTGGTCATCTGTGGCGTTCAACAAATCTCGATCCAGTGGACGAATTCCGCGCATAAATGGTGGCAACTCACGTGAAAACGATAAGTTATCGTGGAGAATGCTCATGTAGAAGTCTAAATGATATTTATCACGTGAAAAAATCCATGTTCAAAAAAAGAATTATTTCCTTGAATAGCTTTCTATTCTTGTATACTTTCATGCGTATTAAAGAAAACTATGAATACATGCATTTACTTCTTCATAAATTCTGTAGAAGATAGTCCACTACCGATTCATTTATTTCATTTGATTGAGTTGTCAAAAATAAACTGCGCAAATACATCTGTGAATTTGTTATAGAAATGATGGAGTGAATCATCTACATCCATATCAGTTTGCAAATGACTACGCATCTGTATAATTATATTATCCTATTTGCGAACCGTCCATCGACAATATCTATCATGTTGTCATATAGACTTACGCAGTATTCGATCAGAAATTGATTATAGTAGATTTTCTGAAAGCTTCGAAGAATATTGTGTAAACGAAATCCTTGATAATATTATCACATCTATTTACTTTTTTGAGCCACTCAAAAGTAATTTTAAAAGTATCCTGTTACTGAATAAACTTTGGAATTTCACCCAACACTGTCTAATAAGTGAGTTATTTGTTAATTAAACGTTAACTTTAGCCAATATTTATATGATTGTATCTAAATTTCTTTTTCATGTTCAGGGAAGATATTCTTACGTGTGTGCTATAAAAAAATTAATTTGCGCATAGGAAATTATGGACATTGGTATTGAGAAATGTTGTGCAGTTATTACATCAATAGACAATATTTATCCGAGTAAAAAATGAAGACAAATTTATATTCAGCTGTTGATTATGAATCATAAGCAAAGTTATTATAATTAAGAACCAAAATAATAGCAAGAAATGAATAGCAATGTCGACGAATAGGCCAAGTCACTCGTGACATATGAAAACATCTTTCTACGTTTCTATTTTGTTATCTCGCTAAGTGCATGAACAAGCAATCATCTTGAATATGGGAGTAGAATCAAAGTAAAAGGTCCACGTGATACCCTTTCTTTTTGTCGCTTAACATTGATAAGATAGGTGTATCATTTTCTGTTGAAAAACGAAAATTGTCAGCATCATTGTGATTAAAAGGAAAATAACTGATACAGATAACGACTTCAGCAACAATACTTTTATGTATATAAGTAAAGAATTTTGCGTGGATCATATTACTTTAATTTTTCAGTTTTATTCACTACACAAAATTATTCATACACTCATCAACAGGTAAGAAGAATTGATAACTACTGTTAACATTAAAAATATTGTCTTAGTGAAGTATAAATGTAGTAAACGATCTTTCTCAACAATTGAGTAAAACAACACCGATGTACTCATTTTCATAAATTCATTACGTATCTAAAAGTTTCTTTGAAGAATTTCAATAATATACTGTTACGACTTCTTGTAGTACCGAATAATGAAACTCTCCTAATGGTTGTTCTCATAATAGATGTTCACTTTCGGTATCATTCAACATAAACGACTTTCGAGCTCGATTAGGTAGACATTATTGGATATGCCCTGTCTATTTTCATTATCAGATTTTTTTACTATATATTTAACTTTCTAGCTAATTTGTCTTGCTGAAAAATGATGCTTCACTATGTAACTTTAATTTTGGTCGTGTTAACCATGGCACAATGTCATAGCTTTCTTCGAAGCGAATACATTGGTTCCAAAGATCGATTAATCAATAAAAATCGAAACAATAATATTGTTAGTAGTCGTGCAGTCAAGCCAGTTAGCGACAGTGATTCTGCAGCTCTTAATCCTGATTTGTTCTTTCCACCACTTCCCGGACAGTCGAATAATGATTTTCATCCACAATTACGTCGTCTTCCATCTGGAAGCGACCCATTATATTACTATTCGTGGCATATTCATACCTATTTCTTTCATGAAAATGCCAATGTAACTGCACGTGCTCTTGCTATTCGAGAGCAGTTCATGGGCTATTTTAACATTAAAAAATGCGAAGGAAATTGTTTTATGGGTGGAATATTTGATAATTGTACACGCATGTGTGTTTGGGATCCAGTAATGGGTGTGGATGGACCACATCCATACGGACAATGGGGTGTCTATTTACCCAATGAACTATTGATGGATACATTATCATGGATGTCAACAAATCATGGTGAATTCGAGGTTCTATTTCATCCCAATACAGGAGAAATGATCGGTGATCACGATAGTCAACAACGAGCAGTATGGATCAAACAACAAGTACCCCTTGATCTGGATTTCCTCAGATGGTTACAATGCAAATGGTTCGGATGCGTTGATAGTTTGTGAGAACGTGCTTTCATGTTAAATGCTATTGATTTCTGTAATGAATTTTGCTAATAAAGAAAAGCAAATGCACATTCTATGCACAGAACAAAAATATATTCATAAAGTTAAATTATGATAGAGTCCCATTCGACAAATGTAATATTTCCTTGAGATTGGCATGGGTTCGAAGAAAAAATAAGCAAATTCGTGCTAGTAGCTATTTGAAAATCTTCTCACTAAAATTATAAATATTTTATTTTTCATGTACTCTCTCAGTAGTATCTTGATTACAAGACAACTAACTATCGATATGCCAATGCCACATGGTCATGAATACGTTTTCTTTTTATTCATAGGGTACTTGGAAATTCTCTGCAAGAAATCGATAGAGTATTGGTGCCATGAAATTTTATCATTCATAATTTCACCTTCTTTTGGTGATGAAGTCTAATAAAACAAAATTGAATCTAGAGTTTTATAGTCTAGGAAAAGCATTATGTTTTTCACTTTTGACAGAAAAACTTTCACATTGACACTTAGTTAAATGATGATGTGGATGGAAAAAATACGATTTTAGATGGTTGGACATCGACAGGATGATCATTTTGTCACGAATCGATGGGTTTATTTCGAAAATGTCTGTCAGTATATCTGTTACAGATATAAATGCAAAGGCTGTTTCGAAAAGAATCATTGATTTTTTTTATCAATATTCGAAAAAACGACACTTTTTTGTACGGCAAAGTAACCATGAAAATTGTTTTCGTCTACATCACTTGACACTTTTATAAAAATTGAATCAGTTGCAATCAAAATTTCTAACAAGTACCACAATACAATTGAAGTGATTTTAGTTTGGAAGACTGAAACAGTTTCGATATTTTCGATCTAGTCGAGTAAATTATTTCAAAATCGTTACCGTTGCTGTTACATTAACAATTAGAATCAAGAGACAACGACGAGGAATGATTCATCACTTCAACTGTAACATAATAATTTCGACAGAATAAAACGAAAATAGTTGCTTGTTTACCCATCTGTGTTTTTTCAAATATTTTGACTAATGAATTTTTTTCCGAGCATTAAATATTCGAAGTGTGTATTGAGTGTTGATCATTTGTGTTTATCAATATTGTCCGCTCATTTCAACGGTACCATCGATGACTAGAAAATACTATATAAATATAGATATTTCACTTTGTCATTTTGATTAGATCGATAATTTCGTTCTTCTTGAGCAATGCATTCATAATATGTAGTTTTATTTTGAATATGATTTATTAAATAATAAAATAAATCAGGATTATGATGAAGATAGGGTTTATTTGTTTATTGATGTTATATAAATAAAATATGTTACTGTCTTCATACGATTAACACATAGTCAAATTCATTCATTCGTACAAAATTCTCTTTATGATGACATGAAATAAAGTATGAACTGCATTTGAAATGAATTCGCATACAATGATCGAATTAAAAGTCAACGAAACGTAGGGTCAATATAAACGTGGTTTCCCGCAATATAGTAACGTATACTCATGTATGGATTATTCAAGAAAATTATAGCGCAAGAAAAAACCATAATTTTAGGTCTTTTTTCTGGTATTAAATATCACTTAGGAGTTGAAATAAATCAAACAATGGAAGAAAAACTCATTCAATGGGTATTTCTTACTATTCTTAGTCATTTTAATGACTAGGAATGAATTTTTCATCTTGTATTGAATGAAATTGAACGGTTACTATCAAATCTTATAAAAACAAACCAATACAAAGTCGATGGGAAATTCTTCTAAATATTCATAGAATAATTTTTGTGTATAAACCAAATGATTTTAATTCTGCAAGTCACAATCATTTGAATATAGTACTTCTTGTTTTATTATGTCAAAAAAAAGAACTCTTTGAAAAATAAGGCTTAGCTGCATGGCGGTCATCAGTTGCCGGAAACGAAATACAAATAAGATGCACGGTCACGAGAAACAAGTACATATCACAAGTGTGCGAATGAAAACGAGCGAGAGAAAAAAAACATTTTTTTTAGCTTTCATGAAAGACAAAGATTGAAAGAATAAACGAAATTTTCATTCTTTGTTTATTGGAAAATAATTTATGCATATTTGTAACATTGAATACACGCATATATCGGTATAGCGAAAAAAGCAATCGCAAGAACGATTGGAATTGCTATAGCAATAAGAGCAATAAGTACAGCTAGTACAATTGGCGTAAGAAGAATAACACCGATAAATATTGAACCACGTACTAGCCAACGTAATAGTGGATGATTTGGCCAAAGTTTATATTTACAGCCGAATAATGAATATTTAGCATCATGTCCAATAGAAGAAGGCAATCTCATTGTACCTCCACAACGGTAACAAAATTTCGTATTACATTTTGTACATGCCATATGATCGCATCCATCAATTTTTTCGATATATATTGAACAATTAGGACAGCGTTGAGCATTACGTTGTTGATTATCCGAACGACGTATTCGAGCCCACATATCAAGTACTGTATGACTATTTTTATATTTCCTACATGTTATACCGGGATGTGATGGTGCATAACATGGCCAACACCATTCCTTACTGCATTGTTCACAGCATATCCATTCTGTTGATGCACCACGTGACTTCTCTCGATTAATTATGGGATGGTCTTCATCTAGTATGGTTATAAAATTGCAATGTGGACATAATTTTATAAAATTATTTGAGTTTTCGGATAAATCTCGAGCTAAAATTTCTTGATAACGTTCACGTACTGTTACTGGTATTTCACTATTATATAGTATTGTCGATGAGTTTATATGTTCTGAACAAGTTGGACACTCAATTTTTGCCGTTCCACTACGAATATTTGTAACTGTATGAGTTACAAAACATGATAAACAAATTTTTGTTCCACAACAGGACATCTGTTTTATTTGATTCGTTTGAATTCCATTACAACATATGGGACACTCAGTTAGATCTGTAAGATGAATTGAATTTTCACGAAAATTCGCAGTTGTTATGTGGCTAGAAATAAATAAAAAAATTCAATTTTCTTGTTCACAGAAAAAACAAATTTTTGATCTGTTCGATATGGCTACTTACTTTGTAACATTTACTTTAGTCATTCTAAAATAAATGGTATGCTCATGAATGTTTTAGTTTCTTTCAAGAGTTGCTTTTTTTCTCGAGTAGAATGAAAAACCCAACATAATACAAATGTTGCCCCCTTTTGTATTCTGTGAATAAAACAAAGAGTGAGTGAACCACATGTCACTGTTTTCGTTTCCTCTTTTACCAATAAGAAAATGAGATCTGTCATCAACGTCATTCTATATGACCGCATATATATTGAAAATGTGAAACAAAAGAAAACAGAAAAGATCGTGTTTCAAGAATTTTTCTCTGACAGTAGAAGCTTCAAAAATAATTTATTAAATAACAAAGACATTCTATAACTGAAAAAAAATAATCTGATACCTAGTAATGATTAAAAATAATTTAAAAATCTTGTCAACAGTTAGTTACTTACTTAAATCCGAATTATCACTATTTGAAATTTCTGCCAGACAGAAGTAGAACCAAAAATCTTAATTTTAGTTGTCTTGCCTTACTTATTATTCTATACACTAGCTAATAATTCTATTGAAATAGTTAACGTAATTTTTAAGTTATTCAATTTTGATCAAGTACTAAACGAGAAATATATGCGTGAATTATAAAAAATTGTCGCAGTCGACCAAATCATTAAAAATGAGAACAATATTCATGTGAGATTTCAGTCAAACTGAATTGATCAGCTTTACAATACAATAGTTAACTCACTTTCCAGTTTGCTTTGAGTTCAAAAACATCGATGCTAATACAATTTGAATTTAGTCTATGAAAAATAAATCAAAATCATCTGTATAAATCACTGCATTTTTCTACGAATTCACATATCTGCTGCACAAATTACTGTTTTTTCTTCTTATATCATGAACATTGTATTGTTATTATAATGAGATAAAATGATTATTCTCAGACTTCAATCTCCTTTTTTCTTATCCAATTAAATGAAATTCAGATGTGGTCTTGAATATGAGCCAATTCAAACAAAAAAAAAGTAGCCGTAAGTTTTATTTGACTTTGAATACTGTAAAACAAAAACTACAAATGTGCTTAGCACTTTTCTTGGTTATATTAAAAAAGAACAGTAAAAATTTTGTACAGAAAAAATAGAAAGATTCTTGCTGTTGTAGTTCGAGTTAGATAATTATTTTACTTTACCCTCTATTCATAGATGTTTTTGTTCGGATTTATGAAATATTCACTTCATCCATGTCCAGAGATATTGATGAATCAAACATATACACTGATCTTAGCAATTCATGGCAAGTTGGTTAAAATTTAGAGGCATAATTGATTTTATAGTGAATTTTGCTAGAAGTATTTCCGTTTCTGTAACGCCGATGAGAAAGTCACGTTTACAAATATCGATTTTGTTCTGATTGACTTTCAGCTTAGGCTACCTGTAAGAAGAAAAAAAAGAAAAAAAATACGACGATAATTACAAAAGAGAGAGGAAGTAGTAGTAATGATCATTTAATTTATTTCAAAAAAAATAACAAAATCTAAAAAATAGGAAAAAAATGGTTTTTTATTTTAATGGACTGTCTATCAATGTGATTGTCTCGATGATGACGAAAGTTGATGGCAAACAGTCATGAAGAAAGAAGAATGCGAGAGCGAAGAAAAATGACTGCAACACCGATAAGTCAAAGCACATGCTTACTACATTTATATTTACGTATTTTGCGTGCTGACATGCCTGATTACTACCTTTTGAAACATCTGTCAGAGTACTGAAGGTGAGTGAAAAGAAAAATTTTCGTTTGCTATGCAATGCAACAACATGAGAAACGAACATCGTTTGAAAAGATGTCATCATTTGACATAACAAGAAAGTGATGACACATCATCGATCAAGCAAACTCGAGGATTTTCATATTTATCCATAAGAAATAGAATATTTTACACGAATTAATATCATACTTTCTTTGCAATGATTGAAATTAAACATAAAGTATATACATAGTTATGTAGGTGTCAGCGTGAACCAATAGATCAGGGTTACTTTGACTCTTATCAAGTATTTGTCATATATTTTCTACTTGAAATCATTTATACTATGGTAGCTTAAATATCCATCAAACGAAATGAGATCATTTGTCAATCACATAATTATTTATTGAAAAATTATTTTTATTTTCAACATAATTTTTGTGTCTAATTGAAATAGGTATATAATTACGTTATTTCTCTTTCTCTTTTTCAAATAAATCTAACATAATGATAATATGTTAGATTTCAATAAATTGTGATGACCGTAGAAAAAAAGTATTAATAAAATAAATGAAACAGATAGATACACTTTCGCAATATCGTTTGATTTTCTGATTATTATTGATAAAATCGACTAAAAATAATAATGAGATCACCATTAATTAAATATTATATTCTATGGAGAATTGATTGTTTCATTGTCATACTACAGTAAATCTAACGAACATTGACGATTCAATCAAACAGTTGAAGAAAGAAAACAACATAGTTCAGCAGTAAAACAACACAATATTTAAGACTAAGTGACAACATTGATGTTATCGCATGCAGAATCCACAAGGACAAATCATAGATTTTGTCACTGTAGATCATAATTATTCAGCATTATTCTTTCTGTATTCAATCGTATATTTTTCTTACAAGCAACAATTGTCGATGACACATATAAACATGTAAGAATATATAATTGATTGTCATTCGCCCAAGCACTGACACAGAGACAAAGCACATTCTATATTATTCAGCCTGCAATTTTTCTATGTCCTGAATCTTAGCATAGAGTAAGATTGGCTAATTCATTTTAGTTTTCTTTTAGGAAAATAAGAATAGTGAAAAAGAATGACAACGTGCATTTTAAAGTTTTTAATATTGTAATGAAGAAAAAAATTAAAGATTTATTATGATAAAATTAAATTGTAGCAGTTCACTATTAATATGTATTGAGGTAACAGCAAGGCATCAGGGAAAAATAGAAAAATAAATATGTATTTGCCGATAGTTTTCAAGTATCTATCGTCTGTATGAGTTAGTTGTCATTCTCTCTCTTGAAAATCGTTTAATACGAGATTGAATGTTTACTTGAATCCATATCGTATCTATTTATTTATCTCTTTACTATGACGACGTTCGAGGCTTGTCACAATGCCGTGTTTGTATGCTCGAAGATCTTCTTCATCTAATTCTTCACTATTTTATGTGTTCTGCACAACAAAAAAGAACGACTAATAGCAATGACATATAGAAAAGAGAATTAAATAGACTAGAATGTGTTCTTCAAGCGTTTGTCTTCGTGTTTTCTCGCTTGCTTGTTCGGTCGCTTACATACATAGCTGCACAGGCACAGCATAGAGAGAAGACACAATGAATTAGAACAAAAAAAAATCCAAGTGATCTGAAAATCATCATCGTCGCCTTCGTTGCTTGTCGTGCAGAAAGAGCGCAAATGCAAGTCAACGTGCTACCGTTCTGGCATAGCTAGGAATACTCTTTGCATCATCATCATCACCATCATCATCATCATGCATCGCTGTTACTTCGTTTCGTTGTCGTCAACAACGACGTTGTAGTCGTCATCATTCTTGTGCTTCTTGCAGTGCGTTTTCTATGTAATAAATTATGGAAGCGACATGAAGAAAAGATAAAAGAGAACAGAAAAAGAAGGAAAATAGGGAAAAAAAGAATGAAGGAAGTTTCTGTATGTTGTTGCTTTTTCTATTAGTTGGTTTGGCACTATTTCCAAAAAAAAAAATAAAACAGCCGACTGTTCCTCCCCGTTCCGTGTATGTGTGCGTGTGTGTCAGGTCCTCCGCTCTCACTCGTTCTTTCTCAAACGATCGTTATTCTTCTGTGTGTCTCATTTTGACTGACTTTGTTCTACTGCTACTACAAAACATTTGAACTCAAATGTATATGCATAGGTAGATAAACTTATACAGGCGTTTATAGATAAATAAATAAATAAATATATATCAATATATCATTCATCAAGACAAAAAAATCGGTGGCATACCACTTAACTCTTTCTTTTTGTTTCTCTCATGGGTTACAGATTCTAATGGTATAGGCTCATGTCGTTGTGTCCCATCGAATTTGGTCAATTCCGCAGCGTCGATTTCCCGTTTGTCTTGCTGCAACTCCTTGTTATCTGTGATGTATGTCGCCTCTACTCTAATCTCTGTGATCATTTCAACAATACTGCGTCAACATCACCGGTCGTGAACGTTGTTCAATGCTATTAGCCCCTACAAACGTACAATAAAGTTATTCTTACCGTGGTTGAACTCAATTTCTGCCATTCATCTATTTACTCATACTCTGCAACCATTTCGGGCAATTACTTCTAGGCTACAACAGTGTTGTTTACTTATAACAGGACAACAACAAAATAAACGAAGACTGGATAAAAAAAAAAGAACGGTGAAGCACTAAATATTTAATATCGCACGCGCAGTCTCGCCGGAAATCTGATGCTGGCCGAGTCGGTGCGTTGATGATGCGAGTATGAAAAAACAAAACGTTCGTACTTTAACACTTATTGTTTCGACATTCAGGTTTGTCTGCGAAGAATTTTGATTAGCTTGAATAGGAAATTTCATTGACAATTTTTTGCTTTCAGCTATCTGCTCGTTGGTGCGGCTATATTTGACGCGCTCGAATCTAATACAGAAGATTTGTTGCGCAAGCAGTATCAGTTGGCTGAAGCGAGCATGCTCGGTGCATATAATATATCCCACAATGAATACATTGAACTAGAAGACATCGTTATCAAATATCAACCGCATAAAGCTGGTGCACAATGGAAATTTCCGGGAGCATTCTATTTTTCTCTAACGGTTATAACAACTATCGGTAAGATATATTAATCGGTATATATTTTGTTTTGTTTTGTATTTTTATTATTTGATATTTTGACAAGGTCATTGTTACTTTGATGTACAATATTAGTAATTTTTCCTTTTGTTTGCTGTTTCTATAAATGTTTAAATATTTGATTGAATAGGTTTTTTACCGAACGTAAAAGAAGATGCAATAGGCACTCGTTGTGTGTCAATTAAAAGAACCTACAATTCTATCATATTTTATTATTTTTAACGGCTGAAGAAAATATATTTCTCTCTTACCTTAGACTGAGATAATTTAGACTTAACCACCGAAAGTAATCAATTTCTTACTTAATCACACAAAAAGGAATGTATTTTGTTGTCATCGAAGAAAATAATTTCATCAATTTTCTTACGTTACTTTCATCGTAGTCTACTTCATTATCCTATAAAACATTTTCCGAAAATTGTCAAATGTAAGTATTCAACCCTTTTCTTTTCCAAAGATTTTAATATTCGAATTCTGTTCATTTATGGGTCTAATTAATTAGGAAATTCTTTGTCACTAGTGAAGCTAAAATACAAAAACAAATACGAGAAATATTTTGAAAAACGAATTCGAAGGACATCCATTAATCTTTATTGTATGTAGATGCAGTAGAAAGTGTTTACTCGTCTATTTTTTGTGACTTACACTAGTCAAATATCAATATATTATATCGCACTTGCGTTGCCAATAACGTTCAACTCATGAAACTCTGTTTAATGTAACCTATTTCAAAGATTACTTGGTAGTAGATAGAAGACCAGTTGAGAAAAACAATTGTCAAAGTATAATGATAGAATGTTGTTAGCATTGCGAATGACGTCAATCAATGTAATGAATGAATACTTGATAGAATGCACCCATAGACAAATATATCCATATACATACGCCAAGGTAATGACATATAGATGAAACAGAAATCGTTCGTCTGATTAATCCATTATTAGTTATTTTTAGTTATAACATTCTGACAAACATTTGTAGTAAAAAACAGCCTTTGGGTAATCTACATAAACTCTTTTTGTTTTGTATTTCTATTATGATTTATATGATTGTTAGTGAAACTATATTAAAAGTCATAAGAACCGAATGAGATATAAAATAGCTATTAATAGAACTTAAATAGAAAAGGTCAATGTAATGAATACGTATGCATTTATTTATATAAAACCTGCTATTTAGTTCTCTCACGCTAATATTTGACATTTTACGAGCACATTGATAATTTTCTTTGACATTTATTAGATGTATCAAGCTTTAAGAAAAACATAAGCAATGAAAATAAGAATAAATATAGCCCAAAAATAAAAAGTAAGACACGTAACAGTAGACAGCATTCATTCTGCTGTCTTTCTTTGTTTTTGAATTTAAATATATAAATTCTTTTTAACGCGATGTCTAAATGAAAATTTGTTGCAAAGAAAAATTTACACTACATATTTACTATTAGAAAATATACTCAATCTATAAGAGAAAAAAAAACATTTTCATTATAACACAAAGCTCTTGAGTTATGTGCCATTCCGAATAAAAACAACAATTATACAATTAGCTTTGAGATTCTCTCGAATAAATCTCTGTTCTTGTTATGGTATACTTGAAGATAGAAGTTCACTTCTTAGAATTAGAATCGATCACAAAAAAACAAAATAAAATGAAAAGATGAATAAAGTTTTTTTTTCTTTGCATATTTTAGGCTATGGCCATTCTTGTCCGACTACAAGTAAGTTTAATAATAGTGATTTGTTTAGCATTAAAAGTGAAACAAAACCTATTATTTCAGTTTGGGGAAAATTCTTTTGTATGTTATACGCTGTTATTGGTATTCCGCTTTGTCTAGTTATGTTTCAATCTGTTGGTGAACGTCTAAATAATTTTGCTAGTTGGTGTATTAAATCAATAAAAAAATGTATTAAACTACGTCATTATGAATCAACACAAACTGAACTTGTTATTGTTGGAACCGTTTTAGCAGTTGGTGTCGTTACAGGCGGTGCCGCTATGTTTCATCATTATGAATCATGGGGTTATTTTAATTGTGTTTATTATTGTTTTATAACATTAACAACTATAGGTGAGCTAAACCAAATTTATTGAATGATTTATTTATCTTAAATATACATATGTATATATGTGTCTCTCTCCATCTCTCTCTCTATATATATATATTAGGTTTTGGTGATTTTGTTGCTTTACAAACAAATGAAGCATTAAATACGAATGCCTTTTATGTTGTTTTATCGATGACATTTATTCTGTTTGGTTTAACAGTGGTTGCATCATCAATGAATTTGCTTGTTCTAAGATTTTTAACGATGAACACTGAAGATGAACGTCGTGAAGAAATACAATCAGCAGTTGCACGTAATTCACTAAGATTTGATAGCGATATTATTAGTCCAAATGGTATCGATATACGAGAGATACTAATTAGAACAAATTTTTTATTATTATTTATTTATTTTATTTAGGTGCACTCATTCCTTCTTTAATCTCGGATCAATATGATTATTTATCAACTGAATTAACTCCATCTGAATCGGAACCATGCCATTGTTGTTCATGTTTTAGACTTAGAAAAAGAGAACGTAAAAAATTTACTGTTCGACGTATGCCAGGAAAAATTGCTCATCTCGTACCAATGCAACGTTTTGATTCGATGGTAATGAAACAAGTTTTATCAGAATCCAAACCGTCCAATGCTGATTATTATCGACAGTCACTAATTAAATTAACATCGTTTCCAACAACATCGGGACACGGAATTAAAACATCATTCAATGATTCTGCAATGAATGATTGGCCACCACCACCTTCCTTTTCTTCTTCTTGTCATCTTCGTGTTCGTACATCCACGTCAAATAATTCTTTAAAATTACCTTATGAACAAGCAAACAGTGTGAATAATAATGTTCGTGGCAAAGCTATTTCTCAAACGAGATTACAAACTAATGTGTCTCATTTTCAGCGAAATACTGAATTAATTCCAATTCGACGTGATGTCAATGTCAAACGATCTTCCGTGTGATCTATTCGTTTGAATGAAATGAATTTCGATCGTTTCTATTTACTTTCGTTTGCCTTTTTTTCTTTTGTTTAAAACGAAAACCTCTTTCTGTCTCATTGTCTCTTTTTTCTAATTTATTTTTCTGGTCTTTTGATTTGTATGTTCTCTCATTATGTAAAATGAACATATTTTTGTTTCATTTTCATTATCATTGAAGAAGAAAATAGAATTACATATAAACACATATAGAAATAAGAACATCGAGAAAAGAAGCAAATGAATATTAAACATAAAAAGAAAATAACATAAGAAATTCAGACATATAATTTTGTTCGCTTATCTGACAAATCTAACATAAGTTAAATATTTGCATAATAAAAGCTAAGAATGTCTAATTGAAATCGTCATCATCTGAAATATGATAATTCTTTTTGGCACCACCATCACGTTGTGTACGAGCCTTAAGAATAAACATTGAACTCATTGAAAAGAAAACTAAGAACAACACATATTAAAAACATTCAATTACTTTTTTTGTTGTATTAGGTGATGTTGAAACAATGGCAATGTCATCATCATCACTCTCCTAAAAATATCACAAACGATAAAATACTTCTGTTGCTCGTCAATTGGTCAAAACTTACAACTACTGGTTTGGGTCGTTTTGCTGTTTTCGTCTCTTTTTTAACAGTTTCTTTCTTTGTTCCAACATCGACTTCTTTTTTAGCCTAGAATAATTCGAGTAATAAGAAAAGTAAATATACTCAATTTTGATTTTACTCGAGGTTTTTTGGGCTTTTCGGTTTTATTTTCATTATTTGATTGTCGATTTTGCATGAGAACAGTTAATGCATTTTGTGTCTCGGGTGACTAAACATATAGAAAATTTATATTTTTTTCAACTTTATCAAGCAACAAATTATTGATACTTTTGATTTTGGTTTTGGCTTTGATTTTGGTTTTCGTTTTTCAATTTTCTTTTCCGTATCAGAATCACTACCAGCATAATCTGATGCATCATCATCATTATCGTCGTCATCCATATTTTCTTGGTTTTCATTACTATCTTCGTCACTACCATACTTAAGGACTTTTGCTTTTGCTGTACGTTTTGCATTACGTTTCGGTGATGTTTCTTCTTTGACATTTTCAGTGTTATCTTTTCCATCAATTGAAATTATTGATGTATTGCTATTGTCATCCATGGCATCGTTCATTTTCTTTTCTTTTGTAGTTTCACTGGATTTCTTTTCTATTGAAAATCAATTTAAATATTTACTTTGTGAAAAGAAAATAATATGTTCAAACCTGTAGCATTACCGATGCGTTTTTTTTCTTTACAACGTGTTTGCATGATTTCAGTTATTTCTTGAGATGTGACACCTTCTTTCACTAGGTATTCAATAATTGATCGTTTATCAACAATAGTTTTTTCTTCCTAAATTAAAATTTATTGTTTTGTTTTCGATAAACTTTTCAATCAACTAAAAGTTAAATTAAAAATATCTAAAACATACTCGACTACGTTTCATAATTTCTTCGTTAACTTTTTTGATAAATGCTGGATCAATAATTGGTTGAACACGTTGACCATGTGGAGCAGGTTTTGTTTCAGCCCGTTGTGGTTTAGTTGCTGGCTTTTTACGACCTTTACCATCATTAGCAGTGGTACCGCCAACTTTTTTGGTTGTATAATGAGCTACTTCAGACATTTCATCAACGCGCTCTTTTTCCATTACCTAAATATTAGAAAATTGATTACTGATGAGAAAACAACTTTTGCTTGCAGTATTTACTCTTCAACAATTATATTGTTTAAATAAGACTATCTCTGTCAGAAGAGCACTTTGAAAACTGTAATGTAAAGAACACGTGCTGTTTGACGAGTACCATCCTCAAACATGAAGTGACTATTATTTACTAGAATGATTGTGGTATTCTATTTCTGTTAACTACTTTGTTCATCATGAGTTACTTCAATTAAGTTCAATTATTATTTTTATACTTTCAGTCAGTGGCAAGAACACTACAGAAGAATCTATATGTTACTGGTGATTATAGTTCGTTGCTAAGTATTAGAGTTCGTTTGAACACGAAAGTGAACACTCATTAGCAAAAAAATACTCTTCTGTTCAATTAGGTAAAAACTAAGAAGAGTTGGTAAAGTATTGCATACATTCTCTAAAGTGTCTTTAATATCTTTCGTTGAATATTCTAATGTTGGATAGAATTTGAAGGCATTTTTTCTCTCTAAACTTCAGTCATATTCGTATATGAGGTAACGTTGAGAAATGGTTTTGACTTATGAATATATATCATTTGCTTATGTAATTCTTCCAGAAGTACAATCATTCAAATTATGGTAGTCCAACACCACAATGTAATTCATAGTAGCAGGCAGATCTAATTTTTAATCTTTTCTTTATCAAGTTGATAGTTCACCTGATCATTTTTTGCTGATCATATAGATATTAAACTTATAGCACATTCTGATTAGTTCATAGAAATCTTTAACAACAAAAATTTCCAAAGATTATCGAGAGACTATTACACATTATCTCAGCACTGTATTAGATTTTTTTTTAAGGATCTCGCTTATTGTACTGAACAGTTACAAATACTTTTCCGATTAGTTTTAAGAGGAAAAGGAGCTTCACATAGGGTGACTTTCATGTTCTCTAACTATAGTAAAGGATGATCAATTATACATGTAATATTCTTTCGTGTAAGAGGAAAACTTGTAATGAAAAAAATTAAATCGCTAAAAAACATGGATGCGCATAGATTAAAAATGAAAACTTACTTTGTGATATTCAGCTTCAAAATTGCTAAGGTCATCATCGTATAAATCTTCAGGACTTTTCTTTTGTAAAGCTTCAAGTTTTTCATGCTTTTCTTGTTGCTCTTTAAGAATATCATTTCGTCGCTCTTTTGTTAAATTACGCAATGACATATTAATCAAATAATCATAATAAGTTGTATCGACTTTATTTGCCGTTGCCACTGTAGTTGCTTTTGCTTTTTTACTCGTATTTTCATCGTCGTCATTTTCATCATCTTCGTCGTTGTCGTCAGCATTTTGTCGCCGATCATCTGATGGATCTTGATTATCATTTGAATTATTTGCTTGAATATCAACAGCAAACTAAATAAATGAATCGTTGAGGAAATATTAGAAACACTTTTTTTTCTAATTTACCTTTTTTTTTGCTTCTTCACGCCAAACCTTTTCTGGATCTCGATCATATTTACGTTCAATAAGCATGTCAACGACTGCGCTTATCTTTTTGTTTTCAACACTAATGAGATTTTCGATTTTTTCTTTAATAAATCGTGCTATATTATCTAGTTTTAAACATTGTGATTGTAATGTTCCAACCATATATTCTTTTCGTTTAACATACATTTTAAGACGAACCATAAAGAACTCTTGACAAATTTCTTCAGGACTTTTGTAACGATGTAAGATACCGTGATGATCAAAAAGAACCATATTTGTTAATTTAAATGTTTCTTGTAAACGAAAACTTTTATGAAGACCACCTTCATTAAATTTAACAAATTGTGCTGGTGATAATTTGACAACAAAACGAACAGTCGTATCAGTATGGTATTCTGATTAGAAGACAGAAAGAAAGAAAGAAAGCAAACAAGAATAAATTTTAGAAAGTTATTTTATTGATAATAAACTGCTTTTGTTATCAGATTGATTTTTAAATTTCTAACAGAAAATGACTCTATTTTTCTTTTTTCAGATGAGTGCAAAAAATGTTTGATAGAAACTGTTTGTTTTTACTAGGAGAATAATTATAGATTGAAAACAAAATAGACTAAATCTGAATCAACCAATGATATGTATCTCATATAAAATTACCTTTATAATCAAGAATACTTGGGACAATATCATTTCGTTTTGGATGAAGCATTGTTTCAAGAACATTTTCCTTGTAGTTTTGTGTCCAAGTACCGATCGGTAAATCAGTTATTTCAATAGATGTTTCATCAAGTTTAGCACAAACACCATTAATAACACCACGTGTACGATCATTATCTAATAATCTAATTTCACCGGTGAAATTTTTATACCATGGAACTAATTCTTCTAATCTAACCACATCCGGGTACTGTTTTGGTGTAGCCGTTGGATCATTTAATTGACGTTGTCGTTCACGTTCTTGACGAATATAATACTTCATATTATTACTTAACGTTAATGGATTATAGGATGGTATATCAGTTGAATAGCCAGTACCAACGCCATTCGCACCATTCACAAGAATAGTAGGAATTATTGGGCAATACCATTCAGGTTCAATACTCATACCATCTTCATTTAAATATGTTAATAATGGTTCATCATTTTTAATAAACAATGATAAAGCAAGTGTACTGCAAAAATCAAATAAGCATAGATTATGTATATGGTAATGTATACGTTTTTCTTACCTAAGTCGAGTAAAAATATAACGTGCTGAAGCTGCATCACTGCCACCATGTAAACGTGTGCCGAATTGACCAGCTGGTACAAGAAAATTAATATTATTTGAACCAACAAAATTCTGTGCGAGACCAACAATGGTATTTGTTAAAGATTGTTCACCATGATGATAAGCAGAATTTTCGGCTACTTTACCGCCTAATTGTGCTACTTTTATTTCGCGTATTAAATTTTTTGTAAAACAAACGAACATGATTTTACGTTGACCTGGTTTGAAGCCATCCTTGAAAAGAAGAAAAGAATAATTTGAGAAAAAGAGTCTTTTAATTTTTAATGATGCTTTTACCATAATACTTGGAATTGCACGTTCTGTACTTGATTTGGAAAAAAGAACAAGCTCTTTGTTAATGAAATCATTAAAATTAATTTGTTTCGTATCTTTTTTATATAAATAATCGGCTGGTAAATTTTGTTCACGTCTTTGATTAACATCTTCTGTATGCCATTTTATCCAATCTTTACGATCGTCACTTAGAGCACTATTAAATGCTAATTGAATAGCTAGATCATCTTTAATTGAATCATATTTAAATAAAATACGATGCCGCTCCATATTAGAAAAATATTCTTTTGCTTCTTTAGCTGTAGATGTACCCAAACCTGAGATTTTACAATAAATATGCATTTATGAAAGTATTTGGAATAGGGAACAGAGAGGAAAACCTTTGTAGTATTTGCATTTCCATTTTTGCCAATTCGGTGTTGACGATTGCCATTGTTCGAATTCAGGCATAGAATAAAATGGAATTACATCATTACCTTTGGTAACCTAAAAATAATATATATTTTAAAGCATACATCGAGAATTGAGAGTCATATAAGAACTCTAGGAAAATATTTTTTATACATGTCTATGTCGTAGATCAATCTCGAAACTGACTTGAAATCATCAGGCCAATCCGACTTAGGTCTAGTTCATTCTCAGATTTTAAAAATGTTTTCAGGTCAAACTAAGATAAAATATTAAGAACTACAATTACAGCTGATCTCCATTAAATCAATAGCAGAACATAGTAAAAACCAATATACTCAGAAATATAGTGAATAGACGACAATGCATCTTTTTATTGTTACATATTTCTTAAGAAAAGAATCCTTTTTATGATAATATGTCGAGCAGAAAAATTAATTTCTTGTACAAGCACACTGGGTGATGTTTATTTTCTCATTTACCTCAATAATACACATCTTGATAACGTCTCAAAATATATAGTTTTAATGCAGTGCTCATCGGTATCTCATCCAAAAGAATCTACTGTAAACAAATGCATTTATGTGATACAAAAGTGGCACGGACCAACAAAGCTTATCTTTCATCAATAATTCACTGAAAAATTAGAATTTTTTTACTTTTGTTTAAGCATCAGCATACATCTTATTCGTAATCTATGATTTGTTTTCATTATTCTCTCCAATATTTGAATATGTCTAATATATATATATACGTATATATCACTCACTTAGTGAAAAACCATATGTCTAACTGGAAAAATTTTAGTTACAGTCAATCCTAGATTGACCTGGGACATATATACGCATTTGTTAAATAATCATATTTCTATATTTAGAAAAGCTTTCAAAAAGTTTTACTTTAATAGCTTCCTACATAACTGCTTAATTAAACATAAACAATATCATAGACTTTAATTTTGGCTCTAATGATTAAAGTCTAATCAAACAATATTTTATCTCACTCTGAAATTTATCAGAGCTTCGGCTCGTTTGTCGACTACTCTTCCACGTAATAGAATTGTAAGCAGAAAATTTTCAATTTCTATGATGAACTCATCAATGATAGAGTTTAATTTTTTTATCTCAAGAAAATTTCAGAATAATTCTGATGGTTTTGTTGTATGAATGAAAATGTTCATGTCAAAAACTTCATAAAGCACCAGCAAATATCAATATAGATCGTAACACTTTTGATATGGTATGAGCATGAAAAATGATTACTACTGCTACATGATATACACAACAGGATACATTTGATTGTTTCTCAACTAATAGCACGTTGATAACTACACAGTACATCGTAATAAAACAAAAGTAACCTTTATGTATCTATAACATAGTTTTTCTAGTTGTTCAAGTTAAATACTTGCTTACCTTTAAAATTGGTGTAATAAATACTTCAATATAATCATGTTTGAGTAAATTTGGCCATTTATAATGTATAAAATTGATCACAAGACCTTTAATATGACTGCCATCTTGATCTTGATCAGCCATAATCATTAGTTTTCCATAACGTAATTTAGTTATATCATTTTTATTTGCATATTTTTCACCATAATTTAAACCAAGAATTTTAACTAGCTGTGAAACTTCACTATTTTCGGTCATTTTTTTAGTTGTTGCTTCTCGAACATTTAACATTTTACCTTTTAACGGATAGACACCATAACGATCACGACCTATGAAGAGACAAAATTTAGATTAAAACTATGTTTTTCTTCTTTTATCTTTCTTACCAATAACACCAAGGCCAGCTACTGCAAGTGCTTTGGCTGAATCTCCTTCAGTTACAATTAATGTACAATATTGAGAATTTTTTGTTCCAGCATCATTTGCATCATCTAATTTTGGTATGCCTTTTAATTTCGATGTTTTTGTTCCACTTTGTTTTTGTAGTTTTGCATCTTGCCGATGTTCAAGCCAATTGATAACTGACTCAACAATACCAGTTTTTTTAAGAATATCTTTTAAAAAGTTTTCATCGTCTTTCAATGAACATGTGGAACCAAAATGTTTACGTTCAGTTGCTAATTGTTTTTTTGCTTGTGATTCGAATTCCGGATTTTCAATTAAACAATTAACAAAGACAAATAAATGGGATTTAACTTGCATCGGCTTAAGATTTTCTCCAGCGGCTTTACTTTTCTTTTTGATGTGTTCAATAAGTTTTGGACAGATTTGTTCTGTTATATAATCAACATGCTTACCACCTTCCGAAGTTAAAATTGAATTAACAAAGCTAACTTGTGTAAAACCATTATTATGATCATTTTTTGCAACACCAATTTCCCAACGTTCACTCACTTTTTTATAAGCAATTTCTTTTTCTGTTGCTTCAATATACATTAACATATAATCTTTCATATTTTTTACCTATTTATTACAAACACGAAAATAGTTTTAGGAATCGAAAAGACAAAAAAATCACATACTGGAATACGTTTGCCATTGAGTGTTACTTTACAACCAGTTGATACAGCTACATCATAAGCACGTCTTTTGAATAATGCAACAAGATCATCATCGAATTTGTCCATTTGAAATCGTTTTAAATCGGGTACAAATGTTATGCGAGTAAATTCTTTTGGATTATCACTTGTTTTAGTTACGATGGCATCTTGTGGATCACGCATATTATTTGTCCACGTCTAAGGTAAATATGAATAATATTTCTCATATATTTTCATGATAAAAATTCAGAAATCAAGCCTACTTGTTTAAATAACTTTTTATACTCTTTTGAACATGTTTCAATAGTAAATTTTTTACTAAAAATATTTGTTACTTTGGCACCATAACCATTTCGACCACCTATAGTAAATGAAAATTTTGAAAAACTGATTTTTCGATGAGTTCAAGAAATACCAGTAATTCGTTTGTTGTCATCATTGAAGTTATCTGATGTGAGTAGTTTGCCAAAAATTAATGTTGGAATGTAGATGGATTCATCTTGTGCCCATTTACGAACAGGAATACCACGACCATCATTACAAATTTTTATTTCACCTTTTTCTCTAAACAAAATGATGTGTGTGCAAGAGTTCATTTTTAGTCGTTTTTGTTGTAAAGAAAATCTTACTGATTGATATCAACATCAATTGATGTCATTGTTGTGTCACGTTGTTTATTGTCAGCCGCATTCACTAGATGAAATAGAAAGAATCTCAGTAGGATAAATTCAAATAAATTGGCTGGTTTTTACCAAGAATTTCATCGAAAATTTTGTAGAGGCCCGGTACATAGGTAATTTCCTTTTTGACAATTCTCGGGCCTTCTTCTCCTTTTTCATCAAGAATCCACATTTCCTGTAAGAAATAAAAATTGTAGAATAAACATACAGAAATATGACATAATCATATTACTTCTTGGCATGGTTTATTTGAACCAATATATGTTTCAGGTCGTTTAAGAATGTGATCAAGTTGTTCGAGAAGTTGATAGGTTTCTTCACCCTTATTTGGTGCATCGCTAATAGATTTATTCATTGAAGAAGCCATCATACAAACGACGTCTTCTGTGAAAATAGCGTTTAGAAGCAACTATAACAATATGATAAATGTGTATCGTTGCACCTAATCTAAAAATGAACGATAGTTTGATGTGAAATAACGTTTGTCTATTTCTTTTCGTTGTTTAAATAATGACGCGACACTGTTCGAATAAATAGTTGATTCTCTGTTTAGTTAAGTCTTTGTATTCGATTTCGAATTCTTTCTATGTGCCGGTTATTCACTTTATTATATTCAAATGATCAGTCAATTTAAATTAAAACTATTATTACTGTATTAAATTATTCAATCATTTACTACGTATTAATTTTTTAAACGGTTCAATGTAAGATTTAACATATTTTCCTACGACTAAAAGTTGTTTCCATTTATTTCGATAGATGCCCCTGCCTTTCATTGAACCCATGCTGAATCCAGTCTAAGAAGGTGAACTAACAAAATATCAATTGTAAATAACTTCTTTTTCAAACAACGTTCTACTATTGTACGGGTCTATGGCAGATACTCTCAGATTCATGAACTCGCATTTGCAAAAGAAACAGTGGCAAACAAATACAAGAGTTCCCTTGTTTTATGCTTAGATTTTCCTTTGTGAAAATTTTCTAATTGAAGCAATACATTTCTCTACTGAATCCTTCAATCTATTCATTTCAAATGAATTGATATGACATGTGGAAGGTCTTCTCGCGGTAAATCGAAGATGGAACGATAAATCATCCAAAAATTTTTACCAATCATTTCCTGTATCAATGAGTCTTCTTTTCTTTGATGACAGAACCAGATTAATATTGACTAATTTTACTGCATCATAATCTAATATGGATGTCACATCACAGATTCAAATTTTCCAAAACAGCCTAAGCGTTTCAATGAATGCGTCATAGAGAAATATATACAAATCTTAGCGACATTAAGTTAACAAAATATCAATCGTCCGTGGTATGTGATCAGATATTTGAAATGAAATTTTTAAGATATTCTGTCGGTCATTATACAACAATACTGTTCTAATTTAAAAAGAAACATAAATAAATGATATATGATATCAAACGAAAGAAATTTTACTGTTAAATGGGACTGGCTACGTTGGAAAATTCCTAGCATCTTTATGATTTACATGATTGTATTTCAACTTTACTATGCTAGAATATTCAACCACTAAATGTTGTATTGTTATCAGATTTCTACTATTTCTACTAGGAATATTTATATTTTAAATGCACATTTAATATTCTCGGTGAAAGAAACCAACAACAAAGAAAAGCGAAGCATTTACTCAAAAATATCATTTTGTAAATTAAATTTTTATAATAAACATGACAACTTCTAATTCAATCTCATCATTGTCAAAAACATGATCGTTTTCAAAGATCATTTTGGCATAGTAAAAGTCGATACGTCTGATTGCTTGTAGCAAATTTTCATATGTTGCAAACTAAGTAAACCCCCCCCCCCATATTAGAAGATCCCCCCATATTAGAAGACCCCTCCAGAGAATTCCTCCATAGGAATTTTGTTTTTTCACCAGCTAAAATGGAAAAAATTTACAAAAGTTTGCTGGACCATAATAGAAGACCCGGGGTCTTTTATTATGGGGGGGGGTTTAGTAAGAAATAAATAAAAAGATAAATATAAACATTTATAACCATTTATAGGCATCGCCTAACGACTTCAACATTCATTAAATACTGCTATTGTAAAATATATCATCAGTTATCATTTCAGTATAAAAATTTCAGAAAAATTCGTCGGGTTTTGTTGAATGATGTGGTCAAATTATATATTGAAAGAAATAATGATTTACTAAGATAAAAACATCAGAAATGTTATTCTTACGACAATTTCACTTGAAAGCATGTCTTTTGTAATAAGTATATCCAAGAAAACACTAGAGAAAGATGAGTTGCATTAAAAGTAAAGAAAAATAAAAAGAAATGATGAGTTGGAAGAAGCAAAGAAGTAATTCACCAGAATGGCAAAAGCTTTTATAATTCATTCTCTTAGTAAATTAATGTAAATGAAAAATACATCATCATTGAAAGTCTTTGCATTTATATACATACATATATATATATTCGGAAAATCTGAGATTTTAATAGAAAATATAATAAATATTTAAGGAAAAGCTATAAAAGTTATCTAGGACAATAGTCAGGCATGTGCTATGTCTAAAATTAGACGTATATGATAAATTGATAAGAAAATAATGTCTAGCAATCTACTGAGCTATTCAATTGAGCTATGTACCTATGCTTTCTTTTTTTTCTCTCTTCACAACTCTTCTTTCTGAAAATCTACACTAGTGCATGCCTTTCTTTTTTTTTCTTTCTTGTTGTCGTATATGAGTTTGTTGGTCTGAGTGGTAATTTATGAGCATTTGCAGTGCTTTCTTCTTATTCCATAAAGTCAACTAACAAATCATCATCATTATTAGTAGTATGTGCCGTCTTAGATCCATCATAGTAGATAGTTTTCTCTTTAATACATGGTTCAAAACTACCTAGATAACATCTAAAAGTTTGAATCCAGTCTATAAAACTATTGATCAAGGACATGCTCATAAATTAACTTCGCTTTAAAAAAAACTGCTATAATAATTTTAGTGGTCTAAGTATCTCACTTCAATAATAAAAGGCGCTTTGGAGTATAGAGGCACATTGATCACACAATTTTACTGGGTAATATATTGTTTTAGCATTTTTTTTAAATAGAATCGCAATATGAAGAGTAGTACTCGTTAGAGCATAGATGTTGGCATTTACACTAAGTTTTGTACTTTTTTTCCACGATGGTACTATCCTTTTCCCAACGAAGTAAACTTTCCTTTTGTTTTACTATCAGTAATTTAAATGAGTTGGCATTATTATTTTTATTGTATTAATCATTTTCAATGACTAATTCAATGTGTCATTTATCGTGAGGCTGCTGACTCATAGTATCGTTAAATAAGAAACGCGTGAACTTTTATGCGTTAAATTATCGTTTACATTTATAATGGTATTCATATTCGAATAAATCAATTGCTTCCATACTATCCTTATCAGTGTTTGCTTTTATATCATTTGTATTTCATTATCTTAGTATTTCATAATGAATAGAAATAAGTCATACCATATTTATTACTCAATATCTATGATTTTTTTTTCTTCTTTCAGATCATTATGATTTTGTGAATAACAACTACTTTGAAGCAAAGGATAAGACAAAAAAACCTTGTCGATTATGCAATCATCAAAAACTAGTCATGATTTATATCAAGAAGAAAATGAATTGAATCAACATAGACCGGTCAAGCATGTTCGAAGCCATGATAGTCAGGATAAAAAGCGTCAACATCAACACAGACAACATTCACCGATGCGAAGCAATCGATTCACGCCTTCTAACTTTCGACATTCCATACGCAATCTAACTTCATGTACTTTAATAAGGTAAATGAAAATAAGATAAATATTATGACTATTTTCTTATTCTATAAAAAGAAAACCTACAAAATTCTTCGATTATATTGAGTTTTTTTTCTTTTTTGATAAACTATGCTATATATTGTCTAAAATAATGAGTAAGCTCGCAATTTTTTCCATCTTAGTTATTCATATAATAAGTATGGTACTCGACGCAATAATTCGTCTGTTTCAGACGTTTTATATCCGGCTTTTCTGCGTAAGAACTAAAAAGAAAGATAGCCACACGATTTCCATCGTGTCGCTCTTTTTCTTTTTCTATCGACAACCATTATTTTTACTTATAAATGAATCCAATGTCGCCATGAGCAACATGACGGCATTAAACAAAGAAAGATGTTGATTTTAAGTCAACTCTATCGTCTGAGTGCCATTCTGGTTGTTACATTTTTGCATTTTAAATATCCGAGTAATTCATAGAAAAAGAAAAAGAAAATGCACAACATGCGCTCGACGACTATAAACATGGAATAAGAGCATAAGGACTAGTATTCAAAATGAAAATCGACTCTGCATTCAAGTTGAAATAGTAAGGGAAAAGCACAATTTTTCTGTAGGCATTTCGATGAAAATATTGTAATTATGGTAATGAAAATCAAAAAATCTAGCTGTTTTATGAATTAATTGTTCAAAAAAGAACAATGCGGTTGATATATTTCAAAATTGCTTAGAAGTTACTTGATATCGAATGTACATTACAGTTGCATGCCGAAAATATGTGCTATTCCCATAGTATTTGATCAAAATATCTAGTAATTAAAAAAATTTAGTATTGTTTTTTCTACTTTATGAACTCATCTTCTATTGAATGTCGTGTGTATTTCTTAATTTGTTTCTCTGATAATTCTGTACTGAATAGGCTACCCTCTCAATTGATGTTTGAGTCATAAGGAAAATAAAATCCATAGAAATTGAAACAGTAAATAGAAGCATAATTTTATTTATATTGATTTGTTTCCCGTTTTACTTCATTCTATTTTCCTTTTTTTCTGCCATGTACAAAAGAAAAAAAAATGAAAGACAATATTGCCGATCAAGAGTACTTTACGGAAGAAAAAGTGAATGCTAGTAGCATTCACTTTCATCTATGCATAGAACGCCATATTTTTTATCGTAGTCTCGTTCGATACCAATTACTTGAATCATTAGGTATTACAACAATAACACGTCGTCGTACAGAGAGAAAAAAAAACAGGAAGACAAACATTTTAAAATCGATTATGTTCTTATAAATGAGAAAAAAGAAAACGTGAATATGCAGCATCATTAACATTGACTTTCCTAGTTTGACAAAATATATGAAGAGAATCATGTTAAATTCACTGCGCCGCAGGTATGTTTTCTGGTGTTTTTCTCTATCGATTAGTATATTTGATTTTTTTATATTGACAGCTGATGAAAAATACTTCTTTTATACTTTGTGATTAGAGGTGTCAGCCGTACGGCTGAGCCGCCGCAGCAGCCGATTTTTCAGTAATATCAGTCGCCGCAGCCACCAAATTAGTAGTAATTTTTAAAATTTTGGGGGAGCCGCCGCTGCGAAAAAACAAGCTTAACCGTTGCGCCGCTGCAAGAGATAAAAAGTTTTGATAGCGTTATTTGCCGCCGCTGCCATCAATACATATGCGATCGAATCGAACATTTTTCTTTTAATTTTCATCAGTGAATTTTTAACTGAGACCGCCGCCGTCACATAAAGACTTACAAATATCAGCCGACGCCGCCGCTGTGAAAGAAATTTTAAGATTTTGTAGCAGCCGCCGCTGAAGACATTACTCATTCAAATAACGAACCGCTGGAAATCTTCAAAAATTGAAAATTGTTGCCCGCCGTCGCCGTTCAACCCTTCGGCTGACACCTCTAATTTGTGATTACTTATGAGTTGATTCATTTTCCCTATTATTTCAAAGGCAATTTTACTGATTATGCGTGACAATGAGTTCATTCACATATGTATATGTACCAAAACAAAATTTTTTTTTTCTATATACGACGTCAAAAAAACAAATCAATTGATTAATATAATTGTTTATTATTTTTTGATTTCTTGCCACTTGTTCATTGCTCTGCACGCTTAGTACAACATAACTATGTACGATAATTTCAAACAAATACTACTTGAAGGCAAGACACAAATCATAATCGCAATATTGACCGAGTTTGATTGTGTGGGGATTCATTTGATTTTTTGTCTTGTATTTATTCATCAGCATCATCATCATTGTTAATCGGAAATCCAATTTTTTTTTGGCTTCTATAATTAGATATACATGTGCATATACACATGCAAAAAAAATTGAAAGTAGATATGATGATGATTATCACAGAGAATAGTCAATAGACAGCGTTTGATAGATTATTAAGTGTATAAATATTTATCTTTAAGTTTCTGTCGCACAGTTTTTCAAGTGCGCCTGTGGGAACCAATAAGATTGATTAAATATGCTTACCTATAATAAAATGCATAAGAAATAATTGATTATGAAATTTATTCAAGATCGACTGATGTTTTTTTGCTTTGTATAGTGTAAAAAATAAGTAACAACAAAAAAATTTCAATTAATTAACCTAAATTAATTAGCTCATTATTTAAAGAGAAAATAATATCTAGCAATTATTTCATTCAAAAAATGTATTATATTAAAAATAAAACGAAAACGAAAACTAAACGTCTATCTTTTATATATGTTTTTTTCTCATATGAGATTTGAGATCCATTTTTATCACATTTTTTAATATGTGATCTAGAATATTTCTATTGTATATTCTATTTAATTAATATCTCAGTCAATTACCCCAAACTTTATGTTCTCGCATTAATAAGTAATCTTTTTTTTTCATATAATTCAGACGAAAATCTAATCGTACATCGGATGATGAGGATTCAAATACATTGAAGGCTCAATCAAATTGTGCACTCAAAGATGTTTCTCACCAATCATCAAAAGCTCTTCTCATCTCAACAAAATCTGCTTCAACATCACCATCAAATAATAAATATAAATCTCGTAGTAAGTCATTATTACCATCTACCAATGATAGTATTCCATCTGGTACAAAAAAAGATAAGTCACCAGGCCAAAAGAAAAGTGTTGAAATGCCACCCAAAGTATCGAATACACCTTTAATCGATGCCTCATCACAAGTGCTATCAACTACAAACGATGATATGTTACTACCAAACTCACGTATACTATCCGGCAAAGAGGTGAGAAGAAGTATATAATATCCTGTGCTTATTCATTCGTTTGAATGAGATTTAAAAATGATCGAGACAGATTTATCCTCTTGTTCATTATCAATCTGGTTCGATTGACTGAAGCATTATTTGAATAGTTTCATGATCGGTTTATGTGACTCGATGCGTCAGATCAACCATATCAACGTTAGTCGTTCAGTTTTTTCTCTTCTCTCTCTCTTCTTACACTTCTAGACGCACATGTGTACATCTATAGAGCTTATTACATTCTAATCTCACTTGCATGTCAAATTGAATTCATTTAAGAAAAAGAAAGATAAGTTTTATTGTCTCTCAACTAGTCAAATCAGCGCACTCTATTATCGATAGATTACCTTTAATTATCTTTAAGCTTTGTGATTTGTAAAAAAAATAAAAAGAGCAATGAATTCATGTTTCTAAATCTTCTTTCTATTTTTTGTTTAGATTAGTACAAGTCTAGTTAATCTGATGGGTACTGCATCCGATTCAGCCCCTATTAATAATACAACACAAATGCCAACTCATCCAGCTACAGTGAGTAGATTGAATTAGACTTTTTTTTTTTATCATTGATCAGTATTAATGAGAATATACCAAACGAACAATGAATATTTATCGTTTTCTACAGCCACGTAGAAGTAGCGTATTCAGTCTTATTCAGGTAGGCATAATGAGAATTTATACTTATATATATCGATGTAATATCGATTATTTTATGAATGAAAAAAATACTTAACATTTCTAAATCGTTTTGCTTCTTTTTTAATGGCAATTTTACTAATCAAAGGCAGTAACATATTTCCCAATGAACGACCTTGTCTATTGCTTAGTACGTCTGTTTTGCTGTCTTTGTTATCACGTCATCGAGAGAAGAAAAAAAAGAAAAGAATCGTTGATGATGAACAAAGACACGGGAGAACGGAGATAGATATATTTTACTATCAGATACAAAGAAAAAAAAGGAAAAAGAAAGACGAACATATATTTTCTATCATCAGACACACAACTCACGTCTCTAGAATTGATCGCACCGCCTTCTATTTCTACATGCAGAAAACAGACAGAGAAAAGAATTATTCTTTTTCTTTTGTCCTTTCACTGTCATTGATGGTTGTTTGTTATTGTGCCGAATCGTCATGATAATCATAACAAAAAAAGAAATGCATTCCATAAGAATCTAACCTCGACTTGTTGCTTTCTTTATTTGATGTTAAATATTATGACGGGAGTTAATCGATGTTTCGACAATAATGAGAATTAACTGCAGATATTGATCTAAATATGAATTCAGATGATAAGCTATTTTCCATGTTACCCTTATTAACTCATCGAATCATTAATCTATCATCATTATTTCCTATTCGCAATAACGATTATCTCGTATGTTTTCTAAAATACTCATATAACTGCTGTATCTTTCTCAAAAAAAATTTAATTGAACTTAAATCATTCGTTTTACTTTACAGCATATTTCATCGACGTCAGCTGCTTCAGTTGAACGAATAGTATGTAATATATTATTTTTATTTATCTTTAATTCAGTAGTCATCTATTCAGGGATTTATCGGACCTTCGTCTAATATTGGTAGATCCGGTATGATGGAATCACCGTCAACACAACGAACAGTGGACACAGGAAACAATCACACAGGAGGCGTATCACCAAATTCACATAAAAAATTAACAAATCAATATACATGGTCTTGTGAAAGTTCTGCTACAGTTCATATAAATACCGCAATTAGCTTCGATGAATGTTTACCACATCTTGAAATTGATGACAAACCATTAATATATCGTGAACAATTTCAATCAACCGTATAATAAAAACATTTTTCCTCTAGTTTTTTGTTCGGAATAGCAGGTTCTTGGCGTTCTTTTTCTAGGAACATTTTAATTGGTATGGTATTAGCGATACTCATGGACCTGTTATCATATCATTCAAATACTCAAATGATTCGAATAAACAACGTTTTATAATGGCTATTGTGCGGTTAGTGAATAGTAGAATTAATTTGTTTATTATTTTGTTTCTCATTCAGAACTCGACAGCAAACATCGATCGAATCATTATTGTACATACCATCCACATGTTCTTCTATTGATATTTTACGGCGCATATGTGAACAATGTGCCATCACTGATATTGAATATTTTGATCCGGTGCTTTGTGATGGGGTACAAGTCATTCATGAAAATAAATCAATATTTTTAAATTTCTTTCAAATTTTAGACTCATGATTTACTCATAAAATATGACGAATCATATGTATCGAACAGGCATAAATTCGGTATCATATATCAACGTGAAAACCAATTGACAGAAGAAGAAATATTTAGTAATGAAACGCACAGTACTGCTATGGATAAATTTCTTGATTTTATTGGTAGTCGTGTTAAACTAAAAGATTTCCAAGGGTAAACAAAGAAATATTCTAAAATAAAATACAGTTACCTATCTAAACACAAAAATATTACTGTAGATTTCGCGGTGGTCTTGATATCAAATCTGATCAAACAGGAACAGTTTCGATTTATGAAAATTTTAATAATCATGAAATAATGTTTCATGTCAGTACATTATTACCTCATTCAAAAATAGAACGACAACAAGTAGAACGTAAACGTCATATTGGTAATGATATTGTTGCGATAGTTTTTCAAGAAAATGAAACTAAATTTAATCCCGAATGTATTGCATCACAATTTCTACATGTTTATCTTGTTGTAACGCCATTGAATGATGATGGTACACATTTTAAAGTGTCTGTAATTCATCGTGATAACGTACCTTCATTTGGACCAGTTATAAATCATTCAAATTCATTTAATTGTGATCATACATTTAAACAGTGGTTATTAACAAAACTAATTAATGCTGAAATAGCTTCGTGTAAAACAAACACTTTTCAAAAATATCAAGTGAGAAAAGTTTCTTTTTGTTTTATGATTTCATATTATTTTTATTTTTACCATGAAACAGGAACGTACAAAAATGCAGTTATTTGAGAATTTGTATCGTACACTACATGATAGTAATCGTTCATTGATGAGTTTTATATTTAATAGTAGCCTATATAAACATGAATGTGAGATTGAACAACAAAAAGAAGATGCTCAAATGTATTCTTCACCAAAAACATATGATCGCCATACAGATAATTCAATACTTGGCTCAGTAAGACGTCGTCTTATTGCACCAAAATTTCGTGCACAACATTCAATTACGCCACCACCACCACCACCACCACCACCGTCAACAACAATTATTATTTCAACACCCACACCGAATGATTCAAAGACGAAAACATCCATAATGTCAATGGACTTGAAGCACAGTGTATCCAAAGAATCAATGACAAATAATAGTAATAATGGAAAAAAAGCTTCCATGTTCTTTCTATCAAAGGTAAAATTCTTCGTTATCATATATATGTATGTAGATGAGAGCTGTATTTATTAACTTATTGTGTTTTACTTTGTTGAAATTATTCGTCAACTACTATGACTATCATAAGTTTGTTTTGTCTCTCATGAGAATTGAGAGACGATATAATCTTTCTGTGAATGTTGATATAAATAAGACCAATTCAAAAAAAAAACTATTAGATAAAATACACATGTTTCTTCACCTAATGAAGTTGTTGTAGCGAAACTCAATTTTGTCTATATTCTATCCTAAGAGAATTGAGCTGTGTCGTCTAAAGATGAAACAGTCAAATTTCGCTATTCTATCGAAAATAAAGTTACTCACGATTCTGTTGTTCTTTTATTGATGCGTATACTTCGGATCAGCTTTTGCTTTAATCACGAATGTAACCGGAAGAAAGTCTAGATTTAATGGGTAACTTTCTTTGTCGCCTGACAAAAATATTCTTGGAATGTCTTGACACTTATAATATGCTCTGTGTGAGTGTTCAGAAAACAAGATAATTATTTTAACACAAGAGCTTATTCTTGTGCATAGTACCTACCGATGGTTCAAGCAAACTATCAAGTTACTCAGATGTTTGTCCAAAATTTGTAAATACATTAGATATGAAAAAGATGATATTAATCGTTTGCGAGTAATGCATCTGGAATTTTTACGCGTTGGACTACACACAATAATAATTAATAATAAATTTTAATCATATTATTCGTCTTCTATTGATTTATCTAGTTTATCGAGTCACTTTTAGTTAGTTGATACTCGAACTTTCTCTAGTCAGTAATTTCTATTGCTTTTAATCAGTCGATGCGACTTATACATATCGATCTATGATTTCACAAATTATCATCTCAATTTGATGTTTGCGATTAACTTCTAAGCATAACATAATCTACTCTTTATTCAAGTTCATATTGGCTGGAAGCATAAAATTATGTTTTAAGACATGTTCTGTTGTAAAATCTTCATTTCGATGATAATATATTCTTCTTTTTTATTAATAGAACCATATTCCACCTATGGATAAATCAAATACGAATCGCTTATTACTAGATACTGAAAATGTTGAGTTATCATTAAGGTAATATTTTCAAATAATTATATTTATCTTATTGTATTTCAATTCAATTATATCATTTTAGTCCTCGTTCAAATTCGAAATTTTTATCACCAGCAACAAGTCCATCAACACCGTCCAATTATTTTGACTATAATGAAGAGTCATATTCATTTGCAACATCATTTTATTTTAATAAACTATCTATGAATCATATTGATTCAAACACTCGTCATGAATTATCACCCGATCATCTACAATCTTCATCGAAAGATGGTACAATTAACAATCAAAACATTCTTTTTAAAATATTGCTGTTTGCTTTCTCTATTATAGATCTAATTAAATTTGTTATTGCATTGCAGCAACATCATTCAACAAAATTAGCTCAAATGGATGAAATTCATTCAAAAGCTTTGAAAGAACTTGAGATCCAATTAACACAACCGAGAAATATGATTAATGGAGATACGTCATCAAATTAATAAATGGTGCATTTTTAGCGTTCATTCCGTCTTTAGTTTTGTTTTTGTTCGCCAGAAATTTTCATGCTAATTCATTCAATAACTTAACATTATTATGTATCATACCTTCAAAATTGAAATCTCTCTCTTGTTCCTTATACACATACGTACATACATATAAATATTTATCTATCTATTGGTGTTTAAATGTATAGGCTTTGCATAGAATGGAACTGCTTGCTTTTCTCTTGTGCTTTTACTATTTGTTATAATATATACACAATCGATCTTTATATTCTCAGCATACATATTTGCCATGATTGAATAATTTTGTATAAGCTAAACAAAGCTCCGAGTCTTTCAGATCGAAGTACGATAAATATTAAACAGGACATGAAAGTTTCAATGAATTTTTGTGCTTTTTTTTATATATCGTTGGCATATAGTAATCAATAAAAAAACGAACAGATAATCATACTTAAATTTTCCAACGAGTTAGTTTTTTAAGGCTTTATTTTTATAAAACTTGAATGAAGTTTGTCTAGAAAAAGAACATAAATGGAATCAGTGACAGCAATAAAAAAAAGCTAACCATTTTCAAGTAATTTCGTCTATTGAATAGATTTTCAGCAAGAAGGAAAATGCAAAGGAAACGTAAGTTCACAACTGCAAAGATATCAGTCGGATTCCAAAAAGCCTTTGAAGAAATATTTTAGCCGATCTATTTAGCAGGTGAAAACTTATATTTTGACTAGTTTCAATATCTAACTTTCAACGATAAAAGCTATCTTTCACATAATATTGAATTCATTCGAGTTGGTCCTACAGCTACTCATCTAATATGTAGCTGCTTTTATTTTTTAAAGAAGAAAAAAGATGATAAGGAAGACAAATTGTTTTTTAGCTTTTTCATCTGTCTGTATTTCAAAAAAATGAATTCATTGTAAATCATTCGGCTTCGACTATCTAAAAACTTTTGATAGCAAAATTCATCACCAATAGAACGTAAAATATCCCAATCAGCGGTTACTGGTTTGTTAAGTTCTTTAATGAACAGAGCTAACTGCGTCTATAACCTTTGCGATGAAAACAGAAACGATATAGCAGTCTAGTTAGTGAAGCACTCAATTGACGAACGCTGCATACTAATTAGTATCTGTAATAGGTTGGGAATGTAAATATATTCATAAGTTTCTTAGAACAACGGATGTCAGTTTCACAAAAGTCTATTTGATCTCATCATAGAAAAGATTTTTATTGTATTTTATGTGTTGAAGAAGAAAACAAAACCTTCCGGAATAGCAGACTTTGCCATAATGAAGGATCTGTCCGCGACTAGAGATCTCTTTGGACAAGTGATTTACTAGACCTTATACAAGACTTCCATGAGCTAACTTGTTTTTTTGACTAATTAAAATTCTAATTAGTATGTATGCATCAAAATATATTTTATTTTCTGGATTTTCAGGTGAATATTTTAAAATAATGAGGTAAAGAATATTGGTATATTATTTAAATCGTGTTTGAAGTGTACTGAAAAAAAGAAACAATTCAATCATAAGCAAGAAGTAGATGTCTTTGGATTAGTTTTGAATGATATGTGACTTTCGTTTTTTCTTTAAAATTATGCTTCGGAGTTTCTCGATCAGAACTCTTTGTGCATAGTCTATTTGAGTATGAATAATTTTCTTTTGTTTCGAATATCCTTACAGATGATTTTTCGCTTCTATTAGCTTATTTCCCTCTTTGGAACAGAAAATAGTAGTTCTAGTCTTATAAGAAAGATGATACATACAACCACGTTGAAGTTCATACACTTAGGCATATGATAGGTATAACTAAAGCAAGTACTTAGTATTGTTATACTAATTATCAAAGCACCGGACAAAATCTAGAGAAAATCCTTGAATTCTTGTATTCAACTATTCATTTTGTGTGATAAGCGTGCGAAAACTAGAATTTCTTCTTGAAAGAAAACAAGAAATATATTCTATCTTCAACATGTGGTAAGCATTGATTTTTACTCTATTCTGGATAAAAAAATAGAGGTTACAAGTGTTTGTCTAGACGAGAAAATTGATTCCTTATTTTCTTTATATAAAGCAACTGAGGAGAAAACAAGTAGTTAGGTAACTAAATATATCTTATTCTAATTATATGACATTTTTTATGTCAGAAACAGATAACCACCGAGGCCTCTATGGATAATTTCTTTCTGTAAAAAACTGACGTACTTTTCTTAAATTAATTGTTTATTAAAGAATTTCTGTTCCAATGAAACGATATAAGAATCATTAGAAACACATTAACGACAAAATCACTAATATATTTTCACGTGTTTCATTCATGTATTAAATATTGTAAGCAAACGATCTAAGAGAATGATCAAAACTCTTTCTGAATTAGTAGTATTGTCGTAACAAGATAGAATACCAAATCAAAAAACTTGAATTACTATTGTGAGCATGTTATGGGAAAAGATTGTGAACTAGAATTAATTTATCAATATCATAATCATATTTTTATCTATTAGAATATTTATCTACATATGATTGGTCCAAGATACAATCACGCCTTATACACCATAATAGTTAAGATCATCATCATTAGAGTACGTTTTTCTTTCGTATGTGTAATCACCATTTTCTCATATTTACCAAATACATTCTAAGTAATACCAAGTCAACAATCAAACATCTCGTTTATTCTCATTGTATCGACGATTCGTCTGAGACAAACTTTAATTAAATGAGTAGAAACGAAGCGACGTAATATTATTGTTTAACCAGCATTTATCCAAAAACAAGTATTTGTTCTACGTATGTACGTATGTCAAGTTCGTTCGTCAAACTATTGTATAATTCTAGTTGATGATATGATTACAAAATATTAGCTCGAATAGGCAAATACTTTATTCTAGTGATTATCATATTCATGTCTTGGTGATTTACACAATATCTGCATATTGCCTAATTTGATATCAGTTTAGAATTTAAAGTTTTTGGAACTGTTTCTAGTTGTGCTATGTGTAACTTTTAAAGTTTTTGAGATTATTTTTCCTATGTAATTCAAATAGGATACATAATGTGATCCGTGAGGATTGATTGTTCACTTTCAGATGTCTTCGGAACATGTTTGACCTGTGAACAAAATATAGATTTCATAATATAAACCCATTTCTGGACATGTTAACAAAGTGTATGAACATTTTTCAAGCGAATTTATCTACGATGACTTTTCATGATGATTATTTCAGATAGTTTAATGATAGTTATTGAATATTGTTCGGTTCATATTTCATTTATTCTGGCCAAGAAAACTGAGAACAATTAGATGAACTGTATATGATATTTTAATGCAAACAACGTATCTAAATAAAATTTGAGTAGCAATTAATTATCACATACGGGTAGAACTCGACTTCTGATGGCCTAACTTTTCTCGTCATAGATTTATTTATATTGTATTATAAAAATCTTGAGAGTAGAAAGAGCTCACAATTTTGAATAAAAGGAAAATTTTTCACTAAATATGAGAATATAGTAATCAAATCACTATATGAACAGTAACATTTTATGTTGATTTTTTGAATAAATCATACTTTTTTCGGATGTTATCGCAATCGATTCATGTTCATTGAAATTATGGATCCCATCGCACTCTTTATGTTAGATAGAAGTTGTACATGTTCACTAATCATATTTATTCCTTATGAAAATTCTTTGATTGAATCTATGATACGCTTATTAGAGTTGGCAGATCTAGTAGTTCTCTATCAAAACAATTTATCTAACAGTTGTCGATGCGTGACCAAATTCTGTACTTTAAAAACTGGGATTTTCTAGAACATACTTTTGTACAAATAAACTGCACGATACGATAATTGATAAATATCAAAATTGTCGTTCTCCAATATGTTGACAATCAGTTCAACTTTTAGAGATTGCATCATTACTACCGTGTTCGAGTTCATGTTCAGTTTTACTTCTATCAATGAAGACATTCGTTCTTTTTCTTTTCTTCTCCTAAAAAACTTGCCTCGTTATCAACACTAAATATTTCTAATTTGTCAAGTTTCAATGTATATATATATAAATTCTAGAATTTTTGAGATTTAGTTAATAATACATTAAACGAACTGAAAAAATAGTCTATTTTTCATACGGTTTCGATTCAACTTCGATGTACTCACAATCAAAATATGTAGATAAAAAACACCTGAAAGTTCATTTTCGTATCACTTTTATGGCAAATGTTTATCCCACATCAATGTTTCCGAATTGTCAATGAACACTCACAGATTTTCTTCTTGTTTTTTTTCTCTTTTATTCTCTTCTTTTTTTAACAAGAGGACAATCAACAACAGTGATAGACGAGAAAAAATGTTTTTGAAACACAACAAATAAAGACATGGAAGAAAAAGAAACAAAGAAAGCTAATAATGAACAATAATAAAAAGCCGAGCAATCGACAATGAAAAGAAAAGAAAGAGAGAAAAGAAAATGTCTCAATACGATATTGTCATCTGTATTTTATTTTGTATCGTATATTCTATTCATTGTATTTTTCCTTATGATTAAGTAAATATTCCGCTAGAAAACTAATCGGTTTAGCGGGTCGTTCTTTAGCAAGTTGAGACATTGCCTGAAGAAGAATCGGTACAACAGTTTGATCAAGATAAGCCCGAGTTGGTAATGTTGATAAATCAGGTTTAGTTTTTTCACCTGATTGTTGTTGCGAATTTGCATTATTTTCCTTGGTCGTATCAGCTGACGTTGTTGTTTTATCATTTGATGTTTGTTGTTCACCTGAATCAGCAGCTGTTTGAGCTTCCATTTGTTCTGATGATGTTGTACTTACAACATTTTTCTCACCTGATTCACTAGCTGCATTAGCTGATGCTGCTTGATTTTCACCTGATACTTCCGACATAGTAATGTAACTAAATAGTCTTTAGAATTTAATCTAAAACAGAAAAAAATGGCATAAAATGTTTATCCTACTATGTACGCTTTTCTTCGAATACAAAAGAAAAACGTGTAGCCATGAACACTACTAAATGCAACAGAAAAATGGCCATGTATGTTTTATCTAATTGCTTTAAACTTTGACAATATGAACAATACAGAAAGTGATATGGAATAATTCTAAATTATTCGCCATATTTTTCTTTATTCTGTTGTAAATATAAAGCCAATTGTTCAATAGGTTTAGCTGGACGATCGCGTGCAAGCTGCGACATAGCTTGAAGAAGTATAGGTACAACAGTTTGATCAAGATATGCACGTGTTGGTAATGTTGATAAATCAGGCTTTTGTTTATTATGCACTGAGTCGTCTTTTTCGTTATCACCATTTGTTGTTGCATCATTATTGACTTTTCCTGAATCTATTGTTTGTTGATCCATTGGTTCATTTGGGGATGTCTTTTCCGTATCAGTACCATTAGTTGATGATGGTTCATTGTCGTTGTTTTTTGTTGCATTTTGTTCAGTTTCGATGGCGGTCTCCGACATATTCAATTAATAGATAAACAAAAAAAACCTTAATGGATTATCTTTTATCTGAACGATAGGTGTAAGATGATAAATGAATGAACAAAGCGAATGTCCGTTAGTTTCCCTTTCTTCTAATCGCCATTGTTGACCGACCATCAAATGACTTGTTGGTGGTGATGCTTTAAAAGGTTTTGAACTTATTTATAAAACTATGATATCTATAATGCTTTTTTGATATTAACCAATATTCATTATTCTACGCAACTGTTTATCTATGAAAGAATTTCGGATAAAACCAGATGTCACTATATATCAATCACATGGTTTTATTCTATATGTTAGTATATTTTCATATGAATATGGGCCCATGAAAACATTACTCTCTGATTAGACAGACGTTTTTGTAGTGCAAATTTTCAAATAGTTCTCTCTCTCTCTCTCTCTCTCTCTCATAATATTCATCTACTTTCAAGTGTTATGTTGATACTTAAATGGTTGATCTAGAGTATAACGTTATAGATCCCTAAGAAAAATATAAGCATGGCTACAATAGGAACTAATTATTATTATTGTTTTGTATTAAGATTTGAACTGTAATTAATTTGTTATTATTTTACTTTCTAATATAAAATAATTAAATTTGTGAAATAGGCTTTAACAAGAATCATCTAAGTATGCATACCATCCAGATTTTTCGATGAAACAGTTTATATTTTGTAACAAAACAATGATTGATTGCTTTAGGTTTGATTTTGTGATTTTCTAAGTCGATTCCTGATGTCAGGAAATTGAAGTCTCACACAATCAGTGCTATTAAATATAACAATATTATTCTAGCCAACAAATCATAAATAATTGTATGACAACGCTCTTTTTCAATAGCGTAAACATTTTTCTAATCCGTAAATATTCTCAAGTTAAGACTGATTGTTTATGTATAAAGAATAAATATTTCTTTACCATTTTTATTGTTCATACTACTTCCTGTAATTTGAATAAATGAAAGTATAGAGCAAACTAAAAATTTATGAATTATTTCATATCGAAAAAACTTTTGATATTTCCAGAAGCAATATTTTGATAGATAAACATCTAAAACATTGTTGTTAATGATCTATATCCCATTTTTTTATTTATTGCCGTGCTACGTAAACATAGTGACTATCAATAATAAATGTAATTATTTGACATTGCAATTAAACTTTTGAGTATCATTGATCAACTTTAAGAATTACTGAATTTTAAAATTGTTACATTATTAATCTGACAAAATTCTTGTCACTCAGCAAATTTGAATATTATTTCTCAGGTATACTTAAGAAATAAGAGTTGCATTTCTCGTCCGTAAACTACTGACAACTTTTGATTCACAAAATGTAAAAGGTTTTTCTATCTATTAAAATATTTAACTATCTATTGTTTAACTCTTCCCTATGTTCAATAGGAATTCGAAATAATGCCTCAATATTTATTAAAATACCTCTATTTTTTAAAATACAAAATTTATAATTTCGTCTAGCTATATGATTTTTATCTTAAAACTGTACTAGACATTTTGACATTGCATTCAATTATTTATCTGACAAAATGAGAGTTCAGTGTCGAATGGTATGAGAAATAGATTGAAAATGAGCATCCACTTTGAACAGCATATAGGACAAGACACGGATAAAAAATCACGTATCGCCTACTATGCCGAATCTTTCTAAGATAAATATTTCTTTGAATCATACAATAAATACATTCCTGATAATTTAAGACGAGCACACTCATAAATCAAATATTGTTCCATAGACTATTCAATTACCACTATATTCTCAAGTAATGTCATTTATCTCGTGTTTTTTTCCCATTATTATATACTAAATATTTGTAAGGAGAAAAGATTGATATCATATCATGATCTGCAGACCAAACTATATTTCTATATCCATATATGCTTTGCTATTCAACAGTAATTCCATAATAAATAAATTTGAAAACAAGAACTATACTCAATGAATTATTCTACTTCTTCTCGAATAGTTCAATCGACTGCGAATATAATACCCAATTATAAATGATAAAAGAAAGTATTTTTGAGATAATACGTTCAGTAATTTATGAATAGTTTGATAAAGAGAACTATTGATATGTATAATAGATAAGAAAAAAACATTAACTGCAATCAACAAAATCAAACTTACTTATAACAAAGAATACATTTAATTGATTGAAAGTTTCCATACGAATGCTTTCTTTGGGAGAAAACATAATTATAAGAATTAATATAGGTACACATTAGCTTTTTCTTTTTTGAAAAACGCAGTCATAAAGCTGATTTTTTTTTTAATTTCTGAATTTTTTAACGTATGAGCAATAGCAACAACATAAAGTAAGGCACAATTACATGCACGCACAAGAAAAAATATATGTAGATGAAAGACAACACGAATAAGACAGCAATTTTCTGTTCACAATATAGGAAAATCAAAAAGAAGTAGTTTGGTTCATTTTAAAGATGCAAAATGGACATGAGCAAAGAACAACGATAGCAACAATTATAAGAAAAGGAAAAAAATGCATTGTATGGAACAAACAGAAAACGAAAACATCGATTGTGTTCAATAGATTCGATAAATCATACTGCTCGTTAATTTCATTTACGCAAATTCAATCTAAGAATAAAATAAAAACGAAAGAACATCTAGTTTATTATATTTCGAATGATCTTACTTGTTTCCATCATTACCACTTGATTGGTTTGATACTGTATTCACTACAGCTACTGCAGCAGCAACATTTACTGTAGTTGCTACTGCAGTGCCGCCAGTTTGATTTTTATTTGCAGCATTATTAGAAAGAGCTGTTGTATTTTCACCTCTATGAGTTGAATCATCAGAATCATATTCATCTTCGCTGCTACTCGATGATGTTCGGAAATAGTTGTCTTTAACAAAATGAAATATACCCCTGAAGATTAAAGCACAATAGAATTTAACTAACACTATATTTTCCACTTACGTTTTCTTTGGCACAGGATTCGGCGCAGTTTGTAAAAGATTACGATACTGTTCAGATTGAATAAAACGTGGATAACTATTTTTTTTCATCAATTCAATGATATGTTTTTCAGCTTCAAAAAATAGTTCACTAGAAAAATGAGAATAGTAAGTTTGAATACATAAATTTAGTTTCTTGTTTTCTTGTACAAATCCTATTATGCTTTTCAAGGAAAAATATAGTTAATGAAAATTATAAATCTAGATGTTCTAGAATATAATTTTCATAGCAACGAGCACACTTTTTTAACCATGCAAGAAAGACTGATGAACTCCTTCTGTGATACTAGTGTTCATTGATATCGATTGAAAACAATAAGTGTCAGACGTATTTTCAAGAATTTTTTAGAAATAGAGAAAAATGTTCTTAGACTATTCTGGAACATCCGAAAAACTTGTCTTTTAAATTTAATAGACAAAAACATATCTATGAGTGATCTAAATATTGCATCTTATTAAATTTAGACAAATACAAATCTATCATCAAGATATTCGAGGATGACAATTAGCATTGTATTGGCGTGCTTTAGTTCTAATATGATTAACATAAAAAACGTTAACTGATCAGATAATAACTTTGAAAAAAAGCTATATTGGTGTTTATGAGCTTATGCGCGTGTATGATAATATGTTTTGACTTGTCTTACATATGATAAAAATGTATCAGAAACATTTTTGTTTTCTAGCGAAATCAATGGTTAGCAAAATAAACACATATATTACAAAAGTTGAAGTATACAAAATGAGAGCTAAGAAATAAGTAATAACAAGAGAAACAAAACTCAAGGATCAATAGTAAAAAGAAAGAATATATGTTTAAATCGAAGAAACAATTACTATAGACCATTTCTTTTCTAATCGACTTTATACAGAAAACTATACTGTACTAAAGATTGTTTTCTATGCGTATATATATATATGTTGTGGTCAAAATTCAAATCCAGTCAAATTTTAAATTTGCCCAGACAGAATTCAAATTAGAATTGTGTCCAACAAAATCCCAGTCAAAATTCTAATTTCGATTTTTACTAAAAAAATTCTAATTTCAATTTTCAGGGTGTGGGTGTGGGTGTGTGGGATGTGGGTTTGAATGTGAATCTCTCCATCAACGCCGGCACCCGCACTAGAGTGTGAGTGTGGGTGTGGGTGTTGATCCTGTGTCCAACCGCATCCGACACCCACACCCACACCCTGAAAACCGAAATTAGAATTTTTTTAGTGAAAATTGAAATTAGAATTTTTTTAGTAAAAATCGAAATTAGAATTTTGACTGGGACTTTGTTGGACATAATTCTAATTGGAATTCTGCCTGGACCAAATTCAAATTAGAATTTTGACGGAGATTATATTGGGCAAACTTCTAATTGGAATTTTGCCCGGGCAAATTTAAAATTTGACTGGATTTGAATTTTGACCACAACATATATATATGTTCTATTGATTATAGTATGATGATTCTTAAAAATACATAAGAGTTCCACAATGAAATCCTATCATAAGGAACTGTGTTGACAAGCATTTTTAATCAGAATATATTTAAGCTACCGGCTAGGATTTTCTAATTGTTTGATTATTTTCGTTCGTGTGGTATCATTAATATTAACTTCCTGTGGTGCGTTTGGTGCTAAATGTTCACTACAACAAACAACAAGAAAAATAATTTTGTTGTACGGAATTTTTATATATAGCTAACCGATAGACAGCTTCAGCTTTATGTTTCATTTGTGATAATGGACAGTTTCGTATTTCCTGAACATGTAAATAAAAATTGAGACTTTCAGTTGAAAACTCAGCTTTGCAAAATTTCATAAATTCTCGAACACCAGTTGGATCGGAAAGAAGTTCTTTGCAATTGAATGCCCAACGACGAACACGAAGTTGCGTAGGACTTTCAACTCTAAACACATTGAATTATTAGTTTTATTCTATTAATTCAACACGCATCGGAAACATACAAAGGTTGCATTAAATTCCATCGGTCGGTATCTGATGTTAACCAAGGATTGGACGGAGGACAATGTCCCAGAAATGGATCATAATCACTGAATACTTCAAAGAATACACACAAACTAAAATAAAAATAAAAATAAAAATAAAAATACAACATGAATTCATTTTAATTCTCTCAACTACAATGAAATATTGTTTTATGGCGACATGAAGCAATAGAGTATAGACATTTAAAAAAAAATAGACGAAACAAGATAACATCAACTGTTTGGCAGGGTTATAAACATAGAGGACGTAAAACCTTTGATGTGTTTGTGACGATTTTGTGCGTACTCGATTCGATAACGCCTGTTGCAGATATTCAAGCTGAAAAATATCGAGTTCAATCATTTTTCGAGTCTCTTTCTTATTCAATCTAAAATTATCTTTAAAATTGCGATATACTCACACGACGTTTTAGGGCTTCATCACGTCGCATGGATCGAAATGTATATAAATCATTACGAATATCCATTTCCAAAACCGACGTTTCATCCGGCTATAAATATATATATATATATATATATATTAATTAAATATAAACAGAATATATAACAGAGAAAAACTTACTGAAGGTCGCATAACACGCCAAAAGGCTCGTTCTTGACTATCTATTATAGTTTTGTCCGTCTTTTTACGATCTTTCAGCACCCTAAATAAAAATAAATACGTTTTTCTTTTATTTTTAATTTCAAAGTTTAATAGTATTAGGAATCTTACCGAAATTGAGCTTCGGCTTGCATGGTTACAAAATCCCATTGATGTAGCAATTTCTTTTTTAAATCTTCTAATGCACGCTAAGAAAATAAAAGTCATAAAAAGACAAAATAACAGCTAATTCAATATTGAATCAACAAACAATTTCATGTTCTTCGAGACCGTGTCGTTGACGATTTCGTAACGTTCGTTTCATTAAATAAATAGCTAAAATGATAAAAAAAAATTTGTCTTTGCCGAAAGTACAACCGTTTTTAACTCACCATATTCTGTATTTCCCGTAGTCCAATTTGTTGAAACCCAAAAATAAGGTGCTTGAAAACGAAATAATTCGTTATCTTCTTTGATTTGTACAGCTCCATTGGTTGTTACATGAAAAAAATAACCAAAATAGCACAACAACGAAGCAAAATGAAGCGCTTCAGCTAAAAGATCAATGAATAAGATAGTTTTTGTCTTTTTTTTAAACTGCCAAATCATTTTGACGTACCGGAATCTTTGACATTTAATTTTTGCATAATCCATTCTGTTATATCATTACCCGTAAATGCATTTGGAACTGTAGTAAGAAATAATTTTTGACTACGAACAGGCACACCTGCTGTTGGATGTTGCATGGCTTTGACAACACGCTCCATCCTTTGGAATTGAAGTGAACGTGGCAAACCTTTTCTTTGAGAGTTGCTTGTTCCTTCCATTTAAATTAATTAAATTCTCTGAAATTATATGAAACAAAATCATAATTTAAATGTAAATATTATATATGTATTTTGTTTTTGTTTTTTTGTTCTTTTCACAGATAATAAGAGGATGATACATAAATGTTATTCAATATACATAAGAATAGTATTAGATACCAAGAAAAGAAAACAAATAGTATTATTGAGACACAAATTGAGAATGAGAACAATTGTTGGCTACAAGACATAATAAATATAAGAGAGGTAAAGCCGCCCCAGATAAACATAAAATGAAACATCTGACAAAAAAAGCACGATTTTTGAAGTCATGCAATATGCTTTTTTGATCTGACTTTTTTACAAAACAAATAAGCATATGTTTAGAAGTAATATATAAAAAACGAAGAGAAAGAAGAAGCAGAAGAAAAAATATTTGTTCATCACTATACCATAGCATTATCATTTTGCGTATTTTTAATTTCGTTTTTTCTATGAATGCGCAATAAAAGAAAACTACTACACACACACACACACACACACACATAGACAAGAAACAACATGAAAATGCCGTAGAAAAATAACAATGTAAAAGAGATGGACACGATAGAAGAGAAAAGATTAAATTTTAGTATGTTGATTATCAAGAATAGCATTAAGAATTTCTTGTTTGGCTTTTTCAATATCTTTACGTAATTCATTCAATATATCCATTTTGAGTTTTTCCAATTCATTTGATGAATAATTACATTCAGTCGCTTTTCTTCCAACACGCGGTGAAGTTGCTGCAGGTCCAGCGATTGCTGGGGGCAAATTTGTTGTTGATATTTTTGACGCTCCTTTATTATTAATTGAATTATTTGCGTCATTTTTTTCATTTTCATCAATATATTTGCGTCGTTGAGCAAATTTAGCTGCCATTTCAGACATTAAATCCATCGGTGGAGCAGTCGTTGTTATACTTGTTTTTCGTCCTGTATTGTTATTGCTGGTACCATTACTATTGGGAATTATTAATGCAGGTGCAGCTGGTGGTCCATTACCAAAACCAGGTAATGGAGGTGGTGGTGGAGGTGGCGGAGCGCCATTAGAAATAGACATAGCCAAATTCAAAGGTGGCGCCGGTGGTATATTATTATTTTTATTCGACGAATTATCACCGAAATATGAATATGAATCTGATATAAGAGCGTAGTTTGTTTCTTCATCTTCAGCTGTTTGATGTTGTTGTTGACAATAGTAATTATTATTTATTGCAGATTGAGTTGACATTAAAGAATTCGAATTTTGACGCAAATGACTGGCATAAGGCGATGACGAATATTGCTGCTGCTGAACATCTGAATTTGAAGAAGGACAATTAATAGGTACTATTGTTGTTGTTGTCGATGGAAGCGTCGAAGGAGGTTGACTGGATTGACGTTTATAGGATGGTACATTATTATTATTATTATTCATTGAAGATGATGATGGAAGAGTAGCTCCTCCATTAATCACCATCTGAGAAGATGAATTATTATTAGAACCATTAACATTTTCAAGAATCTTCATCATCGTCAGTCCAAATTCTTGGGCATCAAGTTTTGATGAAAAATTTAAGCCGTAAACAGATGATTGATCTCGCCATTGATGAAATGTTGGTGTTGCTTGATTATATTTAATGCCTTTACTTATTGAATGATTTAAAACAACTTCATGATCTTGTATTTGTCGACCAACAATGCGATATGTTTGAGTTTCCGAAGAAAATAATAATTGTATTTTAGCTGGACCATTTGATGCGCAATGCAGCCATTTCTTTTGTGCATCATTATAAATCATTGCTGTTGCTTTACAGCTTGTTAAAATATCCTCTTTAGGATTATTACCTACCATGATTGAGTCAAATATTTTGTTTTACTGTTGAACAATATATTATAGATGAAAACAGTAAAGACTAGAAAAAGAATAAATCGGAACATATTTAAAGATAAATAAATCAGATTGCAGAAAATATTGACAAAAAATTCTTATCGATTATGTTCTGAACATGTTTCACTGATGTGATGACTGGTTTGCGTTTAGTTTATTTTCTGATAATATAAACTCATCTTAGGTATTCATCTTCATAAGACGCTCGTGAATGCGAATCCTAAGAACAATGTCGAATACCACAATCCATATAGAGAGTAAATGAATAGTATCTATTTGAAAATATTTCTTCTCTTTTTTGCTTATTCATAACATATTATATGCTCATATAAATTGATAATTATTCACATCTGTTTTACTCATGCACATAATCAAAGAGAAAACTGATGAAATGCCACTATGTCTACGTGCATTAGCAATAATAGTTTGAACAGAATGATGATTTTGGTAAAAACTACTAGATTTATATTTATCGGTAGATAATGACAAAAACAACAAACTATAGTTTGCGTTTTTCTAGATTCTTCTTTTTATCAATATTTATCAAACATTTTAATAAAAAATACAAAGCAAGATGATGACGTAAATGATTGATGGAAACATTGATATAAATACATATTCAAACTTTTCATTTGACATCTACGAATTATTTTGGATAAAATTATAGGCACGCTAGGTAATTATACAGAATGTGTGTGACAATAAATACTGACTCATGTATTTTGTTTTATTCTTCACAGTAGAATATAAAGTAAATAACGTGTTCAAAAAAAAAAGGAATTAACCAATTAGATCCTCATGTGCGTGTTTGTGCGCTTTCATGATAGTATATTCGGCCTGTTGCATGTTTGTTTGACTATAGAATACATTCCTAAATATACTATTTAGAGATGATTGAAAGTGCTGAAGCAGTAGTGCTAGGTATTTTCTCTTTAAATTGTGTAGAATTTTTTGTAATTAAATCTATTATGTACGTCATAGTACAAAACAAAAACAAAAAACTTTTAGCATCTATCCTATGGTTTGTTTTATCAGAGTATATTTTTCAGAATTACTTTCATATCACATTTATTATTACATAAAGTCAAAAATAAATTGATTTACTGATTCATTATTTCAATCAAATATGTATGGGCAGAACTTGTCTCACTAGTATATATGATTTGAAATCAATTTTGAAGATTGCTACTATTTTTTAATACTATTCGATAATCTGAAGGATATTCAAGTGAAACTTATATGGAATCATTCCATCAAGATTTTGTATTCTTTTGCTTTCTTATCGAAAGCAATTATCATAATAAAAAACTAACAAATAATGATATTAATTCTATTGTCTATTGAAAACTGTAAAAAAACAACAACATTGAACACGTACCTTATAAATAAAATAAAAAACAATCACAAAATGAGTAAACTTTAGCTCTATTGAAAAAAAAATAAAAAATTTGATCTCTTTTAATTTAATTTTGCTCACCATAGGAATAGTAGTTTTCATAGAAAGAATATCTTTTTCCTGGCCACAGTACAACTTGCTGTAGTCATCTAAAAGAATAATTTGTAAAGCAATTTAATTAGATGAACATCTGCTCTCATGTCCAACAAACTAAAATTTATTGACATGACCTCTTTATTTATTCTATTGGGTGTAATCCTTTCTAAAAATTATTTATTCTCTACAGGAATAAACTTACATGACAAAAAAAATAATGATTTAAAAGATAATTTATCAATTATATCTATTTACATCGAATTTTAATAACAAATATGCATAGATATGTCAATAAACAAATCAGAGAGGCATTCATCTTTATTCCTATTGGTCAAAAACATGTCAACCAGAGTATTAACCAAAAGAATGATGATGCTATTCTACGTCTACGATAAAAAGTCGAGTAAAAGCGAAAAATTTGTTAGCCAACTGACAAATAATTGAGGGTTTAATTTCAAATATTTATATTTCAGATAGATTCTGAACACTAAAATCTATCTTTTGAATGAAGAAACGACGTCGAATTGAATCAGAATAAAATTGAATATGTCCGCAGTTGTAACTATTCGCCAAACAACAGCTACAACAATGAATACAAATAATAATAACAATAATACTACTACTAATAAGAATAGTAATGATAATCATAATAATAACAACTCACAAACAACTGTACGTTCATATGGAATTACACAACCAATATCGACAAAAACTCCTGATCCATCAGATATAACAGCAACAAAAAGTCTTGAAGATACATTACGTTCATATGATTATTTTGAATCGAGCGAAGAATTATCACATCGTGTACAAGTAATGGCTAAACTAAATGTACTTGTACGAGAATGGATACGTAATGTTTCATTATCAAAAAATGTACCACCAGAAATTACTGATAGTGTTGGTGGTCGTGTACATACATTTGGTTCATATCGACTTGGCGTTCATTCAAAAGGTATATTTCAAGTATTTGCATATCAAATTCGATCAAAGGAAGAAAAAAATCTCGTGTAAAAGTTCTTTGAATCTAGAAAATAAGATTTGAATCATAAAGTATTTATTTTTCTTATCGCTATGTATGAAGATTGTAATCAGTTATGTTTTATGTATAAGCAGAATTTAAAAAACAAATTCACACCTAAACAACTGTCATAGAGTATAATTAGTTTAATATTTACCTAGAGAAACAATTTTATTTATGCTTTAATGGATAATTTAAGAATAATTTTCAGAACTTAATGTAAATATTTCGCAGTACATTTATTATCTAAATAATGTAGACAATTAGTTAGAATTCAATATCTAAGAGATTACATAGTCATTGTAATTGTTCGACATTTAATATGAACATCACATATAGTAGAATGGATTCGTGATTACGGTGATTATTTAGCTTAAAAACAATAAGGAAATTTGTTATAATATTGTTCCTATTTTTGTAGAAAAAGTTTGCTTACGATGTTATAGGAAATTGTATTGTGTAGTCTCGATATGAATACAAAATGTTATCGTGACTTATTTTCAAATAACTACCACAGATTACAGTGTGCTCGTAATCATAAATATTGTCAATTTTTGTTCATAAATTTTACTTAGATAATGTAAGGACAAAATTGAAATCTGATAACTCTATCACTGATATCGAGCTTGAAGTTTAGCACTCAAGTCTAACTTGAAAGAGGAATAATATTATAGTAGCATACTGATCATCTATATATACACTAGATGAAAATCATATATTAAAACTTTATATATTCGATAATTTTACTAGTTAACAAGAATTGCTAGTGATATAGCTACAAAGGGAGAAACAATCACTTAAAAAGATCTTGTTTAATAATTATTTCTGATTAAAACAAAAAAAGACTAGTTAATTTTCTTACTATGATCATCGATTAAATAATTTATTTTCGTCTTTATAATTAGGTGGTGATATTGATACACTTCTTATTGCCCCACGTCATATTGATCGTACAGATTTCTTTACAACATTTGCTGAACACCTTCGTCGACAACCAGAAGTTCGTGATCTACGTGCCATTGAAGAAGCATACGTACCTGTTATTAAATTAACATTTGATGGTATTGAATTAGATATGTTATTTGCTCGCTTGGCATTACCAACTATTCCAGATAATCTTGATTTAAAAGATGATAAAATTTTACACAATTTAGATCATCGTTGTGCACGTAGTCTAAATGGTTGTCGTGTTACAGATGAACTACTTGATTTAGTACCTAATCGTGAAACATTCAAATCAACATTGCGAGCAATCAAATTATGGGCAAAAAAGAATGGTCTCTATAGTAATGCATTAGGCTTTTTCGGTGGAGTTACCTGGTCGATGCTTGTTGCACGTATATGTCAATTATATCCAAATGCTGTTGCAGCAACATTAGTACATAAATTTTTTCGGGTGTATTCTGATTGGGAGTGGCCAACACCTGTTTTACTTAAACCCGTAAATGATTGTCGTTATGGATTTCCAGTTTGGGATCCAATGACAAATCCATCCGATCGTTATCATTTAATGCCAATCATAACACCAGCTTATCCACAACAAAATTCAACACACAATGTAACACAATCGACACAAAAATTAATTGTAAAAGAAATAAAACGTGGCTTAGAAATTGTTAATGATGTGATGACATCAAAATCAGAATGGAAGCAATTATTTATTGGCACACCATTTTTTCAACGTTATAAACATTATATTATATTATTATTATCAGCATCTGATCAAAATCAATTTCTTGAATGGAGTGGCTTAGTTGAAGCAAAAATTCGTATATTAATTGGGAATCTTGAAAGAAATTCATATATTGATATAGCACATGTTAGTTCGGACAAATACACACCAGATGAATGCGTTGTTGATCAATTGCAACAAACAACTAAAACATCGACAGAAACTGAGAGTGTAAATCGAACCAATGGAAATAAAAGTCCAGGTATGATTTTCAATTTTCTATTGAATAAAAATCGTAAAACAACAACAACAACAACATAATTTACTAGTTAGTATGATCGAAACATTGGTACAATTTTGATTTAAAGTTACAAATAGATTTTATGATATAGTTTTTAGCAAGAAAATTTGAAAAATCTACATTGAACACGTAGTAAAGTTTTTCGAAAGAATAATCAGAAGTAAAAGCAGAGTTTCTTATTTGACTATTGTATTGAAATCAAATAAGAAATGCTCAACATATATTCAGATTCTAGTGCAAAAACTATGCTAAAATTTTCCGTCTTATAATTCTGCTATTCAAAAGAAGTATCCACCAACATACAATGATTAATTATACATTATTTATACAATGTTATAGATCCTAATGTTTTTTTCTCAAGCAGTTCGTGTCGGAAATCATCATTATTTTTAATGGAAAATAAAGTTCTTAATGAAAAATGATTTAATTCATGAAAGATCAGATTTTTATTTCATATCAATTTTATCCGTTGAAAATGGCTTATTTCTATAGAAAGTCTTCATGATGATGTCGCTCGGTTTTTTTGCTTTGAAAATCAAAAACTATACGTGTACTACACATCGAGACAGATAGGATACTCTTCGTATATTTACCATAAAAATTTCAATTACTATTATTTTACCCGAAAGGGCATGACAAATTTCTTTATCACTCGCGAAGAAATGCTAAGATTGTTTTTTGTTTCTAAGAAAATTTTAAATGATCACTATTTTTTGCATTGTTATTATTCAAAATATAGAGAAATATAGAAATGTATGATAGCTCATGTGTAAATTCATTTTTTTAGTAACGAGACAAATCAAACTTACTTTCATTCAAAAAGACACGAACGAAATACAGCCAGAGAAAACTAGCAGAGAAATTCAATTGAAATGCTCAAAATGATCTCCGTTAGCATTCATACACTTTTTTCTGAGTTTAAAGACATACTTTTCATCGAATATAGAATCCAAAGTCACACCATATTCAAGTGTATGTCATTAATAGAAGAACGTGTTTTTCTATGATTTGTTAACCTACAAACATGTTTCTTTTTATACTCTTCTGTGATAATTAAAAATAAAAGGAGTCCGATAGCTGCGAGTAGAGTGGAAAAGTTGAAAAAAATTTTTTTTATGACGTATTCTGTCCATTTAATATACTAAAACGATCATTACGGGGGAATAAAAGATGAATGTAATTCTTTGCTAATCCAAAGATTTTGGCTTTTTTTCGACATGCTTTTTGTTAGAGATTATTAAGATAAGTAGAATTTTGTCGACAACATGACGATACTATAATATTATCATAAGATTTTATTTATTCAATTATCATTATCGTAGAATCGTTATCGACAAATTCAACACAACAATCTTCACCTCCATCGAATACGCCAACTACTGCATCTACATTCAGTGGAATGTGGGTAGTAGGTCTTCAATTTAAAAATGTTAATAAAGTTCAACTTGATTTAACCGAAGAGATTCGTTTATTTACAAATGTTGTCTATAAAGCTGCTGCTAACAGTAATATGAATCGGGAGAACCTCAATCTTGACGCACGGTAAAAATCTTTTAAATTATTTTCTCAAATTTATTCATCTCGTGTCTCTTTATTCTAAATTGAATAGTTATATGCGTCGTCGTGATTTACATACTGTTTTACCAAAACATGCTGTATTAACAGCAGCCAGTAGTCCTCGATTATCAAAAGCAATGTCGCTTGACGATAAACTTGATTCAAAATCGAGCACACAATTGAAACTACCAAGATTAAATTCAACTTCATCTGATTCGGTTGTTATTGTTGATTCAGATTTGGAACCAAAAATAAAACGACAAAAACTTGAAGATGCTAATGAATCATCTACAAAAACATTAGAACCCACTCTTGGTTCGCTTTAATTTTGAGAAGCCTTTGAATTAATACTCTAACTGAGTATTATACTATTTCATTTCTGTCATTTGATGTATTCTCTTTGTTGGTTTGTTTGTTTATCTTTTCTATCTTGCTTCTCATTTTCTATTCCACGTTTTTTTTCTGCTTTGTTTCCTTTCCATTAACTCATAAAAAAGAAAAAGAAGCAAAAAAAAGTTTTCTCTGCTCATCTTCTATGCCCTGTCGATTCAAATTATTCGCTTTTTTGCTTCTTCTATCTCTGTATTTTTTTTTCATGGCTCATTTACTGTATATATACGTGCTTGAAGTACATACAGCACAAAAAATGAGCTCAAAAAAATTATAAAATCGTTCAGTAAAGTTTAACAAAAAAAAATAAATAAAACAAATGCAGATATGTAGAAAAATGTTTTTCTTTCATTTTCTTGTAAAAAGAATCAGAGTATATATTGAACTATCGGAAATTGCTGATTTCGTTTACTCGATGTTGATTGAATGTTGTGTAAAAAGTATCAATAAAAGTCTTTGACTCCAATGGTTCAGACAAGCAAAAAAACGTAGCTTGCAACTGATAAATTTCGATTTTTCCACCAGAAAATAATGAAATTGATTACTTTCTAATAATATTTGTTTGTTTTTCGTCATTGAACAGAATAACAAACATGTTCTTGACAGAGAACATTTGTTTTTTGATTATTAGAATAGCTTGTGATTGTCATGGATTCAAATCAGTTATTTTCGTCTTGTTTAAAAATTGATTTCAAAATACAAGTTCATATTCAAGTTTTTAATTAGTATTCATTTTGCTAAACTGTCGCAGAACAATCATTGACTTTGCTATCATATCATTTTAAAAATTTATGTACCATCACAAAAAACAGCAATCTATTTTTGATTAGACGAAAACTGTAAAAGAAAACATGAGCTTCTAGAACATTTAAATTGATATATTTTGATCAATAAATTGGCATCATAGAAAATTAAACAAAGTGAAGTAATAAATAATTGGATAAAGTAACAAGTATATAATGACCAAGTATAATTATATTATTTGCATGTATAAAGACGAAGAATATCCGAAATCTATCGAACTATTATCATCTGATTGTGAAGCATTCAATTATTTCTTTCATTTTTATTAATTACGTGTTATTGATTGGGAAAATGCAGTTTACATATTTCCACTAAATCATTGTAATAAGACAACTTATAAAATTGATTTACTGTAATTATTAAATTTTTTAGATCCCGTTGAAGTGACTGTTATATCATAGCTATGAACAAGCGACTCTAAAGATTTTAACTTAGAACACTGAATATTAAATAGAATCTTTGATTAACTTGAATTTTGTTTGACAGTAACGATTCAAACAATTGAGTATCTTGAAATCCAAGAAATATTATCAATTCCTATCTTCAACTATCTCAATTTGATGTTGATTTTCTTCATTGAAATATTTAAGCGAGTTTTTCGCTAGAAAACTAGAATGGGTTTATGTAATTAACTACGCATTTTCTTTTCTACATAGATCAAAATGATTTGTTGTACCGACACATCTATCTGATGTAGCCATAATCCAGATGTTATTGTTTGAGATGATAGATTTCCTTGCAGGATTCACTGAAATGCTGCTTGCTACAAGAGATTTTCAGAGTTGCAAAAAGCTTTCTAAACGATTTTCTTTCATGCTTTCTTTGCTGGTATTTCTACTATTTTGCTATCAGCCTACGGATATTACATTAGTTGTTATTACTTTTTATTAAAACGAAATGCTATATTAAATCGAAAGATATAGAAATTCACAACACCGGTTAACATCACAAAAAAAGAAATGGAAAAATATTTAAACGATACCTCGTTAAAAAATATATTTTTTTTAATAATATCGAAAATTAATGCTGTTCAAATTGAGTAGCAATACAAATAAAAAATAATTCGAGGCTGTCTAATAATTTCTGATTAAGACTTGTAGTACTGACAATATTTTCAACATTAGTTTGTTGTTTCTTATCTTGATAGTTTGCTTTTTTAGATATTAGAAATAAACGTAGTTGATCGTAATCTACTGTTAATGTTTTAAGTTCATTTGTATCAGGCAATGGAGAATGAGTAAGAAAATGTATTATACAATAGACTAACAAACGACCTTTATCAGTAACAGCAAATCGACGAATGTAAGCAAACATCTTCGCAAGTAATTCGATTGTACCACGTTGAGGCTATAAATGAATAAATGTTTCAAAAGAACAAATGGTAAAAATCATTTAGTTACTTTATGTAATTTTTCTAAAATCACTAATGGTTGTCGAACATTTGCTTCAGTAAATAATTCAAAATTCTCTTTTGCAATTACAGGATTCTGAAATGAATGAATGTATTCTTTAGCAAACAATGATCAATTTTATTAATTACTTTTAATAACCTTAGCCATGTCCACAAAACTGCACTGATAATACATGGATCTGTTTCTTCAAAAATTTCATCAACACCATTATTTATTTTATTTATTTTTTGTTTCAATGCTAACACTTTCAGTTGTTGCTCTGATGTGAGAAAATCTTCTTGAATAGACAATATCATGCAATTAATTATCTGCTTATATGGGCTAAAATCACTATGGGACAGACGCTCGTGTTCATAAAAAAATGACGGTGCAAAATCCAACCATGTCGCTTTTTCTTCTGCAGTTAAGGTTTGAAGATTTTCACGAACAAACACTGGCTTGTCCTTTACTCGACGATTCAGGGTGAGTAAGATCGTGTCAATCCTATAGCCTATACATAATTCGATTAAACGAGCAGCACATACAAACAATACCTAAACAAAAATCATACATGAATTCAATTGAAATATGAACTGTTCTCATGAAAAATTTACTACTTTGAGTTGACATTCGATGGTTGAAAAACAAAAGCTAAGCCTATCATATAATATTGAATCAGACAAAAAACAATAGTGAACTATCCTCTGATCGGTAATCTACTATGAATATATCGTCAGTTATCTAAATAGACATGAAACATTAGCTATGGCTATCTGAAATATAACTGTTCTTTCGTAGGTTTCAGTAGAAAATCGGATATGTCAATTGAAACCATCGTATAACATCTACACATATTGTATGCAGATTGTGACAGCCATAGAAGAGTTAGTTATATTCCTATTTATGCTCAGTTTGTGACTGACGCAATCGGACACACGAATGATGTTGAAACCATTGTGAGTGATGCGTCGTTATAGATAGTTCATCCTTCTGTGTTTCACGTTTGCATACCGTCAATTGGTCTATCGCTTGATGTGATGAATCTACGATGGCTGTCTTCGATTCTAAATACACATATCATTCTCTCCCTCTCTATCCTTTCCTTCTTGACGTTACTGTTCTCTCTTTCTCCTCTCTCTTGTGATCGACTATATAAACGTCTACTTTGTATGTAAACGGTGCGATTTGTGATATGAAGAAACTAAATAAAGCGTAGTTCCATCAGCGCAAGCATCTCTTGTATCTAAAATCGTCACACAGATATTTATATAAATATATGTATACAACGAATCATCGTCGATAAAGTCCTTGATATAACTATAGCAGAAATATTTGTAAAAATTCTAACACTTAGAAATCTCTTATTGAAAAGGTTTTGTTAGAAAACAAAAATAGTCTTACTCTTGGAATCCATTTGTAAATAAATGCATCACGGCCATGAATAAAAGCTTGTTGATTTTTTAAATGCACATCCAATAGAAGTTCATCATTTACATCAGCACTAAAAAAGAATTCTATATAAAGTAAATAAAACATCAAAACACCTGAAAATACAAACCAATCAGTAAAAACTATTCGTTTCGGAATTAGAAACTGTTCATATTCTTCCACCACTGGATAAAATTGAATAAAAACCTTATTATCTTCCAATATTATCATTAATTTGTCATTCTATACCTTCAATTTGTTTTGTCATTTGTACACTACCGGGTCGTCTTGCGCGAATATAATGTATTGAGTTATGAGCAGTCATACGATATTCATGTACAAGATATGAACAAATAACAAAACCTGTACGACCAAGACCAGCATGACAATGTACTGCAATCTATGAATATATTATTGAATTCTTTGTTCAAAAACAAAAACAAAATGACACACATACCTTTCCTTGCTTCATCGCAAAACTCATCACTTTCATAATATCAAGTATTGTTTCGACTTTAACTGTTCCGTAATCTTCCATAGCATAGTTATAAATAAAAACTTTTTAAATCAAAAAAGGAACAGTCGATTAATTAAATATAATTTAGCTATAATTCGATCTTACTCCCCAAACTCATGAACTCAGTTGGGTCGTAAGCATAGCCTGATGAATGATTGCCATGTCCACAATGAATATGCTCATCAGGTGTTTCCAAATTAAATATAGCACGAATACCAGCTCTAAAATTAAATGGAACATAAATAAAAAATATGTTTAATCTGAAAAGAGACGTTACTCATAAAATAGTTTCTTCAAATCACTATGACGACTAGTAGGACGGGAACATGCTAAAATATTATCAGTTATCCTGAATAAATGACCTTCTTTTAAATCACTATTTTCAAAATTAGAAAATCTTTACCAATTCGAATAGATTCCATTAATAGCCATTTGTTCTGGACGCCAATAATCAGATCTTTCATATTTACAATTAGCACCTCGACAACCTAAATTCGATCTTACAAGATATGGCAATCAATCAAATATATTTACCGAATCGACAAGCAGTTCGTTCTGATACTAATTTTTTAACAGCTTGAGATAATACTGAATAAGCTCCTTGTGGAGCTGACTTAGGTGAATCAAAATCAATCAACCATTTTTCACTAGTACTTTTACTTTGTTGGATGGCTAAACCAGGATCATTAAAAGGTCGTATAACTTCAGTTTCATGATGATTATTTTGATTTTGAGCACTGCTATAAGAATTCAATGAAGACATATTCTCTGGCGTCGAATCGACAATTAATGTTGTTGTATGTTGTGAAATTCTATTGTGAAATGTAAGTGCTGCTGTATTAGCAGTTAAAGTTGAATCGTTTTCTTCATGATCGTCATTTATTTCAGTTGATGTTAATGTTGCCATATTTTGAATGAACTTTTTTGTATCAATAATAAATGTAAAAATAAAACAAAATCATAATAATCTAAAAATAAAACAAAATATTATATGATTTATAAATATAGAAATTAATATGGAATCATATTACATCTAATATTTAGCTACTGTGCCACATAGAGATAATTCAAATCATTGTTTTCTGTAAAAGTTCATTCAATGAAACGAATTTACAAACGCTTAAAATTTTCATATTTTATTACACGTTGAAAATAAGTTTTCATATAACATGTGAAGCAAATGAAAAAAAGATAGGTTTCATTTTTCAAAATCTAATTTAGACTTCTCTCATCATAGAAGAATTCTAAGTGTGACTTGTCAACCCACAACTACTATGTTAACGATAAGTAAATTTCATTAACTTTCCGAAAGTTGATTCCAAATAGATATATCATTCTCAGCATATGGAACAATACAAATCTTTCTTACCATTTCGTGTAACTCGTAATTGACTTTCAATGTTTAAAACCTTGAAAAGAACATATCTCTCTAGGCTGGAAAGTTTTAAGGCATGTTTAAATTCATGAAATTTACTCATTGTTGAAACTCCAATATACGGCAAGAATTACATTTTCTTATAATTTATATAGTTATGTTAAATTTCGGAAGTTTTTCGACAGAAGTCTAAAAATTATTTGTTTTTATTTAGTGAAACAAATCATTCATTGCGCTATTGAACCATAGGATTATCAATTCTATGATGTTCTAGTAGGTTTTCTTGTGTGTGTAGAAATAACTAGCATTGCCACTACTCCTGTAAATAGGTTAACTTTGTATGAGATGCATTTATTACTTTTTGTTAGCAAATGTGATGAACATTAAAACGACGTTCGTTTGAGACTTTCTTTTTTTTTTTATCAAACTTACTATTTGCTCTTTAGTAAACACTAATTGTTTAAAAACATTGTTAAAACCAATAGATGAATTGATGACTCTATTGATTCATCTTATTTTAGCTCAATCTTTGTGGTATAATAAAAAGCAATTTTCGAGCCGCAAAACAAAAATCAGATCTATTTTATTCGATATTTTTTTCTGTTAAAATTTGGGAGATCTAGTTTATTCAGGAGAATCTTCATGATTTCGAAATAATACTATAATAAACTATCATTATAGAATCGTGATATTTCCTTGAATCTGAAGAAGTTACTTCTCTATTCAATTTTATTAAAATAGAAGATGTCAAATATTCGTCGACAATATTAAAAATGATATTACCAATTCTTATTTTTTTTCAAAAATAAAAAATTCTAACATAAACTTGTAGTTAAAAATAGAAATCGTAGTCTCATGAATAAATCATCTGATTTAATATGCACCACTTGAACTGATGTCAAACACACGAAAACATTTTGATGAGATTAGCAAAAGTTTAAAAGTGTTACTTCTTGTCTGAGCTTTGGAAAGTGAGTTATCATCGTTTAACTGAAATCTTATCCATAGTTAAGTCAGATAATCTTTCAAAAATATCGAAAGGGAAAGTCGAAATAATACTTTTTTTTCTGTCAAGATGTTGCAAGTTCTAATGAATTCAATCTTTGTGTGGTGTCCACCATTGCAAGGTGACAGTATTTTTAGAAATTAGACATCACAGCGACAGAAAACTATTTTCGGATGAAAAGTTATTCATTTTTAAGATTTTTTATACTTGAACATAAGTTAAGGTTCGAGTAGAAATTTCTTGATTTGACTTTTCGAAAAATATTGAAAAATCACTAAAAACGATAATAACTCAACTCTGGTTCTGTTAAGAAAGAGTGCTTTCATAACCTTTTCTTTTCTTGTCTAACCTAAGATGTTTCTATATGGACGACAACGATGAATATCAATTCTAATGATTCTTTGATCATGAATAGAACTTATACACTATGCTACATATCTTATTTGTCGATTCCGTCATATTTTAATTTATATGCAATCTACTCAGCAGAGTAGTTCATAAATATGTAGCGCAAGGGGGAAAAGGCGGATTTGGGATTTTGGAAATACCAAAATCCAAAACGTGAATGATGGAATTTCCATCTGAATTTTTTCCCATATGTAAGTTTCATGATTCTTAGAATATTCTAAAATTTTTGAGCACAAACAGACGTTTTCTTCTCAAGATAATGAATGCGCAAGAAATACTCATTTCACGGCACGGTGAGAAAATCCAGTTTTTTTGAAAATGCAATATTTTAAGATGGAAACATTTATTCGAGTTGAAACTTTTAGGATCTTTTATGGACCATGAAACCTATATATGGAAAGAAGTTCAGGTCGAAACTACGTCATTCACAGAGGAAAAAATGCTTTTCGATTTATGGGATTCCTTTGGGATTTTCTTGGGATTTTAGGATTTTGAAAATCCCAAAAATCCGCTTTTCCCCCTTGATGTAGCGCATAGACAAGTATACTTTCATGTACACGATGTTTCACTTGCAAAATTAATATGAATTTAACGACTTAACTAATTGTCAATTCTCTCGTACATTCTAAAGTAGAGTGAAAATCAAATGCTCATCAACTGTTCACAGAATGCAACATACTTGCAAAATCCAGGTTGATAATGTGCCAACAAATTTTTGAATATTCACTAAAATTTATAATATAATAATTGAAGAATAATATCAATTCTGCTTCTAACAACAACTCTTTGCGTATCAATTTACTGAGTCATAATTGATACCATAATGATTAATACTTCTATTGAAACACCCTCCTTGATTTAATGAAAGTATAGCGACATTTCAATCAATGTTCATGGAATATTTTGATTGGCTCTTGTTAGATCAAATAATTATTTGACAACAGTTGTCATCATCATCAAATTTATTCAGGTTCATGCCACGACATTTACTCTCAGTCAATTAACAAAGTTCCATATTATTCTCATATCGATTAGCATATTGTTCAAGTTACACTAACTGAAATTATGCAACTCTTATTAAATTCAGTACTTTCTATTGTCATCTTATGTACTTTATCATGTGTACAATCAAAAAAAATAGCCGATGAACAACATTGTGAAGGTAAGAAACAGATAATATTTTATATTTATTCTTCAGTTGAATGTTACTTTTTTAAAAAACTAGTATGTATAAAAACTATCAGTACATTTGCTGATACACTATCTGATGAAGACAAAGCTAGTGCAGAAAAAATCGAAAAAACATTTAAAACCTATTGTAGTAATGTAAAAGTTGATTCAAAAGAACATCGATTGGTAAATATTAAACTTGTTTTCTTTTAAATTTAATATCTATAAATCTATTTAGTGCTATTATATTGGAGCATTAGCAACATCGGCTACATACTCTATTGGTGATCTATCTAAACCACTCTCATGGGGTATACCTGCAGATAAAATTTGTCGAGAAAGACTTGCTAAAACCAATCCACAAATTTGTGATTTAAAATACGGTAACTATCAATACAAGCTATTTGCTTTGTTAGAATTCAATTTTCTTTTATTTTTTAGAAAAACAAATCGATGTAAATGCTGTGGATTTAAATAAGCTTAAAGTAAAAGATTTGAAGAAGATTTTAACTGATTGGGGTGAAGCTGCTGATTTCATTGAAAAATCCGAATTTATTAAGCGTATCAATGAAGTTAAAGATAAATATATCAAATCAACAACTGATAAAAATAAAAAAGATTTGTGATAGTCAGTCAATTTACCATTATTTTATATTAACTATCTTCGCGTTTCTTTTTCTCCTCGTATCTAGTGTTACTATATGAATGATCAAGTCTCTTTTCACTGTTCTTGTTTTGCGTTCGAATTCTGTGAAAAAAAGTCAAATAGTTGTCATTTTAATAGTGTTAATTATGTTCAATTGCACTTCGCTATTTGAATATATATTCTTTGTTACATTCGGCTTGTATTACACTTAAAAAAGATTCTCAAAAGCTTTTGTGTTATTATGTGCTGCGATCAATTTCATTTAAATGTATGGCGTCGATGTTTGATTGAATTAGAAATGTTGAAATCTCAGAGTCAATTTATAAAGAAAAATATGCATGGATAATTCTCTTAATGATAATCTATTTTTTCCTTCATCTTGTTGTACAAAAATTCATGATAGTAGTCAAGTAAGGTATACAATGAATGGAATGATAGTCGACAAAAATTTGGCCACGCATGTGACGAACATTGAATGCAGAAGAGTATGGAACTCTGTACTTTAAAAATTGTTGTTGCTCATTTGAGATTTTAAATTCAGTACAAAGCAGTTAAATTTAATTTAAAATAACACATTATTTTATCATTCAATATGATTCATTTTTTTGACGAAAATGTTTTTGGTATACATCAAACTTTAAATATCAATATAAAAGATAGTAAAAATATGCTTAGAAACCAAACTATTCAGGATGACTTTTTATAAAAAAAAAGTGAGAAACGATTATATGTTAAATCATAATCTGAAATGAACAATAACGAATATTACTAAATAAAATGATAACTTGTGTACAAATGAATTACGGCATTATTTATAGCTGTTGAAATCTGCCATATTGAACTGAGCTCTTGTCATTATATTGATATTAAGAAAAGTCTGAGATTCTTGAATTAAAAATGATTATCTTGTTTTTATCAATCATTCTGAAAAAAAAAGAGGAATACCTGTAAGCGATTGCTCACAAATGAAGAAAAAAAAGGGTTGATTTGATAATATCAAGTTAGTACTGATAATTCTATCTATCTTACTATTGGTACTAACAATGTCAGTCAATTATTTTCTTTTTTGTTTTGAAAAGTTTCTATAAATTCTGTTCTATAATGAAACCATTTACTCTTACCATGATTGACGATGATGACTTCTTTGAAACGAGAACAATGAAAAACCTATTTGAAACAATGCGTCATTCTTTCACACATTTTCCGATGTTATAAGCAATGTCAAATTTAGTTCCACTATAATTTTAAATCTTATTCTTCACCGAAAGTGTCTGCCATTTGGCAGTTTTTATTTTTACCGAATGGCCACAGTAGGTGGTCTAGTAAGTGAGAATCTTTAGCTCTTCTGCCTAAAGCATTGCGCTAGACAGATGAACAGGAAAGAGAGAAAAAAACGCTTGTGGCAATCGCTCAATTAATGCAACTTGTTCGTCGGCATTGTCATCTGAGAATCTATGGTCAGTCGGTAGCACCCTAACGAGCACAAAGTCTGCTCGAATAATTCAACGAACATAAGCATTAAGATATCATTCTTTTAGTTAAGAACAAGATTTTTTTTTCTGCTCGTATTTTTTCTTCTTCTTTTTCTAAAAAGCATGTTTGTGTTCTATTGCTATACTATCAACCAATACCAACTACTCTTTCTCTTTCAATAATTTTCCATTGGACGACAAAATAACAGAGAAAAAAAGAAACCGAACTAGAGAGTAGGAGAAAAAAAGGGAGAAGGAAGAAATGCATCGATTCTCAAGAGCCTTGTGAGCTATGCCGTTCGTGAGTATAAGTGAGTGGGAACAACATTAGCTTAATGGAAGTAAATTTCATTCGTTAGCTGAAGCTCTTGCGACTTCTCTTCTTTCCTAACGAAGTTGTCTCCTTCGTTTCGCATTCGAGTAGTCATCGGACATGTAGTTTATACATTTTATCTGCCTTCGTCAATTATTTATTACTCTTCTTCTATCCTATATAATCAGTATAAGTGTTGATTTGTCGTCTAACAAAATTAGTCACCTCAAATTAAGAGTCCTAGAAAACTATATAATTCTATAATGATTATTATATAAGGAGAAAGAGAAACGAGTAAATCATATTTCAACCGCTCATTCACTTTTCTCTTTACCAAGATAATAATCATTATCAATGAATAACAAATAATTCAATTTAGAACAACCATATATACACAAGCAAAATGTCTACTTTAACCAATAATAATAGAAATCGAATCTCATCTTCATCTAATAATACAACCTTTTCTCAATCGTCATCAGCATTTATTAACAATAATGAGACTAATAATACAACAAATGATGCTGATATATCATCATCAACAACATCGACATCAACTACACTTGGACTAACGGGAATGGGTTTGACTGTTGGAACAGCCAATAATGCATCGTCGAATTCATCCAATACAGAATGTGATTCAAAACGTAATTTATCATCAAAACTTGATGATCATTATGCTAGTTTTTATGCTCTAAATCGAACATTACCTCCACCACCACTACCACCACCAGCATCTTCAGCAGGGACATCTCCATTTAATATTATTAATCAATCATCAAATAATAATTTGCAATTTGTTACTAATTCAACAGGTTGATTATTTTTATTGTTAATGTTATTGAAACGAATTTTATGCCATAACATTTCTTCTTTTTAGGTCATTCTGATAGTGGAGCATTTAAAAAAATAAAACATGAATCTCTTTTATTAAATACTCATCCATATCATCAACTTCAATCATATAATCCTCATTATCATCAAATATCTTCTCTTTCATCCAATAATGCAAATAATCTTTCTCCAGCTCATTCATCAAATTCAAGTCAATCTTCTCATCATTCATTATCAAATCCTGCTAGTCAATGTCCAACACCAGCACGACGTCGACATCGAACAACATTTACACAAGAACAATTAGCTGAACTTGAATCAGCATTCGGAAAAAGTCATTATCCAGATATATATTGTCGAGAAGAATTAGCCCGAGTTACAAAACTAAATGAAGCTCGCATTCAGGTTTGTGATGATCAAAAAAAAACTATATTGAACATGTTGTCGTATGATTGACAAGCATAAGAGGAAATGTCGGATGCAGCATCGAACATAGACAGACCGAAGCGAATGCTCGCGCTTATATATAGTCTCATAATTGAATCATGCAGGCACACTCCGTTGTCGCGTAAGAATAGATTTCTAATGAGTATGTGCAGTCGAGCGACAAGAAACTACATCAATACACGCGAGAAAAAGACAAGGCGTCTTGTCGATTAGCTCGTGCATTTACAATCGAAAGAGTTTGATTGAAAAATATAGACAAATAAAAATTCATGATCGTCTCTTTCTTTTAATTTTGAATAGGTTTGGTTTCAAAATCGAAGAGCTAAATATCGTAAACAAGAAAAGCAATTACAAAAAGCTCTATCACCGGTTCTATCACCGTGTAATGCTATGATGAGAAATTTTTATCAAACATCCACGGGACGACCCTATCAATATGCAACAACAGGATCATCAGCAAGCGGAACAAATAATGTTATATCGAATCAGATTCGTTATACACCAGCGGCTGTTGCTTATTCACAATTTTCACCACTCACAGCTGCCGGTATTAGACAGGTTCGCTATTTTCTAAAGAAAATTATCATTCTTTTTTTTAAACATTGTTTTTTTTTTCTTTTTTCTTGTTTCTAGGACAACTCATTACCTTTTCAAGATACTGATTGGTATAATAAAAGTTTATCATCATTTCGTGTTGATCATACATCAATGCTTCACTATCCAGCTTGAACAGTGTGCGACTGTGTGTGTGTGTGTGTGTGTGTGTGTGCATATCTATCTTACCTTTTTACAGTGAAAATATTCCCTTTTTTTTCGTGTTTATGTATGTGCCATTTTTCTCTATGAATAAAATAGAATTAAACGAAGCAGAGAGAAAAAAAGAGATTTTTCGTTTCTTTTTTCTTTTTCTTCTTCTTCTTCTTCTGCTTATGACTTAGTTAATTTCGTTGTTATAATAATAAGTAATTTAATATTAATATTCACTGTGAAAGAACTGTGAACTATTTCAGTACAAAAGTCATAATTTAGCATTAATTATATTAGTTTTTTTTGAATACATGAAAGATTATATGATGGTTTATTATTTGGAATATTTTTTATTCTCAGCTAAGAAAAACATCAGAAGTCGCGTGAAAGTATTTTCTTCTACTATGTTCTCACTTAGCAATGTATGTGTAAGTTAAACAAGGGTAATCAAATTTTGAGACAGTTCAAAAATCTAATTTTGTGCCACTACATCCTTCCCATTGACAGAATGCAAAAAGAAAAAAGAAAAGGCGCCAATAATAACTGAAAACATAAGCTATGCAGAGTCTAGCATTTTTTAACAATCCTCTATAGTCATCTAAATTTAATCTAATCCATGTGTAACGTCATTTCATTGTGGTAAATTTTTGTTGGGCAAATAATTCAAACTACATACATATCAGACGACGATCAAAATATCAGCTATTTTTCAATTATTAAACATTTTTCTTTGAATTTATAATTGTCTACCGCTTCTTTCCGACAAAATAACAATCGACAGTTGATTGTCTGCTTTTTTTTTCTTCTTCTTTGTCTTCTGCTTTGTGTATATGTGGAAGCGTGCGAGATCAAAATGGTGAATGAAACATCTCGCCGATTGGTTGTTGATCATCTTGTTGAGCAGTGCACATCATTTAAACAACCATTCATCTTTTTTCTTCGTTTTTTTTCTTCTTCTTGTCACTTCTCGTTTCCTCCCACGCAACTTTATTTTTCCATCCTACTCATTCAACGACAAATACTTGAGTGATCTGACCGATAAAAAAAAGAAAGAAGACGATCTTGTGGAAGGATAAGCCAACTACAATAAAAAAAAAAAACTCATAGAATGTTAGAAAATAGTAACTATACTATCACATCATGTAAGAACGATCTTCTTTTCTTTTAGTAATTGTAAATAAAATATCTTCTTTAGTAAATACGGGTGCTTTTAAACGTACAAAGCAAAATGATGGAACAATATTAAATCATTCATTTAATTCATCTCTATCTCATCCACAAGAACAGCAACAGCAACAGCAACAACAACAACAACAACAACGTAATCATTCATCAGCTCGTCGTCGACATCGAACTACATTTACACAAGAACAACTTAATGAACTTGAGTTATCATTTTCTAAAGGTCATTATCCTGATATATATTTACGTGAGGAATTAGCACGAACAACAAAATTGAACGAAGCCCGTATACAGGTAATAATAAAGATATTTTTATCATACAGAAAAAAAAAGAAATCTGTTTATCATTATTATCCCTTGAGATAGACATGAAAAAAAATGTCTATGTATAAATTCCATTTATAGCGATTTTCCACTTGAATCATATGCCGTCTGTTATGGTAACACGGTTCATTTGATGGTACAATTTCCAGATTGAATCTAGCTTGTTTCACACATCAGAATATATATATTCTCTTTACATTCTTTCACTTTTTTCTTTCTGTCTTATTTTTCCGAGATCAAGACGTGTCATTTTGAACAACTGTTCAGATATCGACAAATAAAACTTGGGCATATGGACTTTTCCTTTTGAATAGTGTCATTTCTGTGTTCTTGTAATATAACCTTCTTCCACATGTCATATTAAATTATGTTTATGCATCGATGAATATTGATCAAAAAAGGAGAAAAAAAAATCAATTTCTTTTCTTTTTTTTACAGGTGTGGTTTCAAAATCGAAGAGCAAAAGCTCGTAAACAATCACATAATTCTTCGTCATCGGGTAGTGCATCCCTATCATCTGTTCGTTTATCATCAAAACCATTTTCAACCAATCCAACATCATCATCATCATCATCATCATTTCATCAGATGTTTAATGGACGAGCTAATGCATCAACTTCATCTCCAACAAGTATTATGATGACAACAGATCCGTCTATGTTTTATTCAACATTTCCACCATCTTCATGTGATTTTAATGCTCGCTCAACTATTGTAAGTTAATGCTCAAAGAAAAACAAAACAATAAAAGAATAAATAGTGAAAATTATCATATCGTTTGTATTTTAGGAAAATAGCATGTCATTTCATTCTCAATATCCACAACAACATCAGAATACAGAAGATGAATATACAAGAAACATGCGTATGCAAGATTTAATCAATCAACATTCAAATCTATATCATCATACATAAATGAAACAAATGTAGAAGGAGTCACGCGTCACAGGTGATAGATATCTGTTTTTCGCTCTGTAAATGTGTGTGCGTTTTGTTTATTTCATTTTCATTTCATATTATATCATAAATAATTATTCAAATTAATTTTACTTCAAAGATTCAATATGAATTAGTTTCTATGTTGAAATATTGCACACAAATGAGTTTACTTATTAAAATGAATACTATCGTTCAATCATTAGTAGCTTCACAGTTGATATTGACTGTTTTTTTTTTTATTATTATAGTAAAATCGATCAGATTTATCATGCTCTCTTGTAAACGAAATTTGGAAAAAAAACAAGAGAATCAACTTGAATCAATATACAGTATGTTCTCGTAAGATAAAAATATGTATAAAAGAATTCATGAACCAGGACCCGTTTGATTCCGGCGGAAACTGACATGCGTTCGATCGCATCGGGAAATTTGGATCCAAGCACTATTTTACATCAGCAATACTCAATTACTAGGAAGATTTTATTCAGATACGATAAGTATAATTGTTCAACATACTTTTTCCTATAAAAATGTAGCTGTAAACAGTTACGAAATTACAATTTATTTAAAACAACGAGGCAATTCATTTCAGACTCTGAAATAATGTATGTACTGAAGTAATAAGAAGTCAGGAGCAAATCAAATCAGCAATCATAGGAATCATCAGTAGATCTAACAACATTGAATCTACTTGATACATTGGTGAAAGTTATTTTGTAATACGAAACGGAATACTAATTTCATAAAAAAACAAAAATTTAAACACAAATCACAATGAACATGTATCAGAGTGAGTGTAGATCTAACAATACGATAAGCTTTTTCCAATTGTTTTGATCGAATCATTGGATTCTTTGATATGAAGATCAACGCTATAGAATCTATTCGTTTGTGTATCAACACATCGAAGAAGTATTTCGATCAAGAAAAAGAGAGTCATAAAAGAAAAAAGATGAATATTTGTACAAGTAGAACTTTTAGTTCGTGAAATAGATGAGAAATATAGTAAAAAAGAATGTAGCTAAAGTAATTGTTGAATCACAACCTTGGCAATAAACTATACATGTATCTCGAGTAGTTTTTTTTTTCATGCTTTAACAAAAATGATTAATGATGTAACACAATGTTGTAACTATTAAGATAATGTATTTTCACATTTTTTTCAATTTTTTTCGGGTGGAAATATAAAGTGATTGTTTCTCGATAGGATTTCATTTGAATTTACATCATTTCATATTGTTCTATCTAAACTATATTCTAGGTACCGATTGAGTTTTGGATTTGTAAGGTTTGTTCTTCGTGCTGAATTCCAAAGAAATAATTTCTTTCCCACTAAATTCTAATAGTTCAGGCCCACCTTCAATGGTTTCAGTATCGAACAAATCTGACTGTATACGCACAGAAGAGAATCGTTTGAGCAATAACACGATTTCAATCATCAAATAAAATTCATTAGGATGTTCATCGCTATGAATTAGTAAACTACCACTTTTACACCAAATCACATCAAAGAAATAAAGAACCATGATACTACGTTAAGTAAATGTTATAATAAGGAATACTCAATGTTAACTCAATGCTATTTTATTAGATTTCGAGGCAATCACTATTGACTAAATAACTATAACTAAACCACCTCCCCCCTTCCCTACAATAAAAGACCCCGTGTCTTCTATTATGTTGCAGCGTAAAAATTTCCCAGGGGGATCTTGTATTAAGAACCTCATTTTTTCCTAATATTTAATTAAAAAGGTTTTCCAGAAAACTAAGGCGATTTTCAGGATTTCCATCAGAATTTTCAGGGTTGTAAGGGTGTCATTATAATTGTGAACGCATTCTCTTAATATTTCCAGCTTAAAATGTTAAGAATCAGGCATATTTTGATGGAAAAACGCTAATTAAAGCTCGTAATTAGCAGAAAATTAATTAATTAAAGGGGGGTCTTCAATAATGGGGGGAGGGGTTTAGATTTTTTTCTGTCGGTTAGAAGAAGAATTTTCTTCGTATTCAACTTTTTCTCTGGATTCAAGTTTATAATCGATCAAAACTCACATTGCTGTTTCAGGAATTATTGTTCGTTTATATAACTTTTTGTTTCGATGAACCACTGCTAAGATTTTATTACATAAGTACTATCCATGTCCTCGAAATCGTCGATTCTCACTGAACTGTTCACAATGGGTAATATTATGGGAAATCGTATATGAGCTTGAGGAGACCCTATGATAAGCAGTCTAATTCTATCCACCAATTTCATCAAAAACGCGTCGTTGCTTGTTGAATCTTGATTTTGTTGGTAAAATTGACAAAAAATCATCAGCTTTGATGGCATATCGCGATTTTGATGATACGGGTAATGGTTAACATCGATTGATATATCACTTTCTACATCCACACCCTCAGTCTGTCAATAGGTGTTATAAATTGAACTTTAATAGATATCATTTGAAATGAACAAACAGTATTTACAGCGTGTTCAAACGTAATTAGTAAGTTATTGTGTCGATGAATAACGATCTATTTGTAAAGAATAGCTAAGAAGAAGATGATTGGGCTGATTTTCGTATGGTTTCAAAATGGGATCAACACAAATCATCTCTTTATTTATAGAGTTTTCTTAGCATCTGAGAGCAAAATTACAAGCATACTACTGTCTGTATTTGAGCGTCGTCAATGGAAGCTATATATAAACTGAATTAAGATAATCTATTCGATAGTTTTATGTCTAATAGAATCTGACTGAATCAAGTCTCATTGATATAATTTCATATTGATGTAACATAGTATGTAAGACTTCTCTGTACACGATATGAACTAGAATAATGTCAATACTAATTGTTCTATACATGATAATATGAAGATACTATTATTTTTTTTATTAAGATGGTTATCTGGTCTCGGATTGCAAGTTTTTGAAAATGTAGGAATTAGCACAGGATCAAACTTTTTAAAAATACAGGAAAATGTGTAAAAAATCAGAAAAAAATAGGATATCGAAAATTCGTTGTTTATATTCGAATTAAACGTTGTTTTAAACTTTTCCTGCATCAACTTAACATATGCACGAAATTTTTGCCAATATTTCATTTTAATTCTTTCTTAAATTAAATTAAATGAGCTAGATACAATTAAATTCAATCGAAATATGTTTATTTACATATTAATAAACTAATACAAAATAAATCAGGGTGTGGGTAATGGTTTGTATTGTGTTTATCTCACATCAACCTACACTCATACCGAGTATGAAAATTTTCAAAAATCGCATTTTGAGTTTTTTAACCAGGAAATGTTTTCAAAAAATATCAATGACAGATCGTTAGTTGTAGAATTTTAGTCTCAACAAGCTGGGCTATTTTGTTTTGACTTTCGTAGCTAAGGACAATGTAAACTCTTATACACTTTCTAATTCAATTTACCGTTTATGAGCTTCCATACAGATGTATCAATTTCGTTTTTGTGTATAACGATTAGTTACAAAGAAAAGACTATTACTAATAAAAATCAAATAACTCTGATCATGTTAAATGCTTCAAAATTGATGAAGAGAAACTTTACCTCAGTGTTACTAAAAATGTTACGTTGTTTTCTTGCATTTTTTATCTAAGCAAAAATAGCTTGGAGAAAACGATTTTAGTGTTTTAAAACCTGGTCAAAAAGCACTACAAAGCTAACTCGAGAAGTGTTTCACTTGGAGAAATAGTTGCAGAAGAAACTGCAGCTTATTAGTGGCCCTGAAGAAAATGGTCTTTTTATGTTACAGTCAAGCAACCAAAACTCCTCTCTATAACCAAGGGACTTAATCCAAAAATAGTCATTTTATGGCATAAACATATCATGGCAAGTTGCATCAAATCACATTTGAACGAACTTTCTAACTCACACAATTTCCAAGATAATGAAAAACAAAGTGTGTCAAAAAAGGTCACAGCGTTATGCTGGAACAAAACCATTTACGTAACTGCATATGATAGGCAACAATAAAAGCTTTTAAAAAACATACAACTATGTATAAAGACTATTTTACTTTGTTTGAATATCCTTTACTTAAAATAGTCAGTTATTTTCATTTTGTCCGTTTGATAATGTGAAAAGAAATTGTAAATAAAATAGTCCCTGTAAAAAAATTCTAAGAATGCAAAAGAATCAATAATTATCGAATAGATTTGTTTAAAAAACATGAAAATTATACTAAAACAAGAGCGTTTTTTAGCAATTTTCTACTTTTTTTCATTTTATAGGAAATACAGGAAAATTCATCGAAATTTAGGAGAAAAAATAGGAATTTTTTTAAATATAGGAAATATAGGACGAATCCGAGACCAGCAGTGTCATCTAGAAAAAAAAATATAATGTTCAAACTTCTGTGTATTTATAAGTATATATACACAAAACATCGCGTGATATTTTTCTTTAACCCTTTCCGACCCGGTGTTGCCATATGGCAACATTTCCCCCTAGGAGGGTACGACAATTTCCAAACAGCGGGGCGGAAAGGGTTAAGATATAATAAGAATCGTTGAAAGAAAAAGAAAAAAAAGATTCTTGTTTGAATTTCAAAAAATCTTGAATATCTTGCCATTCTTACCTGGTTCTTATTTATCTGAGCAATCAGACAACATTATGTTTTTCTTGAATAACAGACAAGAATCTTGTTTCTTTCCTGTACCGAAGAGTCTTGCCTGAATATTATGATTACAAACAACCTTATCTGGTATTCAAGAAAAACAAGAATGTGGGCAGATCGAAGTCAAGATCGTCGACTAGTGTTACTAACGCTAGACGAAGATTGAGGTGTTCTTCTAGTCTAACTGGTTAGGACATATGCCCGGATAGCAGAAGGTGTGAGTTCGAGTTCCACGAAGTTCACTTTTTCTTCACTCTGTCGCATAACATCAGCGACATTGCTTGTCTCTTTCGCTCTTAATATATCTCTCTTTCATTCCTTTTATATCCTTTTCATTCTATACATATTAGAGCTAACAAAATCTAAGTCTCATTAAAAACTCCCATGTTGAAGATTATTTTAATACATAAATGATAAATTGAGAATTTGAACACTAAATCATCGAAAAACAAATTTCAGATACTATATAAAATTAATAATAAATTTCGAAATTTGTTTTTCTTCAAATGTGAATAGTGGACGTGATATTTATTAAAATCAATATGTGAATGAAAAGATATATATATATATATATATATATGAATCATTGAAAGAAAATAGAAATAACATCGGGTTGTGTCACTGCATTTTCTGCTTCCATTAAACGTTTTTCAGCGCCTATTGGAATTTTGTTCCAATCAAATTGTGAATATTCAGTTATACTACGTCGCAATGCTCGCATTCGTAAAGCTTCATTCAACATTTGTCTATTTAAAAACAAAAAGCATAATTAAACACTATCCCTTAGCAAGAAAAAGCAATGAAAAATTCTTACTCATGTGATTGATCATTCGGATTGTTTTCTCTGATTTGTACGGCAGATTTTCTGATAGATAATGGTGATGAATATGATTTTGTCTTTTCAAATGAATTTTCTTCTTGTTTTGGTTCGAGATGATACGCAAATCCGATACGATTAAGCACTTTTTGTCGATCAGGATGACGATCACTAAATGCTTGAGTTCGTTCATCATTTGAAACAGCTAATAAAAAAGAAAGACATAGTCAAAATGACGAATGTTTGATTTCATTTACTCTTTCGATCAAGAACTCGTAATTTGGGAAGCAAATCAATCATGGTTGATTTATAACCATAAACGAAAGTTACAGGATTATCAAATAGATCTAAAGTAAATATTAATTCAATGTATTGAAATTTGAACGATTTAACTCACTAAGATCTTCGAGTGCACTTAAATGTCGTAATTCATAGGCAAGTCTGTTAAGATTTGATATTTGATTATTTTGTAAATGAACTACACGTAAGTTTTTCAAATGACTCAGTGATCCTTTAATATTTGATATATGATTATTTCCTGCATATAGTTCTCCTAATGAAAAATTTGTTTTAATAAATTCAAGATCTTGAAGATGATTGCCATCGATTGAAAGACAATTTAAATGCGGAAATATTGACAGTGATGGAATACTTCGAATACTTCTATTAAATAATAATAAAATTATTTTTTCTTGTTTTTTATTCTTTTAATAGAAATCATTTAACAAACCGGTTATTTAAATAAAGGCTTGTTACATCGTTTTTAGTTAAAATTTTTGTGCCTAACTTTTGTTCAGATAATTTCAAGGTCTAATAGTAAAGAAAACAATCGTCGTACAGTGTAAAACAAGATCTATATTTAAGACTTACATCAATAAGAACAGATCTTTGTTCTTGGTCACCATCGATCTTGATGCGAAGCATTTTGGAAACTAAGCGACGAACGAACGACTGCTATGCTACGAGATCAATATACATTAATTTTTTGTTATGTCTGAAGACATGATTTTTAAATCGATACTATTAGTAAATTTCATGACATAAATTAAATTTTTGATGGAATATTATTACAAAGAAAATATTATCATTTAACTAGGACGTTTTAATTGGAAAGCGACAACTAGCGTTTCTATTTTATGTCATCTATGCTCTCATTCACCAATAGAAATATCAGACGAATGGGAGCAGAATTAGAATCCATCGGAACAAAGAAAAAAAAGTAATTCGCATGTGATTCTATTTTATATTAGCATATATCTTGTATTTAAACATGATTTAATGATTTTTGATATCTAATATTAATAAATTCTATCGGTCATCTTTGATTTTCATTCATATTAAACTATATCCAATATCACACAGGCATCAATTTCGATTAACCATTGATAATACTCTAACTTGAACGGATTAAGATCAAAAGAAACAAAATGCTTTTACCGGTAATATTATATCAATAAGCTTTGATTCAGATAAGTACTCTTCGATAGATTTTAATCCTTATCAAAACTATATTTGAATACAATTCTTTCATGGCTTCCCAAAGTACAACAAACATTTGTGATTAGTATTCGAATTTCCCCAGTATTATTAAGATATTATTTTGTTTCTAAGATCATGAACTAATGAATTTCTTTAAGAAAAACTAAACAAACTGTATTGAGTCTCATAATAAATATTTATTTAACGTTCTGATTTACTTTTAGTGGCGAAATAATCTCTCACAGTAGACGATAGTCTGAATTGATCTAGAAACGTTTTCATTAGAAAAAGATATTCGAGTCAAAAATCTTGTGAATTCTTTTTCTCAACAATGAGTTTTTTTCCACTGTTAGCTGTTCAACATCAGCTTGCTATTAAAACTATTCGAAGATAATCATATTTCAAGAACTATCAACAATAGGGATACTCAAAATTAATTTGATCCTATAATTTCAACATTGAGTAGTAAGCTAATTTTGTACCTGGGAGTAGGCATTTCGAATTGAATTTATCTTTTCAGATGATTTATACATCAATAGTTTATGTGAAAATAAGACTTTTCTATCAAATTTATTTCAGATGTGTAGCCATAACTCAAATGATCTGAATTTTTCAAAATCCGATTCTTCATATGTGGATGCAGTTGCACTTTATGGTCACAATTCAACAGCTTATAGTTTAGCGAAACTTTTCTCATCTGTTGGCGTTCATGTTTATATATTATCATCGAACAGAAATGAAATAGATTCATCATCAAATAATTTTACTATAATAAATAATCAAGATGATTTACCATATTTATCATCTGTATTAATCAATTGTCAAAATGATTTAATATTAATAAAAAATTTAATAAATTCATTTCCCAACGATTATAGACAACGTATGGCTTATGTTGAATGCTCATCATTTATGGGCCATAATCAAATTGAATTAATTTATGAAGAAACAAAATTTCGATATTATCTTTGCATGAATTTAATTGAATTAGAAATAAGTACAATGACTCGACAACATTTTCATCTTATTTCTAGTGGAGATAAAATTGTTTTTCAAAATTTACTTCTACAAACAAAGATACCAGCAAAAATAACATTTTTAAATCAAACAAAAACTCCATTTGATTCTTATTATATTTGTTTATTACATCGATATTCACAAGCAATTCATTTAGTTATTTATGCTGAGATGATGGCTATTTTAAAAGCTGCAAATCCTATATATCCAGGTATATCTACTTTTTCCCAATTATAATTGAGGAAGTTTTTCAAGTAGTGACACGTTTTTATATTTTACGAGTGTCGAAATCTAATTTATTTTCCCAAGAGTTGACTGACCACTTATTGCAGACTTTTATTATCAGTAAAATTGTTCGTATTATATATTTTAAATTGTTGATTGCAATCGGATATTTCTTACCTGCATATGTTTTAGTAAATTGTACAAAGGATTCTAGTTTATTAAAAGAACCAAAAATATTTTATAGGATTTATTTTTAATTAAGAAATATAGATTATTCATTATGCATTAATATTATAGAATGCTAAGATAGATCAAGGTTATAGTGATAACAATACATAATATACTAAAATATCAATCAAACCGTTTGAATATAAATTGAGAGTATCGACTCTGTTAAAATATTTCCTATCTAAGTACTATCATCCTTCAGATTTGCTTGTCATTCGTTGAATAATCGCTTATAAAGGCATGCAAACTTAAATTCAAGAGCTGATCAAAAACTAATATTCAGCTCTTCATTTTTCGACATATACGTGTATCTTACACTTGCCAGTTCACTATATCATTACTTTTAAGTTTGTGAAAGTTGAATATTTTAGATTCACGCTTAAATAACTACGATCATTTGTTCGGAGTCAAGTTTTCCAATGAATCTTAAGAATTGTAAAATAAATCTTGATATTACGTCAGATAAGTCCTAAGCTATTGAATAGTTGAACTCAAAAACAGATGAAAACTTCTTTGTTAAAATTGCCAATCGGTAGAGCAATAGAAAAATTTCGTCAGTGCCCTATCGAAGATTGATTGGCATTTTTACCACGACTTTTCTATCATTATGTGATGTACAAGGACTGTTCAATGATTTGTCGTTCACAAATTAATAATACATCTAAAACAGTTCACACCGTGTTAAAAAAAAAGCAACTGATTAGATACTACATTAGAAAGAAATACATGATAATGTTGTATTACTCGTTGGTGGTAAACCTACCTATCAAATGAAACTTAAAAATCTTTATCTCGTGAGAAAATTTTCATTTTTCTTACATATTATTCACTTATTATACAGAAATTCAAGATTAAAATGAAAATATTTCATATATAGTAATTTGTGCCTATCAAAATGATTGAGAAACGATTTGAAACATTGTCACGTAGCAATTCCATTAGTAAAGATAAAATCACATCTTGAATACAAGACATAAAATTTACTATTGTTTCATGCAGTTGAGAACTAGAAAAGTTCTCATTGTAGATTGCACTATGTAAAATAACTCATTTCTTTCTAGTTCTAATTCCTATTATTATTGAAGACTGCACAAAAACTACGGTAGCTCAACTGTGAATCGGGTTATATACGAACAAAATCGTATTTGAGAATTTTAGATGGTTCTGACACATCTGAAAAAGTTTGAAATAGAAAAAAAAACAGTAGCTAGGTTCAGCTAATTTTAACAGTTGACTGATAATCCATTTCAGAGAGAGTTCTCATAAAATTGTAACATAATGTTGAATTAAAAGTTTATCTTTCGATCACATGATCTCATGATGTGGGAAAGTGGATGCAGTCACTTATATGGTATACGAAAATATTTGTATATACTTAATTTTGAAATTTAACGTCTATATATTTTGTAGTTTCTATAGATTACTTTTGTGTTACAGCGGATACATTCGTATAGAATTCAATGCTTTTCAAAATTTTGAATCTTTTTGTATATGATAACAATTGACAGTCGTAAAATCTTCAAAAAAAATCTTTTCTATATGTCAAACTGAATAAGTATGTCAATAGATTTAAAATGCGAATCATGAGAAAATACATTTTATTCTTAAACGTTGAAAGAAAAGTAAAAATTCTTATTCTAGCCAATCTTCAATTTTTATTTAATTGGTGTTACATAAGACGGCCATTAATGCGTCAAATAATTCTTCAATCATCATCATCGTCATTTACATTTACAACAATAAACGATTTTCAATTACTTCTCGAATGTGTTATCGACCATTTTTATAAAACAAATTTAAATGAAACTGATAATAATCATTTAAAGGCCTTAACATATAAAACTTATCAATTTATTTCCAATTTAGATATGAAACAAAAACAAAAACCATTATATGAATTATTTACATTATACTAGCCAAGACAAATTCTAACATTCGCTTTTTTCTTAGATACAATAGTAATTGTTTGTTCTACTTTTATTAATTATAACGTAGTATTAATGATAATAGTAATTTTCAGATAGATATTCAATAAATATTTACAGATCCCTAATTTTCCTTTTTTTCAGATATAAAAACTAATTTATAGAAAAGTAAAAATGGATGATTATTCAACAAAAATAAAAATTTCTGCAGAAAATTTGATTCGTGTTATATTTCCAGAAAAAGCTCTTGAGCTTGACACACTTGTTTCAGTTTGTATTTAGAATAATTATTCTCATCAATAGTAATTTTGTTGTATTTTATTTTAAAGAGTCCAGTATTATCATTCAATGAAGTGCCAAAAGTTCGTGCAGAAATTCGATTACCAACAGTTGACGATCTTATTTTTTATAGTAATAACATAGCACCCGGTGATGTAAGTTTCATTTATCCGTTTCAGCAACAAAGAAACTATTGATTTCAATGAAAACAACAAGATTTACGAGGATTCTTTTGAAAAAGCTTTAACTAATTTCGTATATTTTCTCATATTTTTTTATAGTGCGTTCTCTCAAGATTATTTATTTTTACGTTTAAACTATGGCTAGACAGTTGTGGAAAAAATATATTCGCCTATCTTTCGACTAGTCAAATACAACTGGCTAGAACTAGAAGAAGTATATTAGAATCAGTTGGTTTTTTATTATTCCCGAATAATTGTTTGGATTTTCAATCGAGAATAAGATTAAAAAATGATGAGCAAATGATAGTATAAAGGTCTTAGATTGTGTTATGCGGTAGGTTCAAATAAGCACTATAGTAGACTATTGAATTCTATATAAAATAAAATATTGCTTTAAGAAAGCCATAGAAATTTTTAATGCATATTTTGATGTCGATAAATTTAATCACAATACAAAAATAAAGAAAACAGGATGCGTGTAAGTACTATGTTGGACATTTGAAAGAATCAATTTATAGCTGTTTAATATTTTATAAGAAGAAAACTTTGATAATATATTCAGCAAAAAGTAAAACTAATTAGTTCTGAACCTAAGCAGCTGTTCATTGAGTAACCGTTCAATGAGTAAATATTTCGCATCAGAGTTTTTACATCATGATTTATATAATATGATTTAAAATAGTTGAAAAATCTCTCAGTTGATTGTTCTCTAGAAGTTGTGTTCTGTCAAAACTAATAGAACAGTAGTTCATTCTCTGCACATCAATCTGCTGAAGAAATACAAGAAAAATAATGAACTTTTACATCTATCTTTGTTTCAGAAGTTAATCTTCATTTAGTCAAAAAGAAGACAACATGTAACATTTTATTACAAAATTACTCTATATAGATATTATCGAAATTAATAATACAAATTGCTACTCTTAATTTCTTGATAAATATTCTAATTTAACATAAATAGAGTCTTGAAATATTAACTTTGATCTATAAGATATGATCAAAGCTAAACAATATCTTGAATTTTCGATTTATTGCATGTCAATCTTTTGTTGAATCATTATTCAGTAACAAAATGCATAATTGATTTCTTTTTCCTAATAGGATCATCATAATAATGTATCGTCGGTAGTTAATACTAGTACAACGAAAAAACGTCGAACAGATTCAGCAGATAATACTAATTCGACCCAATCCACGTCAACGAATTGTGGTGCCGATGCAGGAACACCAATATATGTATTCAATGGTAGTGTTCCATCAAATGCATTGATAACAACTCTGGAAGAAAAACTTAAACCATATATATTTCATTTTCTTGATAGTGTATGTTGTAATATATATTATTTTTCAATTTAAGTTTCTATAATAGATATTCTTATTTAGATAGCTATTATTAAATTATGGATTCAATTAATGATACCAAAAGTTGAAGATGGCAATAATTTTGGTGTTAGCATACAAGAAGTAAATTAAATAGAAATAGTTAGGAAAAAAACGAAAAATAATAATTTCTATTTAGGATTCTTTAGCAGAAATTCGTACATTAGAGACTGATGTAACACAATATCTAGATTTAACATATAAATATTTAGTGTCTCGTGGTGAACTTATTAAAAAAGTAGCTAAATATCCTCATGTCGATGATTATCGTCGTAGTGTTCAATCGTTAGATGAAAAACAATTTGTTTCGATGCGTTTTATTGCACTTGAACTTCGTAATCACTATGTAATAGAAAATGATTTTTTCTCACGTCAGTTAAATTGAATTAATTTAAATTTTTAGACCAGTGTTCATGATCTTCTGATGAAAAATTTGGAAAAAATCAAAAGACCACGATCAACTCAAACACATTCGATGTATTAAAGAAAAATTACAAGAATTTATTTGATATACATCCTACTTCTCTGTCTAAATCATTCACTCTACTTTTTGTGTTCTTGTTCTCAATAAATTGTTACCGTTCTTCATTAATATAAACATCTAACCTGGAAAATTAATATTTTGAAATTCATCGTCTTTAAATATAAGTGAGAGCATCTAAAAATCTAATTGTGATATTGTGTAAATCTCTCATTAAATAAAATATTCAATAACACAACTTGATACACAGATAGGTAATTGTAGTAAAAAGTTTATTTAGTTTTTCCTTAATCCAATCCAACAAATTCTATCTTGTTGTTAGTACTAGAGACTTATCCAATGTGCTCTCCAGCAGATCAAATATTCAAATTTTACTACAATATATACTATGTCATTGAAACAAGTTTGCCACTTGTCAATGGAAGTAAAGTTCATGTGCAGTTGATCCATCTTTGGATAATTTGCATGTCTCACTCAAAGGCAATAGCAGATCTAAAATAACATAAAACGAGCTTTATCGGCAATATAACATGAACGAATATATAGAAAATTTTCAGAACTATTTAATCGACTAGTTAACATTCAAAATTACTCATATTTAAAAAAATCAGAGACTCAATTTTTTTCCAGTAAAAAAGCTGATTATTCGGTTGCTCGAGTCTTTGTTGTGCATTTGAATAATGATGTATATTTTTCACGAATATATTTAAACTTGTTCTAAAACATATCTTTTATATTGATAAATTTTATATCATTAATGGACTTAATTGCTATTTCTCGTTGCTATTATCTTCGATAAAAAATGAAGTTATTCTAAAGATTCATTTCCATTATCCTTTTTCCGTAACAGCTGTTAAAACATGTCACGGTATCATTCAGTATAATAATTGATAGTAATATTTGCATACGCTATCTATTTACCAAAAAAATCGAATGAGCCATTACTTTTAACAAAATAACAATTGATTGGAATCGATTAAATTAAAGCGAAGATATTTGATTTTATTATATTAATGCTATCGATGGTGTACCCTGAAAGAGCATTGATACCATAAACAACAAAATAAAACAAACATTAACATTTTCTTGCATAAGAAATGTTCAGCTCAATGGTTCAAATGATTAGTTTATAAATACTTATTAATGTTAGAGTGAGCCATTTTAATTTGACCTAAATGTACTGTACCATGGTCACAATACGATGAGAAATATAACTTTGATCGTTACTCTAACCTTAAAAAGACAAAGTTTATGTTGAGTTTTTATCCCGATAAAAACTTTCGAGAAATCATAATGATAATTGTATATCTCGAAGTCGAAGCATTTTATATTCTCCTTTTCTATTCTACATTTTATTTGTTGAATTCGGAATATCTTTTCAGAATATTTTCAATGTTTTAATCAAGCACTATCTAACTATGTAGAAACATCTATGCTGATCAACGACTATTATACGTTATTAAACATTAGTAAACCGATATTATTTAAGAATGAGTTGAGTATATGCTTAATATTTTAGAGATCTTGTTTTCAAATCTTTTGATTGTTTTATTGTTCTCTATATAATATATTCGCTGCATCGTCACGTAGAAAGTTCAGATAAATCAAAGATAATAAAAAAAATAAAGTCACATTACAAAACATCTTTTTATTATTGAATAATTTTTAGTACTCATTTCTGGCATATCAAGACCTACAACTTACATAAAAGAAAAAGAATTATAGGCGATGTATTACTATAATGAGATAAAGTACTAAGTAATTATATTTTTTTAAGATCACAGAAGTGAGTAGCCTCGAAAACAAGAAATAGATGAAAGACTTTGATGTTCTGTTTACTTTAATCTTATGGAATAGAAGTTTCTAGTAAATGAAATGCACGTAACATCGTACTAGTACTCTTCCACAGAATTCATCATGTTTTTCTATTTAGATAGTTTTTCTTAGTTTATCAAGTTTGTCTAGAGAATCAAAAAAATGATTATGTACTCATAAATGCTTATCTTTAATAACACATAAAATACAAGAGATATTCGGACAAAAAAAAACATTATTAAATACAAAAATTTGCAAAATAATCATTATTAGGCGACGCTAATAAAGTCATCTCTATTTGTTTAACTTTAGAATAGGTCATTCGTTTCATGGCGAGAAATCGCAATACTCAAATACAAAAATGTAAAACCTATTTTATTTTACGTAGAAAACACATCATTAGCGAACAAACAAATTAAATAATAAGTTATTTTAATAGATTCATTATGATAATTTATGGATAGAGAGAATGTATTTTCGTCTCATAAGCTGTATTTATAAATAAATGATTTTTATTTGAAGTTTTCAAATTATTACTGATTATAATACTTCTGATCAATGCAAAACTGAAATAGATAAACGAGGCTTTGCTAATAATAATTCAATAATAATTTTTGTGGTAGTTTTCTAAACACTGGTCTTTCGTGTTCATTAAAGAACTTTTCAATTATATTATTTATGTACGGAAACATTTTGAATTCAAGAAATTATAATCTAACAAACTGCAGTCAACGTATAATAAAAATAATATTTATCATGTCTTTAGTATTAATGTATTCAATCATTACACCAATTCTTAGCTAGATTTTCCATACCACTGTTTATTTAATTTGATTGCATGTATTTATGCTTAATACTCGAATTAATTATCTGACAATATTTTAATAACAAATTTCATTATTGTATATCAAAATAAAGTATCGATATCACCGATTTTGTTTTGAAACCTACTTATTATAAAATATTTTCATATGATACTGAAGCAAAAAATCTTGCCGATTAGAAACAATATCAAATAAATCATAGCCTACAAATTTGTCTAGCAACATTTTTTATCTGTTGTTTAGATAAATCGGTTAAAAAGTTCGAGTTTAGAAATGACATATAACCTGACCTATAGAATGTGGGTTCAAGCATTATTTTGATTAGATCTGTTGGGAGATTTTACGACAGTAGTATTTCTCGTCCATTTGTTTGTTGTATGCAATAGCTGCTAGTTAAAGTATATTGCTTTATTTTTGTAATAGTCACAACGTTCTTCTCTCTATAGAATTGATGTATTGATTACAGAACGGATGGATATGTTTACAATTCACTAGTTGCTTTGATTGAAAATGTAGTATGTTACTTTTTTTGTCTCTGTTGTATATATGTATATAAACTTCAGAGTTGAAAAAAGGATGGAATTAAAATAATTAGTTCATTTAACAATGACTAATTAGTACAAACTAAAAGTTCATGTTACCATAAACAGATTTTCTTCAGACGGTTTATGAGCTTTTCACTTTATGCGATCACGAATGTTATTATCCGATCTTTTCTTTGTTGTTAATGTAAACACGGTAAAAAAGGAGTTTTTGTTTTTCTTCATGATTTTACGCTCCATAAGATCTATTTGCATAATTCTTTTTAAAATATAAGTTAGTTTATTTAATTAACTGGAGATTCTATCATTTTGTAGATTTTCATCCAATTCATTCATTAACCTTCATTCATCCTCGTCGTTTTTACTGACTTTCTTCTCCTTTAATAAACTACTTCAATTAATATTTGTTATATTCTAATAGTTGTGACTTGAAATTTCTTTTTTGTCAATATAGTTTTCATGTTTATGTAGAAGTTGTAACTGAACTGTTTCGTTATTAACAAATTTAGATTGAGTTATATTTTACTAAAAAATATTAATAAAACTAAGGAATGTTAGTGTTTTTCACTATGGAATTCATGTTCATTGTAAACGAAACAATTTATTGTTTGAATAGACTTAGCATCTTGCTTTCTCGTCTTTCTCTTTTTCTAAAGATTAATAAAGGAAGAGAGGAATGTTAGCTCATACTGTCGCTACTAATCAAAATAAAATAGAAGAATTCTGATAATGTGCAACTTTTATTTTTGTTTTATCTGTTTTCTTCTTCTTAAACTAGAATAACAACAATATTGATCAACATGAAACTGCCCGTAGTGATTTTGATTTTAACTATTTTAACTTTTTCGTCAACCAATGGCATCGCAATTGATGATTTTCATTGTAAAGTTCCAACGTGTCGAGATTTTCATTATGCAAGTTACATTTTTTGTATTATACTATTTCTATAAATTTATTTGATTTTTAAACCGTATGATAGGGGCTAATAAAATATCAACAACATAAGCATTATGTTGATGTATGTTATGATACTGTATATACTTTACAAAGTATACCACTAAAATATGGTAAATGTATTGATAATAAGACAGGAAAACTACATCCACCTTGCATATGTAAGTTTCTTTTCTTTTATTTCTCTATGAATATAAAGTTATACTGATTGTTTTTGTTTAGATGCATTGGCTAACACAATAAAAAGTTGTATAACAAAATTGAATGGATTATCTGAAAATGTAGCTAAGTATTATTGTGGATATACACTTATGAAATATTGTGCAGTGCACGTTGGTCTTGATCACATTCCACTTAAATTTGATTATAAGATATAGACAACTGTTATTCTACATGGGCAATATTGGAGAAAGCAAAATCCTCTTTTATACTACAGAGATTTTTATATAATGTTCATAAATAAGTGTATTTAATAAGAACACGAAATAAATCTCTCAAACTAACTGTATTTGTATTCATTGCTGATTCTAGATAGATAAATGCATATATGTGACTTTTCTACGCTATAACATTAATTATAAAAGGAGGGACATAAGCGTAATATAGAATTATCAGCCTACGACATCGGCCAACATGAAAAAATGTTCCTTTTTTGAAAAATAGAATCATATTCTTAAATTGAAAGAAAAGGTGTTAGCTAATTAATGCTGTCTTGTGTAGTGTTATATATATATATATATTTGACGCCGAATCATCAAGTTAGTATGGAAAAAAATAGAGAACAATCTGGAAAATAGTCAAGCTCCTTGGCTTTTAATGACTTTTGAAGATCGAAGAATGACATATAATGTTGACAAATAATAAATTTCAAACAGGTGTGCGTGTATGATATTTAATATAGTAATACGCAGATTCAAGTCAATATTATTCCAGAGTGCGACAAATGCGTAAAAATCATAAGTCTATTTTTAGTCTTCTGAGCATGACATCGTTTGTTTCAAACAGCCGAGAACATATTTTCGTTCGACTTAAATCGTCTAAAATTGTCTTTATTTAGTCAATGTAAAAAATCTATATATGAAAATATAAGTCACGTGAAATAATGAACACAAAAAAACACAAATATAGATTTAAAATCAACACGTATAGTCTTCACAAGTAAAACTAAATATGTCTTTTCATGACAATCTTTTTCATAAGAAATAAAAAACGATAGCATGTCGTTAGAAAAGAACTTGTTCATCAATGTGAATTTTAAAGGTGGTTGCAACTGTAGCATTATAAACTACTGAGGGTTATCGATATTTTTAGAATGCTCGGCATTCTATGAAAAGTAGAAAGTTGATTCATAGCAACTATGTCAATCGTAGCAAATAAAAATATGCGTTTGGATGCTTAATAGTATTGCAAAGAACTAAGAGAAAAATGATGAATCGGTTGATAACGGTAGATATTTTTTCATATAGAATACCTAAGAAGATTGCAAACTAGTACATAGAAGACAATCTTTTTTCCCTAATATTGCATGGAAATTTTAAATACCCAGAAATAGTTTTGAACTGAAATTCTATGATTATTAATCTCTATCATTTTATTTTATTTAATTATAATTTTAATAGAATAAGTCGAAGCTAAATCGGCGAATAAAAATACTTTGTAGAATAGAAATGATATAAATGTTTTTATTATCGATTAAGCCATTCAACTGAACACGAAAATACTTTATTATGAAAAAATATACAATCATTTCTTTTCGTCTTTTTTAATACGGAAAAAAACAGACCTTCACCATTCGTGAACTAAATGTGTACGTTGTGTTCAAAATCTATTTAACAAAAACAAATTTACCTAATAGAAACGTACTCGATTAGGTAACTTAGACAATGTTGAATCGTAACTTTAATGAAAAAACAATGGATCATGATTTATTTTTCTCTTCTACTACAACTAAAAGTTATAATTTACTTATATCCATTTGTCTATTAGACATAATATATCTTACTTAACGAAAATAAGATTTACTGCTCAATCAGAGATGCCAGATGTGAAAATCGAAAATCCGGAAAGGTTTTCAATGATCAGTTTTAGTCACGTAAAGAACCTCTTTCTCAGATATATTATCAATAACTTCATATATTTTCACAAAATAAAACATGTTTTAATTAGGGTGTGTGTGGGTGCGGTTGAGTTAAAAATACAGTCACATCCACACACCCACACTAGAAGAGAAGGGAAACTATGCAACGCGAAAGAAATAGCAATTGGACGTGTAAGGTGACCAATAGAGGAAAAGATTAAATCTCTACCGAATTATTCACAATTTAGAATGCTAAAACGAATGAAATAAAAAATGACTAAAATCCGGAACATCTGGCATGTCTGTGCTCAACTTACGCATTGAAGAAACACTTTACTTTCTTACAATTGCTTGTGACCAGACCATATTGTTGACATTAATTATTAGTTAAGAAAATGATCTCTCTATTATAGTGTGAATTACAAAAAAGTTACTCTTATATGTTTCATTCGTAATTATTTTGAAATTCATTCGTATAAGCGTAAGGCTAGATTCTTTAAAAGTACAATACATTTATAATTTAATTTACTTGAAATATTCTACGTTCTACTATTCAATTATCTCTCAAATATATTGCTTAGATTTCTATAATTGAAATTTACGAAAGTCTAAATTGTTTCTTAGAAGATATGTTATTGAATTTTTCGAAAATTGAACACATGAAAACTCTTGAGCAGTTAGTGCTCTGTAAATCTTCAAGTAAACACTTCTATAGTATCTCAATATCTCCTACTATCTGATAATAAATAAAGTTGTGTCACTACGCTAATGCAGTAGAAAATCACATATTGAAATTTTCTAGCAATCACGAGAAAGTATACATTCTCTTTCAATACGTACTATACAACACACCATGGCAAAGCGTCGCGGGGCGATCAAAAAGATTGTTCCATCTCGTTCTATGTCCCGCACTGCCTTGTCTCATTTCATCCGATCTCGTAGTATTCTAGTGTATAAACACAATCCTTTCGTTTTATCTAAAAATGCAATTGAAACATACTAGCTAATTCACACTTTCTTGATCAATGAAACTCATTCGTTTTATTGTTTATATATTACATGATAGCGTTTACATGGAAAAATTTTCATCACAATGGCATTGACATAAGAAAGTCGCTGTTACAAATATGAAGGAAAGTGTAATAACAAACGTAAGCGAAAGTACTACTTTTCGAATAACTAATCTAAGAAAAAATACGTCGTTAAGATTTGTTCGATTAATTGAAGATCTATGCTCCGTCATAGTAAAACTAGCTATGAAGGGAGGGTGACGGATTTTGGACCTTAGTGGATCCCATGGATTCTGTTGGATACTACAGCTGATTCACTCGGCGGTACCAAAGGGTATCAATAATTACTAGAATCCTCATAAATCAATTGAGATATATTAACTCTTGCTGAAATACATTCATCCCGACTATATTTTAGCAACGTGCACTGATTTTTAATGAAAAATAATAAGGCAGATCCTGATGGATTCTTATGGACACTAATGAACGCTAATAAAATGTAAAATAGATTTACAACAATTTGCAATCAGTGTGGAAAGATGGAACGTGAAAGATCCTACTAGATCAACCTCTCCTCTTTGCCCTCTCCACTAAATTTATACACAACCGTTGGCTCTGCTTGTATGAACTTGGCGGGACGGAGAAGTGAACAGATTGGGCCCCGTCACATCCCGGGAGGGTATTGGTCCTACTTTTCACGGAACTCTACTCCATGGAACTTCATTCGCATAGAAATTCATACCTTGATCTTTTTTCCTGAAGTGATACAAATAAAATACATAATGTTTCAATTATTTTGATTCGTTCGAATAACGAACGACATTATTCTATATTTCAATCATCAATCAATTATCTTATCAGATTCTACTGGTCAATGTTTTTCATGTGAATGTTTCAAACATTCGGACGATTGATGATACTAATATTTGGACATTCTCTTCCGAAATATTCTCACATTAACGATGTATCTAGATGACAAAGTGTAAATTTTTCTTGTTAAACATGGTTCTAATATTTAAAATTCTCTTTTAAAAACTGAAATAGGATTACACGCATTCTAGTGATGATCAGGATTATGAAGACATAACTATATTAAAAGATTAAATTATTGATGAACTCTCGAACATGAATATATTCATTGTATGAATAATAATGTGTTAATTCATTTGTATCTTATTCATAAATGAATTCTTATTCATACAGATCGTCTCTATAGAACTATTTTAAATCATAATTTTATTGCGCTTCGTTTTTAGTCGCAAGAACAGTTATGAAAAATAAATTCAAAGTGTAAGTAAGCAATACATCTGAAATTGATTATCTGTGTTAAATGTGATCACACTTTTAAGAGCCATTGTTTGACTTTTATTATTTTCTATATGATCCTATTAAAATATAAAATAATTATAGATGAACTAACAACATAAAACTAAGTATTAATTATTGTCACTGCCAAATTACATATTTCATTTTTAAATTTTAAATTTTATTTCATCTTCATTTTCATCAAAACTTTTTAATTTTCATTCAAGCACGATAGAATAGATGTAATAATTAATAGCAAGAAAAGTCGTCTTCATTCTTGCCACTTTCGCTGAATATATGTATATACATAATCGTGTATAATCATACATTTCTATATTTATTGAAGAAGCTTTTTATTTTACGCAATAATACTTTTGAGTCATAATACTAACAAGGAATAACTTCTGCATCCAGAAAACACTATTATTTAGTATTCGGCGATGCAAATCAGTGTATAAAAAATATATCCTTTTTTATGTTTGAGAAAGTAAACAAGCTGATTCGCTACACAGCAATTAACATAATATTGTGACTTCAGTTTTATTTAGAGGAAAACAATCTATGACTATGAGCGCTATCTTGGTTATTGTGTTAGATGACAACTGAGCAGAATCTATCAATGACGTAACATAGATTTCTCTTAGTTAACAACAAACAAAATTTTTCAAGTTAACTTCATCTATAATATTTGTTTATATGATTCATACGAGAAGAAAAACAGAATACATGTATTCAATAAAAAATGAAAGTTCAGTTCGTTACGCTTTGTTTTAACACTATCCATGATCGACTCTCTCAAATATGAATGTAAATAATCATATATTTCAATTGAAATATCAAATATAATTTAGTCTTTCTATCACTTTGACTAATATTTATTATCTTTTCAAATGTTCATACTTTTTAAAAATTATACAATTAAATTGTTATAATACAAATACAGGAGAGAAATCAGTGTGTAGCACAATTCACTTGTGTTGGTCCTCCTTGATGACGTTCATCATCCTGATCATATATATCATTTCTGCTTGAATTTTGTGATTGTCGAGGATCGAATTCCAGTAAAACACATTCTTCTGCATCCATTGGTATACTAACTTGTGGACGTTGCGGTAGTAATGCTTCTAATTTTGACATATTCTCAGGGCTTATTTCATTTTTATTTGGAAATTGCACATCAAAATGAAGAATAAGTCGACCTTTTTCTAATGGATTTCGATAAACAGGCATACCTTCATTTAATATGCATTTAATATCGCCTGGTTTAATTACTTCACCTTTAACAGAAACCAAAAACAAATTTATTGTTTCTCATTTTCATCACAATAATTTGAATAAATTTCATACATACCTGGTAAAGATGTAATAACAAGTTGTCGATTATCAAGTGTTTTGATAACTTTTTGAAAACCACACAACGATTCAATTAATGTTACTTGCATTTTCATATGCAAATCCGTTTTATCACGTTTAAATGTCGAATGTTCTTTTTCATCCAAAACAACAACAATATCACCTGACTGAAGTCCTGGCTCTTGATCACCTTCACCACTAAAAGTTATTTTCTTTCCATCTTCCATGCCTGAATAGAATAGAAATCATTGTATTGAATTCTATGAATATGATTTTATTGGACGTTTGTTAGTTACCTTTATCGATATGTACTTCAACAATTTTTCTTTCTCGGGCAATTTTTTTTCCATCACATGTTTTACATTTATCTTTTGCATCTATCTTTTCGCCTTGACCTTCACAATCTGAACAATGCGATCGCATTTGTTGAATCATTCCAGGTCCTATCTGATTAATTCGAACAACAAAACCAGAACCATTGCATGTTGTACATTTCGATACTGCTTCTCTCTTTCCACCAATACCTGAAAATTTAATTATAAGAATTTTTCGTTTTAAAAAATATCAAAGAAAAACAAATCAAAAAACTTTAGTTTACCTTTACATTTATTACAAACAACATTCTTTTGTAAAGCTAATTTTCTAACAGCACCATTATAGAGTTCTTCTAATGATACGCTAAGTTGATGAACAAGATTTTTTCCTCGATTATCTTGTCGATTATTGAACGAACCATTGAAGAACATGTTAAATATATCAAATGGATCGGAACTACCTTCTGAGTTTGGACCTTCTTTTAATACTTTTTCGCCAAATTTATCATACAACGACCGTTTCTTTTCATCAGATAATGCTTCATCTAATTGCCAGAAGAGGAAAATATTTCATTAAATTATTTCTTTTAAGCAAACAAAAATTAACTTACATGCTTGCGATAATTGTTTAAATTGTTCTGGATCATTGCCATTATTTTTATCTGGATGTAATTTTAAAGCTAATTTACGATACGCCTTCCTGATTTCGTCCACAGTAGCATTCGGTTGAACGCCAAGAATATCATAATATTTTGTGTCTACAACCATTCTAACGCGTAGGAAATGTTAGAAGCTTCTGAAAAAATCACAGAACAGTGTTAATGTAAACGGAATAAAAGGCTCAATGCTTGCTGATATATAAATTCAAATATAGGATATTTATGTTTGTGCGTGTGCGTAAGCAAGAGAAAACCAAAATATCACGGGAGAATAAGGCACAAACCAATTAGATTCTAAAGTGAAGCAGAGGAAAAAATTACAGTAGCACTGCCATTAGTTCTCTAGAAATGTTGTTCCAAATAAAATATTAGATAAAAACCAAAATGATTATTACCATAAGACAATAACGCAAGCATCTGACAAACATAAAGTTAAGAGAAAAACAGATTAAAATTAAAATTAATACTGGTTTTGAACACAAGCAAAATGGAGATTCAAATAAAAAGTTATTTGCTTTTATCAACGAGTCCATCGAATCCATTTAATGTTCGGTTTACAAAATGAATATGTTTTTTTAATTTTGACCAAAACAATTTTGACGAATCACATAATTCTGTTGGTGGATCTTCTGGAATACCATAGAGTATATTTGATAACAATGGAAATGGTACAGCAGTATTGGTAAGACCATAAGCAGGACCAATTAATGTATGTCTAAAGATGTTATTTTTAATATTAAAATAGTAAATATTCTTATTTACTTGTATTTTTTATCGATGCTATTCATTCCAGGTAGTTGGTCATTACTGATAAATAAACGTTCAAATTCAATTAATTGTTTATTTATTGATTGAAGTTGAAAATAGCTATTATCATCAAAGAAAAATAAGAGAATCCATTAATTTGATTGAATCCAATGTTTATAGATGTTCATACTCGCTTTGAGAGATTTGATTAATATGTAATTGTAGCGCCTGAATGGATTTTGTCAGATCATTGAATGTTTCTATGAATTCATCTAGAAAAATTATATTATTATTTTACCTGAATAGAAAACTTTTTTTATCTTACTAATACGACCAATATGAGAACCTACTGAACCATATTCTCTCTTATAATGTGAAACATATTCATCGACTTGTTTATCAATTTGTTTAGCGTAGTTTGTTAAGTTAAATGAAATAAGAGGCTCATCGACTAGTCGCCGAATGATTTCACTAACAAATTGTGTATATGCAACATAAACTTCTGGTTGAAGTTTTCGTTCAAAACTAGGTGGCACAAGAGCCGCATAAAACGTATCATTGGTTACTGCCTAAAAAATAAAAACCATTGATTTATAACGATGACAAATCGAATCAAGATTATCAAAAAATTTAAAGCTATGGTTTTATATTCTGCATTGATTTACAGTTTTTGAAAGTGAAAATTTTGAAGATCTTGTTTTGTTTTTTACAAAATTAAAAATATACTTTTACCTTAGTTTAAAGAGAGCCACTATCTTGTTTTAAATGACAGATTCGTATTGATGTTTGCCGAAAGTAATAGTTACTCAGTTTCTTTTTTTGCGTTCTTTTATACTGTCGATATCAAAACATAGAACAAACGAGAACATTCGAGAATATTCCTGAAAGTTACAACACTTGTTGGCAATCGTTCTCTTCCTGTCAACTTATATAAATTAAAAGTATATACACGCATGCACAAGATTAATTCGAACAGAAAAGACAGTACGCTTCGAAAATATTCATAATTATAAAATATCTATTTTTTTTTGTTGCAAATAAATAATTCGACATGCAATTCTACGAATTCTGTTTTCTTCTCGAAGAAAAAGATAAAGAAGAAATGACTTGTGACACAATAAACAGTGAAAGAAATCAATAAAAAATAAAGAAGAGAAAACCAAATACTAGACATGCTCAATCTTACCTAGTAGAAAAATCGTTTTACTAAACAAAACTCAATGTGGTTTATATAGAAGAACTCCATATTGAAATCATCTTTTTTGTTTTAGAAAATAATAACTATGCATACTTGCTGTTCAGTCATTTCAATCAATATTGACGGAATTCCATATTGTAATTGAAATAAAGCAGCTGATGAATCAATATCAATAGTTTGAACAATACCTAAAGCTTTATTTAATCCAATTTGATTATTACTCGCTCTATTCCATTCATCTAATAATTTATGTGATTCACATTCGACTGCTTGTTTTTCATTTTCTTCTTCATGATGTTGATGTTCATCACCGTCGCGTCGTTTTCGTTCATGACTATGATGATGCTCTTCGTTTGATGAAACTGTTGTTGTTGGTACTAGTCGATGATAACATGTATGATTATGTTCAAGTGGACTTGGAACTAAATCAGCAGTTTGATAAGCAACTTGTTCAAATAATGGTGAACCATGTAAATTAAGGGTAGAATTTCCAAGGATGCCATTTCCAATATCAAGATATGCTATTAAATTTTTATCGACAAAGCGAGAATTATCCGAAAGCCAGCGACGAACTAAAAATTATTCAGAAATAAACATTTTATAGATTCTATGTTATGTATTTTAATACTTTGAAAAAAGACTAGAAAATCAAAACAAAAAAGTATTCGATATTATGAAAATAGATAAAAACTATGACATATACTTCGTTATAATAAAACCGAGTGATTGATTTAGTTCAAAATTATAGTTCTAAAAGATTTAAAATTTCGTACAAAAATAACTTCAAATGCGATTAAGTGATTAGAACGTTCTGAGTTCTATGCATTTGAAAAAATATCGTTAATGATAGACAAAAAGATGTTTCACCTCGGAACATTTTTCTTACTTGTATAATGATCGTAGTCTAAGCCAGACCAAGCACAGAATAGAATTGATCTTCTACAAAAGAAAATCAAAGTAATTAATTTAAAAATATATGATTATTTTCAAATGAAAACTCACTTTGGCTTCCAACCATTCTTTATTTGATTTGTGTAGGCTTCTATGATTTCATTGATAATTCTACTTTGTTGCATGGCACCTAATTGATAACCAACCATAATAAAATGATCAGGATCACTTATGCCTCGAATTGAACTCATAACAACAGGTAATTCAATTTTGATTGCTTCTACATTGACCACTAAGCGAATTCTCGTAGTTGAAAGTGTTCCACCTATTTTTAATGCTGTAACTGTATGGGTCCATTCAGTGGGACACGTTAACCATTTATTTGAATCTGTCTGAACTAATCGAAATATTCGTTCAACATCGTCATATGAAAGTATTAAAACAGATATTGAATGATTTTCATTATTTATAGTACCATCAAGAAAATTTTGACGTTCTGAATGAATAAAGAAAATTTCGAAATTTTGATTTCACGTTTTTATTTTTTAAGCTCACCTTGAAAAGAAGTATATCTAACCCAATCTTGATAGAATGGAAAGCGATCGTTGGTTGTTTTAGTTTGCGAATTTTCATTATCATCAAATAAAACTAACGCAGCAAAACCATAATAAATTGCTTGATGAATTTGTTCGGTTTGAGAAATAATTGTTCGTTGACGTCTCATGAATACAATCGACTTTTGACGATCTTGAAAATTTATACGATTTTTAAATAAATAAGCGAAATCTTCTTGTCGACCATAATTAACATAATAAATTGAATTTCCATCAATTTCACCAGATTCGATAAATGAAGAAAATGAAAGAATATTTTCGGTTGATAAAAGATTAACTTTTAAAAGTTCTTTTCCATCTTTACTATCAAGTAATTTAGCTCCGCTCCATTGAGTTGATAAAGCATATTGTGATAGATTTATATCGTACGTTAATTTATTTACACGAGTTAATACTGACGAATATGATTTCCATTTTTCATGTAATTTATTAGCAGCATCATTTTCAGATTCAATAGAACTAAATATTAATAATCTTATAAAATAACCAAAGCACATTTCATTTATTTTTAAAGAATATTTACCGAGTAAGATTGGTAAAATTTGCTTTTTCTATTGACTGAAGTAATTTTGTTCGTATTGTTAAATCAACATTTGTTGCTGCCTGAAGTAAATTTAATGGCGAAGATCTTTGACCAGAATCTGGCGGTATTCGATAGAGCATAATAATAACACCACTTAGACATCCTAAGATGAAAGCACCCAAAACTAAAGTAAAACATAATAGAGGATGAGCATTAGAAATAGGATGACGCTGATAGGTTTTTGGACGCTTAGCAACCACAGGAAACTTGTCATCTGGAACATTCAATGACGTATTTGTTCTCAGATGATTTTCATCTTCATCACCATCACCATCAGAATCAACTGCTGATAGCAGTAGAGCAGCTTTTTCTTCGTTCGCTAATTGATGCATATCGTGTTTATTCACTGTTAAAGTCTGCACACGATGAAAAAATAAAATCGGAGATTGATTATCAACATGTGTTCTGGTTGCTCAGGCACGATATGTATGATCTACTTATTCTTTAATAGACTTGATTTATAATTTACTTTATGTCAAAGTAGAAAACAAATATTGCAGTGAGTGTCATAAAAGTAATAACCTTAAGTTTTTAACTGTATACCTAGTTAAATATTCATTATAGATGTCACACTTAAGCATTCATAAAAATTTACTTCATTACACTAGTTAGAAGTTAAAATAATTGTTCTTTGCTGTATGTTATTTTCATGTCTATCATCTTCAAAAATTTCTTATCATAAAATTTTATTATCGTACATTAAATATATTTGTATGTATGATGATAGGCTCTATCATTATGCGCATTATATCTAAACTCGAATAGCTTATGTTAAAAGCCAAAAAGAAAGATTCACAGCGATTAAAATAACTGGCACATAAGAGCGACTCTAATTTAGTCATAATATACCTATTTGAAGAAAAATTTTATATTCAAAAACTCTTGCTGTAACATATAGCTAACTCAATGAAGTATTTACTTAGATTAATATGTTTTTCTTTGAAAAATTAGGAATGAAAATGTTGGAACTCAACTTTAGTTTATATCATTTTTGACAGTATTTTAAGAACTCTGAAATTTCCTAAGAAAGCAAGCACACCCTATACAAAACATATTCGATTTTCAAATAAACTCAATTATTATTACTTTCTTTAATCAGTCGATGTATTTCTTGAAATTGTAATATCACAAAAAAGAGACCATCAGTTTTGATTACGGTTTGCATTCGAGATTCGTAACGTACGGGAAAGATAATTCAAATCTTCTCATTCAAGATACAGGGTACGATTTCTACTTTGCACATTTCTAGTTTGCACGACTATCTAACTGTTAAGAAGTTCACGTACAAACGAAAATAAAAATCTGTTCAAGGTTCTATTAATTTGATCGCGATCCACTCGTATCTATAAGATGAGATCGAACAGTATCTAACGGTTGGATATGTTCTCACATAATATCAAAGGAAATATAGAGACTAATGATTGAAAATTTCTTTTCCCATAACTATATTGTATAGAAAAAGTGTCTTTTATTAAAGAAATCAAAGAAAATGATATTTAAAAAGACTTATATTAATGATCGAGCACATTATTTACACGTATAGAGAGGAGTGTAGTTTCGATCTTTTGATTTTGATCTGTCACTGAAAACGGAAGAACTCTTTTTACGTACATGATATTATTAACACAAAACAATAATAATAATAAATATTTTTGAAAAGAAGACAACAACAATCGCTCATTATTTTCTATTGAAGAAAATATGTTTGCCGAATAACGAAAACTTAAAATAACGTATTAAATATTTAAAATATGATTATTTCTATTAATCTCTATCAAAATTTATTATTGGAATTATATTATATAAATAGGTAAATAAATAAATAAATAAATAAATAAATAAATAAATAAATAAGATTTACATGTACGCAAGTTTTTCAGCATCGGCAGATATATTCGTTGATGAAGATGTCGATGTACTCTTAACAACAATAAGAAAATCTGCTTCATCTTCTGAATTAAACATTTTTGATGTCAAATCAGATATCTGATCAAAATCAGGGTCACTATCATCATTAGAAATATGCTGTCTGTGTATTTGTTTCGGCGTCTTGGTTATATCAATATTTGTAGGTATAGGCAATAACGGTAAACTATGACAGAAAGTATTACGTTTTCGTTGATCATAAGATAATAACGTTGAAAATGAAGATACTAATATTGAATCAGCATCATCAATGGTTGATGATGAACAACATGCTGTATTCGTATTTGGACTTTTATTGTATTGAAATTTGGAAAGAACATTTGAATCATTGAGAATAGGTGGATTCACAAAAAGAGACGTTTCTCGAGCATTATTTGTTGAACCAATCGGTAATGAATATGATTGAAACGTAGATGATTGAAATGGCGACCGATTTGCTACTGTTGGAGGTATTTCAAATAAAATAGAAGCTGGTTTAAAAACTGATGAAGCAGATTTTGTAGAAGTTATTTGAGTTTCTTGAAAACTACTAATAAAAAAAATTATGTATCATCGATTATTATTTAGGCTGATAATAAACTTCTGTAGATAAAAACGAAAATTCCCTTTTCAGCCATAACTTCTTTCCTTTTTTTGCACTACTTTAGATTTATCTATAATTTATTCTGTAGGAAATAGATTCAATTATTCATGTATGTATATATTCCGTTTTATTTAATTCTGATGTTAATTCTAGTTTTGTATTTTTGTTTTTGAAAACGGTACATTTTGATAATGTTTATCTATAATGACAAAATTTTGAATGAGAGATGGAAAATATTTCATACCGCCATTTTCTATTTTAGGGTTAGTGTATTGTGAAATGCGATTTTCTGTTTAATAATACGACATACGTTTCCTGTAGAAGGCAACATTCACAAGTAATCACTCAATTTGTCATTCATCATGCATGAAAGTCCAATTCTCAACGAGACAATAAATAAGAGTCAAAATCTCTTCTCATTCAATTGAGTAAGCTGTTCATGTAGATAATATCATCTTTCTACTTATCATATACGATATAACTGCATATTATTATAATGCGTTTGACCTCGTTAAAGACTTGCAAATTCATCAATAATTATTCATAAAAGTCAATGACCACTTGTAAATCCCCTATACCGTATTGTCTAGAAGGCATATATATATATTACAATTGAAAAAACAAACACATTCAAACATGCCCTAATCATATGTTTGAAAAGAAACAGAAATGAAAAGACCCATTCTTCTTTTCAGCGTGTATAGTGTTTCTCCTCAAATTGCTATCTGAACGCGCTTTTTTCAATGAATAAAACTAAACGAATGTATATAGCACATTGGTAGAAATTAAAATAGACATATACTTGGTGCTCCATTAATTATGGATTATTGAAGTAGAAATGAATCTGAAACAGTGTAAGAAAAACAACACACGGAATTATTGAGGAAAAATAGTTTACATCCAGTCTACCAGAGAATTTACTGAAATTAATTATCATAACATATTTTCCATTTCATTTTACTTTTAATATAATGATCTTCACTCTCGACAAAAAAAAGATGTTTCTAGCTATAATATTTATTAGTAGTTTAATCAAACTATACGATTGAAAGTATAATGATTATTTACAACTGAAAATTTAGAATATACTTTTCAAAGGACACCTTTTTCTTAATTGATAGTTGATGAAACAGAATCATAGAACTTTTAGCTCAATATATGACTATGACTTTAAAAAGTTCTAAAATAGAGATATTTTTTCATTACACATCATCCTTTAATAGTGAATATCAGTCGTACGTAAAAGAAAAAAAATCACTAACAACGTTATCATTTACTTGTCATCTTATCTTCGAGGTCACCTTTTTGATTTACTCTGCGGATAAGACTGCGTACAAGAGATAAAAATTGATCAAGTTACTCTATGTCACGTTCTAGAGTACAATGAAATAATGCTACTAGTGTTATTGCATATAAAATCATATTTTACAAATAGAAGAGATACCCTGAATACAAAAAGATTTCTCTAAAGATTTCTTAGCTATGAATTTTTGATACTTTAATCTCTTTTTTTTTCTAGATAAAATTAGTCACAGTATGAAAAGAAATCTTACAATTCAGATTTTGTTCACAATACTCAAAACCTATTTTGCACTTCAGCCTTTTTTGATAACAGTTCGTCTGGTCAAGGTTATTCAGGTAAGAAAAATTTTGAATCATCTTTTAAAAGAAATCAAGAACAGAAAATCTTTTCTCACGAATAAAAATGAATTTCTTTGATAACTCGTAGTAAAAAAGAATAAAACTATGCACATTTTTACTTTTTTATGACTCCATCATATTTTTGATCAATTTGAATATTGTTTAAAAATGGTTGAACCTGGTCTTCAATGGAATGATTATTAAGATCATGCAACAGATTTTTAGCTGATTGCTTTAAGTTACTAGAAGACAAAAACGAGCAGATATTGTATTTTTGTGTTATTGAAAGGGAATACTTGATTTGGTGCTCATATAATAATAATTGTTGATTTTGTTCTTTAATTGAGTTTTCAAGTGTATGATTTCGATTAGATAATGTTACAAGATCATCATAAATATGATATAGTTTTTCTTTTAAAAACATAATTTCTTCGTGTAAAAATAATTCATTATCTTTTGAAATTTGTACTGTACATTTAGCTAGTGAACGAAGATCCTTTGAAAGACATCAAGAATAACAATTTTACTTAAAAAATAAATTTCGCTTTTACCTGTTGAGTTAGCCGTTGTATAAGACGAATATTATTTCTTTCTAAATGATCAATTTTATCTTGTAATAATTGACATTTTGTTTTTAATTCCTTATTATGTAACAATGATTGTGTATATTGAATTTGATTTGTATCGAATTTCTTTTGTAAATGAACATCTATTGAACATTTGAAAAACAAAGAAATGAATGGGCGTTGTAGAAAAAGAAGCTAACATGGTTCATCATTGCGACGTATTGAGTTATATTCATGTAAATGAAGATTTGTTATTTCTAATTGTCTTTGAAAAACAAGTTGCCTTTAAAAACTTGACTATTTTAAAATCTTACTTTCTAAGTTCGATCATTTCTCTTTGTACTGGTACTGATGATGATTGAAATTGAATATCATCATTGACATGTAAAAGAGCAGATGAAAGACAATTTTCAAGTTCATTCCATAAATGATAATACTGAGGATCTAAATATTAATTTACTTGCCTGAAAAATCTATTTCTTTTTGATTGAATAGTTACCAGTAAAATTGTTACAATCTCGAGATCGAATTTGTTTTGAAATCGTTCGAATCCGTGTTAGATATGTAATAAATTGTTCATGATGAAAACTTCGACGTTCTCGATGCATAAAATTTGACTTAAATGATGACGGATCAATGCAAGATGAACTTCGTACTAATTCTTCATTATTTCGAGTACGTTGATACAATGATGACGACGTAGACTTCTTTTTATATTTATTATTTGCTAATATGTTATTTTTTGATATAGATGCCAAACGTTGATGAATTTTTTGAGTTGGAGATGGTGAACGTGATATGCGTTTGCGAGATTTATTTGAACTTCCTCGAACATTTGATAATAATACCTCCTATATAGATAGAATCATCTCTACTTCTTAAATAACTTCATGTTAAGATGTAAAATAGCATTCATTTTCAACAAAGTGGATCTCTTATTTTTAATGAACCACTTCAGATATATCATTCGTTATGTCACTCATATTAATATCTTCTCGAACAAGACAAGAACAAAGGCAAAAATCTTATATATACTAATCTAAAGTATTAAAAATTCGCAATATTCCCCAAGAAAATCAATCAAATGGTTCTTTTAAAAGTTAAAACGAACCTCTAATGTTACTCCAGCTATTGAACGTGAGGTTTTGTTTACTGAATAACATGGTTGGTGGTCACTTGTTTCTGTAATGCCATTCGTATCTGAAAACAAGACGATGCATTTTGTTGTTAGACTGGTGATTTTTTTAAATCGATACACATACTGCTTTTCATTACGGATGATTTATTAATAGGTGCTTCGCTATTCTGTTTTTTCGGTGTCATACTCATTGATGATTGCCTCCGTTTTGTCCAATTTATTTCACGAACAACTGAATATTTAGCATTGCGACGTGATTCTTCATTTTATTATTAGCAAAGAGAAAATAATGAAGAGAAACATCAGTAATCTTACCTTGAACACTTAGAATATTTCGTAGGAGTTCAGCATATTTATCAAATTCTTTATTTGTTCGATACACAAGTCTTCTTGTCATGGATGAGTTGACTAGAGAAACAAATGGTACTGAATGATGTTGAATTACCACTGAATCATTCTAGTGAAAAGTAAAATAAATAAATAATAGAGAATAATATCAATTTTACTCAATGACACACATTCAAAAAAAAGTTTTGCTCTATTTCATGAACTCTTATCAAATATACAAAGTTTCATTAGCCCTATCTCTAGTGTACCCTATGTTTAATAGAAAATGAAACATGGATAAAATAATGTGATTTATAAGTAGAACATATGTATGCATTTACTTTCGTGTATTTATACTTGAAGCAAGAATTATTGTTACATAATGTGTTGAAAAAACGAGCAATAGTGTAAAAGAATATATAGGAGAGAACACGTTGAATTTTGATTTTTCAGCACTTTTCTTTTTGTGAATCGAGAAAAGTATAAGTGATTAGAAGTAAGAATTTATTTGATGATTTAAAGAAGAACCGAACAAAAATCCGCTTACTTTCATTGGAAGATGAATCAAACAGCTGCAATGTCTCGTTTTTCTATAACTGCAATATGGTTACTTTGACAAGCAGGTGAATTCTCATCGACGACTTGAATTTGTTGTTCTTTCAATTTTAATGATGATCACTTCAAGTACAAGTAAATAATGAATATAAACGTCAAAATGAATGTATGAATGTAAGTCTCTATTAAAAAGCGAAAGAGAATTTGAGTCAAAATAAAATAAAAAATAGTTGGCTCTTTTTTCCTCCGCAATCTATTCTCATATCGTCAAGCATCTGAAAGAACAAAGACTCCATAAAAAAGAAGAAGAAAAAAGAAAAAGAAGAAGTAAAAAGAAGAAATGCTGCTAAATGAGAGCAATATGTGTATTGGCGAGAGACAACAAACATTGCTATTTATCTTTTTTCTCACTTTCTCTAGTCTACAAATATAGATTAAAGATAAAATGCTCATAGAATATATTCTTCAAAAGTAAATGTTTCATAAATGTGTCTCCAAGTATCTAAAAAGATTTTGATTTTTAACTAAGTATCAAATAGAGAAGTATAAGACAATAGTAGTCATACTAGTATATGGTGTATACCACTTGACGGCAGTTCGAAATTAAGTTCAATATGCAAGAAATAGTTGTAAAAGAATAAAGATTCATCATGCTACTATTTGTTTCATAGTTTTATATAGGAAATTCCTTGTTTTTAAACTTTCTTTCACGATGAAGAAAATAAATTTCTATTTTAGATTATTTAATTTATTTTTAAGTTGAAGACACATTAAGAAAAAAAGTATTCAAAACGCAAAAGAAACAAAAGATCGTCATTGCATAGTGAAGGAAAAGCAAATTATGTCGACGTTTAATCTTCGTACGGAAACATAAATGAATACTTATGCGATGGGAGGAAAGGTCAATTGTATTTGCTTAATTGCGATAGAAATGCCTTTTCTTTATTGATTCGTTCGTTATCGAACGTAACTATCTAACAATTATTTGTTGATTCTCGGTAATTCTTCAACGTAATTTCAATGCCAATTACTATGGTAATATTTTTCAGTTGATTGACATTTGAATTTGCATATTTATTTTTTGTTCAAATATGCATACCACTTTGAAAAAAAATCAAATGCCAATTTGTTGAGATTTGTTTTACGAACAAGAATATCTTATTCCTTTTCAAATTCAAATAAGTCATCAAACATTTCTTCTTGTCGTGCCCCTGATTATATTTATGAAAGTTTTTTTTCCCTCTCAACACCTTTTCTGTAATCGAATTCGAGTGATTTGATTTAATGAAAATAAAAATATTTGTGCACATCAAATTTTCATATGGAGCGCCATTAGTAAATAATCAGCATCATAATGATCGTTAAGAATTACGATTGTTTGTGTTCTTATTATTCGTATGCTTATCGGTATTTGTTGAGCAACATTGGAAGGCTTCATATATGATTTACAATCACAATGGGTCACTCTTTCAAGTGTTCTAATTTTTGTTTGAAAAATACAATAGAAATCATTATCGATATATGAACTATAGCTTACAGACATAACATATTAATTTCATCCCAACAACACATAGATACTTTACTTTTAATTTATGAAAAGTGGTTCTTCAAAAATATAGTTCACTTTAAATAACATATCAACCAACATCATATAGTTACTACTATTTCGAATTGTGAATTGAGTATATATTGAAATGAAGAATAGTTTTTCTCGTTATTGATTTGCTGATATATTTCCGAGTCAAAAAAGAAATACGTAGTCATGCGTTATAGTTCTATTTTCATTATTTATATATAAAACTATTCTATATTAATAATTGGGTGCCATATTTCGACGAATAGTGACCAATTGACGACGTTCTTCCTTTGTGTATGGAGGTCGAGAGCCACTACTGTACGCATCGGAAGCAATTGTACTCCGTCCAATGCAGCTCGATCTGTTACAAAAGAGAAAATGTTGCTGAAATTTTATCAAATATCGACGTAGAAATAATATGTTTCGTTTTCTATATGGAACTTCTTTTGTCTTTTTTTTCTTTGACTCTATTCTCGTCTATTTGATTTCTATCATTCAACAAATAAAACTATTCTAAGAATTTTTCTTCTCCGTTGTATACTATAATAGAATATGATTCATAATTTAAAAGTCTTTAAAAAAAGAAAAAGCTATTTTTAGAATGAATTGCTCTCCTTTCATGAGGATAGTTTTTTTTGTGAATTACTTACGGGAAAATCAAGATCATATCCTTTCATAGTTGAACATTCAATATTTGTAGGTTTTAATTCGTACGTTTGTGGCAACTCAGGATATGTATCACGTAGTTTTTCTTCAATTACATCGTGATACTAAACACAAATATTATATTAATGAGGAAAAAAAAGAAAGAAAATTTTTTAATTAGGCAATTACTATGACCTACAAGTTCGAATTTTTGTCTATACCGTAGGTTTGTAACTAATGGTGATAGTGGTGTAGCTGGCGTTGATGTTGTTGGCATCAGAGTATGACTAAAATTCGTGGCTAATATTTTATTCGAAGAAGGCTCGTCCTTTTCTGTTGTTTCACTCATCCTTGTTTAACTATTGAACCAAATACTACTTGAACTACTTCAATAATACTTGAACAATCGTTTAAACAAATGAAGACACAAAATAAATATGCGATATTCAAGACAAACAAACGATGAAAATAGTGGAAAACAAACTAATTAAAACGACACTGTCATTCGTTATAATATATACCCTTTTCACGCTTTATGCATCTATATTATTATGATAAGCAAGTTTTTTTTGTTTGCAATAAAATCATCGTATATATTATGTCGTGCCTAAGTTACACTTTTTGCCGAAGTTAGTTTGCAACATTTTTTAAAACTATCTTTTATCAAGCAGTGAACATCATCATGTTGAATCATATATTGAAACGTCTGTTGCAATTAAACAATATTTATAAATATATTTATTGTGAATAATTTACAAATCATTTAAAACTAAGGAATTTTATTTACTAATCTCGTTGAGTTTCCTACTCATTTGGAGTACTTCAAATGTTCTAGTATCGAAAAAGACAAAAAGCTTTAATGATATTATCAGTGGTAGACTTGAGTTCATAATACATAAAGAATCGATTCATTCATGAATAGATGTTTATCTTTTCATATATCAGCTCAGCTAAAGAAAATATAGGTATGAGTCGATCTACTCATGATTGTCGCGTTGTATTGGTAATTATATTCAACTTTAATTACTTTTACGCAGTAAAGTTAAGTATCAGATACAAAATGAAAGACAACTATAATTAAATAATGAGATTATTGAGCATAGATAATTTCGATTGATTTAAAACAAGGATATAAATCGACTGAAGAAAAAAAGTATATTCGAATAATTTCTATGTCAGAGTATCGCACACACATTGTCACAAATATAAATTTGCAATATGCTTGCTACACCTAAACGATTACTGGTGGTTCACATTTGAAGTACTCTAAATGAGTAGGAAACTCAACGGGCTTAGTAAAATAAAATTCTTAGTTTTAAATGATTTGTAAATTATTTACAATAAAAATTTATAAATATATTGATGCATACTGTTTAGTTGAAAACAGAAGTTTGAATATATGATTCAACATGAATATATTCACTTTTTGATGAAAGATATTTAAAAAGAATGTTGCAAAGTAACTTCAACAAAAAATTTTTGTCGAAGTTGCATGTCAGCAAAAAGTGCAACTTAGGCACAACCTATATATGCACACTTTTACATCTACGTTTGTTATCCATTTGTTCGGTAAAATTGATGATTTCATTGTTTACACTTTCTTAGAAACCTTCTTACATGGCTATGATATTTGCACCGTTTTGATTTAAGCATTTTACAATAATAGTAAAGCATAAAGTGATGATCAACGACGAATAGGCATCTTAAAGCTCTATTTACTACTATCAAGATTTTCATATTTAACATTTTTTCTGCTAGTAAAAAGTGTTTTCTTTAGCTGTCTCTCTTATAGTTACTCTCTTCTAATAATGGGAAGCTCTGTTTAACCCTTTCCGGCCCGATGTTGCCATATGGCAACATTTTCCCCTAGGGGGGTACAGCAATTTCCAAACAGCGGGCCGGAAAGGGTTAACTGATTCTGATGCTTTATTTCGATATTAGTATATATCTTTCACCTAATTCTATCGTATGTAATGGAACGTTATTTATCGAAAAACCATTGGTATTAGATTTGAAAGCGGTCAATATTAAGATTATTGCTGAATTCATGAAGAAATGTTCTTTTTGTGTAGATTTCTCAACAGTTATTACTTCCTAATAAGTATAAACAATACATAAAATGAATACTTTAGTATACCAGTGCGAATCCTAAGGACGATTTATTTGAATGCTCAATATTAACTCTACTCTAGGTTCACTGCTCAATAGTTATCGATCATTTCTTTTACTTCTTAATATTTTCGATGCTAATAGAACATATTTGTGATCGTACACTATAAACAGTCAAAATGATGTGTGATATTAAATCTATATTATGATGAATCAGCTCGTAAAAGCATGCATTCAGAATAAGTTACAGCATATTGATGATTAGTCAAAGTAAGTGGCAACACAATATACGTGGTGTAGTATAGATACGATCGTAGCTCATCGAGTAAATTTATTAAAAAATTCCAAATCAACTAAATAGTATGAATTAAATTGTTTGCAATCATACAGGCACCAATATTAAACCATGTATGTGCACGGTGAGATGCATGAATTTACTGAGATAATAATTGATTGATTATTTTCATTGTTCTATCTAATATTTAGATTCGTGCTTTTTGTAAGTAGCACCAATGATGTTGTTCTATTAGACAAAGTCATCGATAAAACAATAAAATAAATATAAAAGAATCACCTTTGGCATAATTCATGATTTTATGTGCATACTGACGAATTATTGTGTCAAATTGAACATATTTCGTGTTGAAAATATTACTCATATCGTTCAACATAATTGAATGATATGCGTTTAAGTAGCAGTTCTTTTTGAAATTTTTCTACTGACAGATTTAAACACTAGAAAAAATGATCAACTTTTATTTAAGAAAAATAAATTTAAAATAAGCGTGCTTGTATATTAACTGACATGTTTGATTTCTTCTTTTCCTCTGTTTGTGTTTTCTGTTCTAAATTTATAAATTACAATTCATACTTAATCGTTCATATATTTATGAAGCAGACTGTATTGTCATAAAACATGATACTTATTCTTTGAGTGAAACATACAAATATCTAGTGAATCGTCGATATCAATCTTATCTATTACAGAATATGTACGATTGTTGATTTTTATCTACACAAATCTAATGACTGAGTAGTATCATATAGGAGAAGTTCAAGAACTATATGAAATGTTAGTGACAAGTATAAAACTTTACTTTGACTGTGATCAGTTTTTTTGAAAACTTTCATGTTAATAATCTCTTCTTGAATTAGGCATAGACGACAGGCATGAGTAACGCATTTTCATGACTAAGAGATTGCATGATATATGAAGATATTTGAATTCATCAAAATAGGTCTTCATTTTAATTGAAACTATTATTTTCTGGGGTGTGATACACTCAGCAATATGTCTATTTTAAAGATTTTAATTACGCTTTGAAAAACTTCTCTGACCACTATGAAAGACATGCTCATGATGTTATATTATTAATTATAGAGAAGATTAAGGTAAGTAATCGAGCAATTGAATTAGAAATTATTACAATTTAAATAATTATTTTCCGAGATATATTTATTGACTCGATAATAATGGCGGCTGATAGGACTTAAATGGCTAAGAAACATATTGATCAATTAAGCAAATAGACAGTCCCATTGCTTGCCTGACAAGAAAATAATTGGTGAAAACATCAGGAAGCTAGATAAATTAAATAGTTTCTAAAGAATATATCAAAGTTGCATGAAAAAGAATAAGTTAGCAGAAATAACATTATGTGTTTAGTATCAGTCTCTATCAAAGAATGCCTTACATCGACTGAAATTATTCGTCTTTGAAATCAATTAGATGGTTCATCTATGACGCGCCCTAGTATCTGACTCATCATTTCGCGAACAAGAAGCTGAAATGACTCTTAGAAATTTAAACGTTTTACTTTTTTTAACAATTACACTATTATCTGGTTTAAAAACAACAATGATTGAAACGTTTTATTGTAGTCTTCATTTTATTGTTGACTATCCACTATGGACGTTGGTATGACGATTTAAATTGACTTATTTTGAGTATCACTCATCTTCAATTCTTGTATAGACATTCATAACAAGAGCAAATCAAGATTATTTCCAAACAAATATTTTACTAAGCACTTATATATATCGAAATGTCGAAGGACTTAATGAACTCTACAGTCGCTATCGTTTTCCATATGGACCAGAAAGAAAAAATGTTACAGTGCAATTCTTTGTACATGGCATAACAAGTAATTGATTTTTTCATTCATTTGTATAACGATTCTACTAGTCTTCTATTCTATTAATAATTTAGTTGTGACACAAAACTTATGCGATGAAAAAAACTCCAGTGAAAATCATCTAAAAAATCCTTTACGAGAATTTTGTTCACTAAACATAAATAGTGATACACTTCTAGATCTTATTGCTCGGTATGGTGATTACCATAGAAAAGCAAGTAATAACGAACCTGCATGTCTTTACTATGGATTTACATCAAGAAAACTTAAATCACAAAATAGTAAAGCAACTACATTGGGTATTTATAAATCGACAAATAGTTGTGTTTAATCAATGTTCAAATCTTTTATTCTTAGGATGGTCATGGAGAGGGCATCTTTGCAATCAATTAAAAGAGTTGGCCAGTTGGTCTCCAAAAAACACTGGTTTTAATCCTCGATATTCTGCTAATGTAGGTGTTATTGCAGCTGGTTTCGATGGAACCGAGTTAGTATATAACTATGATTCTTTTATATAAAAGAAAAACTCTATTTCATATACTTATATAAATATTTTAGCTATAGTTTGAATAAGTAGGTATCTTATCATTGCTGAATTTCTTGTTCATTTTTTCAAATCTTCTCTATAATAATTAGAGGTGAAATGACTTTTTTCCATGAAATTGGTCATTCAATGAATGCCGATCATGATGACGCAAAAGACTTCAAAGATCGACAAAAAGAATGTAACCCATCGGATGCACAAGGCGGTAGCTATCTTATGTATCCAACTGGTACTGAAGGACTTTTGACAAACAATCGAATCTATTCCAATTGTTCACTTGATACGATTTCGTATGTATCGGAAATATACGACAAAATAATCTATTTTTTTATGGGTTCATTATTTGATATTTAACTAAATTCTTTTTAGCAAATATACTGAAATACTCGGTCGATGGAAGCCAAAATGTTTGTCAACTACAAAGACAGTTAAAAGCAAATGTGATGGTATTTTCTCAATAGGTGAAATTTGTGATGAACATCATACATCTAGTAATTGTTGTACATCAAATTGTAAACTTAAAAAAGGTGCTGCTTGTTCACCAGTAAGTTTTCATTTGAGAAATAAAAGGAACTAAAAAGTGGAATCATTGTTTTTTTCTGCAGTCTGCTGGTTTATGCTGTAAATCTTCATGTCAATTTCATTCGGCTGGTCATCAATGTCATTCTGAAAGTGAATGTAAAAAGCCTATTGAGTGTTTAGGTACATCAGCAACTTGTCCTGATCATGAAAGAAAATTTTTCAAAGCAGATAAAACTATTTGTCGTGATGGTACTTTACTTTGCATGAATGGTTCATGTGAATTATCTATTTGTACTTTATATTCCCTCATACCGTGCCAATTAAAAGGATCTAAAGACACATTTTGTATGATTGCTTGTCTGCAAAATGATGGTTCTTGTGTACCTTATCATATAATTAGCAAGAGTTCAGATTCTTCTAAACCATTGTATTTTCCATGTAAGTCAGAATAGAATATCAACAATCTTTGATAACAATAATTATTATCATCTAGATGGTTCGTTGTGTGATTCAAATCGAGGACATTGTGATCAATTTCATAAATGTCTTCCTCTATTATTAGACGATAGCGCAAATCCAATTGCTGCTGGATTTAGTTCTCTTCTTCTTACTGATTATTCGACTTTATTTAAACGGTATTGGTGGATATTTGTATTAATTATTCTTACTCAAATAATTTTAATTCCTATCGTTCTATTACACTTTCGCAGTCATTGTATTTCATCAAATAATCCTTTTCTTGAATAAAATAGCAAAAATATTAAAAAAGATTGAAATTGTGTTAGACAAGCATCACGCAAACAGTCAATCTTTTCAACGAATGAGTGATACGGAGTAGTTTATGCAGACGAGTAATTTCATAAAAATTCAACGTTTTGAATACATGAGCAATATGGATGAACAAAAATTTCAAAAGTGAATATAATATTAATACTATTATATCGTAGAACCTAGTTATGTTCAATTAGGGTAAAAAAATGAATGAATAGACATGAAAGAGTAGTATTCAAACATGTTGGATAGCTATAGAAAATGTTTTTTTAATGTATCCAGTTCAAAGAAGATTATCTTTTATGGCATGAAAAGGATATAACCGTTAACATTTTTTTGGTATAATATAAATGGCGTTGTATCTATGATTAGTATCTCATTTAAAAACATAAGTCAAAGTTGCTAAGCATAGCAAATATCTCGAAGATGATTTCACATTTTTTACTATCAAGAGTATTTTCTCTATTGTACACTATCACATATACTGAATTGCAATCGGAATATTGTTCAAAAATTAGTTGATCTTAAGTCTTGTGGTCTAGTGTTCAGTATCATAAACGAAAACGAACTAATGGTAACGATGAACGACTGTGATATCCACATATCACTTCTAGCCGTATGTCTATTTAAAAGTCAAACTAGAGAAAATTTCATGGACAGACGGTAATGTAAGAGTACGACAAATATTAGCAAAAATTAATTTCCATTATTCTACAAAGACAAACAATAGATATTTTTATCTATCGTTGACAGTCTTCTTTTAACTATGAGTCAATAGTCGGTTTTAACTACTTTTCTTGCGGCGTTGTTTGATGAGACATATTTATTATGAAAGTAAACAAAATATTTACTTACATAGCTAAACGAAGAACTTATAGGATATATCAGGCTAGACTGAAAATTAATGATTCATGCGATACAGTTGCATTATTTGGTTCCGATGACAAAGATTAATCTGTGACATATAAATTCTTAATTTATTTTATTGGCAAAGCGAATGAATATACAATGCAAAATCTACATCGATACAGTAAGAATCAATAAATACTCAGAATTATTTTAGATGATATTCAGATTAGACACTGTACTATATGAATTAATAATATTGTGAATCAGTACGCTCGAAATCCAGCTACAATTTATTCGAACTTCGAACACAGTTTCTACTACATCGGAAATGTTCAAATAAATGTATCAGAAAATATACAGTTGATGACAGTATCCGTTCAATGAGAATAACAATCTTGATTTGAATAGATGAACAACAGTGATCAACACTAACTATCGTTCAATACACAAATTCAAAGAATAAAACAAAATAGCACGATAATCAGTACAAAATAATATCTTCACAAAGCATTCAGATGTCATCCATCATCTTTAAAAAGATATTAAAAATTCATATTGTACAGAATGGACTCTTATTCGATAGATTATCGATATAAGCAATGCAGTAAGACTAAAAGTTTGATTGAAAATAAATGTAGATTCAATATTTGTGTTTTTATTGTATCATAAATATAAAGTTATGAATAAGGCATATACACAAAAAAAAGAACGTAGCAGACAGTTAGAAACAGTTTTTTATGTATTTTTCAGTTTATAAATAAAAAATAGAATTGTTGGTGATTTACATAGTTATACATAGATTTGGGTGTAGAAAGTAAGCCAGTCATACAAAATAATGTATTTATATTGCTTTTCGATGATAATAGTTAGAAATCTAGAATTTTAAAAATTTCCCAAACTATCATCAGAGTTGAGTGTTAAAAAATAAGTTGAAATTGTTCCAAATACAACTGTATTAGCTGCCATTATAAAACCCATGGATCCAGCTAGAATCTATGGTTTATATTTGAAAATTAAAAATTTAAAAAAATCTAAATTCCAATTAACTTACAATATTGGCTCGAAATAAAATAGCTGGTAAACCAAATGCTGAGGCAACAATAGCACTTGTTAGGAACCACATAAAATCTTTGCATGGAGTTGAATCATTTGTACCATAACTATCATTGGATGTACAATGACGAGCAATGGTTAACGGAATCGGACACAAAACATAAAATATGATGACAAATGTTGGCCACCAATTGCTTCAATTAAAATAGAGTACAATAAGTTATAACTGAAATAAATCTAATGGACAAGAAAAATTATTTCTCTTCTTTCTAACGACGAGCCAGAGGTTTCAAACTTTCATATAAGATTCATTCGATTAATAGCGTAACATGCTACATATGCACTTATATGATTCATAATTTTGAGAACTAATTTACAAAGAAAAACTAAATTTATGTTTAGAAGCCCACAGCTCATACGATATTTTCATCTTAAAAGATTAACTTTCAGTAAAGTTCTATGTTAAATTTCATGTCTAATTCTCTAGATAAAATTTAATATAATTAAATGAAGTTCAACGATTTAACTCTGTACATGGCTAGGCTGGAATATCGTAGAATAAACTAAAAATAACTCGTTTACTAATGTGCCATATATTGATTTTAAAAGAAGAAAAAAAGCTATGACCAAGGCTTTCTTTGTTATTTCAAGTCTATTATAAATATATTTCAGTTTTAGTTTATTCTATATGACATTTTTTGTTACTAATGCCCAAATATTTCATAGCATTTGACTAATATTTGAATCTTGAATTATGTTGAAGTGTTTTGATTTTATTATCAAATATACTTCTAGAGAAAATGGACTCTAACTAATGGAATCATGATATGCATCAATAGTCAACTTGAAATAGGAAAATTTTTATATATGATAGTTTTGGAGTACATATGAAATATGCTGGGATACGTGATATACTCTAAAAATAAAATTGTTCAGTTCGTTAGTACACTTTTTTATGAAATTATATTACACGGTATATATCTGTTCATATAATTTAACTATGAAGGAAAAATATGATTTTATTAAAATGAAAAATTCTCAATTGTGTCAAAAGTTTTGTAAATGTATTCGAGACATTTATTACGTACTAATTTGATAATGCACACCCTAGAATGAGTAATGTAAAGCCAATCGAAGCAAGAAATGCCAGAAAAACGACGCTAAATGCAAGAAAAAATAATAAGCATTTATATTCAATTGATTGGTTTTAAAACATACCCTAGAAAATAAAAATATGAATATGTTCAAAAAAGATATTTTGAGTTAATTGATACCTCGGATGCCTTGAAAAAACCCCATCGTCGTTTAATTATATATTATCTAGAAAAAAAAATCAATAACTTCTTGGACAGATTCAAAAATAGAATAAAGATATAAAAAAACCAACAAGAACAATGCTAATCATAACAACACAAACAGACAAACTAAAGGCATCCTCTAATAAATGGTATACCAACAGGTACACGTTTTTGATAATTACGATAAGCGTCTCCGTAACATTTTATTAATGTTGCTTCCTCATAAGCAATACGATCAACAAAAAATAGCCATGTGGACTAGATAAATAAAAAATAAAAAAATATTAATGTTTATATTGTTTTCTTTTCACAATTATTTTTCTTACAATTAAATAAATAAAAAAACATATTGGATTGGCAAGTAACACTTGCGTTCCGCATGCCCACCATAACCATCCAAGATAGGATGGATGTCGATAATATTCATAGATTCCGTGTGTAATTAGCCGATGTTCTTTATTTGGTTTTTCTTGAATTAAATGAGAAAAATTCTGATTTGCTGTGTACATCGCTAATTTACGTAAACATTCACCACTTAGAATCATTATTAAACCAGTTAATATCGTTATCCAATGATAAGGAAATCCATTTGGAAATAAATAATATTTTTCAAAGAAATATTCTAAATAAGCAATTATTATAGCAGCATGATATTGAGGTGAATGATTTAATAAAAATGAATCTAATGTTAATGTTTTTGGACACCAAATACCAACTGATATGTATTCACTTAGATGAAATAAAGATAAGATTACAGTAAATAAACCAATTGCCGGCGATGTTATTAACCAAACGAAACCAACTGCTAAAAGTAATGTCAAGAAATGAGCACGAACAAAGATATTTTTGATATAAAAACGGTTGAGAGCGATAAAATGGATCATAAATAAGAGCAAAATGAAAAATATGGAAGTATATACTGATAAACGTTGAAGATAATAAACAAATATAAAAGGAACTGAGAGAAAAAATGGAACGAACGAACATAAACATGAAGAAAGATCTTTTCGATAAATTGATTGAAAATCCATGAGTTCTAAATGCTGTTTTTTTTGTTTGTTAATTTTTTATGTCAATGAAATAACGCTCGTATATTTTAACCAATTGAATTGAGATTGTCTTCAAAAAATATCACTTGTGTGATTATTTTTAACAGTGAATATTATTTCTGAAGAATTTTTCGTTGTGCAAAACTCTGAAAAAAAAACACCAAGATTTTAATTGCATACATAAAAGTTCACTAAGCAATTCAAAAATGCAGTCAAATATATATTTTTAGTCATTTAGTAGAAGTACAGAAAATATATAACAATATAGAAAGAAAGAAAAAAGAAAGACTTTAAGTAGATCATCAATTTATGATTGTTTTGTTTTCTTCTTGATTGAGAATTCTCTACTAAGTCCATTGTACTTGTGTACTTCATTAACTATTTTGTCAGAAAATTTCCTCAAAATAAAATCGATTGATTAACTGACATTCTTCAAATGATTTCTCCAACGATGCATTGAATTCAAAAATAAAGTAAGAAATATGTCTGTTTCTTAGTCGATTATAATCTATAATATTACTAGATATCGTGTATTGAACAAAAGCAAACTTCTATTTCCTGCATTCAATCCTAAATATATTCAGAGTTAAATAAAATTCAATAATTTGTAGAAATGAAAACAGTCGGTTAGTAATTCTAAGGATGAAAATTGATATATAAATATAATCTTGAAGAATTTCAGATCATCTTTTACATTTATACTTTAGGATTACATTTAAAATATCAAAAGCAAAAAAAATCCAAAACTAATATCTAACCTTTCTTTCACTTAGCATCATTTGGACTAGTTTCATTGTCTATACATAAATAAAATTTTCTTTTATCTGAATCAAAGCTCTAAAAGTTCAATTAATTTCATCGTTTTAAACTCAAACGCTACGTTCTAAGCATCTAGAATAGACATTTCATGTCAAGAAAAAGAAACTGTATACACACACACACATTTTGATATACGCTACAGATCAATAAAAAACAAAATCCTTGTTCCTTGTTTTCTTTTTCATTTATCGAAACATTCTAGCAACTGTTACAAGTCCTAAAGTAACAACGCTTGCATACAATGAGTATTTTAATAAAGCATCGGTATTATAAAAGTCATTGGTTGAATTAGTAAAATAATTTAATTTTGGATAAACACATAAATATCCTAAACGAACATATATGTCATCTAGATGTCGTGTTTTATCACCTCGTGGTGAATATGGTTCTAAACTTCGTGTTGAATTATTTTGTGACCGAAATAGTAAATTTGTAAACCATGATTGTGACATTTGTTCTGTAGTTGTAGTTAATTGTTGATTATTATCTTTATTATTCGAATAGATAGATACTGTTGTTACAGATGAATAATCAATCGGTAGAGGAATTTTATGTTGACGACAAAAGAATTCAATCGGCAATGGATAATCTTGTTTAATTGATGGTTGATCAGCTTTTGTTAAAATAAATAAACATGGTAAACGTGGATAAACATGTTGTTGCAGATAAATAGTTGCAACATTTGAAAATGCTCGTGGATGTGTACGATCAATAAGAAAACAATTAACATTAGCATTTTTAAAAAGAATTTTTTCATCTAATTCATTCGCATGACATTCTTCAAGTATTAAACACTTCGTTTCATTTAGTACACGTACAAAATCAATTGCATAGGATTTGACTTGTTTACAAGGAGATTTTGATAAGTAGTCATAAGAAAAAAATGCTTTCGTTTTATTATTGGATTTTTCTGCTAAATCTGATGAATTGCGCACTTGATATATTGTTGATGAAACAAATCTTTTTAAAAATGAGCTTTTACCAGATTCAGGCATCCCATATACATGACATATATATGTCATACGAGATGGTAAACTAATATCATCATTAGTCGACAATGAATATGAATAACCCAATTGAAATAAATAAGAATAGGTTAGTGATGGTTGACTATGAGCTAAGAAAAACCATTGAGCCAGAAATCCGGATAACGTTAAAAGTGAAGCTTTTGATGAGGATGATACTAAACGAAGATAAATACAATGTTTTATATTTGCTAATGATGAAGATATAGGTGGAATAATATCAATTAATGATTCAAATAATTGATTCAATTCATTTAGCGTAAGACATGAATCATTATCACTATCGAAACGACGAAATAATCGAGTTAAGTAATCAACTGCCGATGGAGATAATTCACCGCTAAGATCTATTAAAATGAAAAAAAAAGATAAAAGAAACATATCACTTATCAATTAAGATTATTGATTATTAAATTTTATCGGCTTGCGAAATTTCGAAATAAAACTGGTTTCTTCAATTCGTTTCAATATTAGTCAGATTAGAAATAGATTCTCGTATGATTATATGTGATTAACGAAAATTGAAAGTAATTGTTCAGAAAAGAAATTTGACAACTGTTTCAACATGCGTCTTCACCATGTTTTTCTGATATTCATATACTAAGCAATGGGAAACGAATAAAATAAATCGAAATTATTGTTTATACTTTGAAAAAAATCGTCTAAATAGATATATTTGTTGTTCAATCTCATTGAATTTATAATAAAGTCTTTTGTAGGACCAGTAATAATCTAGAAGATTGCATGTCAAAAAACATTTTAGCTGAGTTAGTATAGTTTAACTAGTTTCAATCCAAATTTACAAACATATCAGCGAATTGAAAAACAGAATTTTCAAGGAAAATTTCGTACAGAAATAGATTTTAGCGAGAAGAATTTCTTAGTGAATATTTTAGATATTGTCACTTTTTCTATCCTATGTTACAAGTATAAGGATAGTATGTCTTGTATATGGTTCAAATAAACCGATGGATTCGATGTTTCTATTTCAGGATAGAAGAAAATGCGAGAGTTTGTAAACTCCATAATGAACTAATCTCATTGTGATAGGCCTTTTTACATTTGAAATTGCAAGGAAAGTTTTAACCGAGTTTTTTCATGTATCGAAGAGATGATCATGGCATTAATTTAATAAAAGATCATATAAAGACAGTGCACCAATACGAACAAACTAAGAAAAAAGTCTCGTTGTCACGAACATTCCCAGTTTACTTCGGTCTACAAAATGTACTATCGGTACTTAGAAGCGATTTATCTGTTTTTAAAACGTTCGCGCATAAATCACTGGCAAGTCTAACATAAGTGAATATATGTTTGATCTGTAAAAAAAACTACGTTAGTCATTGCAGATAAACAGCATTAGATACTTTTATGTAATTTAAAAGAATCCAAATAAAGATATTAGAAAATAATGAAGAAAATAATATAAAACAAATAAATATACCTTCAGGAGCATTTGGTACACATAATTCAAGTTTTCGATTATAACTGAATCGTTCTAATGTTGTATAAATCGTTTCATATTTTCCTTTATTTAAATATAATTCAAATAAACACTCGAAACCTTGATATGTTAGAGCTGTTGTTACTGTTTCACGTATTTGATCATTAACAACTTTAATTCCATGTGTTGTTCTTCGTTTAATTTCTTTTTTCAATTGTTCAATTGTTGTTTTTTCATCGTTAGTTTGAATTTTTCCAAAACAAAAGTCTTGTAAAGTTGTTAATTCGAAATCATTTAGTAATTGATCATTATCTTGATCAGCTATTGTAAATATTCTTTTTAAACATTGCTTAAAACGTTTTGTTAATTTATTTTGTTCTTGTAAATAATTTATTGGATATAAAACACATTTTTGTGCTGAATAAAATAATTCCGATATATTTTTCATTGTTCGTGTTGACGTTTCAATGCAGGCGTCAACACGAGAATACTTCAACATTGTTGAACGAAAAAATTCTCGATTTTCATGATTGATATTATTTTTTTCATCATTAATGTCATCAATTAAATCGCATTTATTAGCAACAAGTATTATAGGAATTGTTGTTGCACTACGATCAATCAAAGGAAGCCAAACAGTTAATAAACGATCACGAGATTCACGACTATCAAATGCATATACAAGACATATAACATTTGCTTGACGAATACATGAGTAGAGAGAACGAGACGATTGGAGTAAAGGATTAGGTGATGGACATTCCATTGGTAAAAGTAAATCATCGATTTCATCAGGTGACATTGGTTGACGACCACAATAATCCATAATAACAGTTGGAACACGTGCTCGAGTTACTTCAGGTGGTATTGAAATATCATCAGTTGTCGGACGAATAGAATCACCCATTAAATTTGAATTAATTGGAACTACATCTTCACTAACAAGAGAATAAATTAATGATGTTCGACCAACATTATCATCACCTAATAGAAGAATACGAATTTCAGATAGATCCATCTAAAAAAGAACACAAAAAGACATTTCTTCTAGTTAATGATAAAAATCACCATAAATATATATATATATGTATAATAGAAGTATGTAGGATAGGATTAGAAAATTTTTTTACGCCAAGATGCAGAACAAAGACATAAAACATAATTTGTATATTTTTAATAACTAGCATTGAATAAAATCCTTTTTTTTTTACTAATTAGTCCTATTTGGTTTGATTCATCACATATGTTGATTCATGATTATAATATGAATATTATCTTAAAATAGCTCACTCAAACTAATGATAATAGCATGGAAATCTTTTTCATTCAAATTCTTATTTATGAATTGCATATCTTCTATCAATATGAAATTTTTCATTCAAAAATTTTTTAATTTTCCATATTTTTAAATTTCATACTTCTGATGTGAATGTATCATTAATAGAAAATAAAAATTCTATTATACTATCTGACTTCGAATTTAATAAATTTTCATTTTCGTGCAGCATGCTCCTAAAGGGCTATTTAAATAATAGAGATCGATGTTCGTGCGCGTTATGTACATCTAAATCACACATTTTTTTTATGCTTCAAGAATAGCAAACACACAGTTAAAGCTCTAAATATTATCTGTTATTTTATCAAATTACTGAAATTGATAATTGCAAGTCTAATCATTTCTATTTCGTTTCCAATACAAGTCGATTGAAGATTACACTGACGAGTTTTTCATAATAAATTCGCAATTTCTCAAAGTCGAGAAAACAATCTAAAAGAAAAAAAAGTTTAATTTGTTTATTTTGTCTTATTCAATAATAGAAAGAAAAACAGAAAAAGAAAGAGCAGAGTAATTGAACAAAGCGATTGATATTTTTTTACGAAATCCTCTCAATTCTATGATTAACTACTGTATGGCTAATGAATAATACAAAAGAACAAACGGGACGAAAAAAAAACAGAAACAAGCAATATACACAATAACAGAATCTGATTTAGCCATCTTCATCAAAGTCAGACTACCTGAGATACACTATATATAACAAACAACAGAACAAAAAATGAACATTTAAGCTTTGTCAAAGAATCCACATACACACAAACATCGAAATAGAAATATATAATATAATATTCACAAAATAACTGAACAAAAACTTTTCTCGGCTATGTACAAACGAATAAAAATTTCTTTGTCTTTTTTAATTTAACGGGTGCAGAATTGTTGCTGGGAATTGAAAACAGAAAGATATAAAGAAGAAGTATGCAGATACATGGCATCTAATACATGATTAAAATGATATATTGTTATTAATTATTGTGAAGACGATGAAGAAACAATAGAATGAATAAGACGACGTGATGTTGGTGAACCTCGATTTGAGCGTGACAAGGTTCTTCGAAAATGATTTGTTAATGATTGCTTTGATGGTGAAGTAACTAAATTAGTTAATGGCGATTTTATTTTTGATGATGTTGATTTCTATTATTAATATTACAAAATAAGAAAACACAAAATTAATTATCATAGAAAAATAAAATATAAAAATTACTTGTTCAAAATTACTGGCTAAATTTTTATCACTGTTATTTGATTGATTTATTTGAATATTGTTTGAATGATTTATAAAATCAGTGTTACTATACGATTTCCGTCTACGAGACGAATTTAATTTCAACTGTATGTCATTATTAAATGATATTGTTGTTGATACTGAACGTGTTCGACATAAACGAGGCAATTCTTCTAAATCTTCTTCATTGGATCGATCATTTGATACTTTCGAGAACGGAAACGGACGAATGTGAGAAGAAGGACGAGTTGATTTTTCTTTTAGCAAATCTAAAAAATTTTCAAAAATTTTCAAAATAAGAACCAAAGCTTGTTTTGTTACTCTGTGAAGTTTGATCCATTTGCATTAGATGATTATCTAGTGGTTGTTCACTGTTATGATGCAAACATCGTGCAACGTTTCGAGTTAAATCATCATCATCATCATCATTAATATTATCTCTATCATCACCTTCATCATTGTCGCTATTAAGCATTGATGATTTTGATCTTTGCTCAGTAAGGTCGAAAAATTCTTGTTCTTGTTCTTGTTCTTCATTATGTGATGTTGACGATGATGATTGAACAAGAGATGAAGAAGGTAGAGAAGATGATATTGCTGATTCGGAAAAATTTCCATTAGTCGAAGGAGATGTTCGACCATTTTCTTTTTGCTGATTTGTTTTTATTAATTTACGACGTGGAGTATCAACAATTAATGTAGATACATCGTCTGACGCTGGTCGTTTTGGAGTCTAAATAGTATTAATAAATATTCATTCATAAAATCTCAGATAAGATACTCATGACATTTTTAGTATAAATCTCTTGTTCAAATGAGTAAAATTAAAGAGTCAGTTTTTGATCTTTTCTTAATTTTTTTCGCTGTATGAGAAACAAGAAAAAATTGATAGAACTGTAAAACTATTAAAAATCATCGGTCTAGTTGCTATTCAATATAGATAGATGGGGGCTACATTACTATCTTGTAACTCAATGTTTTCACAATATAATTTCTATGTTATTAGAATGATGACAGACGATGTTTTTCTTAAATTTGTTATTTGGAAAACTTTACTAACTTGTCTACTAGGAGAAATTACAGTTACCTTTCAGAAGAATTTAACACTGATGACAACGTAGCCATTTGAATACATCATTCTGTCGCGGGTTAATATTTCAACTATAAGGATATAGATGATCCTTCGAAGTTTAATAAAAACTTTAAATATATATTTAGGATAGACAGATTTTTATCTGCTCTGAAAATTTTAGCGTCATCCCATTTCGTTCCATTGAGATATTGGCGATAGAAAATGGAAAATTGTCATTTCATTACTAAACGATAGCTGATATAAACATACATTGCGTTTTTCGTTGAATTCTTAAATTCTATAAATAGTTAAAATATCTGACATTTACTATCATAATGATGATTATAAATTTAATAATGAAGATAAGAATACAACAGCGATATAAAAAGACTAACAGCTACTAACGAAATAAAATTTTCTTTGACGTTTTTAGCTTTCCTTATATAAATTTTATTTTTTTTGTTGCTGTTGTTGTCGAAACACAGTAAACTACATTCACCAATTCGCTAAAAACTGATCATTCTGTAAGATTTAACTTTATCTCTCGCATGGTTGCATAAACTTTCATATATTCAACCATTATCAGTTATTAATCAAGCGATTATCTATCATGTTTGTTATGACTAAGTCAATTCAATAGAAGTTGCCGGTTACACACATTAATAGAACTACATTTATTATGTTTACATCTATAATATTTATATGAGTACTATCATAAACAATGAACAGAATAGCGCTGGTAACTTTTCTTAAATGTATAAATTATATCAATTACTATATATGATTAAGAATCAGTTTATATAATTGGATTCTGTCCAAACATGATAAAATTTTCAAATATAAAATTTATATTTCATTATTTCTTATTCGATTTTTTTCCGTTCGTACGACATTTTTATATGACTCTGAATATTCCATAAACTAACAAGGAATATATTACAATCGCTACGCCTAGAGAAATCTTAATGAAAATTTTAAAATAAATTTTCTTATTTAAATTTTAAAAGTATCGTTCGTATAGGCTTTGTTTTTCTGCTCAAATTTTTAGCTAACAGGATGATGTCATTTGTTCTTATTGGTGCTATGTGACACAAAAAGCTATAATTAAAAAGTATTCACCCGCATAGGTGTCGGTCCGTTTGATATTGGCGTTAAAATATGTTCTTTACGTTCCAAAACTGGTTTCACTCTGTATGGTGTTGTTATTGCAACTGTTGTTGGAGTTAAAGGCGATGGATGATCTAATTCAACTGTATCATCTGAAAAAACTGAATTTGTTGCTAAAAGAAAAACAATTTTCTGAATAAATTTCTGGCATTCTCAAACTTATACGCATACATGATGATATAGAATACGTAAGTCTTTCCTTTTTCTTTTTAACAATACAATCACTAAATGGTGGCCCAGGTGGATCAAGCATAACCGTCACACAAGTTATATTATCGGAACGTAACATTCTTTCGCGCCATAATGTTAAAGCTTTTTGTACAAGTTCATGAGATGGATTACGAAATGGTCGATGATCATCATCCTATTAAAATAAAACTTACAATGAAAGAACGACAGATGAACAAACTTACATCAGATTTAAGGATCATTTCTTCTGTTTTCACATCACAATTTCTAACTATTTCAACAGCTGCTTCTGGTGTTATCATATTCCAAAGTCCATCACTTGCTAATATAATGCATCGATGTTTCTTTGGATCAATTTCAATAACAGTTAGCTCAGGTTCAGGTGAAACAGAATAAAGATTTGTATGTGCATTTAAACTCCATAAATCTCCTAATGCTCGTGAAACAGCTAAAAATGGTATTTGTTCATATTCAACTATTGCTCCCGTGCTTGTTGTTGTAGTTGTTGTTACTGAATGTTGATGTCGATGACGATAATGATGTGATGAATTTGTAGTTATTTTTTGTCTATTCCAAACAACTCGGTGAACACCAGCTTTACAAAGAACATTTCCTCCACTTTCACGTATACGATTTAATTCGAGTGGATCTTCAGGTTTGTGATCACGTGTGAGACGATTAGCTAACCATGGTTTATATAATGCATCACCTTCACCTAAAACAATAGCTGAATCACCGACATGACCAACATATAATTTATTGCCGCGAACAAATGCAACACTTGCTGTACAACCTTGACAATAAAATTTATTCTTTAGTTTTTGTTAAAGAAATATTTGATAAATTTTAGTTAACCTGAAGTACTTGGTAATCCAGATGAAGTTTTTGACCATTTCTCTACATGATTCCACATATCATTATGACATGCAAGAAATCCTTGTCGAATCGCTGATAATATTAATTGATCATTTTGACTTTCATCCGAAGTATTTGGCCAAAAATCGTCTTGTTCAAGAATATGTTGACATAAACTTTGCCGAGCGAATTCAGCTGCTTCTTTTCCACCATGACCATCAAATATGCCAAAGTAAGCAAGTGATATTGGACTTTCTTTTTCTGAAGGATTTAAACGTTGAAGTGCAATGGCATATGCATCCTCTAAATAAGTAAAAATATAACTCGATGATTATTACTATTTTGTGTTGATGTTTTTTTTTTTTCTTACCCATATATTTTCGACCACCTAATTAAAATGAAAATTGAAACAATGATTTCAAAATGTAAATAAAGCGTATATTTTTTTTACCTTGATTACTGTTTGTAGTTATACGTAAATTAACTTGAACACAATCGTTCACTTTACTCATTATTTTATTTGCTCAAATCGATTTATTTATAAAAGAGAAAGAATTATGATTAAGTTCAACTAGTTGATATTTTATTGTAGTTGATTTAGTTCCTTCATCTGTAAACATGAAAAAAAATAGATAAAAAGTAACAGTGTAGCAAAATGCAAACATTTAATTCTATGGCGTTTTATTTCTCTACGTGTTTGATTTTTTCATGTTATGTTGAATCATCAATGTCAGAGGTAATTGCAATGAAAAAACATTAGTCAAAGTGCAACAACCAATCAAAACACGTAAATCCTTTCTTTTACAATAAGCCACAAATGCATTTTGTTTGTCTCGTCTCTTGTGATTGGCTAATCGGTTAGGAATGAATGACTTATTTGCTTTGATTCAATTTCAGCCAAAAATGGAATCCTATTACGGTGCTTAAGAGCGAATATATTGTTACTTTTAAAATATGTTTTCATGTTTAAGATTTCGATGAGCAAGGAAGAGAAAATTTCATTTGAAAAGAACATGTTTCAAAAAGTATGCAATTGTGATTTGCTTTATTTTTCAGTATATTGACTATTTGGCATAGATGTCTTCATCTCATTCTCAGTTTCATGCACCGTCGACAACAACTAATCAAGATGAATCAATAGCTAGACGAAAACAAGAACAAAAACGCCGTTTTCAACAAAAACAAGGAAACACTTGTAAAGATGTTGATTCACTCATGCAGTCGATGTTTTCAGATTTTAAATTACAACCTAAAACAACAGTACGCAATGCAACAGGTAAATAATTCTAAAAAATTCTAGTTTTTATAATATTGTTTTTCATTTTAATTCTAGAATTGAAACTATCAGTATCACAAATTTCCGGTACTATTACTGTTTTTTTTCTTTTGATCTCTTTACAATCATTAATATTTCCCATTAGAACTACAATATCCTTCTGTAATTCATCATAATCAGTCTACAGAAAATCATACATCGGTTCCTGGCGCAGCTGATTGGTCTAAAATTGCATATGATGATGAGTTAAGTAGAGTATTTCATCAAGAAGAAAAGACTTCAAACATTCCAACAATACATACAGAACAACCGTCCACAGTACATCATTCCATTGAACAGTCGTTCGTATCATTTACTCAATTTGGTAAAGAATATAAATTTATTTTTACAACAAAAATAAAATAATAAATATTATCATTTTAAAGTTTATCCAGCTTGGTGTACACAACCTATTACATTTCTTCCTCTGGTGTATCAGCAAGTTTTGGAAGCATCGTGTATATATGATGTTATTCAAACATCAGTTTTGTATCCCATTCTTATTTTATCTGGTCTTACACAAAATCAACTTAGTCAAATTTGGTCTCAAGTTAATTTAAAACAGCCAGGAACTTTAGTCAAGGAAGAACTTTTTATGGCATTAGCTCTTATTGCATTAGCACAGAACAGTAACGGACAAATTCTTTCTAATGAACATTTGTATCATTTAACTGAGATACCCATACCGTATTTTCGAATTCAACAAGAACAAACAATACCAACATTTTCTCCTGTTCCTGTTCCTACTCCCGTCCCTACTTCTCTCACTCTTTCAATGTATCACCAAGAAGATTTTGCTGACTTTACAGCATTTACATCATTTGAACCGATAGATGAACGTAATGATGAACGTAATGATGATAGTCTTCCGATTGATTTAAATGAAAATAATTTATATCCACCTGATGTTAAAGCACCATTATCTGAAACACAATCGATTGCTAGTTTAGATTTATCAATGCCAACAATGAATATATGTAATCAAGATGATACTAGTCAAAAAGGGATCAGTGATAATATATCATTTTCTTCTTCAAATAATAATGAAATCATGCAAACATCTGATACACATAGTTTGCATTCAATCAATTTATCTGAACCTTCAAAATTAGGTAAATATTATCGTACATATAATATATTGAGTATAGACTAATCATAGTCAAGCCATAAAAACTTGATCCTCATTAAGAGTCGTTAACACAAAGATATTTTACCAAACACAAGATCATCATCTGATAGATTTTCCAAAGAAAAATACTAGAGAAGAATTCATGATGTATGTATCTATTAGAAATTGTCAGTAGAAGTTAATAAATAAGAAATTACTGATTAAGGATAAGATTTGAATAAGTAGCCGTTTTTATTTTCTGTTAGTAATGTAGAGAATGGGTTTCTTTTTATTTTAATAGTATTCAGAAAGGCACAATTTAAAGTTGATTACGATAGACACTACTTTTGAAAAATCATTCATATTAACCAACTTATTGTTAAATACACTCAACTAGCTTTTATTACTTCGAAAATAAAATTTATGGTTCTTATTTTCAGTTCAGAAGTATATGGATGCAAAGCGTACTAAACGCTGCTCATAATTCTATAGAGTTTGCATTGAAATTATGCCTTACAAAAAGATATGTTTCTAAAATGAAATAGATCGTTCCTGGTACGCCTTTAAAATTCTGCATGAAGTTATTTTATTGATATTTCGAACATTGTTTAGATGTTTCCCAGAAAAAAATTAAATAAATACAATTAAGTTGAAATTTTATTCGTAGCTAATTGTAAAGAGGTTTTAACTATACAGAAACTTATTAGACTTATGAATTTCATATCTGAAAAAAATGAACCAATTTTTCGAGGAAACATTTCAAATATTCTTCTATGTATCCAAAGATGCATTGAAAGTTGTACTGAAATAGTCCAATTCAATTACGAAAGTGAAAGAGTATACATCATGCAAGTTTGATTGAGGCCTACTACGAACTCCAATGGCGAATTATAGTAAGAGTAGTTTATACGTAGCAAATATGGCTTTTAGTGAAAATATAAGCCAAATTAACTGAATGTAGGTACGCTTTGAATTATATATCGAAGATTTTTTCAATAACTATTTAACAGCAAAGAATAATAAAACATAGAATTGAATCTTAAATTACTATCCATGTAAAAAAAATCGTAAAAAAATTGATTTTTATGTGATTAATAATCTATTATAAGGGCACTATTATAATCTGATTTTAATCAGATTTTTCCGTCCTAAAAGGCAGATTATTTTTCATTTTGATTTTAATCCATCTTAATTGATTACCTGCAAAACTATAATAATCGATTAAAATTCAAAAAAATCATCTGTCTTTTAAGACGGAAAACTCTGACTAAAATCAGATTATAATAGTGCCATTAAAATAGATTATTAGTCTGATTATTAATCCGATGCTTTTTACATGGGCATTCTCTACATTGACTTTGTCGATTTCATTACAAAAACTTCAAAAATAAATATGATTTTGTTTATCACTTTTAGAATTAACACAATTCTCGTTTTTTTCTGATGATACTTCTCAAATTGATTCTCATGCAGCTGTTTGGTTACGCTGTTTTGAAAAATGTTATTTAATATTATCTCAAGCTAATGAAACATTTTCTTCTATTGAAAGCCCAGCATTGTGTATGGAAGTATTACAACAAATACGTACTCGAGATTATGTTCAGCATTTACAAGAAATTTTTCATGTTCATAAAAGAATTTATACAGCTGCCGTTTTAGAACCTACGACAACATCCCAGTTAATATCACTTTGGAAACAAATTGTTGTCCTATGGACTAATTTGCAATCATTTTTTTCTACTGCCCATCTTCATTTAGTAATATTAATCATTTTAAAATGAAATAAAAATATTCGTTTTGTTTCTTTTTCTTTTCTTTAGTTAAATGATGATGATATTGATTATTCCTCTTTAGTATTCGGTGATACTCGTCCGTATTGCTCAATTTGTCTTCTTTCAACTGTTGGTATTGATACAGTATTACCAGACTCATCTACATTTAATACTGCATATCTAACATTCGCTGGTCGTTTATATCATGCTCCTTGCGCTAATTTTTATTTGAATCTCATTGATGGAATTCTACCATCATTGAGAAGAGCATCATGAAATTCTTCTTTTTTTGATCCCCAGTAGTTTTTGAATTTGTTTTTGTGTACAGTGAACATTCTATATTTTTGTTTTTCATTATCAATATATTTATTATTTTCAATTTAAATTTGATTGGAAGCTATCATTTGTGGAGAATTTCTTTGTTTTCCGTATCTTTTAGATGGCTGACGATGGTGATTTTGACGATGGAGGCGGTGATATGGGTATGGATGATGACATAGACGACGATGAATTCAATGAAGATGATCAAGATCCAGACGGTGATCAAAATGCACAAACAGACAAACAACAATTACAAGGCGATGATCGAATGGAAATTTTTAATGAAGATGATGCTAATGCTGCTCAAGCAGCTTTGAGAACTGATCCATCAAAACGAACCACAACACCATATATGACTAAATATGAACGAGCACGTGTATTAGGTACACGAGCATTGCAAATAGCTATGTGTGCACCATTGATGGTTGAACCCGATGGTGAAACAGATCCATTGCAAATTGCAATGAGAGAATTAAAAGAAAAGAAAATTCCAATGATTATTCGACGTTATTTACCTGATGGAAGTTATGAAGATTGGAGTATTGATGAACTTATTCTAACTGATTAAAGTTGTTTGTTTTATTGTTATTTGTTTGTATCGAATAAACGATGAAATTATTCGAAGTGAACGATAGAAATTTTCGTTATCGACACCTTTAGGAAGAATACGTAATTATGTAATATTTCATCAATACTAGAAAAACCCCAAATAATTAGCCGTTATTAGCCTCCATAGTCATGTATACTTCTAGAAAAGCTAGTATCGTATTCAATAGTAGTTCAGTTTTCATTCTAGAAGGCGTGGTTTTCAGATTCACCAAAAGATTCGGATCAAACAATTTTATTTGAAGCTTCATCATATGTGCTGAAAGTCAATTTCAAAATCGATATCATCATATTATTATCAATGATGTGTCGTGTATAGATTTGTAATTCTATATAGTTTTCTTCTCTCATGAGCTAAATTGCATTTTTAGGTCTTGTTCGAATCTTTATTTGACAGACTACAAAATTATGAATGGCATCTTTTACAATTCGCTCGCATTGATAAACAAATCGAACTTTTAGAAAAATTCCTCAATTAAATGCCAAAGGATTATCCTTGCATTTCAAAATTTGACTTTTGAAATTTGATGTGTTGATCATCATCAATCGTAGACGACATTGGATTTTTATTGCATTAACGTTTTTCGAGTATCTTGCAGTGTTATATATTTTTATCAACCGGTAATGTAAAAAACACTCGTACTAAAGTGATTTATTATATTATAATCTTTCAAAATTAACTTGTATTACATACAAATGACAAAGTTAAATTTCACGAGAAAACCAATCGCGACTTTTGAAATATGTGACAGTGATGTATTTTTAGATGTTCTTATCAGATTCTGTCGTATAATTTGATTTGTTGTGAAATGTGATGTGAATAACTCATATTTTATACTGATATGAATGCATAGACAGAAAAATCTTGTTATTATGATGATCATAAAAAATACTCGATAACCTCATTTGAATTATTTTGGAATAGTTTTTCTATTCGGTATACTTTCTAACACAATGAATTTTTTGTATATCAGGTAGGCAAGTATTTTCGTGACTAATTGAACTACAATCAGTTGTGCAGATTCTGTTGTTTTCAACATGTGTATAATAACATGAATTAAAAAACGTGGCGCATTCATGAAAAAAACTCAAACCGGACGCATCATCATGGGAATCGATCTCTCACACCTGTTTTGACGTTTTGTGCACACTGCGCACAATAATGAATACGTTTAGAAAATCAGAAGAGGTCACATTCGAAATTCTCTTCTAGTACTTTTACTTGATTTAATTTCGAAACAACTTCTGTTCTATATCAAATATAAATTGAAGTTATTGAAAAATTTGTTTTACTCCAATATTCAACATGATGACAGATATGAACAATTATATTTAAAAATATATAGTAATTCAAAATGATAATGATATTACTTAGCGCCCTCTATTAATATTATTGTATTTCTGGAATAGCTGAATTTCATCAAATCGAAATTAACATTCATATCAGGTAGGACCATAAAAAGAGTTTCGTCATTGCTGTTGTGAGCATTGTTTAGAATGGCCAACTGGGTAAAAGCTATTAAAGAATTTCATGAAATTTATGTCTTGAAAATACTTCGCAGAATAGCGATGACTAATTCAAATATCTCCTTTTGTACTGACAAGTTATTGTTCAATAATGCATGGATCGACATAAAAATGAGATCATTATGTCATAGAATTCTTTTTCTTTTCTTGTTTCATTCAGACTGACTAACTGACTATATACTATATATTATCTTTTACTAGACTATTCTTTTTCAGATGGCTGACGATGGTGATTTTGACGATGGAGGCGGTGATATGGGTATGGATGATGACATAGACGACGATGAATTCAATGAAGATGATCAAGATCCAGACGGTGATCAAAATGCACAAACAGACAAACAACAATTACAAGGCGATGATCGAATGGAAATTTTTAATGAAGATGATGCTAATGCTGCTCAAGCAGCTTTGAGAACTGATCCATCAAAACGAACCACAACACCATATATGACTAAATATGAACGAGCACGTGTATTAGGTACACGAGCATTGCAAATAGCTATGTGTGCACCATTGATGGTTGAACCCGATGGTGAAACAGATCCATTGCAAATTGCAATGAGAGAATTAAAAGAAAAGAAAATTCCAATGATTATTCGACGTTATTTACCTGATGGAAGTTANAGCAGCTTTGAGAACTGATCCATCAAAACGAACCACAACACCATATATGACTAAATATGAACGAGCACGTGTATTAGGTACACGAGCATTGCAAATAGCTATGTGTGCACCATTGATGGTTGAACCCGATGGTGAAACAGATCCATTGCAAATTGCAATGAGAGAATTAAAAGAAAAGAAAATTCCAATGATTATTCGACGTTATTTACCTGATGGAAGTTACGAAGATTGGAGTATTGATGAACTTATTCTAACTGATTAAAGTTGTTTGTGTTTTTAATATTTGTAAATAATTTTATTTCAGATATAAAACTGAGTATTAAATACAATGGAAATCACTGATCAAAATCTTGAAGCACTGTCAACTTATCTACGTAAAACATTATCAGCGAATACGAATGAACGATTGGAAGGTAAGTTCTTCAAACCTGTGTGTAGCTGTTAAAATAAAATGATTAAAAACTAAATTTTTGGTAATTGTATTGGCTTGTTCGATACACGCTGTGTAGATGTGACTTGGTAGCAAGTCGCCACATCAAGAATAATGTTTATCTTGATGGAAAAAAATATTGCATCCTTTGGCAAGGTTGAAACTATTCACAGATTAGTTAAGCAATCTTAGCCTTTTTTTAAAATATATCTCAGACAAAGAGTTGTACGTATTTATATTTTGAAGAAGTTCCGTGAATGTGAATTGGGCGACCATAAGATTGCTTTTCACGAGAACATTCATTCTGGTTTATTTTGTCGATCCACATACAGGCTACCATACTTCTATAATTGCAACATTAATAATGCACAAAACAGATAGCAGTTGTCAGAACAATAATGACAACATTTTTGCGCCGACACATGCATACATAATAATAAGATGTCACTGTAAATGAAGATTAAACCGACTGATAGATGCGCATTCATGATTCATTAAAAAGAAATCAGCAAAACATTTCAAGACTCTTCGTCAAAACGATTTCACAAGTACCTAGATAGATATTTCAATATTGAGTAGTAGCTTTACTGCTCATTGATCATTAGATACTTTTTATCTCTGATACTTTGCTTAGTTGTTGAAAAGACAAGGTTTTTATACACTAACTTACAAAATTTATTCGACGTTCAAATTGAAAATAAACAGAACAAAAACGTTTTTTAGCGCGCAAATTTCAGTTTTCCTTTTGTGAGGAACAACAAATAAAATCTGATTGATAACTGAATATATGAACATTTACGGTATCATTACATGAAATACTTCGTCATACAGAATGAGAGTAGTTTTACAGTTATCAAATTTTAGAATGAAGCATCTACTAAACGAATATCATAATACGCTGCGCAAAAGTCTTTAGAGACATGTCAAACTTTGTAATATCGATTTTTGAATGAATGCACTATTTTTTTCTTATCAGAAGGAGTAATGCCTACAAAAAGCAAGTTGTCATTTTCACCATTGAGTGATGTAAGTTTGCGTTTACTACTAGGTATTTTTAATTGGAAGAAAAATTAGAGAGTACGGTTAATATCCGTTTTACTAGTACAAAGAGTGATATTCGTGATGATGTATTAAAAGTTGATTTTATTTGAAGATTTACAAAGCCAAGTGTTCTAAAATGCTTTGACCAGATTTGTTTCAGTGTAGAGTCCTGCAGGCCAGGGCAGGTTAAGGTTACAAAAAAATATTTAGGGTATAAGTAGGATGTAGCTCATACAAATAAAAATTTTATAGAGTAGAACTTAATATATATTTCAGACATCTTTTTGATCAAAAACAGTGTAAAGAGTGATATCATAATCTAAATCGAAAGGGTAGAATAACAACGAATGGAAAACAATGGCCTATTGTTTAGTACTATTTTTACCTAAGCTGACGAGTTCAGTCACTTTTGATTATTTGTCTAGTAAATGTGCATGTAAATGTAATAAAAAATGTCTTCGAAATAATCTCAACATGAACGTATTTTTAGTGCAAACTGGCGAGTTTTGGAAGAGAGAAGGCAAAATTAAAATGGTGATGTTGTAAATGACATTTTATTTTTAAGAAACTTTCGAAATATTTATTCATTTTGTATTTGATTTTCGTTGAAAATCAATAAAATATATTGAAACAAAGTGAAGAAAAACTTTACGCTAACTTTTACTTGGACCTGAAACTCTAAGGATATGATAGGGTGTAAAATGAAAAATCTCTGTGATAGGGTAGGGTAAGGGTACACAGTCCCTAGGACAGGACAGGACAAGGTTACGAAGTCTATAGAGTAGGGTAGGGCTAGGGTAAGAATGTCGTAGGGCAGGGCAAGGGTACTAAGTTTTACTATAGGGCAGGGTTAGGGTACAAAAAAGTCTTAACCTGCAGGACTCTATTTCAATGACGCAATACAAAGAGAATTCAGTTCATTCATTGCTTTCAGAGATAGTGGAGAATGTTTCTCGAAAGTTATAGTTCTTGTGCAACATAAGGTTTTTCAAAAATTTAGTGCTTCGAACTTTTTTGAATAAATAAGCGACGAATGTATCTAGAATTTTTGATATTCTACTTAAAATTGAAGTTTACGATTATAATTTTATTTATTTTAGCTGAAAAGACTTTAAAACAAATCGAACGAAATGAAAATTACACATCTCTTTTATTAACTTTATGCGAAAGATCAACAACACCAGATGAACTTCGTCGTGCATCGGTAATTACATTTAAAAATTTTATAAAACGTAACTGGCCATCACTTGATGAATCAAATACTATATCAATTCGGGATCGTAATCATATAAAAGAACATATTATTGATTTAATGACACGATCACCTGAACATATTCAGGAACAATTATCTGATGCAATAACAGTTATTGGTAGATCTGATTTTCCTAATCGTTGGGCAACACTACTTGATACAATGATAAAACAATTCCAACAACAATCATCGAATTCATTTCAATCAATAAATGGAGTTTTAAAAACTGCACATTCACTTTTTGAACGATACAGATATGAACAAAAATCCGATGAACTATGGTTAGAAATTAAATTAGTTCTTGAAAAATTTGCACCTGCTTTTACGGAACTATTTAAAGTAAGACAATTCAATCTCCAAATTGAATTGATCATCGATATTTTTGTTGAAAAATTTTAGTCTTTAATGGCTTATTTTCCACAAAAAGAATCTGATCCAATTGAAATGAAGAATATCTTTAATTCATTATATGTTATCATAAAAATCTTCTATGATCTCAATGCTCAAGTAAGTAATTTAAAATATTCATTTAAGAAATTTTCAAATATAATTTTCGTGTGGTGTTTACCTTGTAGGAATTACCTGAGCATTTTGAAGATAATATAGATATTTATATGACACATTTTCTGACACTTCTGTCGTATGATTATCCAAAACTTCATTCAAATGTAAAAAAATCTATTTCAAAACTGGATTTGATCTAATTGTTTTTATTATTTTTGTGTAGAATAATGATCCAGGAATTTTAGATCAAGTAAAAACTGAAATATGTCGTGCTGTAGCACTTTATGCAGACAATTACAGCGATGAATTTAAACCATATACACAACAATTTGCATTAGTTATTTGGTCTTTATTAACACGATTAGATCTTTCATCATCTTATGATGAAGTAAGATATTTTATTCGACGTTGTGTTTTTGTTGAGTTGATCATTATCATTATATTTTAAGCTTATTGGTACAGCAATGAAATTTTTGTCAACATTAGCTGCTCGTAGTCATCATTGTAGCATGTTTGAGGGTGGCGATACATTAAAAATTGTATGTGAACAAGTTATTTTACCAAATTTATTTCTGCGAAGTAAGGAACTCACTTCTTTGTTTAAATTTTTGAATGAGCTTTATTTTAATTTAGCATCAGATGTCGAAGAATTTGAAGATAATCCAGAAGAATATATTCGAAAAGATATTGAAAAATCAGGTTCTAGTTATTTCTAATATGTAGAAATGTGAACGTTTGTAGTTTTGTTTTTGTTTTTGTTCGTTATTTAGATTCAGCAACACGACGACGAGCTGCTTGTGATTTTCTTCAAGCACTGTGCATCTTTTTTGAATCACAAGTTGTTTCAATTTGTAGTCAATATATAGATTCTATGCAGAAAGTAAATTATTGATTTTTATTTCTAACGTATAATTCACGCTGTCTCAAAATTATCAGCTTTATTGCATAATTTAAAAGAATAATTTTTCTTTTCTGAAAGTATTAATTACTAAATAAAAATTTATTCTAGATTATATAATCCCTCTTACGTTAGTCTCTTAGAAAATCTCATTTATCAATTAGTATTTCATGCTAACGATAACAATGAATATAGAACGATCGTATTATAAATAGGCGGAACTTATGGGACGGTTGTCTAAGGCAGAAATAGAATTTTATATGCAATAATATCTATTAGCAATTTCTGTTCTTTATTAATAAGATTTTTCTTAATGGTTTAGCGAGAGTCTTGTCCACTTTCATCAATAATAGACAAACAGTATATACCGGTATATATGATATATGCAAAAACGATGCAAAATATTTAGTGAATATAGAATCTTCACTGAACAATAATAAATGTATTCAAAAATTGCAGAAATGTTTTTAATTTTTTGAAATTACTAGCAAATCTTTATTTAGTTTTAGTCAATGAGTGAAATCCCTGTGAGTGTGCTTTAGAGACAGAAACCTTATTGGCGCACTTCTGAGAATTCATTTATCACTACTCAATTATGACATAAACAAACAAAACAAAAGTAGTTCAAGAATTAAAGACCCAGATCTATTCATCTATTGTTAGAGTATAGACAACATTTTCTTGTCACAGTGTTAGGACAATTTTCGATCCTTCAGTAATTCGTTTTTACTTTTTGTATGAGAAAGAAAACTATTGCAGTTTATCTAGAACATTGAATGTTTCTCAAAAATAAAAACATCATGGAAAAGTGCGAATTGCTATCTCTAAGTATCTTTATTTACGTTAATAATCCTCATTTTTATATCTAATGCTTAACTTTTTTTTTTTTTTATAAATGTTGGATGATCTGTTATTGTAGATTTTGTTTATTTTAGGAATATTTACAAAATCCAAAGCAAAATTGGTTAAAAAAAGATACATGTATTTTTCTTGTGTTAGCACTTGCATCAAAAGGCGAGACACAAAAGGTTTATAACAAATATTGCCTATTTGATTCAGAAGAAAATCCTTTCATTTTAGTTTGGTATAACAAAAACAAGTTCATTGATCAATATTCAAGCAATTTATTCAAGTAGTATACTACCTGAACTTCAAAATAAAGATAGTATGTTGAGTTTTAAGATTTCTATTTTATAAGAAAGAATTATTTTGTATTTTAGTTGATAGTTTACCATTAATAAAAGCTGATTGTTTAAAGTTTTTAATTGATGTTCGAAATCAAATTGGCCGTGATGCATTGCTCATTTCAATACCTGAATGTGTTCGATTTCTCTCATCTAATAATATGGTTTTACAAACATATGCAGCACATGCGATTGAACGTTTACTACTTGTTCGCAGTTCTGCTGATCAAAAATTTACATTGTAAGATTTTTCAATAAAATAACTCAATCGTTGTATTTTTTGGTCCTCACTTTAATTATAGAATAACAAAAGATGATTTGATTCCTTATGCTCAAGCGATGTATGATAATTTCTTTCGAATATTAACATCGGATAAATCATATGAAAATGAATATGTTATGCGAGCTGTTATGAGATTATCATCATCGCTGAGTGATGGTGTTTTACTTTATTTAAATCAATTAATGGAAAAATTAGTGATGATTTTACGACGATCATGTAAAGTAAGAAAAACTATAGTAATTATTCTTGTAGTATTGTACATCATACATATGTTAACAAAAAAATCTTTAAAAATATGTCTAAATCATTCAACTCTATCAAATCTTTCACAAATAATAATGGACTTCGTTCGAAAAATTGAAATTGGTTCAGTATTCTTTTTCTATAGATCCTTAAAAAATACTGAAATAATTCGTTAGTTCAATTCAAATATCTCTAGAGTAATAGTGATTTATTATTGTTTTGGCAAATTAAATTTAGTATTAATAGTCTAAAACGATGTTAAAATCCATTATTCTTCAATGAGCCATAAATATTTTCGTCGCGAGTATCTATTCGTTTATATGAAACTTTGGTGAAAGAAATATTACGATTAACAGTAAGACAAAAATAACTCAAGAATCAGTAGATATTTTAGAATTAGCACTGAAATTACGGAATAGATGTAACTTTCGATACCATCAGACATATTTTATCTTTCAAAGTGAACTTGAACACAATGCTACAAAGCTAATTGGTGTTTGAGCTTTTAGAAAGTATCGAAAAGTAGGACAACGAAGTGAGACAAACTAAAATATTGAATAACTACAAATCAATATGAATAAAAAGCTCGAAAAATATTGGTATTTCTTCATGCTAGCAAACTAGGAGAAGAATATCAGTTATATCAAAATTACTAATCAATTAAAATAGTCATTGAGTTAACAAACATGTTTTCTTTGTAAATGCTTTGTTTTATTTTAGAGAGTTTGCTTGTTTTTTGTGTAAATATATAACCAAAATAATGACGAGCATTGAAAAAATCATTGTATTACGCTTTTATTCTAGAATCCTATACGTCATAAAAAAATGAAGGATTTTAATAGGTTTTGTTGTTCATGAAATTCAAATTGAGTAAAAGTTTGCAACCGTTTGAAGAATTTTGCCACATAAATAATTAGTTAAGTATGAGATAGGTAACATAATATGATCTAGTCTACAAGAGGGTCTTGTGATTAAACGTATTGATAATGAATTTAAAATCATATTAAAACTATTTGAGAAACTTCTTACAGGAATAGATTTAAAAAAATATTTCACGTAATCAACTATTCCATATTTTACATTTTAATTCTATTCAAATATTTTATAATCAATTTTTTTATTTAATTTCACTTTAAAGAATCCAAATAAACCAAATTTTAATCATTATTTATTCGAAACAATAACTGTATTAATTCGTACAAGTTTATCGAAAAATGTCGGTGTACTTGATCAATTTGAACAAATACTTTTTCCTGTATTTACACAGATATTTACAGATGATATTGCTGGTATATCAATACATACATATATAAATCATTAGTTTTTTTTATTGAGCAAACGTTTTGTTTTATTATTTATTTAGAATTTGTTCCATACGTATTACAAATAATCGGATTTTTATTAGAATCTCATTCATCAGGATCAACATCAATATCTATTGCATATCAAGCATTATTTCAATCAATACTTACACCATCATTTTGGGATCGTAGTGGAAATATTCCAGCTCTATCAAGACTGTTAGAAGCATATATTGAAAAAGCAGGAGAAACAATTGTTCTTGAAAAATTGGTAAGTCTTTGTTTTTCAAGCATTATTTATTTATGTATTTATTCGATTGAAATTTAAAAACAAAAGACAACTGTACTCGCCATATTTCAACGTCTTGTTTCTCAGTCGAAACTTCATGATCATGAAGGTTTCGCAATATTGAATTCATTAATAATTCATTTACCATTAGGATGCTTAAATAATTATTTAAAAGATATATTTATTGTTATATTTACTCGTTTAACAAAAGCTAAAACACAAAAATTAATTCGATGTATTATCGTATTCTTTTCATATTTTACTATTAAAAATGGTGCACAAGAACTTATTATACAAGTTGATTCTATTCAAGCAAAGTAATCTTGTTTTTATTTGCTAGAATGAAAGAACATAAAAACAATCGATTCATTTGCTTTTCAGCATGTTTCAAATGGTGGTTGAACGTTTAATTATTCCTGAATTATCAAAAGTTGATGATAATGATAAAAAACTATGTGCAGTTGCCATAACACATTTATTATGTGATCCAGAACAAATGACAACAGGAATTTATTCGAATAATTTATGGTTAGCATTATTACAAGCGTTACTTCGCTTATTTGAATCAAGTAATATTTTACAAATAATGTCAGCAGCTGATAGAAAAAAACAAGCGGAGGCTGAAGCTGAAGAAGAACTGCTTGTCGGATTGGACGATACGCCAGGTTATTATAATTTTTTTCAATCAATTTTTGATGTAAAAATTTGTTAACAGATTAAATTAGTCAACGCTTTGTCGTTGTAAGTTTTAAAAGATTTATCTTACCTATATATGTATAATCTATTCGTTTTATGACGTTTACTGGTGGTGTTTTCCAACTCATTTTCTAGATGTAAAATTGAAACTTTCATCCGTATTAAAGCGATTAATAGAATGTGTCCGATACGTTTAGCTTACTGAGCACATCTAACCAGTAAACCGCATGAAAGTTGTTGTCCATAGGATTTATAGAAATGAGATGCATAAAAATGAAGAGTCGTTGGTTTTTCAGACAAAATATGAAAAGTAAATTTATGTTAAAGTACTTGACAATTTAACAAGGAGCTTTTATATCTTGAAAGCTAGATACTAACATTTACCTTAATCGTTTCGATAATAGATAAACGTTTTTGTTTTGTCTTTCACGAACTCTTTATTTAGTATTGGTGATGACAAGTGTGTGTTCTCACCCATATCAATCTTTTTTTCTAGCAATTTTGCACTAATGATTAAAGAAAAATAAAAAAAATCACTAGGGAATTAAGTTAACAAAATTGAAAAATCTTCTCGTATTCGCTTAGTTGGTCATGTCAAACAACATTTTGTCGAGTAAAACAGCTCGAAATCGTCGTTTTCAGTGATATTAATAATATAATGATTTGAAAAATATTTCTATTGAATATTTCAAGAGAAGAGCTAATTAGTTTAGAATTTTTCAACAGTAAACATTTGATAAGTGTTAGATATTTTATAACTGATTTTATATTATTAAAACTTTGTTCAGATAAAACAACTATTGTTATATTTCTAAAAAATAAGTTCTCACAGAGACAACTAATTCCGATAATCTTTCTAATTCAATTATACGCAAGCAAAAAAAATACACTTTAATCTATTTGACTGATCATAACTGTTATTATTTCAGATTGTGACGTTTTGAAGTTTGATTTGTGCTCAATAAAAATAAGCTAAAATTTTCCTAGGCAATAATGTCTAGTTGAAGGGCTCAGTGAAAAAATTAACGAAGACGTCTGCTACGTATATTATCTAGAACGTTATACATAGAAGGAGTACTTTGTTTTGCATACTTTATTCAATCGATAGAGAATAATTTAGTACATAGCAAATTTTTAAAAAAGAGCATTAAAAAAGCGCAAAGAGTTTTTCTTAATAAGAGTCAAGTGCACATGAGTTGAACACATAAAGAGAAAAATTGAAGATTTATATATCCATAAGAATTCTAGTTGACTATATAGAGTTTTGAATTAGATTATAAGTTCAAATTCGGATTAATAATCATATTATCATTGTTCACTTGTTTAATAAACGATTATTTTAGATTACACTCCGGCATTTTCACGCTTGGCATTTGCGAAAAAACCTCGTGCAGATCTATTAGGTTCAAGTATTCCTGATGCTCGATGTCATTTAGCTAAATGTTTACAAACGCTGGCAAGTTCTCATCCGAATCAAGTTTGTTATACTTTTATTTTCATATTCCATAAAAATATTTTTTAATGAAATTTTAGTTTCTCAATATGATGACACACGGTTTATCGAGAGAAGATTTATTAGAAATACAGAAATATTGTGCATTAGCAAATGTTACGCTTACATAAATTAGTTATTAATTCAGATTTATTATTTCAAACTAGAATCTTCTTTTTTTCTCGGTGAATTATTATACATTCTGTTCTGTTATTTTTTCTGTTTGTAAAAGCTATTGAAAAAGCATCTTGAATGAATAAAATTCATTTGATTATCTCACATAATAAATTTTAATAAAAAAAAGTATTTTCTCTTTGAATATCTTTACAGATGAAATAATGGCTAGGAATTGTGCACCGAGTTTGAATTTGCAAAAAATCAATCGATCGCATTCGAATTCATCAATATCCTCGAATGGAACGGTTAATTCAGGTCAAACAGCAAGTACAACTGTAAGTACAACAAGCAGCCAAAGACGAAGTGGAATATTGGGTAAAATTGGAACTGGTTTTCGATCAGTATTCCGACGATTTTCTCGTTCACGTGCATCATTAACTGAAATGGAAACTCAAATTTTAACAGCAATGACAGGTTATAATCGAGAAGAAGTTTTGCAATGGTAAAAATAAACGAAATTAATTTTTCATCAAGTAGCATCCATTAGTAATTATAATACTGTTGAAAAGTTTAATAACAACATGTTCTCTCATTTTCTTCTACAATGTAAAGAATTAAATTCAAATTAACATTGATGATTGAAATAGTCTATGAAGTTTTCTATCAGCTTATAGTTCATATGAGAAGAGGATTTATGAAAAAGTCAAACACGGTTATTTTCCTTGGTTCTAGAAGATTGTAAGAATAAGTTTTGCAGAATATTTCCTGAGAAATACAATATCCTCGATGAAACAAGAAATTGCTGCATTTTCTATGAATTTTTTATTGAAAATCGTATAAAGGAGTAAAGATAAAATTAATAGCGAACTTAGTCCCTGTTCTTTAAATTTTACACGGCTTAAACTGAACATTCGAAATATAAATGTTTTCACATTTTGAGAAATCTTTTATAATTCATCTATGAAATTTCGTCATAGAAATCATTTAATACGGAAAATAACTGACTGTTTACTTCACTATTGTCGATTTTACTTAGATATTTGATATCTTAAAACAAACTTAGATAGGCCTCATATTTATTATTCACATCAACAAAGTTTTCGACAGAATTTATATAAACATTCTAATTAATATTTAAAAAAAAAGAACTAAATCTAAACGTTTAGTACAAGTATAATGCTTATTTTCATAGCTCTCGTATACTCTTAGTATTTAATATTGGTCTTCGATAGTCAATTCAGTGAAAAGAAGTGCCAAATCTTGCTTAAGTTTTTTTTCCTATACTCGAAAATGAATTCTGATCGATTTAAAGCATTGCTTTTGATAAGACCAAATAGCTAGGTCACAAACGAAGACAAAAAATAGTCTATTGATTTTTAAGAAGTAAAACATCTACTTGAATCCTACAAAAAAATTAAAACATTTAGAAGCGACGTATACTAGAAAGAAGTTCTTCATTTCCATTCTATTTTTCTACATATCAGATAATGCAAAATTCTGTGGAAAAAGATTGCTTCACTTCACATCGACTACAACATGTTTGATAAAAATTAAAAAGATATCTGTTCTCACTATATGATTACAAATATTTCTATCATGTTTCTGAATGACACTAAAATGTAGTCTATAAAAAGCAACCTATAATAAATGTGACAGAAGGAACCGATATTTCAGTATTTTTTCAAATCTGCCAGGCTTTACCAAGATATTATGGTTCATGTTCTTTTTTTTTCTGTCTAAAAATCTTCTAGATTTTCGATATATCCAATAGTTAATTCTTATTTAATTTTTGTTATGTAATCTCGCATGCCTTTTTAACTAGCGCATCAAAATAATTTTATAATTTAGGCATGAAAAATTCTTAAATGATTATCCAAACGGTTATATGACTCGAAAACAATTTATATTAATCTATAAATCATTGTTTCCTAAAAGTGATGCCGAACGTTTCGCTCGTCATATATTTCGTGCATTTGATGCGGATAAATCGAATACAATTGATTTTCGTGAATTTCTCATTGGTTTATCAATAACATCGGCAAGTAATTCAACAAAAATAAAACTTGAATGGACATTCAATGTTTTTGATATTGATGGAAATGGTTTATTAACAAGACGTGAATCTTTAGAAGTTATTGATGTAATTGTTCGATTTTATCTAACATCACAAGGTGATTCACCAAATTCAAATACAGAACAATTAATTTATTTAGCTAAAAGGTCCATGATGAAAATTTTCGATAATAGTAGTAATAATCCACCAACCGATAATTTAACAAAATCACAATTTGTTGAAGGTTGTTTAAAAGATGAATTTATTTCTCAACTACTAGCTCCTATGACAAATACATCATCGACAACTGCACACGATGCACATGATAGTTGCTTGGGTAATTCATAACATTCATTTTCTAGATTTTATATGTTGTTTTTTCTTCGAATACTTTCATTATAATTGATTTTCAGTGTTTTTCATTCAGATAATTTTTTCTTTCTTTGTTTCTTTTGTAATAAGTTATTAATCTTATGTTTTTTGTATAGCTGAAAGAAAATTTTCTGCATATAATGACTGAAAATAAATGGTCACGTGTAAAACCAAGTAGATCAGTCAATTCTATCGTATCTTTATTTTCTTTGAAATCATCAAAGATATCGTTCTATGTCATCTAATATCTATCATAATATCGACATCACAATAGCATATTTATTAATAATTATAAATGATGATAAAATATCTTATGTAAGCAAGAAATCACAAATCTTTTACTGTGTTTCACTAAAATTTCGAACAAGAAGCGATAAAATCTAAGAGCATCATGAATCGAATTTATTGTTCCGTAACAAAAACATCTGGTAATTTATTGAGTGAAGGGATAAAATTAACAGGATATTTACCAATCAATTTAGGAGTATTACTATTTATGATAGCAGAAAACCGGTTGACACGTTACAAATTTTTAAATTCAAAAATATTATGAAAGTCATGCATAATTATTAAAATTACTTGTGCCGTTATAAATTCATTGCATTAAAAGAAAACCAAATAGTAAAAAATATTTTTTGTGTTAAAGAAGGGCCCCTCTCTTCACAGTACTATCGAAGTAAAGTTCATCAAAAATGTTTGAAACCTTTCTCAACTAAATTAGATCTCGACGTGTAGAGAAAATGTTGTGATAGACTTGATATTTACAAATGTGTCCTTCTATACAATATTAAGAGCAGAAAAACTAAAGTTTACACCCTGATCATACGGTTGTATCACTCTATGCATCTGAAAAAGGTTGAAAATTTTTTACATGAATATGAACCATTACCGTAGTATATTCTTTACGAAGTTACTTTATAGTACTTTTGATTCGAACATAAGTGTGAAAATAAAGAGCATACGCTATCAAAATTTCATTTTGTGTTTTCATTGAAGCCCTTTATTATGAATTTTGCGAGAAAAAAGACAAATATAGTCTTTTCTAACATAAAAATATGCAAGAAAGTTTTAACCTGACCCGATGTACTGTGATTGACAAGTAGGAATGATTTTTCAATGTCTTTTTTTTTTTTATATAAAACTAGATGTGTTTGCTTCTTGAAATCAATGAAATGATGCATGAATTTGAATGTTTTTCGGGGAAAATCTTTCATCCTGTTCAAGTTTTGAAACATTGTTGGTAACCGGTGTTTCTTTAAATACATATAATGCTTCAAAAATACTGTGAAGAGTATATAGAACAGAGAATGAAAACTCTCGACACTTTAGTTGAGAATCGGAGGGTAGGAATAGGAATGATTTTTTGTTGGTGCATCAATCTAGAATTCATTCATCTATAGAAAAAACATCAGTATTAATATCAACAATTCAATTGAGAAAACCGGACGAGACATGATAATAGCAACTAAGTCTAAGATAATTTCTCCAATGACATTAATATAATGAGTTTACAGGATGAAAAACAGAATTATCTTTCATATACGATTAGCTATCATCAAATGATTTATCTTTTCTCTTCTAATCATCCGTCTCACATGTGTGGTAGCCTTGATATCAAAAATATCTTTGACACATTGATAATATACGTAGAATATTAAAATGGAACGATGGGATTTTATCCACACATAAACTTGATCAGATATATATATATACATATTTCTATAATCAACATGAGGAAATGAAAGGAAGCTATGACGAATACTTTGATATTCTATTCGTATATAAAATGACGGACAAGCCGTCATCAATGCTCATGTCAATCATATTAGTATGTTTATACAAACGTCTGTTCGTATGAGTGGTTGCACAATGAAATATGCGTTAATTTTTTTGATTACTGATCAAACAAAATAAACATCGAAAGGTATAACGTCATCTATATATATTATTCTATGGGTGTAGTAAGAAAAAGGAAGACAGAAAAGGTATAAATGGCGATGACCTCGATTTTCAAAAAATATCCACGAAATGAAGATTAATTATTGTTATTTGTATTATTATTCATACATCGTTTAGTTTCTGTCATTTGCGATAAAGACAAGTGAGGATAAAAAAATGGTAACTGATCATTGGTATTAATCATCCTTGAAGCGTTAAAATATGGATGAAAACGACGATGAGATATTTTTGATGATCTATTATTGTGATTGTATGGAGTATGTTCGATTAGTTCGTCATTTGAATAAAACCTTGTATTGCATGATGTCGAATCGTAAGCATATGGTTGATTATTTATTGAATTTGAAAGAATATATCGCACAGTTTCACATTGTAAACACCCAGATATTGTACATGTTGAAGAATATGCAGGTTGTGGAGATATTAAATAAGCAAGAGAAGAATGAAGAAGTAACGCAGCTGCTGATTTCGCTGGACCAAAAAGAGGTGTTAAAGGATTTGATATTTGTTTTGTTTCGACGAATGATGAAGATGTTGATAGACTATTTGTCTTTAATGAATGTGTTGATTTTTTATGTGCATTTATAGTATTTAATTGTGAAGGTGATGAACGTTTAGTTAATGAATATGATTTATCAGAATGAGATATATTCAATAAAGATTTTGTTGGAAGAGATGTTATTATAGGCGAAACTATATTTGATAATGATGAAGGCGATGATGGACTATCGTTTCCAATATTTGAACATGTTTGAGCTAAAAGAGCCAATGGACTTTGACTTGGATCATACTATTAAACAAAAACCATAAAAAATTTAAAGAAAATATTCGCATTCTTTGTTTTTGAAAAGCAATGCTTTACTGAATTCGATAAAGATGGTTGCAAATAATCCGAGTTTGAATAACCTTTTGTTGTTGTTGTTGTTGAAGGCATCGTTCTTTTCTGTTGACGATAATGATAATCGTTTAGCTATATTTATTTCTACTCTTTATCGATGAAGTCAATGAATTACAGCTTTTTCTTATATTTATATCTGTTTCTGTTTTCTGTTTTCTCTTTCTGTCTACTTGTCTGTCTCTCTTTCTCTGTTATAATCGAACATAAGGGAAGAAAAAAAGAAGAGAAGAAAAAAGAACAAGAACGGATTTGTATGTGTGATAAATGATGATCATACTTGAGACCCCAAGCGAATATACGTGCACTACTATTTGACATATGACAATTAGAAAAAAAAGATGAGTGATGATAATAATGAAATACGAGATGCCATTTATTCTCTCTGATGGCGATGTAGCGTGCCGAATTCTAGCTTGGACTTTACATAAATTCATCGATCATCTATCAATCGATATAAATATATATATATATTAGAATGATAAACGTGTTACAAACACACAATTCATGTCAATATGTTTCATAGAATAAAGTCTATTCTATATTGAAAAGATAGATCATTTGTTTTAACGTAAACACTTACCATCCGATGATAATAAATGAATATTAATAATAAATTCCTACAGTTATAATTACAAAAAATTATCTTCTCTATCGATTACTTATCGTAATTAGCTCATCGTGAGAACTGATGGAAAATTACATGTCGAGAGATACATATACTATTTCGATGTGTGCTGGATTCTCATTATTGATCTGTCATTCTTTTTATTTTTGTCTTTAAGCACATGATAATCTTGAGCAGTAGTTTTAGTAAAGGAGATGTCGAATACATTATTATAAATGATCGCAACATTCATCATTAATCATCAATCGTTTTCTTTTACTTAATAATGGTAATATTCTGTCATGGAAAAATCCGTCATACAACGAACGATTGATTTATTAATGATAATGATACAGATCGATGACTTGTTAGATTAGACAAAAATGTAAATCAGATAGATGATATAATATTGAAAAACGTTTTTTTGGCAATTCATCATTCGATATTTTTTTACTTGGCTTTATGACAAGCGCATATTTATTGATTGACATTGATGACAATGTCCAATATTTATATTGCTAAATGATTGTTGTTGTCATTTCGTTTGCATATTTATTCTTCCTTCAACGAGATAGATATATTGTAGGTCTAATCAATTGTGACAAGCATACTAAAATACAAAAATGAGTAAACTAAATTAGAATTTTTATTTATTCATAGGTTTCTTCTCATATCGATAGTATACCAAAATCTGATTCGATTTACAAGTTATCATAACATCGATCTAAATATTCATTGGGTTATTGTCATTTTCATATAAGATTTTTTTCTTTATCTATTAATGATGATGAGATTCTATATTATTCATTTAATGAACATGACCTTGATAAAATTTTCGTTGATATTTTAAAACCATTTTCTCCATTAGTGGATTTGAATATGATGTACTTAATTCATTCCATTTTGTTTCTACTTATCTTAATCGGTTTTCATATGCATATATACAGAACAGAATAAATATGAATGACTGTATTAACTTGTATTGTTGAATAAAAGAGATACATGATATACTATTATTCATTCTAGTATCAATCATTTAGAATGGAATATGAGACAATAAAAGACTCTTGTCGATGGTCATCTTCGATGTCGCTTGTTGATGACGCATGTATAAGTGCCGCCATCTTATTTTCAATCTTTTATCAACATTCGTTTCATAGCAATGAAACATTCGATGGTGACACATTTAGATTTGGTCATTTCATTAAAGTCTTGCCAAAATAATAGGAATTTGCGCTTTTTATAATGTCATCAAATTCGTTCACTCGTCAAGAATCTCAATATCCAGGTGATCGTACAGCTCCAAAAGCAAGTCTTCGTCTCGAATGGGTTTACGGCTATCGAGCCGCAAATTGTCGAAGTAACATTCATTTAACTGAAAATGGCGAATTAGTTTATTTCTCTGCTGCTGTTGCTATTGTTCAAAGTATTTCTAGTAGAGATCGTTGTCAACAACGATTTTTTCTTGGCCATGATGATGATATTATCAGTTCATGTCTTCATCCAAATAAAAATATTATTGCAACTGGTCAGATTGGTAAAAGCGCACAAATTTGTGTGTGGAATTCACAAGGAATAATTAAATTAGAAAGTCTCTTACAAGGACATACAGATGGTGTAGGAGCAATTAATTTTAGTCTTGATGGAGAAGTAAAAAAAAGAGAACAAGTTTTAAGCATTTTCTAATCCAATTAAAAAATGTTGTTTTATTTGTTTATTGTTGAATTAGAGATTAGCTAGTGTTGGCATTGATTGTGAAAATACCATTAAAATTTGGCATTGGAGCCGCGGAAAACTTCTAGCAACTGCTGTTGGACATTCACAACGTGTTTTTGATATTTGTTTTTATGGTGATCATGTTATTACTTGTGGTATTCAACATATTCGTTTTTGGACAGTACTTGGAAATACATTACAATTTGAAGAAGGGCAATTTGGAAAATCAGAAGCACAAACACTTATGTGTATTGGACATTTTCTAAGTTCAGATACGAAACAATCGACAGAATCTACAGATAATGACTATTTCTGTTTAACTGGAGCTATTAATGGAGATTTTTATATTTGGAAAAAATATAAAATTTATAAATTGATTCATGGAGCACATAATGTAAGAGTATAGAAGTCATTTTTTTAATAAGAATAATCAAAATTAAAAGTTTTAGAATAGAAAACTTCCATTATTAATAGATTCAAAATTCGATTGAGTTCATAGACTTACTCTAAAATTAATTCATTACTATTAAATATGATTTGTAAGACGAATATACACAATGGTTCTAAATGGCATATTGTAGAATTATTATATACAAATAGGATGGAGTCATCTGTTGGATAGGAGAAAGTATAAGAGAAGAATTACATCAATTCTAGTCCATTTCAACAAGTGAAAACTAATTTGTATGTCTCGCACTTTTATCAGAAGGGAGAATAGATGGTTTTCTTATCTGTAGACTGACTGTCAAGGCAAAACATGTCATAAATCATTTTCTATAGATTCAATATACTTTTTAGATTTTCCTTTGGTCCATAAACGTAATTGATTAGATGACACAGCATTAGGTATCAATGTATCATAATAATTAAAGGAAAAAAACATATCTCATAAGTTCATTGTAGAAAATTAATTATTTTTATAATCTTCATTATTAAAATATTTTTGTTTTTGATTAGTCAGCAATTTATTCAATTGATATGACTCCTGATGGTTTTCTAACAAGTAGTAAAGATGGTTTAATTAAAGAATGGACAAAAGATTTTTCGCCCACCAGAGAACCAATTCGTATTCCATGCTTAATAAACCTTATAGAAGGTAGAGACATCAGAGAAAAAATACTAAAACTATCTTATTTACATTATATTTCTTCTTCATATTATTAGAAATAAGTGTCTGTAGTGTAGCGTCACGTAATGGCTATTGTGTAGCTGGTACTCGTAATAGTGAAATCTATGGATTTGAATTAAATGGAAATAATAATATACCACAGCTTCTTGTTCAAGGTCATTATGGTCATGATGGTAGTTTATATGCATTAGCTTGCCATCCTCGAGAAAATATTTTTGCTACTGGTGGAGATGATTGTACACTTAGGTTTGAATTGAAACTTGTTGTTGTGTTTCTGAAAATAAAAGACTTTTCTTGAAAATAGGTTTTGGAACGCTGAAAAAATGTCATTAGTCATATTTTATTCTCTACCATATGTACCATTATCACCACCACCTTCTATTCGATCTTTAGCATTTTCATCAAATGGAAATCAAATTGCTGTTGGATATGATAATGGCTATATTGAAATTTATCAAACATTGTTCGTTGTTCAGATGTTTAATCTAATAAAAAATTAATTTTTTTTCTTACTTAAATTTAGATTGAAACGACTTGAAGAACAACGAATCCAACCGATGCATACAATGCACGATCGTGCAGATCGTATAAGCGCATTAGCCTTTTCTCCTAAAGATAAATATCTTGCTGTTGGTTGTGCTGATGGTAGTTTTGATCTTTACGATATTGTAAATCAATTTCGAAATTTACGTTTTGGAAATCATAGTAAAATAAACAAAATTGATTTTATCGATCACATGTGTGTCTTTCTTCTAGCCAATACTTCATGTGTTACGAATATTGATTGGACTGACGATGAAAAATATGTTTACTTTACGGGAGAAAAAAAACTAGTTTTTATAGTTAATATGTCTTGTAAATATTAATAAAATTTAATTTTAATTTGTATAAAATTATTTATTTTCATAAAGCTTTACAAATTGTATCTGAAGATCAACAAGATAATATACGAAATTGGTCAACATTTACAAGTTTAAAACATAGAGAAGTTCGTGGAATTTGGAATAAATTTGCAGAAAAAACAAATATTGTTACAATTGATGGAAACGAACATGCGGGTGTTATTGCTGCTGGTGACAATCAAGGACTTATCAAATTATTTCGTTTTCCAAGTGAAAAACGTGGTGCCCATTTTAGAAAATATGTCGGCCATTCAAGTAGCATTGGTTAGCTAAGAAACAAATAACAAAGAAATACTAATTTTTGTTGAATTAAATTTTTATTCAGCTAGCGTATGTTTTCTTCACGACATAAGTCGTTTGATAACAATTGGTAGTGATGATCGTACAATAATTCAATGGCGTTTTCTATCGGAATCAGATTCAATTGCCCTGGTGGATGCACGAAAACTGAGTAGTGCACCAACTGCTTTGAACAGAGATATGAACGAATCAGTGGCGGCAGATTTAGCAGATGAAGCTATTGAAGATGTACAAATGTTACAAACAGCTCAACATGGTGGAACTTATTTAGATTCAGACTCAGAGGATTCGGATTCAGATTTAAGTGGTGCAGAAATTGATTCAGATATTGAAAAAGAAAAGCAAATTTCATATGACAGAACTTTGTATAGAGAAGATTATCAGGTAAGATTACATATTTTTTTTTCTATTAATATTAAACATTTATTTTAATTAATAGAAATTAAAAAAAAACAAGAAAGAAAAACTACCACCAGGCGAAAAGAGAAAAAAACAACCAGATGACGGTCTCATTCTTCATTATGCATTCGGGTAGGAAATTTCATTTAGTTTTAGTTTGAATTCAAGTAAATTAAACTAAATTAGTTATCGTGGCTATGATTGTCGAGATAATGTTTTTTCTTTAAAAACTGGCGAAATTGTTTATCATGTTGCTGCACTTGGTATTGTTTTAAATACAGAACAAAATCAACAGCGATTTTATAATTGTCATACTGATGATATTTTATGTCTATGTGTTTCACCTGATGTGACATTAGTTGCTACAGGACAAGTAATTTGAATTGATTGTAACTATTTTTCTTTTGTAAGAGTTAGCGAACGATTGGGGCGTTTATTAGCTTATGCAAATGTGAAATATGACAAACAAAGAATCTAAAATACTTCGTCAATAATTCACAGACTTTATATTAACAAGAACATCACAAAACAAAACTGTACTTTTATGTCTTTACAGGACTCCTTCAAATTATAGTAATAAGATTTTTATTTCTACGATGCAGAATAACTGAATCAAATTTAGATGATAATGTCAAGAATAAATTTGTGATTTAATAAGAGCACATCATAAAATATTAGGCGATTCTTGACATAGTTCATCAACGTATGCTTCTTCAACCTGTACAGTTGATAAAACGCAGTCCAAAAATACTTTCTAGAATCTGACAACTATCGTATTCAATTTTTTAGAACACTTACCTATATAAATCAATCACGAAAACTTGATATATATTGCGTCTAATAGAGAACCTGATTGTCTATGCAACTATTCAGCCGGCCTGAGTAAAATACTTAGAATCGTATGGAAAGATATCTAAAATAGCTTCCATGTTAACTTGAAGTAGAAAGAATAATTTATGATAGTAATATCTATTTTTATGTTCTATATGAACCAAAATCAGTTGACTACACTGCAATATTAAAAAAGAATCTTTCATTCTTGTTGTTGAGACCATATAAAATTCGAACAAATAGTCTTTTTCTATTTGTATGGTGTCAACGAAACACTACTGATTTTTTTTTAACAAGAAAAATATGAGAAAGAAAAAGTTCGATATGCGTTTTGTTTTTATACACGAAAGCGTATCTTTAAGGTTAAGCAATCGATAGATGACAACAAAAAATATTCTACGTATTACAATGCAATATCTAATGTTTTTCTTGTGAAAAAAATTAGATTGGTCGTGATCCACCAATTCACGTATGGGATCCAATAAGTATGCAAACAAGTTCTATTCTAAAGGGTCAACACTATCGAGGCATTTGTGCTCTTGGATTTTCAAGTAAGAAGAAACAATCAATAAAAAATAGTTTCAAGATTAATTTCGTTCGTTTTTCTGACTATTAGATAATGGTAAACGTTTAGCTTCAGTTGGTTTGGATGACTATCGAACGATTGTTATATGGAATTGGAAAAAAGGAGAAAAATTAGCATCACAAAGGTTTGTAGGTTTTTATTTTGAATGAAAACACAGAATTTCTCTTAATATTTAAGAGGTCATAATGATAAAATATTTTGTTTACGTTGGAATCCACACGCAGATGATCAATTTGTAACTGTTGGTGTGAAACATATTAAATTTTGGACACAAGCTGGCGGTGGTATGACATCCAAACAAGGTGTTTTTGGGAAACTTGCTGGAAAACAAGGAAAAAAAGATCAAATGTGCGTTGTTTTCGGTAAAACCGCTGATATGTGTATTACTGGTGGTGGAGATGGATGTATTCATATTTGGAAACAAACATCATTAACAAGAATTGTGCCCGGTGCACATAAGGGACCTATATTTGCTATCACTGCAGTACAAGATAAAGTTAGATTTCACATATCTTTTCCCTTTCCGAAAAACAAAATTTCAATTTTGCTGTAGGGTTATGTAACTGGTGGAAAAGATGGAAAAGTTATACTTTGGGACCCAGAATTGCAAAAACCTATAAAAATATATGAATTGACAAATCAGCATTTAGCTCCAGATTCTCGAGGTGGTTTTCATGAATTTCTCATAGATATTTTTAATTTTAGTGCTTTCATTTAGGTAGACTTAGTGAAGAGTCAACTTCAATTCGAGCTGTTTCTTTAACACGTCGTATTATCGTTGGAACAAGAGGTGGAGAAATATGTGAAATTGAAAAAAATGGCTTGATTCGTGTTTCTATTCAAGGTTTGAAGAGCACAACAGATGCACAGTTAAAATTTTGAACACATAATGTCTTGTCATAGTTGAATAGTAATATTTCTGGATGGTTAGATGTCAAAACAACCTAAAGAAAAGCATTAACACAAAATTTCTCGGGAAAAGACACACCGAACGCTGGCATATTACTACATTTTCTCGGAAGATTGAAATTTTAATATGAGTGAGTTCTCAAGTGTTAGGGCGGGTGCAAAGTTGAGTCGTCATATTACCTACATATAGTGCCCATCCGGTTAGACCTGAAACCAATTGACTTCACTGGGACATCTACATTGAGCAAGAACTTAGAGAACTTGATTGATAATATCTAAATTCGGTTTCATTGGGTCCAGGTTTGAGTCAAAGAATTTTACTTTTTATCGGGTATCCGGTTACGGAACCTTTTTTTATATGGCCCAATCTAAATAGAATTACTTTTGAAGCTTCATGTTCTATTCGCAATCGTATTTTACGCATGTCTTTCTGAAAGCACATCTTTACATCCTACTAGAGACCCACATCCGACTAGATTTAATTTTGCATTCATTGAAACTTCTATTCGTTTACATCTACGCGAACCCCGAATGACAACCACATTATCTTGAAATATTCGACACTTTCTGCATCCAAATTTTAGTTTCAATTATTACAATTCCTACGTCGCCCAGTAACGCATAGTAATGACTTTTCTTAGCATATTCACACAATATGCATGAAAAGTTAGTTCAGAAAATGAGAATTCAACTATGCCAAAAAGCATCAGCTTTCTTTGTTCGCAAGATTTATCAATTTTGGTTTTGATTTTACTCGTCCAATATTTCGGTGAAAAACTACAAATAGTTCCCAAAAATATTGTTACATTTATTGAAAAACTAGTGTGATCTATATGATACATAGTAGAGAAATCGTACGTAGCTTCTAGTTTTTATTTGAAAGTTTTTCCATATTCAGAACTTCAGCTTCGAATGAAACAAATATTACATTCAAAATCAACACCAATGACTTTATCGAATGCAGTACTCAATACTTCTCGCTGATTTTAATCAACAATTCGAACAAAATAACAATTCGAAGGCTGAATCACCAAAACAGATGATATTACTTATGAGTAATGGATAAATTATTCGGTAGAGAATTCAGCACGCTTTATGAAAAGAATATTTATTTTCGTTTGAGATTGAAGCTCTGATCATGAAAATTTTAAAATAAGAACTATTTTTCATAGCTTTTCCCCTTATTATATCGAAAACCACGATTAATATCATCCATTAAATTGTATTTTTCCAAAAAAACAATTCCTAACCAACTATAGAAGAAAGTTTTCAATATTTTGTAAATGAAAAATTTAGGTCATGCTGAAGGTGAAATATGGGGTTTAAGTACAAATCCAAAAAAACATGAAATATGTACTGCAAGTGATGATAAAACTGTTCGAGTATGGTCATTAAAAGATCTCAGAATGATTCGATTTCAAACTTTTCAAAAATTGTTACGTTCATGTGAATATTCACAAGATGGAAAAACAATTGCTGTCGGAACAAAAGATGGTTTGATTATATTTTAGAATAAAAGATTTTCTTTAAAAAAAAATAAATTTAGGTCATTTAATAATTTTAAATGAAGCAGATTTGAGCACTGTTAGCACTGCTGAATATAGAAATCAAGAAGTGTCAGATATCAAATTTTCACCAGGCAAAGATTTTGAAAAAGAAATGAAATGAAAATGTTTTCGATATTCTTTTAGATGGCCGATATTTAGCTGTTGGAACACATGATAATTTTGTTGATATATATAATGTTGAAACACGAAAACGTTAGCTTTTACGATTAATTCATTTATTTGAAAGATTCTCAAATGTTATTCTTTTTTTTATAGGAGCTGGTATTTGTAAAGCAAATTCATCGTATATCACACATGTTGATTGGGATGCAAAAGGTTTGTTTATAGATTGTTTAATCGGCTCTTCTTTCTTGGATAAACATTAAACTTATTCTTTACAGCAAAGAATATAATGTACTTGCCCATTTATGACAACGTTGAAAAGAAAATTGAAAACTGTTACATTTCCCTCAAAACTTTAGATATTGATAGTTTGTCTGAACTTGTATTTCCTATAATGACCATCGAATTTCTACCAGTCTATTCTTTTAATATACAATCTGTTAATTTTAGAAATGATATTAAAGATAAAAGCAAGTTTGTGAAAGGAATCAACGATACTAGTAGAGAGAGAATCATTTAAAATTTTGAAATACAATATGTTACTATCGCCTTGATAAACAGATCCTTTTAAGTATCCATATAATTTTTTGTTGCACAATCTTGTTCTATTTATTTTCTATTATAAAATATATAACTTTTATCGTTGAGATATTATGTTGAAAAAATTTTAATGAATATTTAGAATTATGTATGAAAATGATTTTGTAAGTATGATTGATTCTAAATTTTGAAAAATAAAGATTTTGCAACACAAAATGTTGATTACAATAGAAGCTTACCTTATTGCTTGTAATTGCTCAAACAAACTAGAAGCCTAATGGGCTGTTATTTCGCAGAAGATTTACTTAAATAAAATAATTTGATTATTTAGGAAAATTTATAAAGACAAATTCCGGTGCAAAAGAAGAATTATTTTATGAAGCGCCACGTGGTACAAGAATAACATCGATTAAAACAACTGATGTTGAAAAAATGAATTGGTTTACATGGACAGGTGTATTAGGACTAGCTTGTGAAGGCATTTGGCTACCAGCCACTGATGTAACAGATGTCAATTCAACTGATTTGACTACAAATAAGGAAACTCTAGCAACCGGCGATGATTTTGGTTTTGTGAAACTATTTGATTTTCCAGTTAAAGTAAAAATATATAAAGATTTGATCCAAGAAACTTCGCATAAACTATTCTTTTGTTTTAAGGGAAAATTTGCTAAATTCAAAAGATATACAGGTCATAGTGCTCATGTGACTCGTGTTCGTTGGGCTTTTGATGATTCATATTTAATATCAATTGGTGGTCGTGATGTTGCTACATTAGTTTGGAAACATGAATGTAGTAGAGCCGTGGAAAATACATCGAATGTTGCGTCCAGAACGAGTACTGCTGAAACTCCGACAGCTGTTTTGTCTCCTCAGCAACAACCACGAGGGGAAAGTGATGATTCTGATAATACAGATTCTGAAGAAGAAGGTTACGATTCCGATGTACAACATGATCGAGCTATGGATTACAATTCCCGATTTCTTATTAATCCAATACGAAAAACTGTTGATAAAAAGAAATTACCACAACCAACAATAGAAAATCGTAAACCAATGTAATATATTAGTTTATGTTTATCATTTTCGTTTTATTTTTGAATATTCTTTTGCTTTAGTCGTCTAAAAGTAAAACCATCGAATCGAAAACTTCAAGATGAGTTAGCACTTATTAAAATAACTTTAAAGTAAATAAGAAAAAAAAACTTTCTTATAAAAGAGTAAATTTCTTTTCACTGACACTTTTATTTTTAGATCTGGACTTAGCTTAGGTATATTAAATGCAGCACAAGACACTTCAACAAATGAAGAATTAACAGATGATGATGATCAAAAACCACGAGGACGTATTGTTGTATGCAGTTTTTCATCAAGCTATTAAAAAAATAACAGAAAAACGTGTCATGTGTTTTTTAGGATCTTGAATTGCATCATATTTATGGTTATCGTGGTTTCGATTGTCGAGACAATTTATTCTATTTAGTTGATAATGAATCTATTGTGTATCCAGCTGCTGGTGCTGGTGTCATACATAATATACGTCGAGGCACTCAAAAATTCTATTTAAAACATACAGATGATATTATATCAATGGCCGTACATAATGGGGAAAAGTATGGAAATATCGTTGCATCAGGAGAAATTGGAGAAAATCCAACGATTCATATATGGAATCCACAAACAACACAAACTATTTCTGTTTTATCTGGAAAACATAGACGAGGTAGATTTTATTATATTGATATAATTAAATGAAAGTGTTTTTAGGTGTTTGCTCATTAAGTTTTTCAACAAGCGGAAAATTATTATTATCAACTGGTGTTGATACACCATATACAATAGTCGTGTGGCGATGGAAAGAAGGTAATAGTTATTCAAAAATTGATCTTTTCACAGCAGTCATGTAGAAATTGAAAAAAACATATAATAAAAAAGAATATCTATCAGACCATAGTTGTTTGTCTAGGATAATGATCGATCACCACGGACACGTTTTGTTTCATTTCTGCACTCTGAGGAGAATTTTTTTTCCTTACTGACATTCTGTTTTCTGTCTGCTTTTGTTACTTCTCGCTTGCTGACATTCATGTTCGTAATATAGTTTACTTTTAAATTTTACATTATTACTTTTCTAAAAATAGATCTAACTTCCGAGTTAACCTATTGCCAACATCTAGTATATGTACAATAAACTTAGATACAGTGATATTTTTGATGTTTCAAAGTTATCAACTCATAAATGGAAACTTTCTCTGTTTTTTACTTTGCATTTTATGACAAATTAATGAATCTTTTTTAACTTTTCAATGATCTAAGAGAACTTAACAATATTCTAGACTCATTTGATTCATGCTATCACTACTGTTCTAAAGCTTTTCCCCTGTTGAGAAGTTCCATCAAAGAGCATTTCATGCATTGTATCCTCAGTTACTTTTTTTAGAAAGCTATCAAACATAGACTCTGTTCTTTCGCTAACTACTGTTAAACTTAGAGAATCTTGACTAAAAATTTACGCTTACATTAAATATTATCGAAACGTACAATGTAAACTCTAGAAAGATTTTCAAAATTTCATTTTTATGTAATAGGTATTAATGTCGCAACTGCAACTGCATCGGAAGAACGAATATTTCGGGCATTATTTCGTCCAAATTCAGATACACATTTTGTATCAGTTGGTGTTAAACACTTAAAATTTTGGTCAATTGCTGGAAATACATTAGTTCATCAAAAAGCTCTTATGACAACAATGGTCGATGGAAAACGATCAACAAAAATGCAAACAATGCTTTCAATTGCATTTGGACCCGTACGAAAAAGAAAATATTACTTTCTTGACCTTGATCAAACTAGATTTCTTTAATTTTTAAAGGAAGATCGAACTTATACGGGTAGTATGACCGGTTTAGTGTTTATTTGGAATAAAAATACATTGGAACGAACAGTACGTGCTCATCAAGGCCCAATTTTTTCAATGTACAGTTCAGATAATTGCATTGTTACAGGTGCTAAAGAAAAGTAAGCTAAGAATATTGTTTATTTATAAATAAATGATTTTTTATTTTTAGACGTTCTGCTGCTTCAACAAAAGTACTTAATCCACTTAAAATATGGGATTTAGATATGAATAATGGACGAGCAATAAAACTTGACATAGGGCCAACTGATTCAATTTGTATTAGATCTGTTTGTCGAAATTCGAAAGTAAAATTTATCCTTTATATATATATATATATATATTTGTTTTAATGTATCATAAATTGTCTATTTTTTTCAGGGAAAAATTTTAATTGGTTTAAAAACTTCTGATATTGTTGAACTTGATGATAAATCATCTGATTGCCAAACAACATCAGTGGTATTTGGACATGGTGAAGGGCAACTTTGGGCATTATCACCACATCCAACTAAATCACTATTTGCTACAGGCAGTTATGATCGAAATCTTGTTGTTTGGAATACAAGTACTAAAGTAAATATGTCTTGATTTAGAATTCAGTTTAAAGAGTATTATTAAATTTTAAGTAAAAATAGAAAGAATCTACATTTCTTGAAAATTTGCTATTATGTAATTGCATGTTGCAAACAAAATATTTCCGTTCGTTTTAAAATTTATTTAAGGGTCTTATTGTGAAACGTGATATGGGAAAAGAAATTCGTAGTGTTTCATTCGATCCTAGTGGTGACATTTTAGCAGTTGGTTATAAAGATGGACAAATTAGTTTGGTGAATTTTTCTATTGATAAAAAGGAACTGATAGAAACTCGTAAAACAAGAGAACGTAATGCTGCAATTTTATGTGTTAGGTATTGTATGAAAGAAAAAGAAAATACAAAATATTTAAAAATAATGTTTTGTTTTGGTTAGATTTAGTCCTGATGGAAAAATCTTAGTTGCTGCATCAGAAAATTGTTGTATTGACTTTTTTGATGTTCAACAAGATAAATTAACTCGTCTTGGTTATGTCACACGCATTGCAGACGTTGTTTCACAAATTGATTGGTCTACAAATTCATTATACATCAGAGTAAAAATTTTAAAGCGTTATTTTTGTTTCTTCATCGAGAATTCATGGTTGGTTTGCTTTTTGTTTATTTTCTTAATTCAAGGCAACTACTGTTGGATATCATGCACTTACATTTCATGCACCCATTGGTGAAGAAGTTAAAAATCCTAAAGAAATAGAAGCGATTGTTTGGAATACTTGGACGAGGTTGAGAAATTTAGTTTGTCAATAAAACATATATTTAACGATATTGTTTTTCAGTCCGTCTGGCGATGATATAATTGGTATTTGGCCAAATGAAGTTAAAAAAGATCATATCAATTGTGCACACGCAACATCATCAACAATCGCTACTGGTGATGATCTTGGTGCTATTAAATTATTTAAATTTCCATGTTCAGAACCTAGAGTAAATTTTTTTTTAAATGATTCTAATCGATCAAGTGAATATTCTAGGCTGAATTTAAAATATTTTATGGTCATTCTGATAATGTAACTAATGTTCGATTTTTGGCACATGAAAAATATTTAGTTAGTTTAGGTGGTGATGATTGTTGGTAAGAGAGTTTCTATTTATTTCAACTTTACAACTTTATCTTTTAATTTTCTTCTAGTATCTTTTTATGGAAATGCATTACGGAGTCAGAAACTACAGATGATAACTAGCGGGTTGTATTTTTTGAATTATTAATTGAATAATCTAACTATTAACATTTATCGACTGGTTTTTTGTTTTTCTTTTCGGTTTCGAATTTTCTGATAAGTAGCCTTAAAAAAATATGAAAATTGGTTTTAGATAAAAATAAAAATCGCGAATGAATTCTTTCGATGATTCATCTGTTGACAATTTTTATCAATTTCCTTCTTGGTCAACATCGTTAACCCGGTCACATACAATTCTATCAAGTAAAACAACTCATAATAGATTTAAACTACGCATTGACAACCGAAGTCAATTTGGAGATACATCAAAACAGTATCTTAGCCGACAAAATGTTCGATTTTTGACAGAATCATCACGTATATATTCTCCACAACCACTTCATCAACCAACTCCAACACCTGATCTTTGTTCAACAATAGACCAAGCGTCATCACACTCATCAAATTATCAAGCTCGTCATTTAACGCCTATTCGAGTGAAATCAGCCATGTTAACAGTACCAATAAAATCAAATTCTGAAGAAACTTTATCGAAAAATTTTCCCAAGCAAATTCATGAAAGACGTAAAATAATGCAAGATAGATTACGGCAAAAACAATTAACTCAGAGATTTGTAGAAGCAGATACAGATACTTGGTTTCAATTAAGAGAATCATTAGCAGAATTAAAACGTCTTGCAAAAAATGACGAACTTCTTGTAGATCCAACTACTTCGATTTTCAATTGTGATGGATTTTCTTTTGAAGCACTTAAACAAGTTGTGGATACACAGCTAGAAGGCCAAAAAGTGTGCAACTTAAAATATGAATCAGGTTGGTAAGTTAGAATTCTTTAAAATTTTTCAAAAAATTCAGAGAGAACTCAAAATTATTTATTTCGTATAAACAATTTTCTTTAATAAAATATTTTGATTAAAACTTGACGAATGTTTTCATTCTTAGAGTTAGCTAACTGTATCTTTAAAGTTTTCGTATTCTAGAAAATGATATATCAAAAAATTGTATTTTCAAGGATGTTCTGATTGAAATTTTATTTGAATTATTGGCATGAGCCTATAGTCTGGTATTTATCACTGTACCATGAATAATAATAATAGAGACAGCATCTTCTAAGTATATAATTCAGGTTAAACTAAAATCTAACCGTTTTGTATCATACATGAATAGTTAGTGTAGTTTTTAATCTAATCATGAATGTCTGTCGTTGAACATGTTCATAACATATTTCAATATGAAACAAAAAATTTTCTAAAAAAAGGTAAATATCAATCAATTAATTCAACAGCTGCTTCGAATATTCGTTTACCAACAAAGTTACGCCCATCAAAAAATCCTCTATCACATTCTCAATTAAAACGTCGATCGACAGAAACTTATCCTCATTCAGCTTTTGAACCATTAGTCGTAGCAGCAAAACCAATTCATTCTCTTCTGTTAAACACTAATACTCATTCATCTAAAACAACAAAACGTAAACAAACAAAGCCACCAGCAACAGCACCAGCCCGTGTTCGTTCTCCTTCACCATCAATAATCATACCATCGATTTCTGAAAAATATGTTCAATTATTAACATCTAATTTATCTACTAATGATGATCCTCGGGTATCATCAACACCATCGCCAGACTTACAAAATATTAGAAAAGAAGACGAAGAAAAACCATCCGGTCGATTAATTTCACAAACGTCCAATTGTTCAGAAGTCCTTTCAAGTGTACCATTGAAATCTAAGATAAAATTGAAACCTCAAGTTCCCCGGTGTCATAGTGCCATGGAAATGAAATGTTCATTTCTATCAAATAAAAATTATCCACGTTTTATTTTAATAACTGATGAAGAACATCGAATTGAAAGTTGGTATCATCAATATCCATTCATTCTTAGTGATGATCTTCTTCAATCATTTCAATCAAAACCAAATAACAGCACAATTTCAGCTTATTTTATTGATGATAATCAACATTTCTTAAATTCAAACGTAACAACTAAAACATTTCTTCAAGGTAAACTCTTTCATATAAATAATGACTGGAAGAAATATGATCTTATTTTCATATCAAATAATATTTATCAACAAATAATTATTTATTTACAAACAATCATCGATTTAACTATAAAATCATCAGGAAAAAGAATTCATATTTATCAAATAAATCATCATCAAGATTTGAAAACACAAGTTAGATATATATGTAAACAATTAAATCAACGTTTTTGTTCTCATGATTAATTTTATGTCAAGTTTTATAGTTGCATTGAATATTACATGTTCTATATTCATAGAACATAATAAGGAAGATAATCTTTTTTTCTCTTATCCAGAATGTGTCTATCTATTAATTGTTATGTCAGTTCTAATTGATTTATTCCAGTTAAATCGATCTTCTGGTCAATGCTCATTAAATAGAAAACAAGAACTTTGTTATATTTGTCAACAATTCACACAGTTAAAAGTTCCCCTACCATACTTACTGATTTCCGTAGCTTGCACTTTCTATTGGATGAAATCTAAAAGCAGATTAAGAAATAATGTTCAACATGGATTATTAGTAATATAGAAAATTTTCAAAAAATGGAACACTTTCGGTACTGAGTATTAGCAAATTCTAATGATTATCAATACCATTTGTCATCACTTTAGAATATTTTAGAAAGTAGTACATGCATCTTGTTGATTGATTTCGAAGTCTTCATTTTCTCATTTGATCATTTTCGACCAAAGCTTTAGATTGAAGAAACAATAGTAAACATGACTCAACTTTAGTAACTGACATAATGCTTCATTTTAAGTAAGAAAGAAAGATTATCTTTGGCATTATGTTCATCGAATCGATACAAACATAGTTGAAGATATTCTTTGATCTTACGTTAGTGTGGTTATTTCACTTATTTTTTTAAAATAATTATCATATCTTGTTCTTTTTCTTTTTGAATAAAATTATATATTTTATTTTATTAAAGAAGTAAAATAAAATACACAAGATGCGAAAAGATTCTTTCTATTCCAAAAACAATTGGAAACGAGCTAGATTTTAGAGCAAAAAAAAGTTTTTAATAAAACAATATGAAAATCGACTTAATACAAATGCACAAACGAACGAAGCACTTCCAGAACACAACAAAATTCTATTGATAGAAGATCAAATAAGAATTAGACGAAAGTAATGCCAGTTGGCTATCAATAGATATTAATTTCATTTTAGAATGCACGATCATTCGAGAAATATGTCTCTCGTAGTAAAAATATTTTTCAAGTGACAAACAAACATGAAATCAAATGTTCCTGTTAGATATCTTCACATGAAACATACATAACTTCAATTTTTTTTATCAAAATTATTTCTCTATGAATAGAAAAAATAACTGCATCTTTTCTTCGATGTCCTTCATGATATTACAAAAGATATTGTGCTTGGTCCTCTTCACCATTATCTTAAAATTACTATTCCATGACGTCCCATCAAATTTCGGCCAAATGAAGTATCTCAGCGATAAATTTTATTCAAAAAATCAATTCTATTGTTTGAAATCATTTTTCTAATTATATTCATTTGTTCTTGGAGTAAGTAATCTTAGTAAAAAATGCAAAGCCAGTAATTTTACTGCTACCCTAGATAACGATAATATTTATTAAGTGATCTCATTTATTGTGAAGTGCATCTATTTTATACAGAATACTCACAAAGGAAGAAGGCAGAAAGTCAACTTATTGTCGAACCAATAGCAATACTTATGAATATATAGAAAATATCAAGGCGCTGAATCTCGACGAGCTCATTAGATTAGAAATGAAAAATTTATCGACGATTAATTTTTTGGAGAGATTATTAAAACTGCTCGCCATTGTTGAAATATATTGAGCTTATATTAAAGAGAGTATTGCTGAATTTTCAGTTCTTTTAAAGTATGATATACTATTTTAGCAATTTAAAATTCAAACAATATACTCTTTCTCTACAATTACGTGATGAAAGAACAAATTCAAATGTAAAACATGGAAGAGTCATGGATTTTTCCCGTTGATTCTTAACTATTATCCCGAAGAGTCTAGTGAACGGTTGGATGCCGTCAAACATCTTCCTAAGTTTTAAATCTAACGAAAGAAGTGATTTAAAATTTCATTGAAACAAAATTTAGACTAAAATCACTGTTGCGAACACTAAAGAGATGGCTAGAAAATGTTCCATCTATGGAAAATGATTATTTAAAAGCATCCAAGTAAGATCTGTTGTAAAATTACGAACAAATATCAGTATATCTATATGTTAATTGGTCGTGAATAATAATCTGGCAAATTTTTATTGTGATTTATCGAATTATTTAATTTCATATCGTTCCAACTGAAAGTTTTACTCTACTAGAATGCAAAACTTTCGATTGCTTTTAAGATTATTGTATTTTATCAGTTTGTTTTTGTTCTGAAATTAAAATCGATCAGAATTACTTTTGGTCTTAAACGAATAATTAATTCTTTCAGTCCCTTGCAAGGAAAGCCCATGTTAGGGTGTCATTATTGTTTGTAAGAGTAAAACAATGAAACGTGCTGAATCGTAATAAACATAAGACAGTTAATAGACAGTAGAGAGAGAGAGAGAGAGAGAGAGAGATGAACAAACATTACATATGTATTCAATTTTCAGACTCACCAGGTGATCACATGAGAAAAAGAAGGTATCACCCGAAAAACTCGCTCTGCTATACGCGCGACCACTCATCACTAGGAGATGCTCATTATTATGTTCTCTCGTTGCAATCTAAAACAATTATATGACCTGTATGTTAACATGATTTTTCAGGCAAAGAAAAATCGTATTAACCACAATAAAACTTCTGTCTTGATTCCAAGATGAATGAGTCAAGAACATCCGCAAACAAAAACCGATGAAGATTTTTCAATTCATATTTTAGAAAATTTAGTTATAATGTTTCTTGCCACTTGTAAGATAATCAATGTGTCTTGAAATTTGAAAAAACTTGTTCATACTTCAGTCAGAGTAAATCTAGTCAATGAACTTGACTGGTGCATCATAATTTCTGATTATTCACATGAAATTGACTAAATTGATTATAAGAAGATGACAATAATTTTGAAAATAGTATTGAAAAATGGCATGTCAACTAGCAAACTGCCTTTAATTATGACAAATCACATGCCAAATATTATTTCCGAGTAAGTATTTGGATTTTGACTGTTATGACAAAAATAAGCTTGCCTTAACAGAGAATTTGAATGTTTTCTAAAGAATATAATTAGATTTTTTTGCTTAACTGAGGTCTCATTTTTGTGGCATTTTCTGTCTGAGAATTTTTTATAGAAAATAATATTCGCAGATGTATACAATAGTTTAATAACAACGTATGATAGTCTTAGCAAATATAAAAATCTCATCCATGACAAGCATTATTTCTAGTAATAAGTGGATTTTTCAATTATGAATAAACTAATAAAATGATGTTTTGTCAGTATTATTCTTTAGAGTTTTTTTTAAATTTATTTTTCGCTTTTCTTCTAAAAATAAATTTTTATAAATATGACTAGAATTTTTAAAGTTACAAAAAAATATGATGGAATATTTCTCATTTATTCCGACAATTTTTACATTTTAAAAATAAAAAATAAAAGCTTTTCTAAAACTTGGAACAAATTAATTTATGTCAGATTATACAAGTAGACGATATGGGAATCATGAATGTAAAAATAATTTGATAAAAATGTACTTTCGATCATTAAGATTTCATGATATCTAAAAAGCAAGTTTTGTTTTTCTTTGATTTAATCAATCAACTTTGAATTATCTTGATTGGTTGAATTTATTATTTCATTGGTTTTCTTTAATTTAAAATCTTCGATTTTTAATCGATGAGATTTTAGGTAGAGAATCATCGAAAATAAAACCAATATCAAGCCAAATGGTGAGATTATCCAAGATAATTTATACGAAGCAGTCATTAAAAATGACCAAAATAAAATAATAGCTGATGTATTTATAAATACGATATAAACTGAATAAAGTTGACAACACCGATTAAAACGATATTTAACAATGTTTGTATTTAATTGGAGTTGTTGATGATAACGATAAAAACATGATGAACTTAAAGTATATGTTAATGGAAATAGAAAGAAATATAACTAAAAATAAAATATTTATCTTCAAATAGAAAATATTAATTTTTTCATATATAAAATACTTGAAAAGTTCCTCCAAATATTTGTAAATCAGGTGGTAAATAAACTCCTTGTATCAATGTGCCCCACAGAAAAACAGCACCGAAATTACCTTTTGTTAAATATCCAATATACCATGGTCCTAGAAAAATAGATTTAAATCATTCATTATTCAAAAATATGAAAATCAATAATATTAACCAATAAAAGAATACAATGCAAAACCAAATAATGAATAAAATATAAAATCAACTGAACAAAGACAGATCATTCGAAGACGAAATTGATTGCATAATCCAAAATGAACAGTAAACTTGACTGAAAAAGTAGAAAATTACTTTTATTAATTCATCCAAAGTAAGTTATTCATGCAATATTAAATTATGAAATATGATCTATCTGCTAGTGTTTACAAAAATATTGTTTTATTTTAATTATTTTGAAACACTTGAAATAAGCTAGATCTTAGTTAATTCTCAATAAATTCGATTAAGAAATTAATTCATAGCTACATTATATCAAGACAAGATGTTATTCATGTGAAATCTCTAATTAAATATAAACAACATTTGTCATAGGCGAGGAAGGAGGAGGAGAAGCAAAGTAAAAGAAACAGCAAAGTTGGTTGCAAATTTGTACAAACATATGCGTGAAAATCCAACTTAGATTAGGCTATAAGAAACAGAAGATAGCACTCGTCACTCTTTTTTCATCAAGCCTTTTTATCATAAAAGAGTCGTTAGTCAAGGTCTTTAAAATGTTGTTTATGTTGACTAGATAAAATCTATTCTTAGGCGTAAACATAATTGGCAAACATGGTACAGATATATTTTCTTTAATTAGATTGTGCCAAATGTTTTACTATTTCTTGACTGTCACTTGAAGTAGTATTTATAGTATTACTTAGTTCAATACTCTTTTACTTCATCTACGCCTACAATTTCTTTTCATTCGTCTAGTAAAAACTCCGCATAGGTTCTGTATCGAAAACGTTTATAGTCATACGGCAACTAACGTTAACCTACATGAATTTCGTTTCTTATGATATCGATAATATAATAATGTGAGAATATATATAGATAATGATGAAACTAATATAACCAAACCCTAAGAATTAAAAAAGAAGAATTAAAAAAGATTAGTTTAGCACTATTTTTTGGTTACAAAAGTTGGTTGATGAATTGTAAGAATAATTTGTGAAGGATTCCATCTGGTTATTGTTGTAAATGATATAGAAAATTCGTGTGTTAAAATAACAGTATTATTTCCATTATCCTTAATTGTAAACATAATGTTTTGATTATCTATTTGAAATAATACTTTTTTCTTTTACTTTAATTCCAACAAAAATTTGATGTAGCCTTCCATCATCATATGAACTTGCATTCCATGGAAGAACAAATAGATGTTGATTATCAATTGATTGAACTGCTGAACCAACATATTGTTCATCAATGGAAACATTGACATTAATAATAGATAATTTAGAAAAAATAACGATTCTTTAAAAAAATTCATTTAAATAAAATCAATTTTGTTTTTGTTATTAAAATAACCTGATATGTGTACTTTGATTTAAACGATAGAATGGTTCTCTAGGTGTTTGAAATTTTGCTGCTTTTGGATTTGATATCAGAGCATAAATGGGTTGACTGAATCGAAAATCTTCGAAAGATAATAAACCGGAATCAATTGTTATTATACGAAATCTTTAAAAAGTAAAATGTATCTTTTTACTTTTGATAAAGAAAAAAGAATGTATACCGTCGTTGCCTTTTCCAGTCGCCTAATTCAATGTCGAGTAATCCATTGGAATGACGAGCATATAAATGTTTAATACCAGAATGAAGATGGCCGTTTAAATAGGCAATACCATCCTTCATTATATGATCAAGTCCTTTTGAATAAGTAAATGATAATGGATAATGACCGAAGAATACTATGGAAGTGGAATTCTTAATTTTCTTGGCTATTTCCAATAAAATTTGCGTTTCTTTCTAAATATTTGATAGAAAAATTTCTTTTAAATAAACCTTAAGATTTTATTTACTTTAGTAATATGACCAAAAAAATTAAATGGACGGCCAACACCTGGTCTGGGGCACATATCAACAGCAACAAACGAATAAGTATCACCATCTTTTGTGCTTAATGTATATTCATATGAGCCACTATGGTTGTGTCCTTGATGTGAATAAACACTTGAATTACGAAATTATGTTATTTGAAACGAAAAAATTCATATTAGAAAACGAATACCGATAGAAACTTTTTGACGAATCTGGATCGGGATCCATAAATGTATCTATTCACAAGAAAACCATAAAAGGCTTTTTATTTTAGAAAAAAATTCCTTTTTTTATTTTACCATGATTTCCTTTTATATCAAGCCATTTTGTATGTGCTGTAATATTCGTTCGATTTAGAATATCTCTATAAAGATTCCATTCTCGTTCATATTGTGCTGTTCCAAATAAACGATCATGACTATGTTTTAAACCACTCACACTGTCCACAAGATCGCCTTTAAGTATTTTAATAATTGATAATCACGCTATTCGCTAAAACTGAATGATTGTATTCGTTACCTGTTACAATAGTAACTTGTGGTTTAACCAATGTTTTTATAATTTCATTACAAAATTGTTCAAATTGTTCCATACGATCAGCATGATCAAGATGAGTTATATGAGTATCTGATATCTGACAAAATTCTTAAATTCTTATATATTTTATTCTATAGAATATAATTACTTGTACGAAATGGAATAGGTGTCTTCCGCTATTACCAAGATATTCATTAGATATTACGGATTGTTTATTAAATATTGATGAATAACTTGATGTAATATTAAGAAGAACAAGAATAACGATAAATGAAAACATTAATGAGAATGAATAATATGTAAATAATTGAGATTCAACACGATGCACTGCAATGATTATCTAAACATACAAGAGAACTTATGTATATATTTCATAGTTTTTCATCAAAGATAAAACAATGATTGCTTGTTGTAAGACATATTTCTTCTTCATTTTTACATATTTTTTATTGAATTTTAAGACTTTCTAAAATATTTAAGGTCCTTTATGATTTAATCCATTCGATTACAGTAATTTACATGGACGTTCTGGGGAGAAGGGGTGATAAGCCAGTTTCTTTCACCGACAAGAAGATGTTTTCATTTGTTTCTTTAGCAGAAGAGAATGAACAAAAAAATGTAGAATAACACGTATGAACGTCACACAATAGTTCTTATTTACATCACGCGTATCGGTGATGAAAGTCTTCTCTTCGTTCCTAAATTTCAAATCCTTCATTGCCTGATTTTACAGCATACTAATGTACATACATATTGTGAAATATATTTTAATATTTACGATTTTTATCACAATAAGTCTTTTCTATTGATAAATATCAATAGTTAATTATTTATTGATATCTCTAAAGTAGGTATACTATTCATTAGATCATTATATATAAAGGGTGTCCCAGAAGTTCTGAAACGATTTTAAGAGTTCACCGTTCTCGCATTCTACAAAAGCAAACTCGCTGAAACTTTGGTAGATTGTTGCACATATGTGGTAGTACATAACTGCAAAGTTAGAGATCAATACGTCATACTATGGATGAGAAACTGAAGCAACACTGGCATGTACTATTTTTTAAATTTTCCTGGTCATCTTCGGGTGTGCAACATTTTACTTTATTTCGTCTATGTCTCAGGCTAGGTAGATGATAAAATCTGGATTTCTTTAATAAGATGCGCCGTGATAGGCTCTACGAAAATTGTAATAACAAATCCTTATTGACTTGTGTTAATGGTCTTTGCTATACTCAAAATGAAAAAGCTACTTGATAGTACGACTTCTCACCATAATCAGAAAAAGGTTTGGACTACTTTTTTATTTTCCAATAGGAATTTGTTTATACAGCTTTTGTAGAGCTTTCGACAACGCATCTTGTCAAAAGCAATCAAGGTTTTATCATTTTTTCAAGCCGAGATACATGCAAGACAAAAAGATCTTGCAAACCTTTTCTTTATTACGCACAATATGGAGAGAAGTCGTTCTATCATGTAGTTCTTTCATTTTGAGTATGAACACAAGTCAGTAGGGATTTGTTATTACAATTTTTGTAGGGCTTTCACGGCGCATTTTATAACAGAAATTCAAGATTTTATCATCTACCTCGCCTGAGATATAGACATTTTGACAGACCTAGAATACAGAAAAATTTCGAAAATAGTATATGACAGTGTTGTTCTAGGCTCTCATCTATAGTACAAGCTATAGACTTGAAACTTTTCAGTAATGTAGTACCACATATGTACAACAATCTACCAAAGTTTCAGCGAATTTGCTTTTGTAGAATGCGAGAACGGTGAATTATTAAAATCGTTTCAGAACTTCTGGGACACCCTTTATATAAATTACATTTTTTTTCTTTTGTTCTCATAAATTGCGACTGTTTCATGAATAATTAGCAATATACCATCATGTTTTTAATAAAAAGTGGAACATGAAGTTACTGCATATGTTTCTTTTGTTTTCTTTCTCTTTTTCACATTACCCCTTCTCCTTTATCGTCAGCTTTGCTAAGAAAAAAGGCTAAATATAATCTTAATAGAAGCTGTGTCGTATGTCGCTAATAAGCATTAGAAGCGTAGGATCACTTATTTCCACCCACTATTTTCTAATAAGATTAGAAATATATTTATATACATGTGTGTGTTAATTGTTTATGAAGTTCTAACATCCGAAAAAGAATCTAATGTAAGTCCAAATAAGATATGAATCGAAGAAAAAGAATAATTTCTGCTATATGCTAATACTCGATTGGTTTAGTTCTCTTTCTCTCTGTTCTCATTTTTCTCCCTAAGGTATTTTCTCCAAGTAACCAAATATAAACAGTATTGCTACGCGTACTCAACATTTAGTATCTTTACTATTTTCATCAATAAGAATTACGATGATTGTTCATTCGTCATTTTCTGTACTTCTTCTATGTATCGTTGTTATGCATACAATATATGCGATTAATCCAGAATATCTTCGACAAAGTTATCATGGCCCAGAATGGTCATCATTACTTAAAGCTATGAATAAACAATTATCTGATCAGCACTCGAATCTGGCTTCATCGGAACAAAACCAAAATAATAATGATGATGATGACGCTGATGATGATCAACCTGTAAAACGTAATAAATATCCAAATTTCCATCTTAGTCCATTATGGTTGTCACGTCGAACACGTACAAATCGTTTTTATGGAAAACCGTTATGGATTTCGCGAACAGGATAATAAACAACAAGAAAAATAAAATACAATAAAATAAACTTCTTTTTTCTTCGTCGGATTAAATAAATATTCAATTTTGTTGTACATCACAGTCTCATATCTTTCTTTTTCTGTTCACATTTCATTTATATAAATGGTATAAATATTCAAAGAAAAAGAACACGATAAAAGTTAACAAATTGGATATATACTTGAAGCTCCATTCAAGACTTAGAATAAAGTTTTTCTTTCTCATGACTTTCTAATAAGTAGAAAAAAAACGAAGTATTTATTGTTTTGTTAATGAAACATTTATTTTCTCACTAAATCAATAAACGCTGTTCATTACATGCTTAATTATCATAAAGACTTATCAGTGAATAACACATTTCTTCAATTATTGAAATTATTGTAACTACAACGTTTTTTTCCCTGAAGACTTTTGCAAAATCTATTTACATTTGCAACAAAATAATCAACATAACAACGGACATCAACTTGAACTGAACGACATCTTTACGCTTGAGAGATCAACAGAATTCAACGAAAGAAAATGCTTTCTATGCGCATTGCATAGTAAATAAGTATATTGTTTTCTTTAAGCTGTCTTTTTTAATTATGAATAAAATATAACCTACTTAGTATTCGTATTTTTTAATGATTAACCTTAGATATTTTCTTATAAAATAAATAAAATAAAAAAATAATATACTTGTGTTTCTACTATTCGAAAAATACAATGGTGCGAATTTATGGAAATCTTTCATTATCGCCTTTTCTTACTTACAATATTTATAAATACCTGTTTTGTAAGAAGATCAGTTAAGTTTATATTTGTTTTATTTCTCTATCAAATTTTTATTCTACAACCATGAAAAGAAGCTTAAATTAAGAAAGGCTTTATATTCTATTCATATTAATATGTTTGTTTGATAATGTGTAGTCTGATGTCATTGACCAAGAAATGAAACCATTTATAAACTCAGTGAACTTCTACTTAGTCTATCTATCTATATATAAATATAGGTAGATGTGGTATGATCTCTTTGCAAATAAAGTTTTAGAATATTAAGAAGAGCTTTTTTTTATCGACAATTAAAGAAAATTTAATTAACTGATGATTGGCGGCATCTACCATAGATATATACACTTCACTTCACTTCACTTACTTACACTCTACATTCGATGATAAGATCTTAATTTTTTATTCTTTCTCTCTATGATTTTTTTTATCCGTGATCATCATCAGGCAAACATTTTTTTACGTATATTTCAGTACAAGATTCTTGTATGAAAAATAATTCTGATTTTCTGATACGATTCACATTGACCACATGTTGGATAATTAAACGAGTAAATAGCTTACCAAACCAAATAAGATTCTGTAGTTCCTGTTTAATTGATCGTTACTAATTATCAAATTTTGTATTTCTTCATGCTCTATGAGACTCCGCCTTTTCGTTGCTGTTCTGTTGTTACTTCAAACTTGAAAATTGCAAAATACAAGGAAAGTATTTCCTATTTCAGTAATTGTACATGACCGAGATAAGAAAACATAATATACTAGCTATCTATAATTCCTGTAAAAAAAAGCATTTTTATTGATTCAATTAGTTTGATATATTCATCCGAAGTAATGAAAATAAATATTAAAAAAACACTGAATCGTTGATCGAAATAACAAGTAGATTTTGTGATATTCTCAAGGGGGGAAAAGCAGCTCCTGGCGGCTCCTGGTGGATTCTAGAATCCATCAGGATCCATAGATTCCACCAGGATCCATAGATTCCACCAGGATCCATAGATTCCACCAGAATCCATTAGGATCCACCAGAATCCATTTGGATTAATGATTTTATATCAATACTTTAAACAATTTTCAGTTGCTAAAGAGAACAACGAGGCTCATATATGTCGGATCTAAATGACTTTGATCGTATTTTGAAAAAATTACGACAGTGACCATGCATTTTTTCATAGATCTAAATGGCCTATCTATCGTTTCTTGAATCTAAATGCTCAGAAAAAAAACTTACAGATTTTATTGTACACAAAAAGAGAAGAACCGAAGGAGTCATTTTTCATATTATTCTATGATTGAGAATGTGTTACAATAGTCCTGCAAAAATTATTTAGCCTTTTTGTAATATAGACAATACTGTTGAAAAGAAGAATATTATTCTGTTTCTACCGATGACTTTGTCTTTGTATTGATTAATGCTTCATGTTAAATTGCAAAGTTCTAACAAGTACATCAATATGACTTGGTTTGCAATGTTCAGTTCAAATATATGAACTGACAGCTATGTACAAGTTTTGTTTCAAAAATAGTAGGGACTGCTAGATATAGCAAAAAGTGAAAAAAAACATGAATCATTACTGCGTACTGCGTAGTTTGCAACTGCTTACATATTGCGTCATCAATATGAAGAGAACAAGAGTCTTTCAACAGTGACGATTCACTGTGAGTAATATGAGGATTTTAAATAGAGATGATGAAATCATAAATGTTATTACGCAATAATGTATTTGTTAGATCAAGAAAATGCAAATGACACGCTTTTAGCCTTATAAAGTGTGAAAATTAAAGCAAATAGTCATTAGTTCAAAATCAGTACAGAGTGAGGAAAGCCTAGCTACTTCCAGCAAAGATATCATAAATGAGGGGTTTGATTTTTAGGGATACAATGGTTGAGACTAACGATGAAGTCGATGACAACATGAAAAATCAACGGTTACGGCCAATACATTAGCTAGCATTACTAGTCTCTTAACAGAAAGACGTCTACATAGTATGAAAAACCGGTCACTATGACAAGCTGCTGGCTCATTCACTGAGTTTACCAGTCTTAACGATGACGCTTAACAGTGCATTCTCAGTGAGTTTAAGATTCCACTCCTAGGAACCGGGAACATCAACTGGGGGTTACCTTTCTTAGAGCGCTAAATTTTGTGTGGATTCTCCTGCTTATGAATCCGATCTAGGCTCCTGTATCTAGATATAAAATCGAAACTCAGTCTGAGTTTTGAGTGCTCAGGAGCCCACTATGAGTTCCCGCTTATTGAAATTCGGTAATCCATTGTAACTTGATACAAGCTGTAAGAATAAGCATGTGTAAATATCTCTGAATTGTCCAAAATGCGTGAAAAAGAATATTCAATTGGGTTTCTGTTCTTTGGGAACAGAGTCTAATGGAACGAGAATCCGGACACTACTAGCTATAATCTTATCACATTGAGTATCGATATTTAAACGTTATAACACCCACACCCTCAAATTCCAACTCATTATGTAATCAGTAATAGAACTAACAATTTT